GCAAAACGACTCAGCATACCCTCCGGTCGGTCCTCATCGACGGGCCAAGCCTCGAAATCTCTTGTGCTCAGGCGATTTGCCCGGCCAGTAGCAGCAGCCCGCGAGCTCCGATGATGAGTAGTGGTGGCCCCGCCGTTGGCAGTAGCACTATCGCCGGAATTCAGCGGCGCCGCCTGGTAGACTTCGCGACAGCGGAACTTTTCGATATCCCACACGGTGATTTCATTTCCGTGGCTTCCACTGCTAGACACACAAACCCAGCGACCGCGTGACTTGATGGGATGTAACTGAACTCGATGGATATAGCCCCAGCCTGGTAGACCCCAAGCTTTTAGTCGTACACGGAACCGCAGGTCCCACAAATCGAGAACTCCATGAGTGGTACCGACGAGCAGCCAAGTATGGCGCCGGTCGCAGCAAAAGGTTGTTGGAGTCCCATGGTGAACTGGGTTTTCGAGAGTGTAAACCGGCAGCATGGTCTTCATGTCCAATGCCAGAATGCGACATGTATTCGTGGCGACAAGAAGGGTTGACTGGCCTTCGTCTCTGAAATGCTCCATCCAGACCGCATATTCTTGCAACCCATTTTCCGCCACCGGTAGCTGATACTCACGGACAAGTTGAAGTTTGCCATATCGAGCATTTTCGTTAACCTTTTGATAGTCAATTCTGACAGCGTGAATACTGCCGTCAGTGGCACCGCTGACGAATGTGTACGTATTTTCAACAAAAGTCAGCGACTTGACACGTGCACCTGGTGAATGGCGATGAGTCTGACGGGATCGAGGAGTCAAGTTGCGTTCCAATCGGATTGTGTCCCAGATCTTGACTGTGCTGTCATCAGAAGCGGTCACAAAGAATGCATGATCTGGGGGCACAGCAATGCGGTTGATGGGTCCACTGTGTTCGCCGAAAGTTGCGACCAGATTTCCCTCGGGCTTCCAAAGTTTGTGGATATTCTGGGTATTAGATTTGGGAATCGGCTGTCGAGAATCGAGCTCTTTGACATATGGTCCCAAGTCAAACAAGTCTGTAGGATAATTCTCCGCAAAAACGTTGTCCAACAGTCGCAGCACCACCGGATCGTCACCGGTATAGGAATGATTGGCGCGATATCGTCGCGATGCCGCAACAGCCTGAGTTGGTTTACGGTCGTATGCATGGGCGAGAGCGGAGGGCTGGGGAGTTCCGCCTCTCTGAACAGGGGCATCTACCTTCCCGAATGCATTTGCAGAGCTCGTGCTGGTTTCCGCATAGGCCTTTGCAGTCTCATTGCGGTTTAGCAAATTAATGGCACTAGACTTGCGCTGCACCGGTAGGCCTCGCAACGACAAGGTGTCTGCATTAGTAGGAGTTGTTGATGAGCTTTCTTGACCAATGCTAAATCTGCGATCTGGAGGAATGGACTGCCGCTCGACATCCGAGCCGGGTGGCGACATTGGCCGCGACCCGGGCGCTGCGGCAGGAGATGATGCGGCAGGGGAAGATGAGGATGAATCAACCGCAATGTTTCGCGGCTGTGGTACTTCAATTCCTCTGTGGATCTGGCTTCGAGTGCGGATATGTTTGCGAAGAGCAGATGGTGATCGTTCTATGGTGGTGGAGGCATCAAGTAGCGCGTCTGCAATAGTTCGCGGTCTTTGGTCATCGAGAGTGTGGGTGCGACCAGAGTTTCTTTCCAGAGATGTATTACGTGACTTCTCATTCAGATTCTTGTCGAAGAAAACAGTCTGAGGCGTGACTCCTTGCTGCGAGAGACTAATAATTTCACCTAGTGGCAATGTGGTCTCCGATTCATTATCTCTTGATTGTCGAAGCGAGACTCTGCATATGTAGTCCCTGAGCGCCAGAATCTTGAATTCATCTTCTGGCGTCATCCCAAGATTTCGCAACCTTGAAAGCCATTGCTCATCTTCCTCGTTCTTGGAGTGCGAGCTCATAGACAAATTAACACTTCGACCGAGATGAGAGCCGTGACTGCCAGGTTCCGAGAGACTGAACGCATCTCGACTCGATGACTTCCAAAATATACCCTTGTCCGTTTTAGAAGCCCAGAGGAAGACCATTTCATAGATATTCCGTGACATGGGTCGTTTTAGAGCTTCAAGAAGCTCTGCCTCGGAGAAGTTCACGATGTTGACCTTGAGAAACGGGCGAATGAGAGGAGTGAGGATGGAAAAGATATCCGCGACAGACAAGAACTTGGTCGACTTGACCACAAAGTCCACTGCTGCCTCACGGATCCAAATGTTTGGATGAACCAGAAACCCAATGGTTATATGAAGAAGGTCCCAGGTTGTTGATCGCTGGAATAGTCCAAGATCAGCCATGGCGGCAACAGAACGAATGACTTTTTCCACGACAAATTCTTCGGGTTCCGTCATAGATTGAATCATGAGAGGGAGAATGTACTGCTCTAGGCTGGTACTTCCGACATATGCGGCAACACCAACCACGGCCTCAAAGAAAGCGCACTTCAAGATCCAATCTCGATCATTCAAATAAGTGTTCAAGTGACTCAGGATAACTTCGTTAGCCTTGAGATTCCCGAAGAACACGCATAGACTGGAGACAGATCCTAAAAAGGCACGGCGAACTGATGCATCTGTATCTGTCAGAAGCGCCTTGGTGTGAACCTCAAAGTATTCAACAAGGTCAATTCGAGCCACATCGTAGAGATTATGATAAGTTGCGTCCTCCGTCCATCGTGGCTCAAAGCCAACGGGAATCAGCGAAGTCAAGCGAGTGTCCGACCGCAACGCTTGAATCATGTCCAGGAACCTCAAAGAGGACTGAGCTAGCGACGCAATGCATGAGGCATACGCAGCCCGGACTATGGGGCTTGGATTGCTCTTGGAGGATCTGATGAAGGGCTGCAGCCGAGGGAAAATGTACTCGGGGAACAGGTATGCGTTTACCGGGGAAACTACATTGACCATCTCCAGTAATTGAGTCAGTGTGCGAATCGCCGCGACCTTGACAATATCGGTACGGTCTGCCAGGAGAATCATGATATACGGAAGAACTCGGTCGAGCTTCGCGTCATCCGATATTCTCTCGGCAAAGGCAAGGAGGATATCGCAGGCTTTAACCCGAGCGGAGGCCTTGGATGTGGTTCGAAGATTGGAAACGACCAGACTCAGAAAGATCAAAACACCTTCATCTGACTGTAATCGAGGAGACGTTGTTATTGTTTGGGTTCCGTCACCATCACCATCGGGTAAATCGAGCTTCACAGGGAGAGTGTTACCCGTGAGACGGGACGGTGCATTTGTGCCAGATGGACCGCTCGCCGAAGCTCGAGGTGGAATTCCAAGAAAGTAGGATATTTTGTCAAAGTCCAAACAGACTCTCTCGATGCGATCATCCGTTTCTCCTCGATTATTTGATTCCGCATCAACCTTGGTTCTTCCAGAAGATGGATCGGTCATGAGAGACATGTACTGGTGAAGGAAGCTGTAGAAATATTCCGGAAAGGCCTTGGTCTTCCAGAAATTGAGGTATTCCTCAGCAGAGTAACGGGACTCTGGCTCCAGCTGAATCATATGAAGGATTAGCTCCCGAATTTCAGGATCTTCGATCCTCACCAGCTGGCTGTGCTCTGGGCTATATTCGCCTTTCCGATACTTGTACATCTGACTGAGTGTAAAGATCGGTGACTCCAGGAAAAGTTCTGCAATCACGCAGCCCGCGCTGAAAATGTCCATTGCCCAATTGACATGACGGTTGCCCGGTTCCTCACCGGCGACGAGAAATCGCTCTGGAGCAAGGTAGCACGTTCTTCGCCCGGAGATATCAAAGTAGAACGAAAAGTCTGCAGGGTTGTCCTCTGGGAGGAACGTGGGTTTGAAAGATGAAGAATAGTCAGATAGGTAAAGCCAATTCCAGGAGGTCACCAGAACATTCTCTGTCTTGATGTCACCGTGGAAGATATCCAATGAGTGAGAATCTCGCAATGCGCAAAGGAGTTGGAATGCGATCCATTTCTTCTCAATATCCTCGAGAAATGGGCGAGTACTGAGTAGGTGTTAGGGATTTGGATGTAACACAGGGGGTTTTGCTGGTGGGCATACCTCATTCGATCGTAAAGAGAGCTATGAACGTACTGACGAACTAGATATCCGCTGGTACTGGTTTCAAGAATTCTCTCATAGCTCAATGCGTTTGGTACATCTGATAAAAGAGTCCGTTCCCCTATGTGGTATGTTAGCTTTGAGTCGAGATATTGAAAAATGGGAAGAGACTGACTCTTGATTGCTTTGACATATGGTTCCAGTTGCATCGTTGGATACGGTTTCATGATCACCTTGACGAAGACCAGACCATTTTGCTGCCTAGCACGGATACTCTTCATAAATCTGCCCCCACCCATCGACTTCTCATATACCAGATCTGAAAGCTCCGGTACGTCGATCCCTGCCGACCCCGCCGACAGAGATGTGAGGGAGTAGCCTTGGCCCATGATGTCGCTTGGGCCTCATCTCCCAACTTCGCAGATGGAGATGTTGACGCGCGGATGTTTGACAAGTTGATTAACAAGTTGATAAGCTTGGACAGTGAGGTCACTTGACGCGTCTGCACGTGATAGCACGGAAAGGCGGTGAGGGAGTGTCCACAGTATGCGCTGGACTTGTTTGCGACAGGGGGAGGGCTACTTTTTCTCATCCACGAAAATTCATCGAGCCACAAAATATAGAATTAAAAAATCAAGAAAAGGACCCGTATGTGACTATCTGGGTTCTTAGTCAAATTGCGCCACCACTTTCAATCATGTTCTCTCAGCTGTGTTAGCTTCCCATCTCGATCCCGCAGCACTTGAATGACAGTACACCCCGTACCCCAGAAGCTGCTGATCGCCAAGAGATAGGCTGTCCTGCTAAGTGAGCCACCACTCGCTGTTGAAAAAAGGTCCCAGGCTCTCACAACGCTTGGAACTGCTTGCCTCTTGATCTCTCACAATTTCTAAGCATTTATTTGAGATGGTCTACGCTACAGCTGCAATGAGTGGTCGACGCCACGACACCTCCACATCCGATGTGGCATCGGATCTCGATCTAGACACCTCTTTCGATATTCCCGTCATAGAGACCGAAGAATCACTGTTCGATGTGATTTCCAAATTATCCCAGTAAGCAAACCCTCATTCGTCCATTTCCGTGGACTAACACCGCTTCAGTTTCATTAACATGGCTGTTGGCGAGATGGCCTATTCGTTTGAGCAAATGAGATACGGAGCCCGAGGACACCATCTCAGACAACTGGTCCATGCACTGGCACAGGATAGCCATAACCCTTTTATCATAGTTGCCTTGATGTAAGGATTAACCAGCCCAAGCTCCGTGATTCCAATGCTGAACAGGTCCGCTGCAGGATACTGAAATGGGAATTTTCCAACGTCGCCGAGGACGATTGGGGACTGAACGAAAGCCGAGGGGCAGCGTGCGAGTTCGTCGCCTGGCAGTTTCTTTGTCACCTGAATCAACGAGAAACGATCGAGTTCCTCTTGGAAGAGCTTCCAAGCCCCAGACGCAAGTCGACAAATCTTATGGAAGTGGAAACGGGTACACCCTGTCTTACTAGGGACTCGACAGAGTCCACTCCTCTTCTATCGGGTGCTTCTACATCAGGTCGCCAATCAGAGATCGGCAAACAAGGCTCCGAGAACCAGACTCGTCGGGCGTGTCTGGGTACTCAGACTGAATATCCGGAGGATTGCAATGCCTCGAGATACTCGAGATTCTTTGGGCTGAATGCGCTGGAAGTTGCAGCTGTTGCAGGTGCGAAGAGGTTCCTGAGCCAGCGGGTCGTTCAACGCGTAGTCAACGACATTTGGAATGGCGAAATTGTGTTCTGGGATTCTCTCACGGTTCATTCAATCAAGAGGCCGCAAATTTTCAACAGGAAGTGAGTCCTGCATCGAGTCAGCGTTAATTTAGTTTATGGTGCCAATACTTACCCTTATGGCTCAGAACGGCAGATCCCTATTCGCGGCTACGAGTTCCAGTCTACCGCAAGATGTTTGAAGCAGGCTTCTTCATCTCATTCTTGATGCTGTACTATTCAGTACTCGTCGAGCGCAACCCGAATGGCCTTGGGTTCTTCGAGATCTTCATGGACGTTTGGATCGTCGCCTTTGCTTATGATGAATTGAGCGGGCTCGTCGATGCTGGTATGCTATTTTACCAGATGGATTTCTGGAGCCTGTGGGATCTCGGAATCATTGGCGTCGGATTCGCTTTCATCATCACCAGTAAGTCCCAGATCCTATTCCTCTGTCCCAGATTCTGCCTCGTGGTGCTTGTCAAAGTTACGGATGTGAAGAGCTTGGGGACTGACGGAAGATCCTACAGGGGCCATCGGGCTAGCCAGGGGTGATGACTACATTCTCGATACTTCATTTGATATCCTCTCCCTGGAGGCGTTGTTCCTTGTGCCAAGGTAGGTGATCGATGGCCCCAGGTGGTATACGCAGGAGAAGCCCTGGTTTTGACGAAAGACGGGTATCTGCAGGATCTGCTCACTCGTGAGCCTGAACTCATACTTTGGCAGTCTGGTAGGTTGGGTTCCACTGCGAAAGTTGCCTTGGATCAAAGAAGTTTCTGATGGTGCGAGCAGATACCAGTACTGAAAGAGATGGTGAGGATCTCAATCCCAAGAACACTACCCGGGGATCAAAAGTCAACAAGGCTGATTCTTCGGCTTCTATCTGCGACAACCTCAGACCAAAGCATTCTTCCGATTCTTGCCAGTCGTGATAGTCTTGTATATTGGTAAGTAAATTAGGTGACGGGGGTGGCTGAGATGCACTGCCCCACTCAAACTTGAAGCATAGTTCTGACATTCGGGTGGATCTCCACAGGGTTTCTCACCACGTTCACTATGCTGGCCCGTGACCGCTTATCCCTCAAGCAAATGTCGTGGATGCTCGTCAAGGTGTTCTTCGGGTATGTGTGCTGACCACCAGGCTTGGTGATGAATGAGTCTTGAAGCTAACCATGTGAGGCAGATCGGGCTCTCTTGGTTTAGTAGGGTTCCTCCCGTCTTCGAGTCTTGGCTTTGTGGTGACTGACGGTGGCTGAATTGATTGGATAATAGGATAGTGCATCGGATGTAAGTGGCATGCAGAAGCGGCGGTGGTACAGCGCTAGACATGGCATCCCGGAGGATTGGCAAAATGGTTGGCTGTCGCGTTTAGTTGACTGACGCGCTAATGTGGTTTAGATCTCCCCGATCTTCGGCTATGGCTTGATGTAAGTTCCTGGATGATTAGACTGCGCCCAGAACAGCAGGAGGAAGAGTCCCGCATGCACGATCGATCACGTTTCGCCTCAGGCGAAGTGACGCCGACCTGCATTAGCCGATTCCTCCTCTCCTCGTCTTCTTTATTTTTTGCGGGTCCGTAACGGCGTCTGCCTGCGACTACAGCCCCGCAATTATTTCCACGCTCCCTGCAGTGATCGGCGTCCGCCTCGCCCCAAGAAGTATGGCTAACAAGAAGGTTAACAGGATGATTTTCGTCGCTATGACCAACATCTTGCTCCTCTCTTCGCTGATTAGTTTGATGAGCATGAGTCTAGAAGGAGTGGGTTTTGGCTTATTGGTTTCCATGCTGAATCGTTTACTGATCCTTTTTTGGGCCATTCTTCTAGGTGATGCGACACGCCCGTGAGGAATACCTGTTCCAGTGAGTAAACTCCCTTTCAAGAGCATGATCACCAGCTCTTAGAAGAAGAAAAAAAAAAAAAAGAACACAAAGACCTCCCAGTAACGATGAATCATTTTAGGTTGTCCGTCTACGTCTTGGAGAGCAGTAATTCCCGGCGTCTGACGTATTTCATGCCGCCCCTGGTCAGTTAGCGCCCAAACTTCCTTTGCAACAGTGTCAAAGGACTTGCGGAACGGATGTTCTGTCTCTATCGTAGAATGTCTCACAAGCTGACACACTCACAGAATCTAATTCCCCTCCTCTGCATCCGCCCTATGCGACTTTTTCTATCGGCGGGGTCCGTTCGTCGAGTCCGCATTATGCTGCTTCGGGCAACCCACTTGCCATTTGTCATGATGATATGGGCTTATGAATCTAGCCGAAGACAACTCCATCGGCCGACTACCCGCCTCCCCCCAGTCTCCACGGCACGAGCTCATGGTACTTTGGGCGGCGAACCGAGTGTCTCGAGATCCCAGGATCCACTCCACTCCCCTATCACTGAAACTCGGCGAATGGATCATCCTCAGCATCGGCAAATCAGCGTTGACATGCATGATTCGCGCGAAGCAACAATGGCGCGGGCCGAAAAGGCACAGATGGCGGAGATCCTGAACGTTGTGGATCAACTTCGAGAGCAGGTGGAGCGCGTAACGACTGGGCTTTCCGCGCAGAAAGGGGGCTGAAAGAATTCAAGGGCACCTTTGCTGCTAATTCTTCAAGCTGCAAGCGAAAAAAAAAAAAAAAAAAAGGGAACGAGAGGTTCGTGATTCTTGGAGTTGGGGGCCACCGGTCAGCAGCAGCCCCTAACTAGCTTTAAGCTCTTAACTCCACGCACTGGCCCCCCGGGACAAACGCCATAGATGACAAACCAAGCCTGCGAGGGGGCGATGGGATGGGGCCATCCCATACTTGCAAGGTTATTTTTTCTCTTTTCCAAATTGGTATTTCGTCTTGTCTCGTTAATAACTGCTGAAGGCTGTCCGCGAGGCACCTTTGAGAATCGGAGAAAGTGTTGCCTTTGCCTATGAGCACACGCTACATAGACGAATCTAGAAAGGGTACCAACGACCTGTGGGGCTTTGCTGTATAACTTCCAGGTACCAACGGTAGGGATACAACATAGTACGGAACAAATTGGCTCGGATTCTCGAGGGTGTAGCAATAGGGGTTACGATGATGGACTTGAGATCAATCTTGTTTGCAGATATGATGACTCGGGAGAGACGCGGCTGAGTATACTATAGTGGCAAGCCAACACTGTCACTCACATGGTGACACACCCATGCACCTTCTCAAGCCAGGAGCCAAAATCTCGGGTTCTGACTCCTTTCCTGTTTGGCCAGTTGACCTGCATGGTAGCCCAAGCTGTTGGACAACCCATCCCAGCGGTGACCAAATGAATGGTTAGCCTTTTCCGAGATTCCAGGCCACAGCCGCCGTTGTATAGGCATCAGCCCTCGTGGAGTGCTACTGCTTTCGAGTCTTGTGCAAGTGACGTGAACTATCTGCGCAGTTCTAGTACACTGAAGGAGCCTTCTGCCTAATAACTTCCACTATTTTGCGCCCAGCGCGCGGGAGTATCCGTTGTGGCTCCCCCTGTTGCCTCTATATTGCGCTGCTCGGCAGCCAGACGAGAGGACTCTGAAGAGGGGGCTAAGATTGGCCCGGAAAACGAACGCGACCTATCAATGACATGTTAGTTTTCTGTAATTTTGAGGCTAACAAAGTGGTAAGTATGTAATCACTGTGATCTTAGCGCTAGGCATCTGGGGCAATGGAGCCTGGACTATGCGGACTGGGGCAAGCCTTCGATCTGGCTTTCGGACAATCCCCAGCCGTTAGTCTTCCTCAAACTCCCCCCACCCGATGTTTCCACCGCATTTGCAGGTTCCTTTTCCCCCAGTCCTTTTTCTTTCTGAAAATCTGCCTTGTCTGGTGAAGCAGTCAAGTCAATCGGTTTCTTCACGCCTACGGTCTCGATGCGGCACCGACTTTTGTCTCCAAATGACACTGTGCTCGTTCTTCACCCCTCAGCCACCTTTCATGTATGCAGCTACTTATCACCAACAGCGATAGCTGTTGATTTACAACTCCTTATATATAATTGGCACCGCTGCCATCTTTCTTGATCCTTCAGGATTGAAGACTCGGTCTGGTTGGCTTTGATCTATTCGGAGATTCTCAGCTTTGGCCCTTTTGGCACCCTGCTACTTGTTGGCCCTTTCAGCAACAAGGCAATATGGACCGAACATCTCGTCAGTCATCATCTATGGCTTCATTCAACCCAGTAGCGGCCTACGCCTCGCCGGTGTCAGCAACAGCATCCCAGGGGCCGGGATTCCCGGCGACTGTTGGGCTTGGTATATCTGGGCTGGAAGCTTCCTATGATCCTATGACGGGTTACTCCAGTCAGTTTCCTTTTTCCACAAACTGCGTCACTCCGAATAACCTCACATTGAACGAGTGTTTCTACAATCTGCCGTTAGAGGCCGACGACTTTTGTGGAAGGTCGTGCTACGAGATCTACAATGGCATTCCGGATCCTTCGCAATCCTCGCTCGGTTTCTACGACACTCAGCCAACGAGCATAGCCCACGGCTACGAGCCTGGAATGGAGATTGGGGTCGGTTATGACATGTCTCCAAGACAAATGACTGGGATGCCAGGTCCCTGGCCGAATACGCCACTTTCAGCACCCCCGTCACCGCTACAGTCCATACCTACTGCAGTAGCTCAGACGATAGAGAGCCAGTGGAATTTTGGGATCTATCCGCAGTCAAATACTCCTATTCATTCGCAGGCTTCATCACATCATATTGCGCTCCATCCACCCATTCCACTTGTAAGCCAGTGCGATCCAAGTAGGTCCACAAGTGCCATGCCAGCCGTTCCCTTCTCTCAAGTTGCCTCCACCAGTGACACTACAGCCGACGCTATATCCAAGACAACTAAGCGAGGGAGGAAACCATCCGCAGAGAAGGGCGGCAAATGCCCTGTGTGCGGCCTCTACTTTACCCGGCGCTCGAACTGCGTCGCACACCAGAAGAAGCACGACCCCACTTTCCATCGGGCAATACCTTGTCATGAATGTAGCAAGTCATTTGGGCGGAACTCAGATCTCCGGAGACATATTGATACTGTGAGTGGGGACTTTGGGAAAGCGTGGACGAGTCCGGAGCTCATCGCCTTCCGTTAGGTTCACCGTGGGATTCGCAAGCACGTCTGCAAATGGTGCTCTCGCCGTTACACTCGGTGGGAAAATATGGCTAAGTCAGTGATGCCCAAATAGAACTGTGCACTTGTGTCATTATATCATAGACCAGATACTGACAAGCATCTCTCGTGCTAGACATTTTGCTGAATGTGAGGAGCGGCCGGAGAACGAGAGGACGCCACCACCCCCTCATCGTTTGTCTCGAGATCCCGAACGCTGTTCTATCAGTCCTCCTAGGCTGCAGAACTAGTGAGCCAGCTATCAGTGACTTAGCCCAAGCTGTCGCTGAAGCCGGGGAGTGGCGTATGCTCCTGGAAGATAGATGGGTCTGCTAGATAAAGTCTTTCGAAGGATAAGACAAAGCGTCTTATTTTTCTTTCGATGCAAAATCTGGCAGCCCACGCGATTGTGTATTTGAAGGTTATCGCATCAGGCATCGCATTCGGGACATATCCGATTTACTTTGGCGTTTGAATGGTCGGATTTGGTTTTCTTTGCACATTTTTGCATCTACATTGTTTTTAGAAAGGGGGAAGAACCTTTGCTCCTTATGTAGATCTATCCTTGTTTGTCAATTCTCATCCATGCTTTGCCTGGTCTATTTGCATTTAGAACCCACCGAATGTTGATTTGTTGGCCGCATTGTCTCCTGCTACTTTTGGCGTCATTTCGTGCAGGTGGGCTCGGATACGCGCGCGCGGTAAAGAGCTCGGAGCGGATCCTCCTCGTTGCAGTCTAAGCCTGGCTACTAACTTGTCCACTTGTTAGCTCACAACTCCACTGAATCTCCACTTCCCAAATTCCACGCGAGAGCGAGCGGGGACCCTAAATGGATTCACAACGTCTCTCGCAGGGCCCTCGAGGGCACGCAACCATTCATGAGTTAGCGAGACCCCATGTCTCGTGAACCAGCAACGTCCAGGTATACATCGGCCGCGAGTTTGGGAATACATTTCGTGATGCAAACACGCAATATTCCCTCCACATCTGTGATCATTCTGAGGTCAAGTCTCCTCTACTCCTTGTTCTCCGTAGGATATCCACCAAATACAGTTGCACCGCGGTCTCAGACGGAAAATTATCAGGGGTCTAACCAGGTCTAGATCCTAGCAGCGCTCCACTCCGCAAAGCCATATCACACGCTAACGATGGGGCGACGGATCTTCGAGGCAGACCGGTCGATGATCGACGCTCACGGAAATGCAATTCAGAGCTCATGCCTGTGTTCTCCAATTGATCGGCCCCATTTTGCTCGTTCGCCGCACGATATCCCGGACAAAGCGCCTGCCCCAAGCTCCCTCCCCCAGTAAGCTTAGCTCGCTCCGAGGTGCGGAATACGCAGGTCTGCCAATCGATACGAGAAGAATCACTGCACCGCAATGGTGCAGTGGTGTGTGGGAAATTGCTGCGCATGTTACCTTTGCCTATACCGGCAACAGTATTTCGTACCTTTGCGCGATTTTCAGTGAGGCAAAGATTGAGAGTCACACTTTCCGTGTGGGTCTACTTTCCCCGTACGCTATAGCTTCGCTCCTCGGGGTCAATGCTTGGGGAAAATCCATATTCCAGGGAGCGGATATATTTACTGTGTAGCTCCGGTGATTCTCCAACCTCTTGATCGACAGTCGAGAGCGAGCCAGACGATTAATGGTCGTTTCTTGGGGGTCCGCGACGTAGGACGAAAGCCACAGACAGAGCTTTAGTCTCCTATTTCCGGATGGCTCCGTGAGCATAGAATCCCTGATCGGGCGGATGTAACTGAACACTCAATGGGGAAAAGGGGAAGATATCACAGGCGCGCTAGGAGCGTGGTGGAGAATAATTTCCAAATCATCAAATCATCGGTTATGAGCATGAATTATCGTTCTTACTATATGCAGCAATTAATACCGTCACAAATTCACTGATGAAGCTGCGGTATCAGCCGTTCCTACACCCTTCTCTTCTTGTTTGAAATGCGTGGAAATGAAGAGATAAGAGCTGCAAACCTGGGCGAAGATGAACTTATATTGAGCTTGAAGATAGTGAAACGATTTTTATTGATGCAATAATACCCTACCCAGAGGGCTATTATGAGGATTCCTCCTGTTAGGCGTCGATTTACGGGATGACGCGAAACTGTAAGTTTTGAAGATAAATTTGCTGCAATTTGTATTTTTTTCCATAGTAAACTCTACCTGTGCTACAGTATAAAAGTTAGATAAAGAACTCGTCACTTCTATGCTTCCGAAACACCGCAAAGATGTTAGAACAGGATAAACGGCAAAATCACCACTTCAATCCTACACATGTGATCAAAATGCACCTTCAGATCACTAGAAAGGCCTATTCTTTTAGCCCCAATGATAGTAAAATTCTAAATCAAACAAGACTATTATCCTAGTGCACGTTTTAATACTTAGACCCAGTACAGTTTCGCGGGCCGACGGAAAACGGAGTCAAAGCCTCCTTCAGCTCATGGCGGTCGACGCATAACCACCGCTCCGGAGCATAGCTATCCAGATTTTCTGAATGCTTGTGGATCGCGGTGAATTTTCAGATTTTGTGTCGCAATGTTGTCTAGCCGTAAATCAATTGAAGTTATTATCTGCGCGAAAACGAAACAGCTTACACCGCCAGGGACATCACTACCGTCTAGTGTGGTATCTGTCACAGCTATTTTTGGGAGTACCATAATAGTTACAGTGTACAAAGGAAAGGCCTCGTTTAGAACAGCCTGCAGATATATTAACTGGTTGCATATCTGCCTCATAAATTAGAGTAGCCCCTTCGTGGTTAATTCTCATCTACGCACTACAGAATCTGGAACGCTGCTACCTTCAAGAAATGTAAGGTCCAATTTATTCTGGTACTTTTTGACGTCAGGCCGTGGTAAACCAGCCCACAGAAGATAGAAGGTTGATTCTGTGGCTCGGCCGCTACCAAAAGTGTTCTTTCAAGCCTTGACTTCAGATTAAAATTGGATTCGGAGGACATACATTCCCCTCATACACTCTTCCGCCAGCTCGGAGTCTGTGAGAGAGCGAAAGAGATACCCATCTTGACTGCGTAAAACTTTGCTAAGGAATGGGGTGTAAGTCCCATTCTCCCGGCAAGACTTGAAAATTTTAAATGCGAACTTCATTCCAAGTTAATTAAGGGATTGGCTGTGAATGCGATTCTCAGAAGGTTGTATTTAGGTCACCATCTTTACTTTTGTACATCTCGGACATAAGTCCCTATTCTACCAAGAATATATAGACCATAGCGCTCAAGTGATGGGATGAGTTCTTCTTAAATAGAGATAGTTAATGTTCTCCTCTCTTTAAGTATATCCGTGCCAGACAAAAATCACTGACAGATATGCATGTGGGACGCCAGTGTCGATGCCGAACATTGGGTTTTCGCGAAAAAGACCTTGTTAGCATGTCGCAAATACGAAACATGCTAGCATAGGTTTTTTTTTTGGCTAGGTAATGCAAGTCAGAGCTTCTGAGGCTGGTACGTGTCCACTGGGGTAACAGAGGTGGAGTCAGACAGATTGTCACCCGTTTCCTGCGCCTGGCTGTTGCTGGCCCTAAAAGAAGATGTTAGGAAATTGACCCATAAAAGGATTGGTCTGGAATGTTCGATGAACATACTTTTCCCGCCTGCTCTCCTTATGAGCCAGATTCCGGATAACAAATGTTGTGATGATCAACAAGAGGGATAAACAGGACACTGTGATAAATCCTTTTCGATATTCTGGTGCTTCGACTTGTTGCCACACGATGAGTGGAAGCCATGCTTGGAGGACATATGCCATCTCGTTCATACTGCCTATCACAAGCGCTCGCTCCTCATTATCCTTGGAGCATATCTCATGCGCCCAGCTGTATTTGGTTTATTAGATCCAGCAGTTGGGTTAATTATAAGATGAGGACTTACGCCATGCATAGACCGCTGAGACCATATCCTGCCCCAGAAATGATATAGCAAGTCCACTTCCATCCGATTGGAATGTCCCATACAGCTAGCGAGACATAGCTTATAATGTTCACTACCTAAAAAAGCTGTCAATCTAGGTGGATCATACCGAAAAGAAAGACACTGGTGGACTTACAGCACCAAATATTATGGGAGGCCAGCGACGGCCATTCAAAAATGTGTCTGAAGACCCTGTGATGGGTGAGTTTACGCCAAATCGTTTATGGTAGCCCGTTTGGTTTTCACTCACAAGCATAAGCAAGCGTTGTCACAACCTGTACTGCGTTGGTTGTCGTCGGGTATGCGTTGATCTGATCCACAGAGTATTTGGGATTCGTTGAGTGTTTGAGATATCTTTCTATGAGTCAGATGAAGGTTGTTGAATCGGAGTGCTTCATATGTAACGTACTGTTGGAAGACAGGCTGGCCACCGGCACCACCATTGTTGAAGAGTCTTAAGACCGGAGTTAGCGAGGCTTGCAAGAACCGGGAATTTTAGCACGCACACATATAGCAATGTCAAAAGATAGATGTGCCAAGAAGAGAAGATTTTCTTCAGTTTTGCTTTTGTGAAAGGGCCTCGATTTTGCCGACCCTCAAGCTGCATTCGTTTTTGTGATAATGCCACTTCCTAGTATTTGATAAGGGTCAAAAATATTCAATAAATGGCGAGGGGATGTTGCCGAACAAACAAACCTCCTTGGTAAGGTACCATGGGTTCGAAATCTCCGGAACATCAGGTAATACAAAAAATCCGGCGATTGCAACTGGAAGAGAGATAACCCCGTCGATCACGAAAAGCCTGGCGGATATGGTCAGAACATTTTTTTTCGAGGGGATATTAGGCGGTATTTCCTTACCATTGCCACCCTTTGAAGCCCCCTCTGCCACCCAGATGATACACGCCTTCCATGAGATAACCAGAGAACATACTAGCAATACCACTGCTGGTATGGAAAATGCAAGATCGTTTGGCGAGCTCATCCCGTCGATACCATGAACCGATAATGTACTGCATTCCGGGGTAGAAGGTACTTTCCGCCAGACCTTTGAGCAAGGGACATTAGTATGGAAAGGGACAATGGAAAGATCCGTGCGCTCACCAATGAAGAATCTCAAAACATAGAATTGAGTGGCAGTATTGCACCTGGACAGCGAAAAAGTAAGGACTGTCCATAGGAGCTAGAAGATTTTAGTAAGAAGATCTTGATGCGTCACTTTTTATAACACTACCTCCGCGGCCGGTATCCAGTATCTTGGTCTCACTCGTGTCAACAAAATGTTGCTTGGGATCTCGCCAATGACGTATCCGACTGTCCAGCATGCTTGCATATAATTCAACTGATTGCCGTACAGGCCCAGGTCCTCCTTCCTACAGGATAGACACTGTTAGCCAGGTCCAGTGCCAAAGGAGCTGGTGGGGTTTAACGTACATCCCAGATACGAAGGCATTATTGATATTAATTTGGTCAAGGTATTTGATGAAATAACCTAATTCATAAAGAGTCAGCCATGTTTGTAAGCCAAGGCGGATGTTTCAACAATATGAATAACTGACCCAGAGACGCAAAAGTCAAAATCGCAGTATCTAACTTGAATAGCAGCCGACGTTCCTCGGGCGACTTATCGAAGGTATCCCAGATATAACTGGTCCATTTGCGCTTTGGGACTTCTTGAACATTGGGTAGTGAGTCGGCGGCTACAGTTTCGTCTGCGTGAGAGGCGACTGCCATCTTATCGGAGCCAAAGGCGCTGAGGTATGCTCAAGCTACGAGTAAAATTTGATATTATTTGGAACCTTTTATAAGGGGCTACACACAGAAACCTCGCGCTTCATCACTAAGAGTGGAGTATGCTGCAGCTTTCAAAGTACGGCAGTCTCTACTCCGTAGAGCTTGAGCAGATGCCGAAACTCCAACCAGCCAAGTACATTAATATCTGTTGCGTGATGCTAGGATTCTATGAGCAATCTGCCGAAACAGAATAGATTTATGTTGTGCTGGATCTGCAGAAACTGATGTCTGACCATCAACCCCATGGAGGGAATAGTGTTAGTTTGTGGCAGTCGAATTACCGGAGGGTTTCTTCGCGCAATTTCTGCAAGGATGGAGAAAGGCCACTGACGGACTGGATCCGAGCCTGTTATCTCCTGGGGTGTGGGGACCTACCAGAGGGCAAGAATAATCACCCGCGCTACGGAGCTCGTCATCAAGTCCGCGGATGATGTTTCCAGGTGTACTCAACGCTGCCCCTCACAGAGGAAAAATTTGTGCACCCAAAATATGTAGTTCCAGACCACAGAACCTCATAGGTACTAATAGATAAGTTAGGAAATGAATGAATTAGTTCTGCGAATCTTAGCGAAAATCTAGACTGCCCCGAGATTTCATGATTAGGGTTGCAGATTGAAAAGTATGTATATCGAATGCGGTTACTTTTGTAGACTCAAGGAACTAATTTGTGCTGTATGTGATCCATGTCTGGAGATGCGATTGAATTGAATTTGGTACTGGAAATATCTTCTCTCAAGACCAAGATTATGCCAAGACCTCGACTTCTTGTAGAGGTTCAGCAGTGTTACCGAATGGTATAGCACCTTGGAAAAGCAAAGCAAGTCTTTCATTAAGGGCCTTCTTTCCCTCTAACCAGGAATCCGTGTGGCCCTCAATCAAAGGCAGTTCTTGTTTTGACCGACTCGTATTCACCCATTCGATGATCTGCCTGACGTATGCTTCTTCCTCACCTTTGAGGGAATGGAAACTCCTTCCATATCCTTTCAGATCCACTCGTTGCTGATATTCTGTTCTCAGGGCCTCAACAGAAGGAAGCTGAGCAATTCCAGAGAACAAAGCTGCGATGGCAATTGCTTGGAACTCAAAGAGAGTGAATGTAGCCGTATAGAACGAGACGCCCACAAATGCCAAGGTCGGATCAGGGATATAGAATATGTCTTGATGCAAATTGTGAAACTGCTGACCATTGGTCACGATAGTGGTTTCACTGAGCTCATTCTGGTTGTAGTCTGGAAGGAACGGGACGACCATCTGGTAGCCCGTGCAAAGCACGATTATATCGATGTGATCCACAGTTTCACCAGACTTTAGACGCAAGGTAACGGGGAGATGCTCCGGCTTCGCCTCCGAAGAGGTAATCTCGACTGCTGCAACTTCTCCAATTCGAGTTGTATTACTAGGAAGCGCAATCTCTGGGATATCAAAGGCGCCATTCCTGGTACTCTGATATATTTTGTGCGCGACGGGACTGATTTCTCGTGCTATGTCTGCAGAGGATACTCCTCCTCCAATTAGAAGGACGTTCTAGAATCATATTAGCCAAGGATCAATCCGAGAACTGTTCAAGAGCTTATGCCATACCTTCCCTTCAAACCCTGTCGAATTCCGGAATGACTTGGAGTGGGTGATCCGTGAAGGCCATTTCTCCTTTGCTTCGGCCAACCCTTCAATGTTTGGGATCAAAGGCGTGTGATAATGACCAGAAGCAACTACAACTGCATCAAAAGTCTACTTTCATTATTAGCAGTTTCTCAGCCAGAATTCTTACCATTGATAACCTTACCGCCGAATTTTGACGTTCGACTAAGTCTTTGGACGTCGAATCTTCATGCAGCGTGCTCCATGACACATGCCATCGTGTCCCTTCTTTGTGGACATTGGTGACTTGAGCCCCATAGATTGTCGCATTGTCAACACCTGCCTTCTTTGATGTATCTTGGATGTAATCCTTCAGAACGTTGTGCCTGACGTATGGGGGTGTTCCTTGGGGCCAGGCGTTCAGTTTGGTTCGCAGTAACGAAGTCGGAACATTATTGACGAGGCCATCGTAACATGGCCTTGGGAGCAGTTAGATTGAGAGCCGCGAAACGAAAATTTATCACGACGGAAACTTACCCTGGCGGAGCATGAATTAACTTCTGCTTCTCCTTTTCGTCCCGTTCATCTTTACCGTGCTTCTCGATGTCGGCTGGTTTGACGCATGGGTAATGAAGCTCAACCGGCACTCGCTTGTCGTGTAGCCTGGAATATTATTAAGAAATTTCTTCATACAATAGTAGATACTGAAGTCTTACCACACCCCTCCCGCAGCTTGGCTTCTTTCAAACACCGTGACATCTAGTCCGGCTGCGAGAAGATGGCCAGCACTCACCACGCCACTAATACCGGCCCCAATAACCGCAACCCGTCTAATTTTATAGTCGGTCATAATCTTGCCAGCCTTTGCAGTCCAAGGAAGAGAGAATAGCTAGATTTGATCTGAATTGGCTTCAACGTTACATTATTTAAGTTGTGATCCTCGCCCTTAATCGCAAATAGCTCGGCAGTTGTCCAAATGAAGTGTTTTTGGCTTGAATTTCGTCATTTCGGCTAGCGCGTGTCGCGTGGAAGTGTGGCCAAACACGACGGGAATAGGCTTAGTTTTATCTATCGGATCGGGCTCAAGGCATTATTTTGAATGATTAGAAATAGACAACATACGACCGGCGTGATTTCCATCGCCGATGAGGAGATGGGAATCTTCTCCACCCTTAGTGATACGGCCCATTCTGATCATACATTGGGGCAGAGTCGTGTCAATGAGAACGAATAGACTCATTCTATTGGATTAAAGTGAGGGGTAGACGATCCAAAAGTCCTGAACAGACAACAAAAGATGCCATCAAGAACAATTCCTGATTTGAGTTGTTCCATCTCGGCCACTCAAGACGGACGAGTTATACGGAAGGCGTGATGCGCCCGCTTGATGAGGTGCTTGGAGTGACACCCTCGGCAAACTCCGGCATGTTGGTATATACTGGGATCTAGACGAATGTTGCTGGTATATATAGTCTTAGAAACCAAGCATACTAATTCTGTTGTTAAACACCTAGCGTTACGATAGAGCACAGTATTCAACTTTGACTTGAAAAACAAACATGGCTCCCGTTGCCATCGACCCTCGCATTGTAGACGTTGCAGTGCCCAAAAGGGACACCCTTGGTCTTCCGGAATCTGCAAAAGCTCGCCTTGAAAAGTCAGGAATTGATCTGAGCGAGGGATATCCCTATAGGCCGTCGCGCCCTCTTTACCTTGACGATGTCTACAAGATCAGAAATGAGGATCGCCCCCATGTAGACCCTGGCACTCGTGCCGATCCCGCAAAAAAAGCACTTCTCTCTGCGGCAAAGGAAGTGATCCATCTAACAAATCATATTGGTACGGAGATTGTCGGTCTTCAACTCAAGGACCTGACAGATCAGCAAAAGGATGAGCTTGGTCTACTCATCGCCGAGCGAAGCGTTGTCTTCTTCCGGGACCAGGATATTTCTCCGCAACAACAGAAGTCCCTTGGAGAGTATTTTGGCGAGGTTGAAGTTCATGTATGATTTCCACCATGGGAAACCCAGATACTGATGAGGATAGCTGACATGAGCATCTTTTTCTCATTCAAATAGCCACAAGTACCCCAGGTTCCGGGCGTTCCTGGAGTGAGTGTAATTTGGCCTGCCCTTCAAGCAACCGAAAACCCAGCCAGCTTTCGCCGGCCAGGAGGAGCATCCCGGTGGCATACCGATCTCGTACATGAGAGACAGCCTGCTGGAGTGACACATCTTCATAATGATACCGTCCCGACAATTGGAGGAGATACCCTTTGGGCTAGCGGGTACGCTGCCTACGAGAAGCTCTCGCCCGCTTTCCGCAAGATTATTGATGGCAAAACCGCCATCTACCGCTCTGCTCACCCTTATCTCGACCGTGAGAATCCCGAAGCCGGGCCACAGTATGTTGAGCGCGAACATCCTCTCGTACGTGTCCACCCGGCTACGGGATGGAAGGCACTTTGGGTGAACCGAGCTATGACCAGCCGGATTATCGGTCTGGATAAGGCAGAAAGCGACTTGATTCTGGGGTACTTGTACGATGTCTATGAGAAGAATCCCGACATTCAAGTGCGTTTCAAATGGAGCCCACGGACTAGTGCCCTGTGGGATAACCGGTATGTGATACTTCCCATCCCGTAACTTCTGGTCCAAAAGCTCATTCTTCCACAGAATCACGATTCATAACGCGAGCTGGGATTACGAGGGATCGCAGCCCCGACATGGAACTCGGGTGACTTCCTTGGCAGAGAAGCCGGTGTTTGACGCGAATGCGCCGACTCGACGAGAGGCATTGGGGTTGCTGGGGTCCGAAGAAATTGAGGAGCTTCGGAAATTTAGCCAGCTACAGGTTAAATAAGCCTCTCCCGAGAGCTTTACCATATATACGTCAGGCTTGCAAATGAATCCTACGACTTTTTTTCTGCATTGTTACACAATCAATCTGAGTCTAATACGTGCACTGACCTTCCGTAGAAGGCCTGGGGATATACATACCGTTCACATGGCCTCGGACTTTGTGAATTGAAGAAAAAACATCTAAATCCGAAAAGCTCATGGATTGCTGAGTGGCTGGAGCAAGGACCCAATCTGCCGAAACATACCGCCTTGGGGTACACGGCCACCGCCCGCATTTCTTCTCTCCGAGGGGAACGAGTAGTTCGACACAACAGTAAGACTGAAAAGCATATCCAAGATGAGTGCTACGATGACAGTGACCGCTCCGGTGGAGATCACGGCAGACAATGTCGCCACTATCTTCCCCGACGTCGACACCTCTCTTGCCCGGGATATCCTTCCCTCCAGCATTGGCAACGGAGCCGCTCAGAGCTCAGAGCTCGTGGGATACGATGAGGAACAGGTTCGATTGATGGAGGAGGTTTGCATTGTTACAGACAATGATGACCGTCCGATTGGCAGTGCTAGCAAGAAGACTTGTAAGTGCCTATGCATGAAACTACTCTTTCCCTCGAATTTACCCCTCCTGGAATGGGATTAAAGGAGGAATTACCCCGCTAGATCAAAAGCGCATTGCTAACCACCGTCCTCCTGTCTTCTTGATGGTATAGGCCACTTGATGACCAACATTGACAAGGGTCTTCTCCACCGTGCCTTCTCCGTCTTCCTCTTTGACTCCAAGAACCGCCTCCTGCTCCAGCAACGCGCCACCGAGAAGATTACCTTCCCTGATATGTGGACCAACACCTGCTGCTCGCACCCGCTGGGTATCCCCGGTGAGACTGGTGCCGAGCTCGACGCGGCTGTCATGGGTGTGAAGCGTGCGGCGCAGCGCAAGTTAGACCACGAACTGGGTATCAAGGCAGAGCAAGTGCCACTGGACAAGTTCGAGTTCTTTACTCGCATCCACTACAAGGCTCCCAGTGATGGCAAGTGGGGAGAGCACGAGGGTATGTGGCGGACAGACGCGCGGATTCAAATGACCCCGGCTTTGGTTTGAACTACTTTTACTAATACCCTGCTTTGTAGTGGACTACATTCTTTTCATCCAGGCGGATGTCGACCTGGAGCCCAGCCCCAATGAGGTGCGGGACACCAAGTACGTCTCGGCGGATGAGCTGAAGGCCATGTTCGAGCAGCCTGGTCTCAAGTTCACCCCCTGGTTCAAGCTGATCTGCAACTCGATGCTGTTCGAGTGGTGGAGCCACCTGGGCACCCCCGCCCTGGACAAGTACAAGGGCGAGACTCAAATCCGCCGGATGTAAGATACGTTGGAAATACTGGGGTCTTTTTGGCCTTTTCGAACATATCTTCCCGTTGAAATCATCATCCTTTCTCGTTGGCCATCACAATGCATTCCCCCCCACTGATACCTTTTGTCTCGTTTCCCACCTGCGCCATTGTACCTTCGTGCATACTATTGCCTATATAATCTACAAGATTTCGGAGATTTTCAAAATGAACTGAGAATTATAACATCATTAATTCATAGTCTTGATAGACACTCAATTAGACAACTTAGTTATCGTAAGATTGGTGGGCCACCGAGAAAGCTAAACGCCCCGGATGGATATAATGCAATGCAACGCGTTGACGATCCGACGCCGGAATAGAAGCAGACGAAAGCTGACAGGAAACATTACGACTGGCGACTAGTCGATAGAAACAAGATGCAGCTCCCCAGAATGACCGTCCCAATGACGGTCATCACGACCTGGGTCTTCCAGCCACTCTGAACCAGTGCGGCCTTTCGGCTGTATTTCCTGACCGTACGGGCGTAGTTGAAAAACCCATTCGCCAGACACGTCAGACTCAACAGCCAGAAGATGATACCGAGCGGTAGGGCCATACGCCGCTCCAGACCCGAGGGCTTCTCTCGAAAATGGAAGGAAATGATGATGGCTAGCGAGACAATGGACAAGTACATGGACAGGCGTAGCCAGGAGAGGAATGTGCGCTCATTGGCGCAGTGGTCGCGAGCATCGGAAGTGGTATTCTCGAAAAGCAGAGCACCTAGTAAAGGGCGGGAAAAGAGGATGTGATGTTGATCTTCGACATGTCTAGAAGCCCGTTAGACGAAAGACTGGTACTTGTGATACAGGAGGAATGCGGGGAGGTCTAGCCAGGCCACATGCCCGATGGATTGCCGATGGAATCACACCGGATCCTGCCTAGGGAATGTGCCAACAACCTTAAAAGCTAAAAGGCCTGACATATTTGGATCAAGGCGAGGAAAAGACCAAGCAAACACCAATAAAGAAACGGAAAAAGAAAAATGGAAAATAAAAAAACCGTTCGTGGGCGGTAGCGTGCATGATTTCGCATTGAAGTTTGGACTTACTCTTCGACCAAGGCCGGCCTTGAATGGGTCGGGTTGATGAGCGGGTTATAGCGGCGTGGCCTGCACGAGACCACACTGGTCGTGACGGATTGCGCCATGCTATCTGACAGGGTGCAAGGGCTGGACCAGATATATTTTGAACATCCCACAGAAGACCCTAATCTCGAAACATGTAGATCTGGAAATCTGGATCGACTGGGTCGGTTGGAGAAAGCGGGCCCCGGTCAGGCACATCTTGATAGATCACGTGATGAGTAACACTAGACCGGATTCGGGGATGTTCATGTCATGCATCTATACAATTGTCATTCGTCTGCAGCATAGTTATATAAAGCTGGCACCTTAGACCTTTTTGTCATCTTGCCCTTACTTGTCGTATTCTTCGAGAGCTGGTGAGGTCCTACTCATCCTCCCTTGCCTTTGGAAGAATCGGTGAGCAGCACCGCACGGCCAGTGGGGCTTATCGCTTGGGGTTCCACTCCAGCACCGTCGGCTCGTCGAGTCATACGAGCGTTTGACTCACTCGAGGTTTACCCATCATTGGGTGGGGGGTTCATGTCATATCGAATCCTATCTAGACTCAGGTCAATCTTCGAAGAGGAAAGGTGGTCGATTTGTTCACTTCGGGGCATATATCAGAAGCCGATTCGGCAAAGATAGGCCCGTAACGTTGACTAAGTCAATCTTGGAACCTTAGTAAATCAACTACGATCAACCGTCCGCATGGGCATCCCCACTTTTCTTATATTTTTTGCCCGCACGCCTCCAACTTCCGCATTCGCTCCAATCTTTTCCCCGCGTAGCACCCCTACTCTGTCTCCTTCTCTCCATCCTCCTCCGCTGCTCTGCCCCCGGTAGATGATGCAGGCGGTGTTGTAGAAAGTCACCCGCCCCTCTCCATCTCATCGTCATCCGCCATGCCGCCCCGCAATATTCTTTCGGCGGAGTCCGCAGAGCATCACGGCCCGTTTAGCCGGTCTTTCCAATCTAGTTCGCCTATCGCCGAAGCCGTGATTGCTCGCGATCTTGCGCACTATGCCGACGAGGACTCAGCTTCGAGCACCGATGAAGCATCCGAGGCCTCGACGGTTCGTCCAGCGAGCAGACGCCCTTCCAGCACATATGCGGGAACGAATCCGCACTCGCTGGCTGGGTCTTATCGCCGCCCAAGCTACTTCACCAGCGTCAATCATGCGACCGTCCTTCCGTCGCATGGGGACTACCAACCGCTAACGGAAGCTGAGCTTCAACAGGCGATTGCCGAAGAGCGAAGTTTGTTGAGTGATAACCGAGTCATTCCGGCGGAGGAATCGGAAGGATTGCAACGTAAACTGAGCAAAGTCTTCTCAGCTTCATCGGCACAGGGGGGGCCCTCGAAGCAATATGGCACGATTGCGAGCGCCGATGGAGAAACAACCGCACTATTGAGACCAGAGGAAGGTCCTGAACTGGGACCGGAGGAGATTGATCGCAAGTGGGAGGAAGCCGTAACGGCCGGTCTGATTAACACAACGTGGAAGCGGGAAACGGAGGTTATTTTTCGATATTCTGCTCCATTGATGGTCACTTTCTTGCTACAGTACTCGCTCACCGTAGCGAGTATTTTCACGATCGGCCATCTGGGCAAGGAGGAACTGGGTGCCGTCAGTCTCGCTTCCATGACGGTTTCAATCACTGGTAATGCGGTATACTCTGGGTTAGCCACGAGTCTAGATACCCTCTGCGCTCAAGCTTATGGATCGGGTAAGAAGAAGCTCGTCGGTCTACAAATGCTTCGCATGATCTTTTTCCTATTGGTTGTGACTATCCCCATCGCCACCTTGTGGTACTTCTCCGAGCATATTCTAGCCAAGATCGTGCCGGAGAAGCGGGTAGCCGAAATGGCAGGCTTGTACATGAAGGTTGCGCTCTTTGGGCTACCGGGATACGCTTGCTTTGAGAGTGGTAAGCGATACCTGCAGGCCCAGGGTGTCTTTTCTGCTTCTCTATATGTTCTGATTATTTGCGCACCGCTCAATGCGTTCATGAACTGGTTTTTTGTTTGGGTAAGCTCGGTGTATTCGAGACTTGGTATGTCTTCCTGCTAACGTGCCACTCCCAGAAACTGCAATGGGGATTCATCGGTGCTCCTATCGCCGTTGCCATCACCGAGACTCTCCTCCCTATCTGCCTGTTCGCATACATCTATTTCCGTGTTGGCTCGGAATGCTGGTGCGGATTTACGAGACGCGCCTTCGACAACTGGGGCCCCATGATTCGCCTCGCCCTGCCTGGTCTTATCATGGTTGAAGCAGAATGTCTCGCCTTCGAGGTGCTGACCCTTGCATCCAGCTATCTGGGTACATCTGAACTGGCTGCTCAATCCATTCTATCCACCATCTCTAGCATCACTTGGCAGATCCCCTTCCCACTGTCGATTGCTGGCAGTACACGTGTTGCGAATCTGATCGGTGCTTCATTGGCAGGCGCCGCTAAGACGTCAGCCAAGGTGAGCTTCTGCGGAGCTACCATCGTCGGCCTATTCAACATGATTCTTCTATCGAGCCTTCGATCCTCCATCCCCAAGCTCTTCAGTTCCGATCCCGAAGTGATCGCCATCGTCGCGGAGGTTCTTCCTCTGTGCGCCGCTTTCCAGCTCTTCGATGCCCTTGCAGCTAATTGCAACGGTATTCTCCGCGGTCTAGGTCGCCAGGAGATCGGTGGTTATATCCAACTGTTCTGTTACTATGCTATCGCTATGCCCATTAGCATGGGCACAACGTTCTCATTGGGTTGGGGTGTCATGGGTCTCTGGACCGGTGTTGCCATTGCTCTGTTGCTGGTTTCTGCCACCGAAGGTCTCTTCATTAGCCGAATCAGCTGGGAACGATCCGTGGAAGAAGCTCAGCAGCGGAATGAGCTGATCTAAGAGTTTTACTCACAAGAGCTTGGCGGCGATTCTGCGATTTTCATATACACGATGCCACGCTTATGATGGAGAGTTTGGAGATGACCATGTGTCTATATGAGGAACGAGACCCCGTATGAGGGCTAGTGGGGCTGTAGGATTGTACATAGATATGGGCTTCGGATAATGCATGAATAGGGAAGAGATGAATCATGATATCATTTGAATTTGAATTTGCAATATCGCTTCTAATCGAATAAGAGAAGACTGGCTTTTGTGATCATGCAAGCCTGTCAGTCATCGGAGTCTACCTAGTACTCCAGAATGGCCCAGGTCTGCTCATCCGACGTGGAGAAAATCACACCCGCCCCCAGCAGCTCTTCACCAGCACGAGCGACATCCGTGGCTGGAACGTTCATCTTCGCGGCAATCTGCTGCACGTGCAGACCAGTATCATCCTGGGGCTCGGTCCTCAGCACTTGGTACACCTTCTTGGCAAGCGGTGACATGGACATGAGAGCCCGGTTCTGGCCAGCACCATAGTCATCTGCGCCACCCATTACTGCATCACCACCGGCGGCAGTAGCACCCTTAGCACCGGTATTCGCACCTCCAGGGGGACCGCGGGTGAAGAATAGATGGACAACGGTAGCCTCGAGGATGTGACAGTGCAGCTCGTTGATATCCTTCACCGGAAGCACATTGTGCGCACCGATATACCGCTTATTACCAAAGGACTTGATCGCACCAGAGACACGAGCGTAGCCGTTCAGTTCGATCTCGTTCTTGCCGCTCCCGGGAGCCTTGCCTTCGTCTGTGTCCATGCTGTCTGCACTGCCCGAGTCGACCCATTTCTTGACCTCGATCTCACCGGTACCATCATCGATTTTGTATGTGACGTTGGTGCTTTGGGAGCTGATGTTGCGCACCTGGCCGATGAAAAGCACGCTGGCTACATCGGCACCATCGACTTGGTAGTTGGCTTCGGGGAAGGGCTGGGATGCGTCGACGATTTGCTTGACTGTGACGGGGCGAAGGGTCTTGTTATCACGATCACCACCCTGGAAACTGTGTGAGTCAACGGCTCATATATTTATACTCAATTTATTCTCACCTTTCCGCCAGAAGGGCTGTTCATCTCGCCAGGCATGAAGCCACCTCCACCACCTCCGCCGTAGGAGTTGTAGTTGTTGTAGCCTCCGTCTGGGTGAAAAGAGTCAGAGTTTGTGGGAAAAGCGCTTTGTTGGAATAAGGGAACTTACCCATAATGAAAATCTATACTGCGCTTTGTGCAATCGTGAAATCATTTTACTCAATCGGGAGCGTGTTTGGACGCGTCGCGGGGAGATGTTTGCTCTGTTTGCAGCGGGCCATGGTTGATCCGCTGCTCACCGCCTTGCGGATTTCCTCGATTTTTTTTTTCGGCGATAGAGACGGACCTCGAAGCTGATGAACCACCTGCTTGAAGTATTTTTCAGGCGTGGACTTGATTAAGTAAAGTGCTGGCAGATAGCACTATACCCTTGTCCGTTCAAAGTTCTTTCTCGTCTGTCTGTTGATGGACTGAGCTATTAAACGGTAACCATCATTATTTTCGGGCTTTTTGATCGGCGTTATCATATCGAGGCTATTCGTGCTCCCGTCCGCCATCATGCCTCGTCGCGATCGTCGCGAAGCTTCTCCGGCCATGTCGGAGAACGAGTTCGACATCACAAGTGCGCTTTTTCAACATGACAATGATTCCGACGTCGATGTCGACAGTTCTGCCCCCCGATCGAAACCCGATACTAGGCAAGACCTCGATTTTCTCAATTTCGACGACGACGGCGATGCAGCCTTTATTGCGACACAACAGGCTTCGGCGAACCGAAAAGGATCTAATCTGAAGGGTCGTACGGTGAAGAAAGGAGGTGGTTTCCAGGCCATGGGTCTCAGTGCCAACGTGCTCAAGGCCATTGCCCGGAAGGGATTCTCAGTCCCAACCCCCATTCAACGAAAGACAATTCCTGTGATTATGGACGACAAGGACGTTGTCGGTATGGCCCGAACTGGTTCCGGAAAGACTGCGTCATTCGTTATTCCCATGATTGAGAAATTGAAGAGCCATAGCGCCACGTTCGGTGCCCGTGCATTGATCATGTCGCCCTCGCGTGAACTTGCTCTACAGACACTCAAGGTCGTCAAGGAAATGGGACGTGGAACAGATTTGAGATCGGTCTTGCTCGTCGGTGGTGATAGTCTGGAGGATCAATTTGCCATGATGGCCGGCAATCCCGACATCGTGATCGCAACACCCGGTCGATTCTTGCACTTGAAGGTTGAGATGAACCTTGATCTATCGAGTATCCGTTATGTCGTGTTCGATGAGGCTGATCGTCTCTTCGAAATGGGTTTCGCTGCCCAATTGACCGAAATTCTTCACGGCCTTCCGTCCAACCGACAGACACTCCTTTTCTCTGCGACTCTTCCCAAGTCGCTGGTGGAATTCGCGCGCGCCGGTCTACAAGAGCCTAGCCTTGTGCGCTTAGATACCGAGAGCAAGATTTCCCCCGATCTTCAAAATGCTTTCTTTTCCGTCAAGTCGTCCGATAAGGAGGGTGCATTGCTTCATATATTGCATAACGTCATAAAAATGCCCACCGGACCTACTGAAGCTACCCAAAGGTTCAAGGCGGAAAATGAAAACCCCAGGAACAACAAGCGCAAGCGGCCAGCGCACTCTGGACGGTCTATCTACAAGGAGTCGCCCACGGAGCACTCTACCATTGTCTTCGCTGCGACGAAGCACCACGTCGACTATCTTTACTCCCTCTTGGTTGAAGCCGGCTTCGCCACGTCCTACGCCTACGGTAGCCTTGACCAATTGGCAAGAAAAATTCAGGTAGGTGTTTCCCAGTCTTCAAATTATACCATAGCGCAGACACTAACCGTAACATTCATGCAGGTCGAGAATTTTAGGAAGGGAATTTCCAACATCCTCGTTGTCACTGACGTGGCTGCTCGTGGTATCGATATTCCTGTTCTCGCCAACGTGATCAACTACGATTTCCCCTCCCAGCCTAAGATCTTCGTTCATCGTGTTGGCCGTACCGCCCGTGCCGGGCAGAGTGGATGGAGTTACAGTCTGGTCCGCGATGCCGATGCCCCATACCTGCTTGATCTCCAGCTTTTCCTGGCTCGACGCCTGGTGCTGGGCCGTCAATTCGGAACACAGGTCAACTACGCCGAAGATGTGGTTGTCGGTACCCTTGCCCGCGAACCTCTCTCCGAGAACTGCGAATGGGTCAACAAAGTGCTAAGTGAGGTTGCCGATATCGCGTCGCAGCGTCAGGTATCAGTTCGTGGTGAGAAGCTCTACATGCGTACTCGAAATGCCGCATCTTTGGAAAGCGCGAAGCGAGCCAAGAAGGTCACAGCTACCGAGGATTGGTCTACGCTTCACCCCCTGTTCAACGACGATGAGAGCGTTATGGAAGCGGAGCGCGAAAAGATGCTCGCCCGTATCGGCGGCTTCCGGCCATCGGAGACCGTCTTCGAGGTTCAGAACCGACGTGGTGGCAAGCAAGAGGGCGGAGAAGCTATCGAGACCATCAAGCGAATCCGTGCCACAGTGGACAAGAAGAAGCTCCGTGCCCAACACAAGGAACAGTCCGAGCTGGCCGAATTGGGTATTAATGTCAGTCAAGCCGATGGAGACAACGGCAGCGACGAAGATGACGATATCCCTGACGAGGCTGGAGACAACATGTCTGAGGCAGATGAATCTGATTTGGAAGTCACTTTCTCCGCCTATAACCAGAAGGACAAACGAGCCGACAAGTCAGATGGGCCATTGGCAACTTCATTCCAGAATCCTGATTACTTCATGGGATACACGCCGGCAAACCACAATAGCGCGGAAGACCGGGCCTACGGTGTCCACTCTGGTACCAACTCCAACTTCGCGCACGAGTCACGGACTGCGACAATGGATCTGAATGGTGATGAAGGCCAAAAGAACTTTGGCGAGAACCGGTCTATCATGCGTTGGGACAAGCGGCACAAGAAGTATGTCGCCCGCCAGAACGATGAGGATGGTTCGAAGGGTACACGCCTCGTCCGCGGTGAAAGCGGTGCCAAGATTGCCGCCAGTTTCCGCAGTGGCCGATTCCAGAGCTGGAAGAAGGGCAAGCGTATGAGCGGCCTGCCTCGCGTGGGTGAAGCCGAGACGCCCGGTCTCTCGACTGGATCGGGCATGCCTGGCGCGCACGGCCCTGGGGGTCGATTCCGACACCAGAGGCAGCAGGCTCCCAAGCGGGCCGACCCGTTGCGATATGACTATGAAAAACAGAAGAAGAAGAATGAGACTGCTCGGGACCGTCAGCAATCCCAGGCTGGCGGCGCTGCGTCGCACGGAAAGAGTGAGATTCGCTCTACTGAAGATATTCGGAAGGCGCGGAAGCTGCAGCAGAGACGCCGTGAAAAGAACGCGCGCCCTTCGAGAAAGCGTTAAGAAGGGTCAAGAAAGGTCAAGGGAAGGATGGATCGAGTCTTGTATACATAGTTTGGGGAGGGTGCAGTCGTTACTTTGGATGATGTCTGATGTCTATACCTGCCATCTGCATTGGAGATACCACACCAATTATCGTTATCATGAACACAACCATATTCACGGGATTCCTGGGGTCCTTTTGTTTTTTCCTTCCGTACATGTCATGTCCACTTGCACTGTCATATGACCTGCACCTCCCTGGTCCATCCCGTTCCCCGTCGAGCTAATCTACACTAATCTTGAGCTACAGGCCGGCACTAACCAAGCGCAGTATCTGACATGCACGCCATGTGTCAATGCCGAACGGCCACTACTTGTGTCCAGTCTTGAACACGCCAAATTCCCAACTGGCCGGACAATATTGACGGACTATCTTGTCTCGCTCAGTACAAAACATCTGAGGGCCCATTCACAGGGTGATCTCGGTCGCTGACCCCTGGGAAGAACCGTTAACATGAGTGGAATCCTTTGATTCTGATTTCTCCCACGGGACTCTGGCTGCTTGTAGCCAAGTCATCACATCATGCACATGTGAGCCGGATCGTCGACTATCTTTGCGATCAACCTCGGGTTTTTGTTTGACAGGAGATGGGCCCCGTCAACCCCACGAGGCGTTAGTCCCGGAAAATCTCCGTTTCTTGATTTTTCCCGCAAGACTCACTAGCCCCGTCACTATTGACTAGTGGTCGGCGAATTACTCAAAAGGATCCGCGCTGGGAATTTGACAAATCGTGGATGTCCACATCAACGGGACCTTTGTCTCGCGCTAACGCCGCCTTCGAAAGTTGTCCCGCAACGCAATGACCGGCGATCAGCTATCTTCGAACCATGGTCCTTTTGGTCCATTTAGCCTCTCAACATTTAAGTATGAACTAATCACTTTTTTCCGCATGACGGACAAACTGACGGCGTCCTAAACTAACGACTAACGACTCGGCATCTGGCCTGGGATTCGAAATCCAGCCCGCCTAGCTATCTAGGGAAGTAACTGTCCATGACTAAGCCTGAACGGGCAAACTATTACGGACGGGGGGGCCGAGTGGTTCGCACTATTGACTTCCCAGTGGCCGATCGTGCATGAACGGGGTGACAGACCCCTTGCTGCTCCGCGTGCCGCATGTTCCACACAGCTATGCACATTGCACTCTGTTTTTCTCCTCTTCTTACTGCTGCCCCCCTCTCTTGGGAGCTATTCGGACGGCCCAGACCCCCTCCTGGCCAAGGCGAGCCCGTTCCTTCTCAATCGCTGCCCACAACTAGACCTTTGGGCAATTATCCTCCGTACGCAGGTGCCCAATGCCCTATGCCCCCTCGGCAGCACCCGGCAGACTTCCATACACCCCCCCCTCTTCTCGCCCCCTTCTCCCCCAATTCGGCCAATTCGTTTGATTGGCCCCTTTCTACCTGTCATTTACCCAATGGCGTGAGCCGGATTTTCTCTGCAGCTGAGGGGGCAGCAAGATGCCAGGGATGAGCAATGCGCACGCGCTGAAGGATGGTGATCGCCCACCAAGGCTGCTGAGGCTGCAGCCACATCTTGGTGCTCAATGCTGCTAGAGATTCGAGGTCCCCGGAAAATAAAGAATAAAGTCATTCGAAAAACGGGTGGTTGCAAGATCCTGAGGGGAATTCATCCCGTCTTCGGTCCCTCCTTTGCCCTCCCCTCTCGTTCTTCTCGCCCTGATTCCCTTCTTCCCTTCTTCTTCCGTGCACATGTCCGCCCTTTCGTCCGGGTGTGCGAGGTGTGATGGATGGTATCACGACAGGAACCCCACTGAATCGAGGGGACCGGGCTTTGTTATCGGTATTACTTGCCCGTCGCGAATTATTTCCATACCTTGCCGATCGAATCAGGGAGAACGACTGGGCTCGAAGACTCGACAATACGAAGTGCATACAACAAATACAAGACTTGGAGAAAGCCGTGCCTTGCTCTTTCTCTTTCCTATGAGACGCATCCTTCGTACCTTGGTTACGTCTCCTCTCCGACCTTCTTTTCCCCCTCCTCTTTTTCCCAACCTCTCCAACCCCTGACTGCAGCTTTCCGGCCCATGGTTCATGGAAGAACTACGCCTGCCGTGAGACCACTTCTTTTCTCTGACCGGCCGTGAACGAGTCGTCAAATCTACCGTTCGGTCAAGCTTCATTGTAACAGTAACCCCTTCCTGTACGACGCCGCATAAAGACGGAAGATCAGGATCGACTTCGGTCATCCCAAGTGCCCTGGTGGGGCAACCCCCTTATCTCCACTGCGGAGAATAACGACCATGGGATGGGAGGCGTTCGCGACCGCGTTCTGCCCGGCTGGTTTGACATCACTCGGCGCACTTTCTACGAATCGGCTCGACTTTGTACATTCTTGCCTGTTTACCTGATGACATCAAGCGGAAGATTGTAGGAAAGGGAGTATAGTCCCTGCATGAACCCCTCCATCTAATGATGAGCCTCAAGGTCTCGCACCCAGCGCTAAAAAGACCAGGAGAGCTAAGACAAACATCGAAAGCATGCAGGGACACCGAACAAAGTGCCGGTTGATGAAGTTGACCTTCGGTTCTCACCCGGGCGTGTCCCGCCGGCGTGGATGTCGGTGCTGATGCTCCGTCCTGATGCTGGCGCTGGCCCGACCACTGCATTCACTTAGCCTCTGGCCGCTCTCCAAAGCAGCGCACGGTGGAGCCCAAATAAGGTGGGAAACTCAAATAATAAATAATGATCAAAAATCAGGATGGGAAAGAGACTTTAGGACTTGGAAGATCCATAATCGGGGAAACAAATAACATTCAACACCGTAATCATAATACAGATCACTACAGTCAATACGGCGTATAATTAATCACAATTCAATCAATAATGGACCCCGACCGACAGGCCAGAAGAATACGAACTTGCCTTGCAATCAACTCCAAGACCAAAGCTATAGTTTGCCCTAGTCAATTCAGCATTGGAACTGGGTATTACATTCGGAGCGGTATGACTGGACCCATCACGGGCTGAATAATGGATTATCGTCTCCGAGTGGTGGGTTACCACTTCACGAACTCGAGATGAAGCATACGGCTTCAAGAGGTGTTCTGGTATTTTCTTTTTCTGGTCCAACGTACGGAGTACAGCTTCTGTTCCCATGATGGCGTGTGATGTCCGGCCTCCCCCTTCGCATGATGACGAGGAAAATGCATGTACTTTGTGCATGTCAAACGGAATGCGCAATTCATTGCCGAGCCTGACTATTGGCAATGGCGGCGGGCACCGACGTCGATCCGTCAATCGTTCGCCTTGCTTCGTGGATCTGATTTGGCATCGAATGATCTTCCCCTCGCCATCAAAATTTCACCTCGGAATTTTTTAAAAAGGGAAAAAAATAAAATCAAAAAGCAAATAGGAGAAAAAAAAATAATCCATGCGGCAAAGCATATAGAATAAGGAAAGCCACTGCAGCTGGTATTTCCTTTTTCGTCTCTAGCGTAGTCCACACCCTCTCTTTCGACAGGCTGGTTCTTTACAGCCGCCTCTGCGCCCTGGTCGGTACGTTCTCCACGGATAAAGCTGAGCACACGGTGCAGCTAGGGCGTATTTCGTAGGAAACGCTTAGGCTTCTAGTTCATACGTTATACGGTACATCACGGTCGAACAGTCGAACAGTCAAACAGTCAAACAGTCAAACAGTCAAACAGTCTCGCGGAGAGTGATCGAGGTCACTGACAGCCATTGGCCGTCTAATGCAAGCCACTCCAGCCCATAGACTGGGTAGTTCCCCAACCCAAAAACCTGAATGGGCAGATCGGCCAATGCATTTCTGGACTCCCTTACCCAGTCTTCGTTCCTTGATTTCCTCTTTATCCTACCATTACTCCGTATTCCTCCATAAACTCTCCTAATTAGCATAATTTGTTATTCGACTCGGAAGATTAATAGGGGGTCGGAAATGGGTAATGGTGAGCTGAAATGGAGAATAATCCAGTAGTCAACGGGGATATCTCCACTCAACAAGAGGCACGCTAGAGGTCACTAATCACCTTTCTTTTCTCCCTTCGGGCCATCGACTGTTAGGCGCATACAAAAAAAAGGGAAAAACGAAAAACTCGATAAGGATCAACATTTCAATGATTTACCGTAATTGCCCCNTAACGAAGATCAAATCTATCAGCTACTAGTGCCGTCTGCACTGACCACTACTTTCACTACCCTGAGCCAAGGGCCCACTTGACCTCTCTGTCTCTGTCTCTGTCTCTGTCTCTCTCTCTCTCTCTCTCGCCATATGTGTGTGTGTGTGTGTGTGTGTGTGTGTGTCTCCCCCATTTCTGGTTTAAGCCTAATGCCTGAAGCCCAAGAGTCTGGATCAGCCCACTGGTCGTGCTGCTCCATTGCTTGGCGGCAGGAAAGAAGACTATTATTCTACCCGTGGATCCGCTTCTTCTGTGGCTTTTTTGTACCTTGGCCTTCCTCTTTCTGCATCTCCCTTTCCTACCGTTTTCAACCTCGTGCCTGTCTAGCAACCCATAGGATATAGGAGCGGGAAAACGGCCAGCCAAACAGGATCACGATCATATCATCCAGAAGTATTCCGCTATTACCAAGCATTTTACCTGCAACATTACGGAGTACATCCTAGACGTATACCTCCTTATACTACCATTTCACCGGGACAACAAGGCCCAAGCTACGTTGCGTCTCACCATCACCATCGGTGTTTAGATCAAACGATCATCTCATGGTACAGTTCACCGTTTCTATCCTTTCTCTCTGTCTTTCCCCAAGCCCTTTTCCCCCTTTCCCTCCATGGGACCATTCGCTATCTTGGCCCCTCCCCCATGTCTTTTCTGCTTAGGGTTCTGCCAATCCCAGTTGTACGGAACGTGGACCCTAGAATCAAGACACCTGTAAGGCGTGGGGGGGTGGCTTTGACACTGGCGTTGCTGCAGCTGGATCCTAGCTCAATGATCGACCGCCATCCTGCAATAAATCGCCCTAGGAGGGGAAAGACATGCGCGGCTATGAGTAACCCTGCTGTCATGATCTGGAAATCTCCCGCTGCTTGATGCAGTCTATTTTCTGACTCCTCCAATAGCGGATCTCTTCGTTCGACGGATTATAAGCTTGGGTGGTCCTCGGCCGGCTATGAGAGGACGAGCTTGATGACGCCCGGATATCGACGCCTTTTTGATCTTCGGTTTTGGGGAATCTATTTAATTCGCCTTTTATATTGATTGATTCTTCCTTTTTTCTGATTGGATTCTTGCCGTGCCCGTTTTTTTTCCCTTTTCTTTTCTCCTACACCGCTGCGAGTTCCTTTACTGCTGACCTCTTGCATCCTTCCCTGCCTCCTCCCTGTTGCCCCTCTTGGTCATACCCTTTTGGTTCCCCTGCCTTTTTTGCCCTTCGATTCCTAACGTATCCCTCCTATCTTGACTTCTACCTCCTACACATACTCCCTTCATTCACTTATCCTACTTGCCCCAATCCCCATTCCCCTCATCCCCATCTGACCATCCCTGCCCAGTTCGTGTCTAGGACTATACCCCGGGATCCCCTTTACCAGATATGCGACTTTCAACGGTCCACAGCAGAGCCAGTGGTCCCCTATAGTTGAAGAAGAATCCCCGTTGGATTAGTGTCTTCCAAGAAAAGATTAACTCATCTTTTCTTGTCGCCTCCGTGGGCCTATTCTCATTTGCCGCCTCACACTCCGATGCAACCACTCGTGCTTCATCCTCCGAGCCTTGCTACCGCCCAGTTCGGACAGCCCCGGTTCAGCTCCGGCCCAGAGCGGCTTCCGTTGAATCGATCTTGGTCTTCCAATGCTCGAGGGTATAGCCCCCGGGCTCCTCTTTCCCGTCAATCTATGTCTGGCTCGCCGCCGGCCGACGAGCCCCCAGTGACAGCCGGAAACCCTAAGCCTCGCCTAGGATATTCATCGACTTCCCACCCAGCAATAACTAGCGCCACCGAAGGTGTGCCCATTTCTAGCCCCCATATTCTAGGATCGACAATATCACAGCCTTTGTCGACTGTCGGTGAACCTCTCCCGGCGCATATAGCGCCGCCACGATATGGAGAAATCAGCGGACCACCACCGCCAGCATTCGGAGTCGGCCCACCACAAACATTACCGGGAGGTCCACCCTATCCTCTTTCAGCGCTGGAATCGTCGATAGCTGGACCAGCCGGAAGATCACTTGTACAAAAGTCAACTCGGCGCACAAAGGCTCACGTAGCTTCAGCCTGTGTGAACTGCAAGAAGAAGCACCTTGGATGCGATCCTGCACGCCCATGTCGAAGATGTGTCCTCGCTGGCAAGGCCGTAAGTAAACTCCCATTAGCATTTTCTCAAGATGTATGAGCAAGATCTAATATGAAAGACGGTAAAGTCTTCGTGTGTGGACGTCACGCACAAGAAACGAGGGCGTCCGCCATTGAAAGCCGAGGACTCTTCTCTTCGCTCCTACTCCAATGCTCATGTTGATAATCCGGCAATGACTGCTGAAGTCCAGTCATCGACAGCTTCGCAACGAACAGTGATGCATCGAGCAACCTCATCCCGTGAACTGAGGCCGATGACGGACCTTCAGGGAATAGGTGAGCCCCGGCCAGCGAGCGCTGCAGCAATGCGAATGCCACGCAGTCAACCACACCGATGGTCTGCATCCGTGTTCCCTCTGACGCGACCTATGGAACAATCTCCTCCGATGCCAGGTGTCGTGGGACGGAGACCGTTTTCTTCATCAGGACCACCGGTCTATGCACCTCCAGCGCCCCCAGCGCCCCCGCCCCCGACATTTGTACCCGTCACAGTTGGATTTAATCCGATTCTTAAACCTGGAACGATGCCCCCAGGAATGGAGAGAAGATACCCCTCATACGCGGGCGCGGCGTTGCCACCTCCGACATCTCCTCCCCAGCATCATTCACCAGGGGTACACTATTTGCCCTACAGCGAGGCTCCGCCTGGCACTCTGCACCAGCCGTTGAGTGACCCTCGAATGCCCCATGGCCCTCGCGAACCGTATCTCGAGTCGCCAGTCCGACTGCCACCTATACATCAAGCCACTGCTAGTTCCCGGCCTCATCAGCCGCATCACGCTCATCGTTTGAGCGATCCGTACCCGGCAACCTGGAGCTCGCCCGGACGGGAAGACATCTCCAGAGAGCCGAGATCGCCGGCACCATTGCCCCGGCCCATAAGCTCGGCGTTCTCCCACTCATCATCCCATCAGCGCTCATCTTCCATGACCGGTCCTCTCGATCCAGTGCCTCGACATCTAGGTCCCATCGAACTACCCTCGCCGGTGCCTCTCAGTTACACTTTACCGGCCACTACGCAAACGACTACCACTCCCGCTACTGAAGGCGAAAATGCAGAGCCCAGACCCATCAAACGTCGTAAGATGGCCCTGGACGATATGGTCAACGGTTGATATGTGGACCATCCAGTCGCCAAAGCGTATTCTCGTTATCATCGCCTGCACTATGCTATCTTATATTGTATAATCTACCGTCCTGTAGCCGGGTCTACGGGAAGTGATTGATATACCCATTTCTTTTTTCTTGATTCCCATCACGGCGCATTGTTTGATTTCGGTGCAAGCAGCAGAAAGAATGTGTATCGATCTATTTCTGCCTCATCTTTACTCTCAATTTTGATATTTTTGCAACCAGAACGCGCCCATTATTTTGATATCACGGCTTATTGCACGGTTGCAGACCGCAGACTGTATACATCTCCAGTCGTCCACCGGTTGTTTGGAACTTACTTGCGGTGTTTCGTGATTGTTGATTCTCATCTCGGTGCCTCAGGACTGGATCCGACCGGGCTCTTTACAGCAGGATCTGTTCCACCGAGTTTTATTTTCCTATGTTTGTTGGCTACCTCATCTTTTACTATTTCTTTCTCGCGATTACCCCTTCTGTTATGGTGTTTTTCTCAAGACATGGCATGGCGTTTCGCGGAGTGGAGAAGGTAGCGATCTAGCATCGCTCTTTCTCTATTTTCTTTTTTCCTTCATATCATTCATTTCATTAGATTTGTCTAGCATGCATTCACGTTGCGATGTTTGGATCAGCATGCTGGATTCGTTCAGAGTTCTTGGTGGGAGATTTGTACATCAGTGTACAGCTTTTGTTCGCAAAAATTTCGAGGATAACTCTCCTAGAATAGACGCTTAATCTACTTTTAATCCTTGATTGGACAAAACCCCGCCTGGGTCGACAATAATCAATGCAAGTTGCAAATTGGGACTGATGACTCGCTGTTGCCAGATGCAAAAAATAGACATTAAAGGGGATCTCTAACATGAACTAAAAGAATAACCACTGGCCAAACCGCTGAATCTTGCCAATGAATCCCTTCCTCGTCTCCTCCACAGTAGTCTCTTCAACATAATGACCATCGTCCATGCCACCGTCATATCGATCCGTGCGGAGATCCATCTCAGACTTGTGAACGAAGCGAGTACGCTTGATAAGCTTCCAGCCCAAGAACATCACAATCATAACGGCAATCTCGATATAATACGAGACAAAGTCGACACCCTTGAAGTGTGGGCTGAAGCACTTCCATCCTTGGACGAGGACGAGGACAATGTTCAGACCCACGGCAAAGATGGGACCGTAAGGATACGTCCAGTTCTTGAAGGGGAGGAGGTGCTCAATGCCCTGTGCACGCACCGCACTGCGGAAGCGAAGAGACGCAAGACCGATACAGATCCAGGAGAGCTGGTTCGAGACACCGACGATGTTCTGCAGCCAACTCCACAACTTGCCGGCGCCGATGTAGCTCGCGCCGAAGCAGAGGCCACTGATCACGGAAGTAGCCAGCACGGCGACCCAGGGGACGTGGAAGCGGTTCAATTTGCCGAAGAAGCGAGGCGCGTAGCCGTCAACGGCAAGCGTGTACATCAGACGCGATCCGGCAAAGAGAGCATGGTTCGCAGCGGAGATGACCGAAGTCATGATCACCGCGTTGATGAAACTACCAGCAACGGTACTGCCGGCCTGCTGGAACACGATTGTGAACGGGCTGGTGCGGGTGTCACCATCGGAGAGACCCGGGTAATTGTAGGGCACATTGAGACCAATGAGCAGGATGGACAGAAGGTAGAAGAGCACGATACGCCAGAAGACGTTACGCACGACCTTGGGCAAGGTCTTGGCTGGGTCCTTGGTCTCACCGGCGGTAATGGCGATGGATTCGGTGCCGCCACTGGAGGCTGTTAGTGGAAATCATCCCAGTTAAAAGAGAATAGGGGGGTTTTTCGTATACGTACTAGGCGAACGAAGCCGTAACAAAGACAGAGGCAAATCCACCGATACCTCCAACGAATGGCGCATCTCCGATATGCCAGTTCTTGCCACCGATATACTCGTGGTCCCTGTTGCCGCCGCAGTTGACAGCAATGCCGAGGATAATGAAGATCTACAGTCTAATTTAGCGTGGTACTATACGAAGAGGAGAGTTCGATGTTGACTTACCACAATGGTGATCACTTTGAGTAAACTCAACCAGTATTCAATCTAGAAATCAACAAGTCAGTAACAGAGATGCAAAAATCGTAGAGCAAGCCGATCGTACCTCGCCATAGACGCGGACGGAAAGAATATTCAGCGCAATGACCACAACCAAAAAGATCAAGCTAATCGCCCAACCGGGGAAATTGTCCGTCCAATACTCCAACAAAAGTTGAAGAGCAATAATATCGGAAGCCGTAGACACGGCATCATTAAACCAATAATTCCAAGTAAGCGCAAAACCGAGTGCATCGTCAACAAACCGCCTGTCCGAGGTAAAGTTTAGTCATCACGAATCGAATGTAACCTCAGGAAAACATAACGCCACTCACCCCGCATATGTGCAAAAGGACCCAGCAACGGGGACAAAGGCAGCCATCTCGCCCAGGCAGAGCATGGTGATGAAGACGATTGCACCGCATACGGCGTAGGCAATGAGAGTCGAGGCGGGTCCGCCCTTTGCGAGGGAGCTACCGGTTCCCAGGAACAAACCCGTACCGATGGTACCGCCAATAGCGATCATCTGCACTTGGCGGGCCGATAGGCGACGGGCCAGCTTGTCGGCGTTGACAAAGGGGGATGAAGAGCCATCAAAGACATTCTCTTGAGCTTTTGACTCAGACACGTTCTTCTCGGGGTCTGATAGGGGAGCCGCCATGATGTAGATGAGCAGGTTTCCCAGGATTCAAAGGATGTAGAAGAGAAACCTTCTCCGAAAACTCCGCAGCTACCAGTCAGTGAGGATGATCTAGCATGGTAGGTCAGCTCATAGTTCTGCGCGAAACTCGAAACTTGAGACTCGAACTTGACTCGACTTACCAAAAAGCCCTAAGATCTCGTGACCCACGTGGCTACCCCAGATCGTCAATCGAAATGACAGTCGTAGCGCCAACAAGAAATGTTAAAAGAAGAAAACGCATTTTGACTCTGCACTCTGACACAAAAGCTGAAGACTGGCAAGCGTTTTTCTTGCGATGGCGTGCTTCAACGCTGCGATGAGTGGATGGACAGGGCCCGCCAAAGGTTCGCCGTGAGTCGTCCAAATGGCGAGGCGATGACATGAAAAAAATTCGACTTGCTCCACTTGCTTCACGGCAGCGGCAATTTCTCGAAAATTATGAGCCGCCTCCCTTGGAAAATGTCTCCGGTTAGAAAGCTTGGTGAATTAGTGTTGTTCTGCATGCATTAATCCGAGTGTGGGAAATAGTGTTGCAAAGGCTGAAACCAGTCTCTCTAATTGGGTGTGGGCAATAGTTAGATTGCACGCTTAAATTTACCTTCAAACTTACTTCGATCTACACAACTCGAGGCAGGAAAAGTGGTATACTGAGAGTGATCACAATATAGTTGGCTTCACTATGTACTTCATGCTGAATAAGACATGACAAATGCTTTTGGGAGGCTCGCTAGCACATTACAAGATCTCGAACAAACAGAAACAGAAGACGCCCAAGAAATACGCCAGTTGGTAAGGCCCATGCAAAATCAACCCAGCAAACCACTGGCCAACGCCTCCAGATCTGCCAAGGTTTCGATCTGGGGCTGGGCAGCAGCAGTCTTCGTACCCTTTGTACGCTTCTGGCGAGAGTCGTCCTCGCTGTCGGAGTCGGACTTGGCAAACGAGACACGCTGCTTCTTGCTGGGGCGGGATGCCTCTTTCTCCTCTGCTTCGGAGCCGGAGTCTGACCCAGGAATCTCGAAAGGCACAACAGGCAACCCGTGAGGAACACCGCCCTCCTCGTCGCCCTCTGCCTCCTCCGCAGCAAGGGCACGCTCGCGAGCCTTGCGCTTCTCCTTCTTCTCGCGACGCTTCTCGCGTGCGACCTCCTTATCCTCAAGATCAGCACGACGGGTGCGCTCGGTCTCCTCGGCAAGGAAGCGCTCGCGCTGGGTATCGGCATCGCCACGAGCCTTGAACGTATCCTCGTCCTCCATTTCGTATACCTCGTGGGCATTGCCCTCGTCGTCGTAGACAAGTCGGGTACCCTTGCCCTTGAACTTGAGCAGCTTCTTCTTTGACTTGAGCAGCTTCTCGCGGCGCTTTGAGTCGATGATCAGCTCGCTCTTGCCATCTAGCTGCACCACCTTGGTCCCCTTCTCATCGTCACTGGATCCCTCGGAGTCGGAAGAATCGACCTTGCCAAGGTTTTCGTCGCCGACAGCAAAGACACGCTTGACGGACAAGAAATCGGCGTCCTCGTCGGCATCTTGGCCAACGGCCGCTCCGGCACCGGTATCGATCATGGTACCATCATCATTGATAAGTTTGGAATAATGGCCAGCCAGCACGTCCTGGTTTCGTCGCTCGAACATGCGATCGTAGCGTGTGCGCACTTCCTTCTCGTCCTTCTTATCCTTCTTAACCGCGCCCTCTTCACCCGACTCGCCCTCGGAGTCAGTCAGGTGGGCCATCTTCCAGGAGGCATTCTTCCGCTCCTTGGTATCATCTCCCTTGATGAACTTGATGCGAGGAGCACCAGGAAGACCCAGGCTAGCCGCATATTCCTCCAGCTTCAACTCCTTCAAGTTGAAAATTTCTTTGTCCTTTTGCACGTAGACAGACTTGACGTAAGAGATGAAAGCCTTCTGACCTAGATACTTCAGCTCGGGGTCCTTGAAACACATATTTTGCAGTTGGTTTTTGATGCTCTGCTGCTTGTTGGCTTTGATGTTGATTTTCTCAATGGGAACTTTCTTCTGCTCGAGTCGCTTGAGCATGCCCTTCTCCTCGCTAGGATCTAAGAAAAGTACAGCACGACCAACTCGTTCATAACGGGCCGTTCTGCCGACTCGGTGGATATAGGTGTCGCTGTCTTCGGGGCAGTCCACTTGGATGACCCAGTCGACCGCGGGGAAATCGAGACCACGGGCTGCGACATCCGTGGCGAAAAGGACTGCATGTTGGGATTGGGAGAATTTCGTGGTAATGTCAAGTCGGCCACCCTGCTTTTGCTTGCCGTGCAGGTGCATCAACGGGATACCCGGCTGGAGGTGTCGGAGAGACTCGTACACAAATCGAACTTGCTTTCCGGAAGACAAGAACACCACCGTCTTAGACTTCAAGTTGCTGCGGATGAAGCTCCACAGGACATCTAGTTTCGATGCCAAGGGGGTAATAGTGTAGTGTTGTTGGAGGGTTGAGGGGGTCGCGGCGGCGGCGGTTTCGTGGACGGCAACGTATTCGGGGTCCTGTAGACTCAAACGAGCCAAATCTCCAACCTTCTTCGTCTGCGTCGCACTGAAGAGCATAGTTTGGCGCTCCTTGGGAAGATGGTCGACAATCGCGTCCACCGTCTTTTGGAAACCCATATCCAGAATCCGGTCCGCTTCGTCCATCACCAAAAGCTGCAGGTTGTTCGTCTCCAGCATGGCGGTCTGATCCAAATGCTGAAGCATACGCCCGGGTGTGCAGACCAGAATATTCATCCGTCCCAATCGTTCCTGTTCCTCGCGCAAGCTTTTACCACCAATGACCAGTCCGGCGGAGAAAGCGTGATATCGGCCCACCTTGCGGAGCACTTCGAAGATCTGGATGGCGAGTTCACGGGTCGGAGCCAGGATAAGCGCACCAAGGCCATCGTATTCGGTCCATTGCCTGCGGTAAAGATTCTCTAGCACCGGGACCAAGAACGCCAGGGTCTTGCCGCTACCAGTCTTCGCGGCGCCGAGAATATCGCGTCCCTTGAGGGCATGGCTGATCGCACGAGACTGAATATCGGTCAAGACCTTGTAGTGTGAAGCAGCCAGGCCGCGCGCGGTGGGATCGGAAAGAGGCAGATCGGAGAAGTTTTTGACGGCGGTCTTGAGGTCGAGATCCTCGACTTTTTGGGTGAGCGTAGATAGCTCGTCCTCGCCGCGCTTGCGTTTCAAAGTTCTGCCAGAGTCATGCTTTTGCTTGGGGCCTTTCCCACGAGATGTCCGTGGCGGAGCCATGTTGCCTTTTTCTGTGTAGGTGTTGGCGAAGCTTGTTTGAGAGTTTCTTATCGCAAACCTTCAAAATCTCCAAATTATTCCCGCGACTTTTTTTTCGTGCTGACTCATCAGCCGATAAGCGGGCTTATCTCTCCAGAGGTGCGTCTGGCCGATCGCGTTGCGCTTCGAGCTTAAAGACACTTTTCCCCTCATGGCGGACGACGAGCTAGATCAGGATATTTTCGACTCGCTCGAGCGAGAGGCATCAGAATTTACCAAGGTGCGTTCTCGTTCTGTGCCGATGCAGGTCACCAAAAACAGGACCGGGCTAACGCGCAGTCTCAGGATGCGGAGATCGACCGCATCCGCTCGGCCTTCTCTCTCGATGCGTGAGTAGAGCTATCGCAAGCCTACGATACCTTCACTGACTTGCTAATTTTTGTGGATTGAATAGCTATGCTGTCCTTGATCTTCAGCCCGGTGTGACCGAGAAGGACATCAAAGTCCAGTACCGAAAGAAATCCCTCCTGATTCACCCCGATAAGACCAAGAATCCCGCCGCGCCCGACGCCTTTGACCGGCTTAAGAAAGCGCAAACGGCCCTCCTTGATGAAAAAGAGCGTACATATCTGGATGAGTGCATTGCCGATGCTCGGCGGCTGTTGATCCGCGAACACAAATACACGTTGGATTCGCCCGAGCTCCAGACGGAAGAGTTCAAGGTGGAGTGGAGAAAAAAGGCCGTCCAGGTGCTTCTGGAGGAAGAAGCCCGGCGACGTCGCCAGGCCAAGGCACGCATGCAGGAGGAAGGTCGCGAGAAGCGCAAGGAAGAAGAAGAACTAGAGGCACGCAAGCGCAAGCGGGATCAAGATAAAGCATGGGAAGATACGCGAGAAGAGCGCATTGGAACTTGGCGAGATTGGCAAAAGGGCCGCAAGACCGGCGATGAGAAGAAGAAAAAGAAAAAGATGAAGGTACTGGGTTAATTGAAAGGGGACGAGCATTCTGGCGTTTGGAATAGGTCCTTGCTTGCTGCGAATTTAGGATTCAGGATTCATGAATGTCTGAATGAACTTGTTTCTAGAATCTTGATTCATCATTTTATACACTTTGTCTTCAATTTCATCCGAGCTATGTTTTTCGTGACTGTCCACCTCCAGATAAGCATTCTACCTGGCAGCGGTTAAGGCGTAGGGCCGATCTTCCCCATTCGGCGCTTCCAGCAACGGCTTAGACCTCGTCGCGGCTTTGTTGTAAAGGACATTGACCTTTGATGGAATTTCCTCCCTTTCGATCATTCTTAGGGATTTCTGGCAGAATCAGCGCCTTTCCGTTGCCCTTGCCCTTCTTGCATGAGAAAGTTGCCGTTGGCCGTTTGACCGTTTGACCAAGTGTCCTTCCTGTTTCGGTTTTGTTGAGTTATTCGATGGCTATATAGCCATCTCCCGTTTTTCTGTTTCCTGCCAGATCAAGAGAGTTTCCCAGGTCTTTAGAGATTGACAAGTTTTCCCTCCTTTGTCTTTGCGTAGAGATCTCCCTCGGGAGGTTTCCTCAACCTTCCATCCATAAGCTGCTATCTTCGCTCTTCGCTCATCCCTCCCCAAACAGTCGCAGTGCGTGGACATATTGATAACGACAGATCCAACACTTTCATATGGACTTCCCCGGAGCAAATGAAGTGGTGAGCGTGCACATTATCCCCCGAGAAGATAATCGACTCACCCCTCAGCTTTGAGCTTCTTCCGATTGGGACAGTAATCTTGAAGCTTATCGAGGGCATAAGCGGTGATACCGTCTAGCCTGGCAGTGTCATCTCTTCGTTCCTTTCATGGACGGAAATGCGATTCCAATTTCCTCGATGCATTGCCCGTGACTGGGTCCCTTAAGGCCATAGCGTCATTTATGGCAGAGCAGTGCCATTTAATAACTCCAGTAGGCCGGACGAGCATCTCGTCACCTTCTTGGACGAAATCAGACCCGGTAACGGGAGATGGATCAAGGAAATTGGAATCCCATTTCCGTCCATGAAAGAAAGAAGAGATGAGAGTGTTAGGCTAGACGGTATAACCTCTTCTGCCCTCGATAAGCTTCAAGATTACTGTCCCAATCGGAAGAAGCTTAAGCTAAGGCGTAAGTATGAACGATGAATTAAGATTCTAGAAACAAGCTCATTCTGTTTAGAGATTCAAAATTGTCAATCTTGGTGGCGTATACATCTCTGTAGGGTTATGCTTGGATAGGGGGACTTATAAGGTAATTATAGAGGGGTGCCTGGACGTGACTCACGGCTTATGGAAGTACAGAGAATCACAAAGCCAACGTCGGCCTTGATTCACAATTCACACTTTCAATTTCCGAGCTCACGCTCTTCCATTCCAGCTCACGGTCTGTGGCTGTGTCGGTGTCACTGACTCCTCCTCATTCCGACGGGTTCCCGACAATTCCCCCACATGGGATTGGATCCTTCTGGATTTCCCCGAGGCCCCAAGTCAACCCACTCTCCCCGCCTCGACCTCCATCTCTTTTCTCCTGCAAGCCACTCTCCTGCACAATGGCACAATCTGTGGCCCCCGTAAAGAGGCCGGGTGAGCTGTCACTCTCCACATACGCTTCGACATGCGCACAGGATCATCTCCGACCTTTTCGACCCATCACAACTGCCCCTCTGGACCCCCGCCGAGCCGACCAGCCCGCGGCAACGTACCACCAACACAATCAAGACTCCTCCAACTCGACGACACTCCAGAAACAGAACGGATCAGCGCACCCGCATAGTAATGGCAACGGCAATGCATCATCTACTGCCGCACAGGTCGATGCAGAGGAGATCCCCGCGCTACGGACGGTGATCGCGCGCATTCACGCCCGTGTCCAGGCCTTCCTCGAGGAGTCACACCCTCCGGACTCCCTCCTCGCCTCGGTCCAGCAACAAACCCGCATCTCACTTGACGTCGTCTCCAAGGCTCTCACTCAATACAAGTTCTCTGAACTCTCCGTTTCCTACAATGGCGGCAAGGACTGCTTGGTCATGCTCATCCTCTTCCTGGCCGGCTTACACCCGCATCTGAGCGCGGCGCAATCCCACCAACCCACGACACAGTCTGACGGCATCACCTCTACCTCCAATGCAACCGAAGAGAATGCCTCTACCCTCTCCGAGATCCCCGCCATCTACGCCCTCCCACCAGACCCCTTCCCCGCCGTCGAAGACTTCGTCGTCACCTCCGCGCAGGCCTACCATCTTCAAATCACAAAATATACCACCGCCCCACCCGCCACAACCCTCCGCTCCAGTTTCGAAGACTATCTATCCCGTCACCCCAGCATCCGCGCAATCTTCGTCGGCACACGACGTACGGATCCGCACGGCGCAAAGCTGACACACTTTGACCGGACCGACCAAGGATGGCCCGATTTCATGCGCGTGCATCCCGTCATTGACTGGCATTACGCAGAAATTTGGGCTTTCATTCGTCATTTGGATCTTGCTTATTGCTCGCTTTACGATATGGGATATACGAGTTTGGGGGGTACTTCCGACACGCATCCGAACCCGAAATTGCGCAGGGCTAGTGAGACCGAGGACGGTAGTGTCGCCGAGGCTGACGCCGATGGAGGCTATTTACCCGCTTATAAGCTCACTCAGGATCTGGAGGAGCGACTTGGACGCAATTGATTACTGGAGTCGATTGGAATGGAGGGCAAGTTCTCTTGCTAGCCTGGGGAGCATTTATCCTACGCTTGGTGGCGGATGCACAAACATCATTCGGCGTCAAATCATCATTATCCTCACTCGTTTGGATTGCCCTTGGCGTTGATATCTGGGATCTTTTTTTTTCAAATCATAGAATAGCCAGTATTGACGGTTTGATAATCATGAATTGTTACCCATCTGAGTTTCACCACCTTACTATTGATTCTCGCTATACAGTAGCCAGGACCCGCGGATATTCTGCTCGTAGAAGTAGAGAATGACACGGTCTCTTGAGGATCAAGCGACCGATACCGCCTTCTCTTGGTGGTGTACTAGAAGGCCCCGGATGACAATGAAGAAGTGGGAGTCATAGTAAATGGGAGCCGGTGAAGCCCCGCAAGCATAAATTAGAAGACAAAGACTGGTTCCCAGTTGGGCGAGAATCCCACAGAACCGTGTACGCAATATAATGTGGATTAGATGGAAAGTGTCGAAGAGTGTACTATACTAGTCAAGGTACTTTCGAGAATGAATGGTACTTCAATTCCCACAAGATGATGCAAATTATAAGCACTACCACGCGTGCCAGGATAAAATCCCGGTGGAGGACTAAAAAGGCCTGTCTAGATGAACATGGCTGACAAGCTCTACGATCTCGTTATAAATTATCTCCGCTCGTGGTTGAGCCCGAAAGTTCGTCCGCCAACCGACACCGGGTTAGCTCACGGCCCCTGTTTTTTCGGCCGATCAATGAGGTATATGCCCCGAGTGCAAGTCACAGACCTGTCATGTCCGCTCCTATTCCCCTGGGCATAAGTGACAGAGGGCATGGCGTCAGCTGCCGCGTGGTATCACTGATTTGCTGCTTATCAATATTGTGGTTCTCCATCCCTCACTATGGGACTACACGCATGGCACGATTTGATTTCAAAGCACGGCGATTTCAAAGCACGAATCTTGCAAGTATATAAATCAATGATATTCTAAGTAGAAATTCAATATCATAATTACGATTGAACAACACAGATCTTCCTACTGTCTTCGTTCAAGTTGTCATCCAATGGCCTCCATTCCTACTCTTGTGTTCGGCGGAGGGACAATCGCAGATGATGGAAGTTTTACAACCGCTGCAGATGTCTCGAGTTTACTCGAGACCCTCAAATCAGAGGGCATCACTCAAATTGACACTGCGCAGCTCTACGGAAAGGGTACTAGCGAGCAGCTCATTGGGCAGGGCAAGGGTATATCAGAATTCCTCATCGATACCAAGCATGTCGGAGGATTTGATGCAGGAAGCTCAACTCGAAAGGGGGTCTTTGACCGAGCAATTGCTAGCCTGGAAAGACTCGGAGTTGAGAAAGTGAGGTCCACTCTAATATACCACCAGACAAGTTCATATACTGACGGGACTACTACAGGTGAACATCTTCTATCTTCATGCCCCTGACCCTCAAGTACCCCTCGAAGAAACTCTTGCCGGAATCAACGATCTCTATCAAGCAGGAAAGTTCAACAGCTTTGGGCTGTCCAACTTTGACGCCGATGAGATTAAAAAAGTCGTGCGCCTTGCGACCGAGCATAATTACATTCTTCCGAAAGTCTACCAAGGAAACTACAACGCGATTGCTCGCCATCTGGATAGTGACATTCTGCCCACTCTGCGCGAGAATGGAATCACATTCTACGCCTATAGCCCCATCGCAGGCGGATTCCTCACCAAAACCACCGCCCAGCTGACTTCCGGCTCGAAGGGAGAGGGTCGTTGGAATCCGCAGTCCGCGGTAGGATCCTTTTATCACGCTCTGTACAATAAACCTGCTCTCCTTGAAGCATTAGACAAGTGGAATGCCATTTCCGAGGCGGCCGGGATTCCCAAAGCTGCACTTGCGTACCGATGGGTTGCGTTCCATTCGGCTCTTGATGCACGACTTGGTGACGTCCTCGTCATAGGAGCAAGCAGTCTGAAGCAGGTGAAACAGACTGTCGCTGCACTGAAAGAAGGTCCTCTGCCTCAGAAGGTGGTCGAGGAGATCTCGGGCTTGTGGGAGCTTGTGAGGAACGATGCAGTTGTAAACAACTATGACATCGTTAGGTCAGCCTAGAGGCTGACAGACTTGATGCTTTTTCAATCTATTATACTTCACAGACCGAGAATCAGAGCATTTCCCGAGCCTCCAGTAAACAAGTAGTGAATCTTGGTAACTTCGAACGCCGAGGATTACCATGCGCAGCTAGTGTGACCCAGGAAAAGGCCATTCAACAGCCCACACCAAGATTGCTGAAAACCTTGGAGTAAGTTTCTTGGGATCTACAGATCATCGGACTCTACTTTTCACGAGTAATAAAAATATCATTCTCATTCACGGTCATTCCCATAAACATACTGTGGTGGGACTCTTACTAACGATGTATACTAGCCATATTGGCATGGACAGCTTGCGAGAACACGAGACTGGGGATAAGAGATGCAAAGCATGAAGATGCTGGGGGATAAACATGCAAAACATCGAGACGCTGGGGGATAGAGGGATAAAGATGCAAGACATCAAGTCTGAACAGATACGGCGAAAAGACATGATCTTCCCAGATAGCTGCACGAAAGGAAAAAAAGACCCCAGAGCAAATCAGTGCCGATGAAAACATGATAAAACACAAGTTCGGTAGGACGAAGAGCTAGAAGAAAAACTGTTGCACAATCATACATCGTGGTACATGATGCAACGCATGTCGCAGATCGAAGATAAGACAGAGAATCGAACGGCTTCTAGCCCGTCTCACTGGGGCTTTGAATCGGGAATTTCACTGTGAGACCTCAAGCGCAAGATCGGGGGGTGGGAACGGTAAGTGCCATTCGAGATGGAATGGGGGACATCGAGCCAGCCTTGAAATTCTCCTTTCGGGGGCTTGACATGTACGAACGAGGCTCGAGATTGGGAGAGCCGGGTCGCGATGTTTCGGATGAGCCAGAGATTTCAGTCATGGAACGCCGATGTAAGAAACCCTCTCGATACATCATGGTGTTCTGCAAGGCGGACAGTGGCACCCCGTTTCCAGGCTTGTTCTTCAAAGCGTAGCTAGAATGGATTGTTAGTGAAAGGGTCACCAAACACCCCGTTTTCCAATCATCGACTCTCTCATGACGACTTACGTGGGTGAGATTGAAGTTGCAGGGGTCCAGTCAGAACTGATCTCGCCCGGAGAAATTTTGAAGCTTTGCTGAGAGTCGGGCGTGATGTGGGCACTTGCGTGTCGAGGGCGTCGAACGGTGGGCGATGGAGTCGACCCCTGAACAACTTCAACCGAGTAATTGTACTCTCCGGTCCGATAAGCGCGACGCTCATTGCTCTGCTGCTTCAGCAGCTTCTGGGCCTTGGTGTCCGCAAAGCGCAACAACAACTTCACATTGTCATTCTTCCCGGTGACATTGTGGAACTCGGCCAAGACAGTCTCGGCAATCTCGCGGGTCTCGAAGCTATGTAGTCTGGTGTTCAGCTCAAGAAACAGAATCGAGGCTATGGGGCGGTAATCATTCCCTTACCGAGCAAAGCCCACTTCCTTGCTGACGCCGGTCTCCTCGTCACGACTGATCTTCTCCGATACGACACGGTAGGGCTCAAAGTGACGACGAAGATCCTGTCAGAAGAATGAATCAGCCTTGGTGGGTGATAAAAAAAAATTTCTCACCAGCTTACCGCCTCGCTCCAGTCAATCGGGACATTTGTGCAATAGACGTTGGTTGATGACCGGTCCTCCAACTCCTTGAGACGAGAGTTGCGAGACTTCTGGGCGAAACTAGCTTGGTAGCCAAGATAGTAAAATCCACGGATGCAATTCTCACAGGACGAGTAAAAGCGATATTGGACGAATCCGAAGCTGTTCAAGTCGGAATTAGCATCAGTCATGTAGTAGATGATGGGTGATTTCCAGATCAGATACCCCTTGCAAAGACCCGTCTCGAGGTCAACGATGGCCTTGCACCGTTCAATTTCGCCGAAGCGGGCAGCATATGCATGCAGCATCTCATCAGTCGTCTCCGGAAGGAAGCCTCGGATATAGACGTTGGTGATCCCCTCACGGTTCTCAAGGCATTTGGCGAGACTCATGTCGGACGGGTTGGTCCACATGGCTGGAACTGCACGTGGGATCGCGGGCTCTTGTTGGGTGAGAGCCTCCATGTCCTGTGCAACATATCCGGTTGCAGTTTTCATCACTTGCACTAAGAAAGAAGCGTGAGCAACCGTCTGCGGGTATATGTTTCCATATAGGCATCCCGGAAGAGTGGGACTACCCATACCAGGAATGTACTGACCTCGGAGGCAGCCCATCGGAGGGCTGTTTTCGCAGTTGGGCTCCTGTTGCTCATCGGGGGTAGTCCATGTGACTTGGTTGAGGGAGATACCGGGAACGCCACAGTTCATCATGTATTGCCATGGGTAATTTCCCCGCACCATTGGAGTGATTCCCGGGTACATGCTCGCCGGGGTCGAAACAGAGCTGGGAGTGAATGATGACATCTGTGGCATGCCATTGTAGTAGGGCGTGTTCGGATAACCCATGCACGAGGTTCTGTACACAGCGCCGTTGACATTCGGCCAGTTCATGTTGGGGCTCATGTTAGCGTTCATATTGGCGTTCATATTGGGATTCATATTGGCGTTCATGTTGGGGTTTATGTTCATTGGAACAGGTGCTCGAACTTTGCCACCAAATTTGACACGGTGACTCTGAAAGCCCATACCGGGCATGACCTGGGGCATTGGGCCAGGATTCCCATAACCCGGCATGTTGGCACCTTGGGGATAGCCGTATGCGTAAGGGGTACGGGGCTCCAAGTGGAACGGACTGACCATGCCGTTGGTCCCTGGACCAGCCCCAGAGGGAGTGGTGATTTGGGTAGGCTGAGGGTGCATTGTCCGAACTTTGCCTCAAGCCCGATTGAAACTGTGGTTGTGATCGGTGTTAACAAGCCAACAAGAATGCTGTCAAGCAGGCGGAATTGATGGAATGGAAATGAAGAACGAAAGCCAGATGGAATTGGAGACAGCAAATATGACAAAAAGGGCAAGCAATGCTTGTCGTTACATTGCAAATGAATCAATTGAAGAAGCGGAGTGGCTTACCTTTCACTGCTTCCAGAAATTGAGGAAACCGCAGTTTCAATGTCTGCATCATCACTGTCAGTGAAGTTCATCAAGTGAGGAGGCAATTTGCGGGCGAAAGGGGTTATAACGCAGAGTATAGAAGTGGCAATACTCACATCAACTGTAAGGAGCCAATTGATCTGTCTGACAGCAATTGGCCTGGGAGAAACAGGCCGGAGGTTGAATGAGGGCCCAGAAGGGGTGATTAGGGCTGGAATGAGTGGGATTGGGATGAGATGAGAATGTAGACGATGGAGATGAGAATGGAGAGTAGAGATGGCACGAGAGGAAACTCACAGCGAGACGACTGCGAACACGGAAGGTACGGGAGAGATTGAGAGACGAGGGAGGAACGACAGGGAACGGAGCGGGTAGGGAAAGGACGGGTGAAAGGACAAGGAAAGAAGGATCGGGTTAGAGAGAGGGAAGGGCAGAGGAGGAGTATGTAAGAACAACAGATTGAGCAACGATAGAGAAAGGATGCACACTTCACTGGCCACCAATTGATCGAGCAGCTTCGTAAAGATGCGGACGGAAAGGAACGACAAGAGAGAGGGTGAAGAGGAAAGGTGCAAAGGGGAGAAAAGAAAAGAAGAAAACGGAACAGGAAGAAGATGAAAAGGCCGTCATGAGAGGTCCTCGTGACCATGAAGCACTGCTGATGGCGGAGTTGTATAGCAGAATCACAATTGTGTAGAGGCATGAGGCCAGTCATGGAGGCGTGGAGGCGTGGATGCGTGGATGCGTGGAAATAGATTCATGCAAGCATAGATGCGGAGAGTTAGGGCAAGCACCAAAGGAATTGGGATAATGCCACACAGAACTCCAAATTTATCGTATAAAAACCCAGAAGTGGAAGACAAAGAAGCCTGACTGTAAGCAATCAAATGATATTGAATTTCGACATATTGAGAAATCGATACTGAACCTTCCTGTCGATCGCAAAGCGCAGGGATCAAAACGACCAGTGGGACATCCAAAGGGACCTCCAAAGGGACCTCCAAAGGGACACCCAAAGGGACATCACACAAGTGAACCAAAGGTAGGCTGTTAGGCAGTATGAAGACATGAAGTAGAAGTCTCTATTGAGGCACAGACTTGCCCTTCAGCCACTGATAAACAACCGAGAAGTCTTTGCCCCGATAGTCTTCCTCCACTGCATTGTAAACCTCCCGAGCTTGACTACCCAAAGCCAGAGGAGTGCCAGACTTCTCGGCAGCGGCGAGGGCCAGACGCAGGTCCTTATTCATCAAGCTAACCCCAAAGCCTCCCTCGTATCCACGCGAGGCCGGAGCAGTCTCAATCACCCCAGGCACTGGGTTGTTGACCTCTGAGGGCCAGCAGCGGCCCGTGGAAGAATTGATCATATCGGATAGGTTTTTAGGATCAAGTCCCCAGCGAATTCCGAGGTTCATCGCCTCGGCCGTGGCGATATTGTTGATAGCCAACATGTAATTGTTTGCCAGCTTGCCAGAGACACCAGCTCCTGGCTCACCGAGGTGCCAGGCCTTTTTACCCATGAAAGCGAGGACTCCTCGTACACGCTCCAAGAATTGACCCGATTGCGAGGAAGCACCGAACATGAATGACAACGTGCCTGCCCGTGCACCCACCACACCCCCGGATACTGGGGCATCCACAAATCGACCTGTCTGAGTGGTGTGGATGGCAGTCGCAATATCCTTCGACGTCACAGGATCAATAGTCGACGTGTCGATGAACAGACGCTCTTCTTCGAGCGCAGTAAGCTCTCCTTGTTTGAGAATCGAGTGGTACACCTCGATGACATGCTGCGACTCGGGCAGACTGGTAATCATCACGGTCTACATATTGCAGTCAGTGATCTAATCTTTGCTTATAGAATCAGGGACATGCTCGTTCAAAGAGCTTTTTGAAGATCGCAGTACCATCCGGTACGGTCAAACTACTCACCGACTTCTCCGCAACTTCGCGTGCATTCTCGGCTATCTCGACTCGGCCCTCGTCGGCGCCAGCACCGTTGCTCCGAGCGGCCTCCTGAACCTCCGCAACAAACCGCTTTGCAGCCTCCTCGTTGACGTCGCGGACGATCAGCGTATCGGAAGCGGGGATCTTGGCCCGCAGGTTCTTGGCCATGTTATACCCTATTGTTGCGTCAGTCTAATGAACAATCAGGCTAACTCGACCAGGCCCTCGATCAGGTACCCATCGATTTTCAGCTTCCCCCAGACATACCCATCTGGCCCAATCCCACAAAACCCCATGTCGCATCGCGGTGCGGTGTTGTTGAGAATGCTCGGGCCGAACGCGCCGAGCTCAAGCTGGCCGGCCAGCGTCGGTTAGCACCCGCAGTGTGGAGGCGGGCCACTCTGGGGAAAGAGGAGGTGATACGGACACTCATTCTGCAGGGGCGAAAGAGTTCGAAGGACAGAAAGGACAGCTTGTAAGTATCGGAGTGTCAAGGAATGAAGAGCAGCGAACAGCAACATGCAGAGGAGATGCCCGGGGGTATTTAAACAGGGCCTCGGACCGCATGCTTATCCCCATGGCCGTGGCTTTCCGAGGTGCCCAGGTCAAAGGCAATTGTGGTTGCGGGGGAGCTCCACATGTGGCCCGTGCGGTCACGTGGTGATAGGCTACGACAGAACTAGATAATCAATCGTGATCATTAGCATTGTATCACAGGAAGGCGCTTTGGGTTCTGATAGTTGATCTACATGGAATCTAGCAGGAAGTTGCACAATATTCATCATATAAAAGGGCCCTGTAGACCCATGGAATGGACATGCGACATGATAGCTTTTGGCGCTCGAAAGGGCAACCGTTCCAGTGGCAACACTATTGATGCCGACTACTGCTTCATGCGCAGCTAAATGTGAATTTGTTGGTAGCCCCAGAACTCAATGGCTTAAGGAAATACTAATCAGCCAAAAATATAAACCAGCGTGTCATCAATGTAGCCATCACCCCACGATACATCCAGTTGACGATTGCCTCTTCTTCTCCTCGCCTCGCCAACCACTTCCACATCCATGAACCAACAAGCAGAACAAACCCCTATGCATTCTCCCCAGTTACCCAACCACAAGGCCAGTTGGAGCAATCACAATGTTTAATACTGGGCAAGTGAATCACCGCTAAGACGTTATAAAATCCGCCTCGGCTGCATCTTCAACCATAGAGCGAACCAAGTGCTCTGGAATACCTGCGAGCTTGTCTGGGACTCTACGGACCTTATAGGGAGACCACTTATCAGGGAGAGCCAGTTCAGTGATTAATTCACCGCTTCACAGCCCTGAAATTGATCAATGAGATACGCGACGAAGAAAAAGGGATGTTGTTACTGGTCGTCCATACGGTATCTTGAAAATACTACTCCCACAGTTCGAGGGCCCAAGTCTGGAGATCAGAGAAAGAATACAACTGGATATGCCTACCTCCTTCCATCCAATGAGTTTCTTTTCACACTACAAGATCGTTATAGAAGATACTAACTGAATGAGGATGGATTTAAAGAATGTAAATGTTTTTTCAATCCCATGAAACCTTGAAACCAAGACTCATCTACCGAACAACCATGTGCGACAAGTTATTTACAAATCTCCATAGAGCAAAGGTGGTAGACTTTTCACAAAATTATTCAAGATCATTGAGAGAGAGAAAAAAAAAAGGTGAGAAAATAAAGGGTATGTATGTTGTGAGGTCTCAATCCAAACGCCCCAGAAATGCCCCCCGGCTGAACACAGCAAAGACAGAATCAAAGATACAAGTGTAAATGCGCACGTCGGAGGGAAAGTGGTAAATATCGATGGGTAGATTACGACCTCGGAGATGTGGGATGACTAGTTGGGCCCGCGAGGTACTCCTCCGGGACCTTGGGCACGCGGGGTGAGTTTGCGGTTTGGACCATGGCACGATGTTGAGCGCGGAGATGATCACGCTGACGTTCCTTCTCACGGTTGTTGGCTGCACCACCGGTGAGCCGGCGCATGCCGCTGCGGATCATAGACTCAAGAGAGTGAGAGCCATCCGTTGCGCTGCGCACCATGGGTGTTGGGGGATGAAGCCCCCGTTTGGCATGGGAGCGGTCATCGATGTCAGAATATGCGTCTTCAAGCTCCTCATCTGAGAGAAATGCCGATTCATGGAGGGTCACTGGCGGTGTACCATGTGGTATTGGGTGTTGTGTGTGGAGGTAGAGGTTGTTTGCAGGGGAGGTTACTGAGCGAGTGTGGGAAGCGGGGCGGAGTGTGTGTGAGCTGTGAGGCGGCAGGTTCACTGGAGAGTGAATGCCAGGACCATCAAACCGGAAATTGGTTGGGCGAGACTCGGCGAGACCATTGTGGAAGGATGATGTGGAACCCGTTCGTGCAAGAGATTTTCGTAGGATAGGCGCAGTCTGCTGGTCGTACAGATGGGCGTTTGTATCGACGTAGCTTCCCGTAAATCCACGCAGCATCGGTGGAGCCACTGGGTTCAGAGACGGGACGGTAGACTCTGTCTCGTCAAAGAAGTCGTCTAGGCTATCCAGTTTCTGAACGATGTCACCCATGTTGCCGTCGGTCTGCGTATCGATGGACTTCATGGTATCCGCTCTCATCGGGAAGAATGAGTCCTTGAACTCATCCGCCCGGAACTCGACATCAGGCGTCATGGTATCCTCCACGTTCATGTTGTCCGCATCGGCACACGTGTAGAAAACAGCGTGAACATTGTTGCGGGTCATACTGGACTGTGTCGCAGGCGTGGGAACAGACCAACCAGTCTCCTCGGGAATACCGTAGAGACTCTGAATACGCTCATATTCTTTGCGAATGGCCCGAGATGAAACGGCCGATGCCATACTCATACGGAGATGATGTCGCTCCATTGGGTTGCCGGAGACAGTCATGATATTGTCTAGAACGCCGAGAGCCTGGGGGCAGAGGTTGGTCTGAAGCAGACGCAGCAATGGAGAAATGAGGTCAGGGCCGTGGCAGGTCACCTCGCTCCGGCGCATATCTACCTCCGGAATCAAGACACAAAGAATCTTCATTGTCTTGATACGGAACCAATCAGTTGTGTTGGTGAGCAAACCCATGAGGAAAATCAAGCAGTGGAAATCGAGTTGTGGGAAGTAGTAGGATTTGATCTCTGTGATGATGTGGTCCAGGAAGACACCCTCGGTCTTGTACTGCTGGTTGGCAAATCCAAACAAGGAGGCAGCCAGTCGTGGACAGTGCTCATTCTCAGCAACTCGAGCAAGCAAGCTAGCATGCACTATGGGCTTTTGATCCGTGAATCCTTGATCAAAGCTTTCAAGGAAGAAGGGAAGATTTGCGAGAATGGTGAACAGCTGTCGAGTGCCGTCTCCGATAAGCTCGTTGTTCGGAAGTCCACTCAAACGATGAAGAACATCCAAGGTGCGACTGAAGGACTGGGATGATTTGAGTCCCTTGAAAACCAAGTTCTGAAGACCGTCGAACCCACCCTCCCACTTGGGAGGCTGGCCTTCTAACAGCTGTGTCACAGCAAGAGGATCGCTAAGGTCAATTCGGTCAAGGATTTTCTCCAACATGCCAAGACTCTCAATGAACTCGCTCTCGTGAATCGTATTGAGACAGGCGCAGGTCGTCCAGAACAGCTGCGGGTAATGCAGTAGATCCGTTGGTGCAAGGGAGCTGATGATAATCTTCAGGGTGGTCAGGATCTCCATCGAGAAGGTTTGGTAGTCCTCCTCCTCGTCGGCGATGGTATTCGATAGTCGAGCCAGCATGTCCGCCAGCATCCGCGAATCCAATGACGTTGAAATGCACCGGAATACCTGGAACGACCGGCATGCCAGGTGCCGCACGGGGCAGGAAGTCGCCCAATACAGCGCCTCCTTGGCCCACAGATCACCCACGCCTTCATACTCGAGACTGAAGAACTTGACCACCTCGCGCGTCACGGTTGCCATAGCCGTGGGCACACGACGATCATCTGCCTCTTCGTCCTTGCCTTGGTTCTCCTCGTATTCCCAGACTACGGCGCTGTCACTCTGACGGATCGACTCGACGAAGTCCTCAACCGCTTGACGATGTTCTGCAGGAGCGTCATCCGCTAGCTTGGCTGCAACGAGCTCATGGATGAGGTGAACCAGCATCTCTCGAGCCTGCTCCTGCACAGTGACAGTGTAATGATCCCAAAGAATGAGCACGACGTGGAGTAGCTTGATCACATCTTCCAGAGCAAGAGTCACTGGGGCAACCATCAGGTCAACGAGGAAGATTAGAGCAACTTGCCCAAGAGACAGACCGGCCTGCTTGTTGCCAACGGGCAGCACAGTGCCCAGGTCCGCAACATAGGGCAAACTCTTCAAGTCTGGAGGTTGCGGTGTGAGTTCTTTGCGTTCCTGTACCATGTTCTTGGGAATGACCATCAGAAGGAAGAATTCAATGACCTTGGACCCAGCGGGGGTGGCTGCGAGGAAGACGACAACCTGCTTGGCATATTCCACAAAATTCTGCTCCTTACGTTCCAAGCACAGGCTGATGATGAAATCAAGGACGAGTTGGACATTGCCGCCGTGGGGACCTGTGGCTAGGGCTTGCCACATGGCCTGTACCTGGTTTGGCAGTGTAGTGCTACAGCGAATGGTAATCTCAAAAAGATTGGCAAGCAGCATGTACGACGAAGCTGTCGGTCCACCATTCGGGTCAACCTGTAACTCCATAGCCTGCACCCAAGGCAAAATAGCCGCAACCATATTTCGCTGACTATCGGAACGCAGATTCCGGAAATGCAGCGAGAACTCGGAGAACAAAGTAAATGCCAGATCAGAATGCTGGATCGCGAGTCGCTTCGATGTCTCGAACTGTGCCAACTTGTACACCGCCGTGGTTTTGTCTGAGATGCTGATGTCAAAGTCTTGAAGACGGGAACTCTTCTGCTGCCGCTCTTCAAGTCGTCGGAGGAGCTTGGCGGACTTCATTCGGATCTCGCGCTTCTGACTGCCGAGGGTGACCAGCACAGCACCAAGGATCCTCCAGAACTCAAGTGGGTAATCGGGATGCTCGATGAGCACCTCGGTCGACACTTCGAAGTAACTCTCGAGTGCCTTGGGACGCTCAGCCACATAGCACATCTCAATGGAGCGCTCCATCAGATATGAGTGCTCCTTGTTGTGAATGATCAGGTTCTTTAGCGCACGGCGCCCAATCGAATGCCACTTATCGCTGACTGTGTTGAAAATAATATCAATCCACGACAGCATGCGACCGACATCAAATTGGAGGATAGATCCACTCTCCGTCGTAATGCTAATTGGTCCAGCCTACAGAGGGAAGTTAGCAAATACAAACAAAATTGCAACGTCTTCAAGCACATACACATAGAGAGGCCATCGCACTCAACGCCGCAGCACGAAGATTCTTCTTCTCGATTTCCATCGCGGCAGCAGCGTTCCTCATCTCGCCGCCTTCATGTTGCTGGGCCGCGGCGTACTTGCGCATATGTTCTTCCCTCTCGGTGATTTGGGCTTGATTAGGCGAATAGCCACACCAATCCTCCATCAACGAGAAGGAAGACTTTCTAGACTCAAAGGGCATCCATCGAGAAGGGTCTTTCGTGCGGTTGACGCCCTCGAAAAGCTCCTCCATCAAGCCACAGTAGTGGAAACGTAGGCGTTGGAATTCCCAGTCATTCTGAACCTCAGCATCACTCAGAAAAATACGGAGGTCCTTAGCATAGGTAACGATGTTATTAACGATCCAGTCGTCATTGTAAACTTCTGGCTCGCGCAAGAAGTGTGAAGTTAGTTTGTAGACGTGCGTGACTTCGGTCCGCAACCGGTCCGTATTTCGGTTCCGCAGAGGACTACTAGGGGTGCGATGATGTGTGCCGATACGGATCTTCGCCTCTTCGTTGCAAGTTGTGACTGCATACTGCAGGGACTCTAGAAGAGTGCGGTAGAGGTTCTTGTGAATCGCACCAAGAGCGACCACGATGGCATTTCGGATCGAGTCTCGCTCGGCAGAGAGAAGGGGAATGACAAATGCAAACAGACTTCGTGCGGAGCTGATCTTATCGGAAGATTGAGCTCCCTTGGAAGCTTTCCGCGCGTGCTGAGCGTTCGCTAACTGACTTTGAGACTGTGCACCGACACTGGTGACAGTCGTGCAGGCCATGACCAGGTACAACTTCCACTGCTCAACCAAAATCTCTGCAGTCATGTTGCTCCGCCCCACAGGACGGTTATGGTAAACATCCACAGCGGAGTACTGCGGATGCCTTGTTCGTTCCGCCAATGAAGTAATCATCTTGTGCATCCGAACGAGACGTGCACACACAATCTCTCGTCCCAAGGTCACCGCGAAGGGACAAGTCTCGAAGCTGACCCGAATGATGTTCGGGAAAACCTTGGCCCACAAAGTGGAATCGTAGGAGACCTCACTGCTGCAGAGCTCGATAAGGGTGTTCTGGGAGGCACTCCGCCTTTTACCCTTCTGAATGCGGCTTCGCTCGGCAACGGTGAGCTGCTCATCATTCAGATCGAGGATCTGTTGAGAATCGGCCTCTAGGATCCTAATGATTCGAGTGTTCTCCTTGCCCAAGGCGCTGTCAAATTCAGTGATCAGCCGCAAGACGTTGATTGCAAAGGCGCGAACTCGTCGAGACTGTGAACACAAAAAAAACAGTCCGTGAGACTCGATTTCCTCAACATGCGCAAGAACACTCGAAAGATCAAGGTGCAGAGCCCGACTACCAGAAATGGACTTCTCCAATTGATCCGAGGAGGCTTCCTTGGTCTTCTGCTTGATCTCATCGATCCAGATGCGGAGCAACTCTACATACAGCCTGAGAGTCGACTCGATATGACCTGGTCCGAGCATGCCCTCGTCGGACATGGTGGAGTACCGCGCATCAAAGTTGAAGATAAATCGAGCAAACCCAATGGTCACCTGCTGGGCATGTGACTGTCTGGCGATCGCCTTGAGCGATTCCGCCGAAGATATGGCAATGTTGGACTGAACATGGGCTGTTCCAGTGCAAAGAAGGTTGATGAGAGAGTTGAAGGGGATATGATCCGAGAGGCAGCGGGGCAAGGCATGCACTGCTACGTGAAGCAGGTCGTAAAAGCCTTGTTTCTGATCCACTGTGCTCATATGATCGTCACGCCTACCAAAGCCAAATGCTTCAGTGATGGGAGTCTTAGGAGTGGTGCCACCAAATTTTTCGTCCAGGACTGCTTGGCCACCAAAGGTGTTGTCACAAAGGATTGTAATCTTGCCAAGGACCTCACAGAAGCGAAGGTAGTACTCCTTCACGTTATCGCTCAATCTAACGATGTTGAGAGGGCACGGTGAGGAAGAGTCGGGCTTTTGAGCAGCAACTCCGACCTTGGGCTCGGTGAGCAGCTGAGAGCGATGGGAGTAGGCAGGTGTAGAATTATCCATGAAAGGGTTCGGAAGTGAGCCCGTCGGGAAGGGGGGGCACAGCTGATCACTCGTCTCAAGATCGGTCATGGTGGCCAAAAAGGCACGGATACCAATAACCATTTTCTCCGGCTCCATCTGTTCAATTTTCACTTCCCGCCCGGAGAGGAATAGGTCCGAGTTGATCAGAGGGAAAATGATACTCCGGAAACAAACGTCGGGATGCTTGAATCCAATCATTCGAATCAGTTGGATGAGGGGGTCTGCAAAGGCCGGCTCTGCGCTTAAATAAGTCCTCTTGCCGGTAGGCAGGGCAATCTTGGCCACCTCCTCCACCTTACGAAGGGTTGTCGTAGGCGAGTCAGAGTAACGGAAGAAGTAGGTCCACACGAGACGGCAAATGGCATACAGAGCCGGTGCACGCGTGGGACGATCCTTGAGACGTGCTGGCAAACTCGAAATCATCGACAACCACTGGGAAGCGAACGTCTCCTTGTTTGAGATACACAGCAGCAACACGTTCAAGGAGAAGGCGGCAGCCCAATGCCGAGGTTTGGTGAGTAATTGCGCCAAACGCGGTTGAACGAGGTCCAAAAACTCCTTCCATCGGGGCAAGGATAGATCAGCAATCGGATTAGCAGCCACCGGAAGCAGAAGCTTTTCGATTACGTAGCAATAGGCTTGCTTGATCTTTTGCCCATGGGCATTGACGAACAAGCGTGCAACAGATCGCATGAAATCGCACGACTTGGGCCAGCCTTCTGCAGACGTAGGTAAGCGTAGGTTTCTCATTCCCAGAATCAGTAGCTCGGCTTTCGCATCACCATCGCGTGTGGGACCGCGGGACGCTTCATCCTTTTGATATTTGTCGAGCTCGGTCAGGAAACGGTTGGCCACGCTCGTGAAGTTCAGTTCACTCATAATTCCGAGCAGCTGGCCGTAGATCCTCCAGTTAGCCATGCGAAGCGGGGATGCGGAGATTTGATCGGGGTCGACTGTCTTGATCTGGCCGAAGACGATGTCTTCAAGTCGATCTGCCATGTCTAGAGTGATCGAGGCGAGGCTGCTCTGATTGAATATCTCGATCAATACTCGGCAAACCAGATACACGGAGACTGTGGCCCGGCGCTCGACCAGCGCAACATCGTCATGACGACTCAAGAAAGGTGTTGGTGGTTGGGGACGATCTGCAGAGGCAGGGTCGCCAGATACTTGCGTCGGTTCGGTGTTTCGACGCATGAGCACTCCATTTTCTGTCATCACTGGCTTGGGCTAAATCACCGCACCGTCCACAGTTAGCCATTTCATCTTTTCCCCACTACTATCTATTGAGCATTGCTTCCTGCCTGCTCTCAGCAGCAGACGCAAGAACAACATACCAACTCATTCGTCATCTGCCTCGCAGTGATAGCGGCATCGCCTTTACTCTTCCGCCACAGCATAATAGTATCAATCAACGGCTTGGGCTTCTGCCTCGCAATATGACCCAAGGCCGAGATCAACTGATCAAAGTTGGGATCCGCACCAGGTCCGCATACCTCCTCCACGGGTGCATCCGATTCCCCCAACTTCAAGATAGCCTGGTTGATCTTGCTCTCCGCTTTGCCAACGAACTATTCAGAAGACTTCATGTCAGCACTGTTGTCGACCGTTCCTCGCATTCTCCCATCCACGCCTGCAATATTTTTGTCCCTACCGAGTTGAAAAGATGATGTAGCGCATATTCCCCCACCGTTTTCGATTCCGAATGATGCTTCGAGTGTGAGCGACTATGAGATCGATCTCGTCTTCCTATCGTTCCCCCCGAGTTCATCCGTTTGTGTATCACGCTCGCAGGACTCCCATTCATCGTGTCGTCGGCATCATTATCCCGAATGGTGCTCAGTGTCCCCGGCACACCATGACCAGCCGGTATCCCAGGGCTCTGATAGTTCGATTGAGGATCCAACTGATCCAGCTTTGTAGGTAAAGTTGCCTCGTCGAACCCCCCGCGACCGAGAGATGCAATTAGCTCCGGGCTCAGCGGGCTGGTGGAAGCAGTCGAACCGGCCATGCTCGGATTGCGCGAATGTTGCATGCCATGAACGATAGAGGTCTGGCGGTGGTGGCCATACGAGTTGGACGGTCGTCTTTCTAATCCCACGTCGTAACCTGCAGGGTGACCAGCTGAAACGTCGGGGCTCTTGGAACCGGAGTGGCCTCGGCGAGCTGGGAGGGTCGGGGCTAGGGCGGAAGGGTCGGCGGCTCGTCCACGAACGGCGGAGGGTTCACGGCTGTGCATTGGGGTGGACTGGGCAGATCGCGTGCCTCGCCACTCCGAGGGGGATGTGAGAGTGTGATGCGACGCTGATTTAAGGTCGTCAGGGATGAGGGGCAACGGTGTTTGCTGGCCGGGGCCAGCAGCTTTGGCCGGATGAGATGCCACTGGGTCGGAAGACGCGGTTAGCAAAGTCTTCTAATTTGGAGGTAATGCATTGGGTAATCTGCCTGATGCGAAAGAGGCAAAGATAAAGAAATTCAGAGCGGGTGGCCTGGGGTCGGCTTTCTCTTGGGGGAGGAAAAGTGACCTACTGGCGTATCGACGAGTCAAGGACTCATTGCCGAGTGAATCTCATGCAGGCAGCCGTGTCGAGATAGAGAGTCAGCAGGAGGCCATAAGCAGCACATATCGAATCAATCCATAGTCTCTGGCTGCCCAAGGGGAAGGGGTGGTGTGGTTGGGGATGGACAGAGAGGTGATGCGTTCTGATGCTCCGCGGATGGCGAGCTTTGAATAAACATTTGGTTGTGCACGGGGACCCATCCATACTTTTTATTCTCTTTGCCCGGGCGCAAGTTGTTATCTACGACGGTTTTACTGGTTATTCATTGTACAAGTGGACCTATTGGTAAGATCCAATAATCAGTAAAAGGGGGCTTGTTGTAAATGATAGAATATTTTCCAGGTCGGCTACGAAGAACTTATGCCGTTGTTTTAATGGTGGGCCGCCCAATGCAAGTCGGGTTGGGCGCTTGTGCTCCCTCCATACGAACTCCAGACATCCAGAAGCCACAGATGAAATCTGACAGGTGATAACCTCCGAGAAATCGGCTGGATGGCGATTCTGACGATAGGTTACTAGGGATATCTATACTTAGCCCATGCAAGGTACGCTTATGATCAGCTCACCGTACATAAGTACCAAGCAACGGTCATTAGCTTGTCCAGTTACCTCGGGGCATCATGGTGGCAAACGCCGACTGCGGCTGGCCACGGACTCAGCATCAAGATCGGGGGCTTCGCTTCGCATGGCGGGGTCAAAAGGGGAGGAGGCTGAAACACCCGATTCAGGGAGAACCTGTGGAGCGATTCATCTGGAGATCTGTCTCAAACAAGAGGGTCTCTACCTACTGAAGGGGTATTACCTGCTGGAGATTGATTACCGCGGAGACGCTAATGAAGGTCAGTATCTCCATATAGATGGAAAGTGGAACAGGATAGACGGATGGATAAGAATGTTTCGTGAGGTCTTTTGCTTCTAATGTGCATTTGGCGAGTCATCAAGTGAAGGGTGTGGCTGGGAATTCTCGAATATATATTTTCTTGCGATGTTGGACTAGAACCTTGGCTGGGGCTCCTGATGACACGGGGCAGCTGAAGTCGTAAAGCGCAGCAAGTCTACAAATTATGAAATCGAATAAACCCGGATCAAAAGAATTGAATGTGCTAGGTATGGAGCTATCTAAAATCTACCGCAGAGACAATACTTTGCCAATAAGACGAACGTTCGCCCTTGGTCATGGTCTCCCATCGCCAGCATTCAACAAAGGCCGAATCCTCCGCATATCTATACCAACCGCGGACCGATGCTTCTAAAACACCAGCCTGGCTTTTTGCAATGATAAAGTCAATAGCCCCGAGAAATCTCACACCAGGTCGCCAAATGAAACTGCAGAGTTCTCTGCATTTCTTCCACAGTCCTGGGCAAAAACTCCCCAAGCATCCCAAGCAAATGATGGTCGGGATATGCGAGAGCGGGCCAGAAATCATGATTGGCCTTGTGAACTGCCTTGTATAAGAGACCGATTTGTACAATCAACTTGTCAATCGCGGAGCGACGAATTTCACCGATAAAATTCATGATCTCCTGAGATGCACCCACGACGGGACTTTAGGGAATCGGGAATTGAATGAGATCACGGATTTTAAGAGGAACAGTTGATCCCACACTTAAGTTGTCTACTCGGGTGTCATGCGGTCGAAGTGTATTCCAAGAGGCATAGGCAAGATAAGTGACCAAAGTTAGTTTGGACAAAGGTTTGAGTAGTGAACTGCGCTACACGCTCAAAAGTGTGGACGGTTGTGTCATTATGCTAATAGAGGCTCGATGGCATTTGCTTCCTAGCTCAACCGGGGGCTGAGGACGCACCACCGTTTGAGAAAGTGGTAGCATTCACTATTCTTTTTCGAGACTTAACATAAGGGCAGGCACCTTTCTTGCACATCCATGTTGTCTCTACGGCTGAAATCAACTATCCAGGAGATGGTTCAGCGACGTCTCGACAGAGTGGATGAGGTCGACCATGTACGTGGCTTCGACCATCCTGAGCCGCGCTCGCATATAGTTGCGGCTTCCAAACAAGCCTCAAAGGTTCCCGCATCAGGGGATGAAGGGTCGGATGAAGGGGTCTTTTGTCAATTTAAACCTCGCCGAGGCTCCTATCTTTCCATCATGACACGGAACTTTTCGGACGTTGGATGGCAAGCAAGAATTGAAGTCCAGAGGGTACAAGGGGAGATGGGCCAATCTTAGCAGAAGCGAGGTGTCACTGTTTGATTTAAGGTTGCGCCAGTCGGAATTTCTGACTGGACATGTCAACTATATCGTGAGTGGACCCGCGAGCTCGTTGTATTTACCCGCATCAACGTGCCTGGATCATGCGAACCCCCAATATTGGCCTGATTTCAAGATCAGCCATTCAATCCTGTCAGAAACGACTACGGGATACATCCTTCGCGCTGTTGAACTGAAATGTACCATCATACGCTGCATAGGTCGAACAGAGGAGTCCCTGGGCTTCCAAAGTCACAATTACCGATCAAGAATTCAGCATAGGCAGTCGATCACCAAGGATACCACATGGAAAAGTCAAAACCCCACGTTGATCAGCTCTAAGTATTCTCCGTTCGGTATGCCCGTATACTCTCTATGTGGGGTACTCCAAACTGTCGCGTGTGTGGAGCTGTCAGTATACTATAAGCCAGGCTCAGGGTTGTATAAACTCTTCCTCATACGGAAGAGGGCACACAGCCCTAGCTAGCAGACTCCGTCCTTTACTCGGGAGATTAGCCCATCAGTATCTTTCGTTGGAGTGTTTAAGAGTCACTGCCGCTGCCACAGGCCGTCTGAGGAAATCCCGCGGAATCGGTGGTGTCCAAAGGTAAAACGTCATCCTTCTCACCAGGCCATTGACCCCACAATATGAGTTATGGAGAAAAGGTCCGACATCGTCCCCTTTTTTGTAGGCTCGCTGGGTTCTGCTCGATGCGGAGGCCACCGAGCAAGCCGTCCAACAGGTTCCAGTAGATGTGACAGGCTTAGACCTAGCGAGGGAAAAATGGCCGCACATGAGGGCGGAATACCTCCGCGCTGGCCAGCGTGGACCAGGGTCAACTAGTGATGGAAGCAACTTTCCATCGGGGGAGCGCGGAAGGGAACGCGCGGGATCCGAGCGAGGGCCTGCCCGATGCACATGCTGAGCATGCGGTCCGAAGCAGGACTTAGTTAGCTGGAGTCAGCTTTGTACTCCACAGTCATCAAATTGAGGATGTGGCTCAAAACGGGCATCCGGCATCCGTTGAGTCCCAGCGAGGTGGTTGCCACTCGCCGAACACCCGCTCTGACTTTTCGAGGTGGCGGTCACGTTGCTCGGGCCAAGCGACGATGCTCGATCTCCCGGACGGGTGAGCCGAAAGGGCCTTATCCGAGGGAATGGGGAATGGGGATTGATCCTGGGTCTGGGGACGAAGGCGGCCAAGTTATGATTCGCCGTCTGGAGAGCGCGGAGTAGTGAGTGGGGTGGGGAGGAAGACATTGTGAACCTTGGTGAACCTTGTGAACGGAGGAGGAGTGGCCTTCTCGTTCAGGCTGCTGGCCGAGTTTACGTTCCGGGCAAGCCATTTGGCCCCACGCCGCGCATCCGCACGCCTTCTCCAGCCGAGGGCAACGATGCTATAAGATAAGACGCGGCGGACGGAATCTAACTTGGAGGATAATCTTTGGTCTTATATGAATATCTTGGATACCCCAGCCTCAAATTCCTTGACTGGCCGTTCATTTTCTCTTTTCTTTCCCGAATAACCTCATGACCCTCGAATAGGATCGGGCTATCGATACCGGGATATATACAATCTGTACAACCTCCCTCTTTCCCTATTCCCTTTCCCCTCCTTCTATCTGGCAATCTGGTCATCTAACTAGTAATTCTTATTACACTCTAGCCAGAATCGCTATCGACAAGCTTCCGCTGCAGTAGCCAGTTATCTGCGAGAGTCGTGCAGGAGTCTTTCGTGGTCTTCGGCAGGTCAAAGGTCCACTTCGCGCCGGCCTCCCCCGTGGTCAGACCACCTTGGCCTTCTCGTCCTTTGTCCCTTTTCAATCTCTCCCCTCTCAGGGTCTTCTCTTTTGGTTCTTGCGGTCATTTTAGATTTCCCACGGACGAACTTGTGCTTTTTTTTCTGCCGAGTCTCCCTTTTTTGCCTCTTCCGACTTTTTGGATCTCGTCCGCCCGCCCATTTTCCGCCCCCCATCCCCCCCACTGGCGCCGCCCGCCGACTAACACTCCGACTTCGACAACCCCCATCTGTCCTCCGCTCCGTGTGTTTTGCGGAAACGGACCAATTGGAAGATCTCGCTCTCTCTCTCCCCCTAAACTCCCAGCCATAATGGCGCAACTCGACACCCTCGATCTGATCGTCCTGGTGGCTCTCTTGGTGGGTAGCGTGGCCTACTTCACCAAGGGCACCTACTGGGCCGTTCCGAAAGACCCCTATGCCTCCTCTGCCGCTACCCTGAATGGCGCCGCTAAGGATGGCAAGACGCGCGACATCGTTCAGAAGATGGAGGAGACGGGCAAGAACTGTGTGATTTTCTTTGGCTCCCAGACTGGTACTGCCGAGGACTACGCCTCGCGCCTGGCCAAGGAAGGCTCTCAGCGCTTTGGTCTGAAGACCATGGTCGCGGATATTGAGGACTACGACTACGAGAACCTGGATAAGTTCCCCGAGGACAAGGTCGCCTTCTTCGTGCTGGCCACCTACGGTGAAGGTGAGCCGACCGATAACGCGGTCGAGTTCTACCAATTCTTCACCGGTGACGACGTCGCCTTTGAGAGCGGCGCCGCTGCCGAGGATTCCCCTCTCTCGTCCCTCAAGTATGTCACATTCGGTCTCGGAAACAACACTTATGAACACTACAACGCCATGGTTCGCCAGGTCGACGCCGCCTTCACCAAGTTGGGTGCGCAGCGCATTGGAACTGCCGGTGAGGGTGACGATGGTGCTGGTACCATGGAGGAGGACTTCCTCGCCTGGAAGGAGCCCATGTGGGTTGCTCTGACTGAGGCTATGGGTCTCCAGGAACGTGAATCTGTCTACGAACCGGTCTTTTCTGTCTCCGAGGACGACGAGAAGTCCCCCGAAGATGAGTCCGTCTACCTGGGAGAGCCGACCTCTGCCCACCGCGCTGGCCAGCCCAAGGGTCCCTACTCTGCTCACAACCCGTACATTGCCCCGATTGTCGAATCCCACGAACTGTTCACTGTCAAGGACCGTAACTGCCTGCATATGGAGATCAGCATTGCTGGTTGCAACCTGACCTACCAGACTGGTGACCACATCGCGATCTGGCCCACCAACGCCGGTGCCGAGGTCGACCGCTTCCTCCAGGTCTTTGGTATCGAGAACAAGCGTCACTCCGTCATTAACATCAAGGGTATTGATGTCACTGCCAAGGTTCCCATCCCGACTCCCACCACCTACGATGCCGCCGTTCGCTATTACATGGAAGTGTGCGCCCCCGTCTCTCGTCAATTCGTCTCGAGCCTGGCTGCCTTTGCTCCCGATGAGGAGACTAAGGCAGAGATCGTTCGTCTAGGTAACGATAAGGACTATTTCCACGAGAAGATCACCAACCAGCGCTTCAACATCGCCCAGGCGCTGCAAAGTCTCACCGCCAAGCCGTTCAGTGCCGTTCCGTTCTCCCTGCTCATCGAAGGTCTCAACAAGCTCCAGCCCCGTTACTACTCCATCTCTTCCTCATCCGCAGTCCAGAAGGACAAGATCAGCATCACTGCTGTTGTCGAGTCCGTTCGCCTGCCTGGTGCCTCGCACATGGTCAAGGGTGTCACCACCAACTACCTCCTGGCTCTCAAGCAGAAGCAGAATGGCGATCCCTCCCCCGATCCTCACGGTCTGACTTATGCAATCACTGGTCCTCGCAACAAGTACGACGGCATCCATGTTCCCGTCCACGTCCGCCACTCCAACTTCAAGCTCCCCTCCGACCCCACCAAGCCTATCATCATGGTTGGTCCCGGTACTGGTGTTGCTCCTTTCCGCGGTTTCATCCAGGAACGTGCTGCTCTCGCCGCCAAGGGCGAGAAGGTTGGTACTACTGTGCTGTTCTTCGGATGCCGTAAGCGTGATGAGGACTTCATCTACCAGGACGAGTTCAAGGTAAGCCACCCCCGTACCCCATCATTGTTTTACTCTAGAGTGACAAAATACTGACTACGTTTATTTTTTCTAGACCTACCAAGAGCAGATGGGCGATTCTCTCAAGATCATCACTGCCTTCTCTCGTGAGGGCGCCCAGAAGGTCTACGTTCAGCACCGTTTGAAGGAGAACGCCGAGCTTGTCAGTGACCTCCTCAAGCAAAAGGCAAACTTCTACGTTTGCGGTGATGCCGCCAACATGGCCCGTGAGGTCAACCTGGTGTTGGGCCACATCCTTGCCGAGCAGCGCGGTCTGCCTGCCGACAAGGGCGAGGAGATGGTTAAGCACATGCGGAGTAGCGGCAGCTACCAGGAGGATGTCTGGTCATGATTAATGATCCTGCTTTTTTTCTTTGTTACAGTCTCGAGTTCTGTTCCCCTCCATCTCCCGTCCTGCAGTGTAGTCATATCTCCCCTACCTTCTATCCTCCCCCCCTCCTCCCCTTGACGTCTAGATGACCCAGCATATACATATATTCTCGGCTCTGTGTCCGCTGAATAGGTACGTTTTCAGTTCTTGGCGGGCTTATGTATGCCAATCGTTGTTATTCGTTTTCATTGCTTTCCTTTCTTCCGGCGTTGTTACTTTCTGTTTTCATCTTTCAGCCTCGATTCATGGCCAGATTATCTCCATGGAGGTTCTCCAGCGTTTCGTTTCTGTTTGGAACAGGGAATATTTGCAAGTACGGTGAACGGATGATTTCTTCGGTAGACTTCGTTGAATTTTACTCAAAAGAAATTTAATTGATTGGCTTTCCAATTTCCAAGGTGCTTTCTTTTCCATCTATCTATTTTGTGCTCCTTAGGTCAACTCCACATTGTCGCATTGGCGCCCAGATCTAGAGACATGTCCGGGCCTTAGCATTGGAGAGAACTGGCTTGGACATACGTCCTCCCTCTTTAAGTAGCGCTCAGGTGACGTTGATTCGGTGTCTTAGGAATTAGAAAACACTTTTCTTTGATCTAGATTCTCACCTTCCGATTCCAATATTACTCAAAGCTTACTTGTTTTCTATCTTGTCTCAAAATCCCCCAGCATGACGGTCACTAGACTCGCGCCTGTTTTCGGCTGTAAGCGCGGACTTAAAACGTCGTCATTGGCACCCGCCCGGACAAACCTGCGGGCTTCTCCCCTGATGCTGCACGTAGTCCTTGAAATCTCCCCTACTACCCAAAGAGATGCGCCATCACCAACCCGAAATCTAGCTTATCGTCTCCCTGCCCAACAGAACCCCAAATCATCTCGCCTCGATCTTTCGGTGCTCCTCATCCCCGCACTGGTCCTGCGACAAGCTTCCGTCCCGCCCGAATTGCGAGCATACCGCAGCTTTGCGGAACGCTCACGATGGCTTACGTGGTGCCCATTCACCGGGCGAGTGGCATTCGCCATGCGGTGAAACTAAATTTTATGAATGCCGAGGAGGACTGTCTGGTCGTAGCGTGAGTGGAAAGAATGCAAGGATTCCTCTGGGAATCTCGTTATCTGAGCCCATTGGCTTTTTCGGCACAAGCTCTAGCCTCGGTGGGAACGCGATAGAAGCTGACATCTGGGCTCTACATTTACAGAAAAGCAAACCGCCTCGAGTTCTACACGCTCACCCCCGATGGCCTGACACTGGCCCAGACTCGCGCGGTGTACGCGCAGGTTACCATGCTCGCACGACTCCCGGCACCAGCCAACTCGACGACCGACCACCTCTTTGTCGGCACAGACCAATACAACTACTTCACGCTTGCCTGGGACCCCGAGAAACGAAAAGTACGCACGGCCCGAAGCTATGTCGATGTCGCCGAGCCCTCGGCCCGCGAATCACAGACCGATCCACGGTGTCTCGTCGATCCCAGCGGGCGATTTATGACATTGGAGATCTACGAGGGTGTGATCGTGGTGATTCCCATTATCGAGCCTACGAAACGAAAAGGACGTGCCTCACATGCGGCGCTACAGGCTGATGCGCCTCAGGTTGGGGAGCTTGGTGAGCCCACGGCGTCACGGATTGACGAGCTGTTCGTGCGGTCGTCGGCATTTTTGCATTCCGGATCCAATCAGCCGTGGCTGGCACTGCTATATGAGGATAATCAGAAGAAAGTTCGACTACGGATTCGAGAGCTGGAGTATAGTCGGGCGACCTCGAGTGGACCGGCAGATGCGACTTTTAAAGAAGTTCAAGAGAAGAAGCTGGATGGTGGTGTCTTTGCACATGAGCTAGACATGGGGTCCACGCATCTCATTCCGATCCCGGCTCCATTAGGTACGTATCTTATTCTTGTGCTTGTTTCTCTCTTTTTTCGTCTTCAATAGCATGCTTACATCCCCGTTTACTGGTGCAGGCGGTCTCATCGTTTTGGGAGAGAGGTCCATCAAATACATCGATGATAATGCGAATGACATGATCTCACGCGAACTCGAGGAAGCAACCATCTTTGTAGCCTGGGAGAAGGTCGATAGTCAACGGTGGTTGCTCGCCGACGACTACGGGCGGTTATTCTTCCTGATGTTCGTTTTGAACAACGAAGGTAACGTCGAGGACTGGAAACTGGATTACCTAGGGAGTACCTCCAGGGCTACCAAGCTGGTGTACCTCGGTGGTGGAATTCTGTTCGTTGGCTCGCAACAGGGTGATTCTCAGGTTCTTCGCATTGGCGATGGCTCGTTCGAGGTTATTCAGACTTTGTCCAATATTGCGCCCATTCTAGACTTCACTTTGATGGATCTTGGCAACCGAACGAGTGAAATCCAAACGCATGAGTTTTCAACAGGACAAGCTCGGATTGTTACCGGATCGGGTGCGTTTGATGATGGATCGTTGCGAAGTGTGAGGAGTGGTGTCGGCATGGAGGAATTGGGCGTTCTCGGCGAAATGGATCACATCACGGATCTATGGGGACTCCAAGTGCAAAGCTCTGGGGACTTCCTCGATACGCTACTGGTTACCTTCGTCGATGAAACACGCGTATTCTCCTTTAGTGCAGAGGGGGAAGTCGAGGAGCTCGAGGAATTCCTCGGGTTGTCTCTGGTGGAAAGTACACTGCTGGCCGCCAATCTATCGGGAGGTCGGATCCTCCAGGTCACCGAAAAGAGGGTTGTCATTGCCGATCTTGAGGGTGGCATGGTCACTTTTGATTGGGTACCTCCGACACAAAAGGCGATTACTGCAGCCTCAGCTAATGATGACCGCCTGGTGCTGGTCATTGGTGGTCAGGTCCTGGCAACCTTTGATATTCAGAATGATGCACAGTTGATCACGCAAAAGGATATGGGTGCAGACCAGCAGATCTCGGGCGTGACAGTCCCGTCCAACCCAGCGGGTATTTGCATTGCTGGATTCCCCCAGTCCGCCAAGGTCTCCATCTTAGCCATCAACGATCTGTCTGAGATACGAAGCCAGTCCTTGGGCACGACAGGGGAGGCATTCCCCCGCTCCGTGCTGGTAGCAGACGTCCTGGCCCACAGTCCACCTACCCTTTTCATCTCCATGGCCGACGGCAGCGTGGTCACCTTCACACTGGACCCACAGACATATGCGCTGACGGACATGATGAAGTTAATCCTCGGATCAGAACAGCCAACATTCAAGAGACTCCCCAGAGGCGATGGCCTATACAACGTCTTCGCCACCTGCGAGAACCCAAGTCTAATATATGGCTCCGAAGGGCGGATAATTTATTCTGCCGTCAACTCTGAAGGCGCATCGCGAATTTGCCATCTCAACACGGAGGCATTCCCTCAATCCATCGCCGTAGCTACAGCGCGGGAACTGAAGATCGCAATTGTGGACAAGGAGCGTACGACACAGATCCAAACACTACCAATGGGCTCGACTGTGCGCCGCGTGGCCTACTCACCATCTGAAAAGGCATTCGGTCTCGGCACGATCGACCGCAAGCTTGAAGACGGTGTGGAAATCGTGAAGAGCCATTTCGTCCTCGCTGACGAGATCTTGTTCCGTCGCCTCGATGCCATTGAGCTGAACACGGATGAAATCGTAGAGAGTGTGATCCGCGCCGAGTTCCCGGCCGGCAAGGATGAAAATGGAAAGGAGCTCAAGAAGGACCGTTGGATCGTCGGTACGGCGTACCTGAACGAGGAACGGGAAGGGACAATCCGCGGGCGGATTCTAATACTGGAAGTTGATCACGGCCGCAAATTGACCACGGTCGGCGAGTTAGGCGTTAAGGGTGCCTGCCGGGCGTTGGCGATGATGGGTGACCGAATTGTTGCAGCATTGGTCAAGACCGTAAGTAATTGATAAAAGCCAGCACCCTGGGGTTAATATGGGATTCAATCCACTGACCTTCCGTTTCTCTAGGTTGTTGTCTACAAGGTGACCAACAACAATTTCGGCTCCATGAAGATCGAAAAGACTGCTACTTACCGAACATCAACGGCACCCGTCGATATAACCGTCGTCGATGATCTAGTCGTGATTGCCGACCTGATGAAGAGCGTCTGTATCGTCCAATATGTGAAAGGACTGAACGGCGCCCACGATACCCTGGAAGAAATCGGTCGACATTACCAGACTGTCTGGACCACGGCCGTCTCTTCCATCGATAATGATATGCTTCTTGTCAGCGAGGCCGAAGGCAACCTCATCGTGCTCTCCCGCAACCAGGGCGGCGTTACCGAACAAGACAAGCGCCGTCTCGTTCCGACATGTGAAATCCGACTAGGCGAAATGGTCAACCGTATCCGTCCCATTAATATTCAGCAACTTGCCAGTTTGACAGTAACGCCGCGGGCTTTCCTCGCAACGGTTCGTACTTCCCCTTAACTCATCCCGTCACATCAACGCCACGGACTAACAAATAGCTCCCTCACACTACAGGTCGACGGATCTATCTATCTCTTCGCGCTGATCAATCCCGACCACAACGATTTCCTCATCACCTTGCAAAGCGTCATTGCCAGCAAGGTGGACTCACTAGGCGACCTACCGTTCGACAAATTCCGCGCTTTCCGGACTCTCACACGTTCCGCGGATGCTCCATATCGCTTCGTAGACGGTGAATTGATTGAGCAGTTCCTCGATTGCGAGGCTACTCTGCAAGAGGAGATTGTTGCCGAAGTGGGCTCGAGGGATGTTATGGAGGTGAAGGGGATGATTGAAGCGTTGAGACGGTTGCATTGAGTTGGTTGGGTGGATTGGATGAGACTGATGTGTTACATGATGGTCGTTAATGTTAATGATGCACGGGTCAAGATCGGTGTTGGCTATTTTTCTTAATTCTTTATGTTGATCTTGTTTCTAGACGGACTTAGAGAGCGAAAGTGACTCGATGTTCTGTGCGATATGTGCATGACAGCATTATTGGAATGATTCGAGTTCAACTGGGCACCCATAGTCAACGGGGTTGGATGAGCCACCGACTATAAAATGTAGAAGTCAATCAAGTCAAAGCGACTTGGTTAATTAAAGTACATATGAGCAAAGTACAACAACACCATCCGCCAATTCTATTAGTTTACACAAGATGCATGATCCCACGAAGGCTCCGAGCCGGTTCCAATCACCAGCAAAACAGCCCAACACATCATTCATGCATCTTTCTTGTTCTCCTCCTCCTCCTCACTCCAATCCAACAACTCCATAATCTGATCCTCGCTCAGCTTCTCCGCACGCTGGCCCTGCTTCGCCAGATTCTTCAAATACTTCTTTTGTCTCTTCCGCGCCATCCCATTCCACTCCGGCACACCACTCGCCTGAGCCAAGTCATCCTCCCCTTCCTCCTCAACCTCATCATCCGTGTTCTCAACCTCCCCAAGAACCTTGCCCTTTTCAGCACCACCACGTAGCGCATTAGCCGACATCTTAGCCTTCTTCCCTCCCAGCGCAGCCCGCTCTTTCTCCTTCTTCTCCTTCTCCTTCTTGCGGTCGCGCTCTTGCAGGTATTTAAAGAACTTCTCAATGTAGGGGCGGATAATGATGTAGAAGATCACACTGGCGATGACCTTGGTCCAACGCTTGGCGCTGACTTCTGCGAAGGAGGCGTAGAAGTTCTTGAAGAAGCGGCGGACGCCCGTGTCGACAAAGCCGAAGAGTTGTGTGAAGAAGTCGGAAGCAGCCTCGGCGGCCATGTCGCCAAGGTCAGAGGAGCGTTCATCGACCATGATATGTGGTGGTGTGGATTGAGTCGAGCTTGAAATGTGTTTTCTGTTTTTCTCCCTGCTTTTGAGGATTCGGCGGGGGATGCGGGAGCTCGGGTGGCCGCGGATGGATCAGTGAATTGATCGAGTAATAGAAAGGACGTTGCGATTGAAGATGTTCAACAACACAATAGTGGAGGATTCGAGGTGAAACAGCTCAGAAATAAATGTTCCCCAGGTGGAAGAAGAAGAAAAGAAAACCAAGGTTGCGCGATTAATTGTGCAAGTTGCGGGACTTATCGAGCCGCGATTGTCCTTTTTGGAAGGCACCAGAAAAAGTTCCAAAACGGAAGGCGCAACCCCGGTCTATACGGAACATCTGTTTGTCCGCATCACGCGTCTACAGCCAATCATCGCCCCCTCCATTTACATAGGGGACGCGCCTTGACCGACAAGACTGCAGTCCGTATTATCGACTTGGGAACTCAAGATGGAACAAGTTGAAGAAGCTGGCCTCGAAGAGGTATGTTTCATTGGACTACCAGTTATTTCTGGCATACTAAAGTGAATTCCGTGCAGCGCCTCAAGTCCGCCCTCTGGCTGTCCATTGGCAAGATTGTGGACGAGGAAACCATCAAGCTAGGTGTTAATGCAACACCTCAGTTTATCGGTGCTTTGACGGAGATGGTGTGGTCCCAAATTGGTACGTATATCCTGGCGTTTGCCCTCTGGTATATATCACACTAGACCTATGCTGTGCCCGCGGTCTATGTAGTGGACTCGTCACTAACGCATCTACAGAAACCGTCAGCCAGGACCTGGAGTCGTTTGCCAAGTGAGTTACACCCGGCTGCTATACAGCGCTCAACTTGAAGGGGTTTTTAGTCTCGCATCTTGCGGCTTGATGAACCGAACACTAACTGATCCGTACAGACACGCCGGGCGATCGACTGTTAACGTCTCCGACGTGATGCTGCTCGCCCGCCGCAACGAGGGTCTGGATTCTATTCTGCGTGCATTCATGGAGCAGCAGCGCCAGGAAGGGTCTTGAGTGGTAGGCCCGCTAGAATAGGGCTGTCTCGCTGTATTTGATCACCAGTATTAGTGTTGGCATGCTTCGCACTCGCGGGAATCGTGTCTGTGCTCTCTTGTAAAGGGAACACAGCTTCTGACGAGTCATGATTGATGAATGAACGACCAACTTGGATTTCAACTGCCCTCTCGGTGCATCGATAGTGCTTGTTCTCGACCAACACTGGGGTTTGCTTCAAGGTCCGGTTCAATCATCGAGGATGCTTCGGATCCTCCTCTGAACATTTCACGGGATACGGGAGCGGTAGTCTCATGCCCGATGCTTCTCGCTTCTCGCTTCGATTTTCAGATGGGTCTTGTGTCCCGGAATTGTCTCGACTGGATGGCAGGACTGGAAGTATTGAAAATAGGAAGTGGTTTTCATGTCCTACTTCAACGGCCGTGGCATGATCTAGCCGTGAAGAGGCATTACGATCCATCCTCTTCTGATAATGCATTGATCTATCGTCATGGGTATTTTAGTTCTCTACGCAGCGTCCCTATCTTTCTAAATGTATATGACGAGTCATTCCGTAGGTAATCTTCACCCAAGAGCGGCCTTCAGCAATCCTAGTAATTAGGCTCGGTTTCTCCATTGACGAGAAATATCTTGGGAGGTTGGGACGTCAGGGATTCATAAAGGGAGATTATTGTCTGCATAGACTGCGCTAGTGTAGAGTCTATAATAATGTACGCCTAGCATGCTGAAGAGTGACTAGCGCATAGTGAAGATACCAATATTAGCCAGATTTGAGTTTAGTTCCCAGGCAATGTTGCTAAAGGGCGGAAAAACCTCGAGTGTGGCTGGTGCCGCTATTGAACTCTCTGTAAATCCGTGGCTCATGAACCTTATCGGTCGATTCTATCCAGAGTGACGGAGTTCTGATTCTGGAAGAATACAAACCAACAAGTATAAGTGACCCTCTCTCGTTGCATCACCTGTCAAATGAAATTGCCATCTTCTGAGGATTCTTCACGTGCAGTGGCGGTCCCCACCCATCCAGCCACCGACGAGTCCAAAAAAGAAAGCCCATCAACTCAAAGCGGCAGAGTGGAGCTACGATCCTCATCAACCGTTGGGCCTCCGCAAATCAGCAGTCTGCCAAACACCTGGATTTTGCGCACCGTGACATCACCGACTCCGCGCCAGTCACTGGTAAAAGGCATGCCTTGTGGCGCAGACCATCCGGCGCCCATTCAGAACTGTTGCTGCGCCAGGGATCCGTTGGGGCCGACCTCCACTGATCTTCAATTATTGCGTCGTGTCTGATTGTGCTGAGCCCTTCTTATAATCCGCCCTGAATCCTGCTGCCTCGGGCGTCCATATTTTAGATCAACCATTTTCCACCAGCCGTTTCCATCTCTCCTATACATCAACATCTAACCATTCACCATGGGAGTCGGCGGAGTCGTCCTGCGCTTTTTCAGCCTCGCTATTCGAGTGCTGCAGTTCCTTGCTTCGGCAGTCATTCTCGGCATCTTCTCATACTACCTCGCCGTCTTATCCCGCCATGATTTGAACATTCCCACCTGGGTTAAGGCCGTCGAGGGTCTATCCGGTGCCGGTGCTCTATACGGTATTCTAGGCACAATCTTCGTCTGCTGTCTAGGCGGAGTCGCTTTCTTCGCTTTCCTCGCTATCGTGCTCGACGTCTGTTTCGTGGGTGCCATGATCGCGATTGCCATTATGACTCGCGACGGCACCCAGAGTTGCAGTGGAAACGTCAACACCCCTCTGGGTGACGGCAATGCCGATAACAACGCCAAAACTGCTGCCGGCACTAGCTTCCACATGGCTTGCGAGCTACAGAAGGTTGCCTTTGCAGTCTCGATCATTGGAATGTAAGTACACGCTTCCCAGGTCATGCCGCCGCCACTGCTACCACACCATCACCATTGAAGACTCATTACTAACTCTCCATCTTTCTAGCTTCTTCTTCCTCATCTCCATCCTCTTCCAGGTTCTCCTGGCCCGCCACCACAAGCGCGAGAAGCGCTTCGGCCCTTCCCCCGCCAACAACTACACCTCCGGCACTGACCGTAAGTGGTGGAGCCGCAAGAAGAACTACCCTGAGGCCAGTGGTGGCGTAGACACTCTGCCCAACCACCCCACCCCAGCTGATATCGAGATGGGTGGCGAGAAGCAGCCCCAGAAGAACTGGTTCGGCTCGTGGGGCAAGAACAAGCACGCCGCTGCCACTGGTACCCCTGCCCCGGGTGCCCAGAATGGCTATGGCTATGGTGGCTCTGCCTATACTGGCAACATCTAAGCTTTTTTTCTTTGTGGATGCGGACGCAAGAGTCCTATCTTGCTTTGATACAGCAAGTGCTTGAGGGTATGGATGATCGCTGTCGGAATGGTTTATGATATCCAGTCGTCCCTCTCTGTATTTCTTTTGGCCGGCTGGTACCACGTCTCAGGTGTCAGCCGATGATTGTATGAACTCGCACGCTCTTTTGAGCCGATATACCATGTTACGCTGTTTGAAATTGGTGTATATTATGCTGCGGTACACACGGATTGAGACCCGGCTGAACAAGACTCCAGGGTGCTGTTTAAGAATGTAATGATAATATTGAGAATTAATGACAATTTAAATCGAGCTGAGAGGTGAGCTGTGTGCATAAAAATATTTTGTATTGTTCCTAGTGCTACATAGAGATCACCCTGAAAATCCAATGACCAGCCCGAACACCAACCTCGGAAACTAAAACACTAACAAGAACCAGCCATTACGATACAGTCATTAGGAATATCAACAGCGTGAGGACATCACCACCGACATGGATATCATGGTCATGACAGTCGATGGGGTAAAGGAAGAAAAAACATTCGCCGAACACCAATGGCACCTGCGACCCAAGGCACAAAAAGAAAACGCAACGCAGAACAAGCCTCGACCGACCCAGTCGGCCCAAAGACAATATCTGCCGAGAAGAAACTGCTTCAAAAACAACAAGAGCAAACTTGTTACCAGCTGGAGCGAACCATCTGGCCCAATTGGCAGATCATGCCAGGGGCGACATTGCCCATGAAGATAGGGCGCGAATTGGAGCACATAGCCCAGCTGTATCCATCAGGAGAGCACAGGATCTCGCCGGAGGTGCAAGTCCACTTGGTAACGTAATTGGCGAAGGAGTTGCTGGTGGAAGCAACCTGGTTGTTAGACTGGCTGTCCAAGACACGGGGGTCAGCAGAGGGAGAACCAAAGGCCGACGCAATCTGGGACATGGCTTGAGCCAGAGTGGTGGCGGCGGTGGTGGTGGTGCTGCTGCTGCTAGCACTGCTGGTGGTCTTCGCATCAACCTTCTTCGAGGACGAGCTGCTGTTGTTGTTCTTGGTGGAGTCGGACTTGGTGGCGTTGGAGGCGGTAGTCGAGTTGGATGAAGCAGTAGAGGTGGAAGAAGTAGAAGAGGAAGAAGCGCTGGAGCCAGCAGTGGTTCCGGCGGTGGTTGCGGTGCTGGCAGTGCTATCACTGGCGAGGAAAGGAGCTGTACCAGTGCACTTGTAGCCCTTGCCGCTGCTATCGATCTTGCCCACCACGTTCGGACCGGGCAGGGGGAAGTCAACTTCCTCGCCTTCAATAGTGACACAACCACCTGTTTGGGCAACATTGGCGACGAAGAGCTCAGGGAGGCTGTCAAACGCGGCGGCCTTGGACTTGTCCGTCATGACGGTGGTATCAGCCATGTCACGTCGCTCCATAGTCTGCTCCATCGGAGGGTGATTCAAGTGCTTCATCTCCTCAGAAGCCATATGCTTTCCCATCATCTTCGCTCCGTGGATATTCTTGCCGTGGGAGTTCTTGCCATTGGTAGTAGTGGACTGTGTCTTATTCCCACTGCTCGCAGAGCCACCAATGGTGACCATAGCGCAGTTCATATACATCTCACGGTTGCCAACCTTGTTGAACCAGGTCCAGGCTAGAAGAGCCTCGCCCGCGGGCGCATCCGATGGGATCGCGAACTCGTACTTCTGGGAAATAGGACACTCGCCGAGCATGGACTCAATAACCTTGAAGGTCTTGCCACGGTCGTAAGTCAAGGCAAGCTGGCAAGAGCCGCCGCTATGAGTTGCGCTACCATCAAGCTCCAGCTCGTAGGTCTGACCCGGCGAATAACTGGCTTGGGACTGGAAGGCATCATTGGCGTAGCCCTTGCACGGATAGTCAGCACCAGATGGGTTCAATGGGTTGTTGTACGAGTAGTCCTTTTGCTCATTGCTGTCCTTGTTTAGGGGACTGCGAATAGGGTAAGGCTTCGACATTTGCATGTGGGCAGAGGCACCAGTAGCCAACAGGCCGGTGAGAATGGCGAATCCCTTCATTTTGGAGGTAGTCTGGAGACTGTTAGTAAGAAGCCTTCGCCCGAATTCAGTCTTCGATGCATACGCACAAGGATAGTATAGAATGGAGGTATATGGAAAGAGATGGGTATCAACAGTCTGTAGCAAAGGAATCAACCACCAGGGTGCAATTTCTCAACTTTTTTCACAAGACAGACGGTTGGGGAAGAGAAGGGCAGCTAACGTTGACAACGCCAAGTATAAATAAAGGCCTGTTGACTGCCAGCATTCTCCAGCAGTTCCGAGAGGAATGGAAATGCCATCATCCCGCGATCCAGGTCTGAACTGCTTCCCAGCTACGTTCTCGACCTCGCAACGCGAAGAATGTACACTCAACATCGCTCCTGCGCCGACCAGATCAAGAGCTAGTGACTGTGGATGCTGGCCAGTTCTTTGGGATGGTGCAGTTCAGAAATAGACGTGGAATGGCAACCATGCACTAATATCATTCGCCCCGGTTAATAATAATTAAAGGGGACAGTTAGCTACGCTGAAATGATATGCAATTAACACATAGCAGAGCCTCAAGTCAGCAACCATATCTCTCCTGAGGAATGAACTGCGTACACGTTCCAAAATATGACAGCCACAACGCACTGAACATTTCATTCCTCGTGCAAAGTATTCTCCGAGAACCCAGTTGCTATGGAATTCGACTAGGATTTCACATAGTATATGATTCTTAATCCGTTGAATGTAGAGTAAGAATGATAATCCCGGTCGAGACCAGTCTTGCCATCTCTCATGAGAGTAACTTCTGCCTCTTCCTTTTTGTTCATATATGACTTAGGGTGTGCGAAGGCCATTGGTCAGAGTTGGAGTATATGCCCCTGCATCCCCATCTCTTCCAGCTTCTTTGGTCCGAGCCTTCTCCCAGCAAGTACTGTACTTAGTCGTTGCATGGGCTTAATTTATTTTTCAACATGCCCTGCACCTTTCAGATCGTGTTTTATCCTCGAAATGGTGGACCAGGACTCTTGTCATCGCCTATGTGGGGTACTAGGGATGTAAACATAGATGTTTCACATGCTAGGGGGGTGGTTGAACGTGTTACGTGTTCAGCGTTTAGGGTTCTATCCCTGGAGTAACATGCATACCGCAAAGTTGAGATTGCCAATGAAGGGCTAATCACGGATATGCTACGCGGTCAATGGTTTACTAGATCATAATTTAGTGTGTGAATTTTCCACGCCTAGGAACGGGCAGCGCAGTAAAGATCACGAAATGACTAGCTACGACACTTGCAGATTCCTATACTCCCTTTTTCCAGCGGACTCGCTACACGTCCTACTGTTTCTGGTTCTTCTATCAGGTATAGGATCCTATACCTACTGATTCATGGCCCTTATATCAATCGATCACTTAAGCAAGAGATTCGTTCAACTAGAGTAAGGCAGTCATGGTGGGAGAGGCTCATCAAGTCTTATTACGACCATAGGAAGGTACCTAGGTATTCTTACTACGTATCTTTTTACCGGGCCACACTAGATAGTCTTGCTTTGATCCAATCTTTGTCTTAATGACGTCCTTGCTGTACTTGTGGTAATTGTAAGCACCTCGAATCTTGAAGATAACCCACTTATTCTTTCTCTTTCATTAACTAGTATACTTGTGCTAGCCTATCAGAGTAGACATTTTTCATTCTCTACAAGATACTGGTTTGAATGTGAACTCGAAAAACAAGATCATTGAGAATATCTTGACGATTTGTTTTTCTTCCATTGTGTATGCTTGGAGCCAAGCAAATCAGGCTAATCGATCCAATTTGGTCTATCAACTCCGTGTCGCGCGGTCGCGATTAGCGCGTCATCGTCCCGCCGCCAATCCTTGACCTTCACATTCTGTTCTTGCACTTCCTCCCCAATTCCTGCTCAAGGCTGGGTAGCGCTACTGCTGCATGTGTCGGTCCTTTGCACGACTGTTGCGTGCACCGCCTCTTCAGCATGCTGGTCCCCCAACCTCTGGCTTAGGGGGGTGCCGCCACCCCTCGTCACAGTTCTCCCCCGATCGATCGATTACCGTGGCGAGTACCAATCCACCCGCCCTGCTTCTGGCCCATGTTCGTCATGCGGCTCGACCGGTTTTACACATTTATTCTTCCATTCGCCTGAATGGCCCCGCAGGTCCGGCGCAATTCTCGTCTGTCACTCGCAAGCTTGTTGCATCGTCTCCTTCCGGCGTCACACTGAATATTGCGCGCGATATCGACGACTTTGTCGACTCGGAAACTGTGGCCATGGCGGTTGATGCGAGGATCGCCGATGCAAAGCCAGCGGATATCTTGAATGGGGATGTCCCTCCGGCTGCTAGTCGAGCGGAGGCTACCCTTGATCCAGAATCGGATGAAGATGTTCCCGTGGACCCGGAGGAGCTTCAGGAAGCTCTGGGACGGCCGCCTCCAGTGAATAGTAGCTACCTTCCTTTGCCATGGAAAGGGCGTCTTGGATATGTATGTCTAATTTTTGCGCCTAGCAGAGTAGATGCTTTCTGCTCGTTAAAGCTCCAATGCTAACTCGTTCGTATAGGCCTGTCTGAATACCTATCTCCGCTACTCCAATCCCCCCGTTTTCTGTTCGCGCACATGTCGCATTGCCTCTATCCTAGAGAACAGACATCCACTACAAGATCCCGATCAGCCTCCACACGCCACGAAAAATCGCCCAGACCGTGAACAGGCAGCAGATGTGGCGCGTGGACAAGCATTCGTAGAGGCGCTCGGCCTTGCCAATGCCCGTGACCTGGTCAAACTGCTGCGCTGGAACGATAAATACGGTATCAGGTTCATGCGTCTCAGTAGTGAGATGTTCCCGTTTGCCAGCCACAAAGAGTACGGCTATAAACTTGCCCCGTTTGCGTCCGAGGTTCTTGCAGATGCCGGCCGGGTGATTGCAGAGCTAAGTCACCGAGTATCCGTTCATCCCGGCCAGTTCACGCAGCTGGGATCTCCCAGACGAGAGGTGGTCGAAAGCTCGTATCGAGATCTCGAGTACCACTCAGAGATGTTACAGCTCCTCAAGCTGCCCCCACAGCAAGATCGCGATGCAGTCATGATACTGCACATGGGCGGCGTTTTTGGTGACAAGGCGGCAACGTTAGACCGCTTCCGTGAGAACTATGCGGTGCTGTCGCAGGATATCAAGAATCGACTTGTCCTGGAGAATGACGATGTCAGCTGGACTGTTCACGACCTTCTCCCAATTTGCGAGGAATTGAATATCCCCCTCGTACTTGACTACCACCATCACAACATCCTCTTCGATGCAAGCGAGGTGCGCGAAGGCACGCAAGATATTATTCCACTCTACGATCGCATTTCGGCCACCTGGTCCCGAAAGAATATCACTCAAAAGATGCACTATTCCGAGCAAACATCGGCGGCCATCACTCCTCGTCAACGGCGCAAACACAGCGACCGCGTGGCTACTTTGCCACCCTGCGACCCTACGATGGACCTTATGATCGAGGCCAAGGACAAGGAGCAAGCCGTGTTCGAGCTAATGCGGAATTTCAAGTTGCCCGGTCACGAATTAATCAACGAACTAATCCCCTACACACGGACCGATGAGAACAAGCCTTTCAAGCCACCACGCAAATCTAAAAAGAATGGCGGCTTCGTTGACCTTGAAGGATCCGTACCTCCACCCCGCACCATCCCCGAGGAAGAAGTGGGCATGGGCGGACCAGATCGAAGAGTCTATTGGCCCCCAGGCATGGAAGAATGGCTCCGTCCCGCAAAGAAAGTCGTGAAACCCAAGGCTGCCTCAAGTCCAGCCAAACGCCCTACTCCTAAGAGAGTTAAGAGCGAGCCTGCCAGTCCGACTGACGAACTGGAAACGCCAGTAAAGAAAGCACCCAAAACTCCAATCCGGCGGACGCCATCAACCAAATCCCGCACAAAACGAAAGGCCGAACAAATAGAGCCTACACCAGAGTCGGAAGACTTGGACAGCCTATCTGTGGAGATGGAGGATACTGTGGCTACCTCCCAGGTGTCGACTCGGCGCAGTGGTCGCGCAAAAAAAGTCAATTATACCGAGGACAGCGTATAGACGGACTTGACTTTGCTGTCGTTCTACAAGATGTGTTTGTACTATATAGCATTTGGCATGGCGGGCGCTTTGGTGTTGTCTGGGAATATTCTACTCGGTTCAAAGATAGCCAAGACTTTATGATCAACAAGTTTTATTATGTTCATGCACGTTCTTCGATGTACTAGTCCTTACGATGAAGTGTTGGTCATCAATCAATAAGACTGGGCACTATTTTCTCCTCCGAGGCGCTATTCCATGATTGATTTATCTACTAATAAATCAACATGAAATCTAGAAAAGTGCTTTCTGACCAGGCTTTTCACTTCCAGTTCTGTTCCCCGACTAAGTACACGAACCTATCTCCACTGGCTAGCTGCCTTGAATGCCTTGTTTGAAAGTCAATGCAGATCTTGCCAATATGTTGACCATTAACAGTAGAGAGTGCTGTACGAGTACTAAACGGGTTGAGAAAATCTTCAAAAGAGAACATAATATATGCATGAATGCGAGAACTTCATATGGGTGTCTGAGACTCTATGAAGCGGTCGAGCTGAGCCGAAACAAGCTGGCGTCATGGCGGCTCGCTCCCGCCAGGGAAACGTCTCAACTCCGTCAGACCTCCCCACTACACATCTTTAGCGCGCTGCATCAGCTCCCCGTCTGGTTTTTTCTGTATCGTGTGAGCATCTTGATCAGCCTGCCTACCGACTTTTTCACTGAATTGCGTTCTTCGTGCCAGTCTATCCTTCCTTGACTCGACCGCGGCTTAGCAGGGCTGATCCCCTCGCAGCGAGGCACCACCAACTAGCACCCCTCCACACTACAAGAAATCCTGGCTCCGAAACCGTACTTCCGTTGGCCAGTCTCCCGGTCAAGACTCTTCACCTCCAGACGGCCAACTATTGCGAGTTCATTGCTCTCCAAGTGGAAATCTCTCTCGCGCGTTCCGGCTCGCCCTAGCAGACTCTCATCTCTCCTTCGCATTGTCGTCGGCCCTCAGGCAACTCGGCGCGCACAAAACCGCATTTGGAGTATTCGACACGAAGCCCTCCCCGCGCTTCGGCACCGGGCCCAATCGCGTATCTACCGCGCCATCGTCAAGCGGCAGGCGCGGCTCGCGGCACGCCATCGCAGACTCGGCGGGGGCTTCGTCGCGTCTCTTATTGGGTCGAGACGACAACTGCTACGACGCTGGAGGACTAGTACAGCGACGGCCGGCAGTCCGTCTGCCAGACGTGCGAGAGTCGCTCGAGGAGGAACCCCGGACGGGGCGAAAGATGCTGTGACGGACTCGATGTCATCCACATGGGAAAGCGGGGACGGCGTTACCCAGAGTAGCCGTCGCAAAAAGGCGTACGAGTGGATCAAAGCCGCGAACGAGGTCGGTCAGGCGTATGCGTCACGGTGGACCAGCCAACGAGGCGAGCCTCATGAAGATTACTACAATACACCTGGCGCATTTCCGGATGTGGAGATTGCGCGGTCGGGGGATGAGGAGATGGTTCTGTTCCCCAGCTACGCAAGAAGGCTGGATCCGGAGAGGAAGAAGCATAAGAAGCCCGAGACCGATGTGCCACGAAGACGTGATTCGTGGTCTGAAACTATCGATGAATACCGTGGCATTTCGGACGAGAGCAATCCCACTGGGAAAAGCTGGGAAGACTCCTTCCTAGAGAATGCGGTTGTCGACGTCGACGTGCGTGGCTGGATCTATGCGCCTAATCGGGGTCCGATGAGTCGCAAGCACCGTCTGATGATCAAGCTGGCCAGAACGCTGAGCGGGATTCCAGCTCCTTCTGGTGCAACAGCCGATGAAAGCAACGACCGAGTGCCCAACAAGGGCGAGGATGAGCTCGTGGACAAACAAATGCAAACTCTTGTCGACACAGCAGAGAAAGATGCTGATCAAGCCTGGAAAGCATCGAATGCCGACCGGACAAGACCAGGCACAGGCGCAGGCAATGCTTTGGGCCAAGCTGCGGCCATGACCAAGGATGAGATCTCCATGGCCAACGCCCATCTGATGGAACGGCTTCGACCGTTCCTGACGAATCCTATGGCCGGTATGCCAGTAACGGTGTTCTATTTCAACGACGATCAGAGCGAGTCCCGAAATATTCTTACAGACGAGTCGGGGCATTTCAACCTTCGCGCTGCGATGCCATTTGTCCCAACTCATATTCGAGTACTTGCGTCAGAGGACTTGTCCGCAGCGAGGCCGATTGACATTATCGAACCGGTGGGCATCAGCTTGATTAGTGATATTGACGACACCGTGAAGCACTCTGCCATCGCCAGCGGCGCAAAGGAAATGTTCCGAAACACATTCGTCCGTGAGCTGGCCGAGCTGACCGTTGAGGGTGTCAGCGAATGGTATACGCAAGTGGCGAAGAAAGGTGTGGAAATCCACTATGTCTCCAACGCGCCATGGCAATTATATCCTCTGTTGGAGAGATACTTCAAGCAAGTTGGCCTGCCACCTGGTTCTTTCCATCTGAAGCAGTATACGGGCATGTTGCAAGGCATATTTGAACCGACCGCCGAGCGCAAACGAGGCTCGTTGGAACAGATCATGCGGGATTTCCCTGAGCGCAAATTCATTCTCGTTGGTGATAGCGGCGAGGCCGATCTTGAGGTGTACACTGATATTGTCCTCGCCAACCCTGGCCGCATTCTGGGTATTTTCATCCGTGACGTTACCACGCCAGATAAAAAGCCATTCTTTGATCAAGCTGTTGACCACTTGGAACCGGAACCTACCCGGAGTCGTAGTACTCCGCAGCTCATCGACAATGCGGACTCTGTTGCAAACAAGCCGACACTGCCACCTCGCCGGCCAATGGCGCCTCCTCCCGGCGTCGATTTGAAGCTTTCTCATAGTGAGGATCTTATCGATCTAAGCGACGAGAACCCGAAGGAGAAGAATGCTGCGCCAGCAATACCCACTGCGTCGAAGCCACGGCTGCCGCCTAGCAAGCCGACGAAGCCATCTTCACTCAGGACGGCATCTGGTGTTGGTGATATGCCTGACACGACCCCTAAGGAATCGTTCTCTCAAGAGACCATACGCCGCAAGCCAGTTCCTCCCCTGCCGCCTCGACGGCTCGCAGCCAAGACGGATTCACTCATCGACCTGGACACCTCGCCACCACTCTCTCGCTCTCGTACGGAGCCATTGACCAACGAGGGCAACCCAGGTCTACCGTCTCGCTCTAAAGCACCGCCTCCAGTCCCTCCTCCACGACGGTCAAACACTGCCTCCTCGACTACGGGCTCCGGTTCCAGTGGAGCATCAACGCCGCGACAGGCAGTACCGGCCACGAAACAATCATACCCGGCTGCTGCCGGAGCCGCTGCCCAAGCAGCCCTCAACTACGCTACGGAACGACTTAACTTTTCTGGTTCCCCAGCCCAAAATCTCCGCACCTCCGCATCAAACCAATCCCTCGGTCGCACATCCACAAGTAGCTACAGCGCCGCTGAACCCCTCCCGAATAAACGAGAAGAACTCTGGCGCCGTCGGTGGGAGCGTGCAGGTAATATTCTCGAGCAACAGGGTGTTGTTCTCGGTAGTTGGCGTATTGGATCGGATGCACAACCCGTTTGCCTGTGGTTGATAGAGGAGGCGATAGAGAAGATACAGGTGAAACAGGCGCAGGCGGGTGCGGGACGCCGGCCATAGTCTCGTTATGATGCATTACTACGTGATTACGGGGGTTGGAGATTTGTACATAGGATATAGACTATTGATACACACTGTCATTGCAATTCAGCAAGGTCCATGCTTCTATAACCGGCTGATGTGTTCATGGTGAAAGTAAGCCACATTGTCTTTCTTCCAATGTCAGCATTCTCTGGGCACTTCCGAATTCATGTTCCAGCGTAAGCACGAAGGGAAACAGTTAATGCGACGGTGGTAGGTGTGCAGAAAACCCCTCTATCATAAGTTGACACCATTTCCACATCCTCAGACAACATGACGTCTCCTCAAATAACTAAGATGACCATCCAATAGCTAGTCATTCGCTCTCTCCAAGCATGTGGATCACCAAGATGATCGTGCCTCGGAAGTTACCATCTGATGGTCTGCCAAATTACCAGAACAAGTTAGACCGTCCGTTGCTTCCACCTTAAAATGGATCACATTGCTGACCTCCGCAGATTGACTGGCCAGCGTCGCTTCATTATGGATTACTCACCTTCCTCTCGGGCCTCGGCTGAAAATCAAGTGCATCATGATTGGCGACCGCAAAAACCTGGGGAATACCAGTCCTGTTGCCAACCATGGGGCCTGTCCGGCCAGCGAAAGGTTGCGGTTACTTCAACTGGTCGTCAGCCAGCTAATTATTTTGGTCTTCTTTTCCCTCTCCACTGACTGATAGACCCCCCTCCCCACCGTCCACCATGCCCGCTCAAACCCTCACCCGCGCTGAGGTCGCCAAGCACAACACCGAGGACTCTCTCTGGTGTATCATCGACCACCGTGTATATGACCTAACCGACTTTGTCGACGCCCACCCCGGTGGCAGCGTCGTCCTGGCCCAAGTCGCCGGCCAAGATGCCACCACCGACTTCTACAACTTGCACCGACAAGAAGTCCTCGAGAAGTACCGCGATCAGCTATGCATCGGTACGATCGAAGGCGAGAAGCCCGAAGTCATCGATCCCAAGGTCGGCGCTTTGAGCCCCGTCCCGTATGCAGAGCCGATGTGGCTGCGCCCCCAGTTCAAGAGTCCGTACTATAAAGAGAGCCACCGCCGGTTGCAAAAGGCCATTCGCGAATTCACGGACAAATACGTCACACCCGAGGCCCAGGAGAAGGAGAGGGATGGCACCTATATTAGTCAGGAGCTGATTAACCGTATGGCCGAGACGAATGTCCTAGCCATGCGACTTGGACCTGGCAAGCACCTGCACGGTCGCTCGCTGCTGGGCGGTGTCGTTGACGGCAAGGAGTTTGACTACCTGCATGACATGATTGTCACGCAGGAGTTGGTCCGTGCGAATGCTCGTGGTTTCCAGGATGGAAACATGGCCGGTATGGCTATCTCGCTTACTGCCGTGCAGCAGTGGCTGCACAACGCGGAGCTTAAGGAGCGGGTCACCGCCGAGGTCCTCTCTGGCCAGAAGAAGATGTGTCTCGCCATTACCGAGGCCTTTGCTGGTTCGGATGTGGCCGGTCTGAAGACTACAGCTGAGAAGACGCCAGATGGCAAGTACTACATTGTCAACGGTACCAAGTGAGTGTTAAATCAGGTTTTTTTCTGTCTACTTTGCATTCACTCACACGTCTCTAGGAAGTGGATCACCAACGGCATGTTCGCCGACTACTTCGTGACCGGCTGCAAGACTGATAAGGGCTTCTCGGTCCTTCTTATTCCCCGCGGCGAGGGCGTCGAGACCAAGCAGATCAAGACTTCCTACTCGACTGCCGCCGCCACTGCCTTTGTGCAGTTTGAGAACGTCAAGGTCCCCGTTGGCAACCTGCTGGGCCAAGAGCACAAGGGTTTCATCGTTATTATGAGCAACTTTAACCACGAGCGATTCATGATGGTTGCTGCCGTTGTGCGCATGTCTATGACTATCGTCGAGGAGTGTCTCAAGTGGTGCAACCAGCGCATCGTCTTTGACAAGAAGCTGGTTGAGCAGCCCGCCATCCGCCAGAAGTGAGAAACCACCTTCCCCAATGGCACAACTATGTATCCATTCAACTAACTTTGTGATAATAGACTCGCCCGCATGATCTCTCTCACCGAGTCCAACCAAGCCTGGCTGGAATCCATCGCCTATCAAATGTGCAACATGACCTACGCCGAGCAAGCCACCCACCTGGGCGGACCTATCGGTCTGCTCAAGTCGCATGCCACCCGGGCTGCCCAGGAGATTGCCGACCACTCGACCAACATCTTCGGTGGCCGCGGTATCACGCAGAGCGGCATGGGTAAGATCGTTGAAATGTTCCACCGCACGTACAAGTTCGATGCCATTCTGGGCGGAACCGAGGAGATTTTGGCGGATTTGGGTGTGAGGCAGGCGATGAAGAAGTTCCCCAAGTCTATGCTTTAGAGGTGCGAGTCTTTGAGTAGGCTTTTAGGGGACCTTTACACGATTGTATTATTATACCAAGGCCCTGCAGTTGATACACTATGAAGAATAAGATGCTGTTAAGTATATCGATCATGATCTGAGGTAGTATGTTTGTGCAACAGTGGCTAAGGGCAGCCTCGTTTTACGCTTCCCTAGCACTTCCTCAAGTAAGCTGGGAAATACCCCCAGTTGTGGATTCGATAGTCCCCTCCCCTTCGAGTTGGTGATTCGGCACGGGGTATTAAGTAAAATAAAATCCACCGAAATTCTTTTGAGGATACTAGATCGCTAGTACCTACTCGGTTAAAGTAGATCACACCGAGAACATAGGATTAGAATTTAAATCTTTGATAGGTGTTCTTTAGGGTTATCATTCGGATATCACGCACTGTGTTTATAGATAATAAAGTTAAGTTTTAGAATTTCAAATTAGAAATCTAGCTAGTGTGATGGGCTTTTATAGGTAGTTACTAGAATAGGAGAAGCGGTATTATTCGTATATATATACACCTAGAGCACTCCTACGGTCGGGTCAAGTAGTAGCATTCCCTTACAATATAGGATGAACTATAACTAAGTTGCCTTCTATAGGCACTCTTATCCTAAGTAGGTTCCGAAAGGTTCGCGCGAACCCCTGAAAGTTATTTCTAGTTAGCGCTATACGTAAGTAACCTAACGATGGCCTACGTCGAGGGAGCCCTCCGAGGAAACCACTTCGTTCTTTCCGTATATCCTTAACTACGATGCGTCGCTAGCAGAGAAAGAGCCAAATCTTATCTATCCATAAAGAGAGCTAGTTGGAGCGACTTATAGACAGCGATACTATTAAATTCTTCCCTCGATAAGAAGTGGTGAGAACCTACTCCGTACATTGCCACCTTCTCTCAATCCCGGAAATCATCGGTCTATGGACGTATATACGTAGTTCAAATTCGCCCTTGCCCGCAGCGTTTGAGATCTAGTTTAAAGAAACACAGCAGAGGGCAGAGTTGGATTCGGGATCGGTTCTAGCGAAGCCGTGCCTTTCTACACACGCGACCCGCCTCGAACCGCGACGAACAAACCCGAACAGACCGCGGTGTGTTTGGGTCGCGGTTTGGAGCGGGTTGCGTGGGCAGATTCCGGATAAGGGACCCGAGAGCTGACGGCTAGTCAGCCTCCGTGTGGTTAACGGTCATCAGGGAAATGTATACTCAACGGCAATGAATTTGCCCCCCTGCTGCCTCCTAAAATGACTGGCATTTCCTCATGGCTGCTAGCGGCTACCGTATGCTATTGATTTGATTGGAAGACAATTTTGTGTTCATTTTTCTTTTTTTTTTTCGGCTCAACCCCATACGCTCAGCGCCGGCATGATGCTCCCAGGCCTATCAAAGTTCCAGCTTCAGCTTCAGTTTGCTTGACTTGAGCACCATGAAGGACACCTATATATATCCCATCCCATTTCTAGCCTGGGATTCATAGCCCTCCCATCTCGAACTTGTATCCTCAGACTTAAACACCAGACTTGCACAATATATTCGCTTTAAGAGATTCCCCCCTCGTCTTGTCTACCATCGTTCAGTATCTATCAATTCAGCTGTCACACTGGGCCAGCATCAGCGTTCTAGTTCCACAGCTCAACGGGCAACACAGCCAATTTATAGTGTCAATCGGTCTCATGGAAGCGGGTCCTCCTCCAATGCCACCCGCAGAGGGCGGTAGTAGTACTTCAGCGGGCCTAGAGCAGGCTTACCTGTTCCTTTCGACTCCGAGGAATCTGCTTGATCCAATATTTGCATGGTCGTACCCATTCAGTCCATTTGGCTCGGGGCTCCAAGGCTGGACCGCATGTAACTACACCCCGTTGATTGGCCAGGGGTCCGCTTTTCCAACGAGCGGGCCGATCACGACCCAAGCGTGGATGAGGAACCCGGATTCACAATCTCAGGAGCCCCTACCGATAATTCCTTCGACGGATGATGTCTTGTCGGTGTTCAGTACTCGTAACAGTAGCCCGATCGAGGCGCAGCTACCGACTAAAGGCCCGAAGGCCATCCAGGAGCAAGGGTCTGGCAACGATCAACAGGTGGACACCCAAAGGTAAGTTGATTCCAATTGATATTGGTTTAAGATGTTCTAACTATTGAACCAGTTCAAGCCAAGGCGTAAGCTTCAAGTGCAAATGGCAAGGATGTACCCACACCGGTACTTTCGGAGCCAAAAGCAGCCTCTGGCGACACATCGATTCGACCCACGTTTCCCCGGACTCGCTCAGATGTCCCGGATGCAAAAAGACCTTTGGGCGCAGGGACAAATACAATGCCCATGTCCGACTCGTTCATCGGGATAGGGCAGATTTGATTGATTCCCTTGGTCGATCGAATTGCGCTTAGCGTATTCTTGAGTCTTCATTGTCATCAAGTTAAGTTCTATATCCTCGGCGATCTCGAATTATCTTTTCAAAATCTCCCAAGGGGGCGATGGCGTTGGCCATGGACATGGGCGGTACAGGAAATATCAGGAACAGGTGTAATTCGTGACGTGTTTGACATTTCGGTTTGATTGGCCCATGTCTATATCTCTGAGCAGCATACATATATCACAGAAGGCATGGAGTAATTCATTCGGTATTCTATTTAAATTGTACAACTGGGAAGACGCTCTTTGAGATCCAGATTGTCTAGATTCGCTCTGTTGATGCCCAAGGCGGACGGGGGAGGCTGTGTATACTTCACGCGTCGGGATCATCGTTGATCCGTGGTGCGGCTCTTATTGCATCACCACCAGCTGCCTGAACCTCTCAACTACTAAACTCGTTTGCTAGTCATATTCACTCCTGCAACTTTGATCGCAGCAACAGAACACACAGAACTATCTCACTATGACAGGAACAAATTCCTTGAGTGCGGACAACGTCCTCGATCTCGCAGCCAAAGCTATCGGCAGCCAGCCGAGTCTCCAAACAGCTTATGAAGCTGTGGCTCTGATCGGCCATGCCTGCATGGCAGCGGTGGACTTTCGGCTAGTGGGACTTGGAGAAGATCACAATCTAGGTGGGTACATCCTCCAGTTTTGGCATGAATAGATTTGACAAGTAATCGCTGACATTTCGACAGATTCATCAGCAGAGTCGCCCGCCCTCCCCACCGAGTGGAATGCCAACTCCACCTTTGCCTTTCGATATGCGCACCCACAATCCTCGATGCAATACTTGCTCAAAGTGAGCCGTCTCGGAAACAATGCCGTGGTTTTCGCACTGGCTCTGGGCGATGACCGCACCAGCTCCTTCGACATCCCCACCAAAGACTACATCTCCGCATCCGCGCTCCCATTCTCGCAAACCGAAAACCTCACCAGTTCACTCCGTGACGTATTTATATCAACAGCTCGGCTGAGTGATTTGATCGGAGAGTTCAAGATCAATGTGATCCAGAAGCTCGCGCCGGGAATTTACAAGGAAGGCTACGAGGCTCCGAGTCAGGCCTCACGGGAGCAACCCGAGGCTTCGCGCCAGCGCGATCGGCTTCGTGATGACTCCCTTCCTCAGCCTGCGCGTCCATATCCTTTTGATGATCCCTTAGCTACTGCTCCCCGGCAACCGAATCCGGCACCCGATTTTGCTCCTCCCGGGTTCGAGGATGAGTTTGAGATCAACCGCCCCCCGCGTGGGTTCCCACCCGGTTTCCCTGGTGGTCGAAATCCGTACAACATTGGTGAACGTGATCTCTACCCTGCTGGTCTAGGGCCGAATGATCCACTGCGTGGAACGATGGGTCCGGGCTTTGGTCGCGGTGGCGGTATGCATCCAACCTTTGATGATCCCCTCTTCGGAGGCACTGGTGGAGCCGGCGGTGGTTATGATCCTCGGGCACCGCCTGGAGCACGCTATGATCCACCCGGACCTGGCTTCGGTCCTCCCTCTGGTCGTGGCCGGGGACCTGGAGGAGGCGGCTTTGGTGGATTCGGAGGTGGGTTCGGCGGCGACATTATTTGATGCGTTGGGAACGAAGAAAAGATAGCTACTCAATTTGACGATTAATGACTGCGATGATAAACTTATGAAATTCGGTTCTGGGAAATGCGCTTCGTGAAAATATGTATTATTAAACATTAAATCTAATCGTATATGTCGTTCGTATTCCTCCAACATTCCCATCGCTCCACATTAGTCCCCGCTTACTTCTTCAATTCAAACTTGCTCTCCGTCTCCAACCAAGTTGCAAAGTCCTTTAATCCAGGGTGAATCTTCTTTACCTCCGCAATATCGGCCGCATAACCCACATCGTGGAACCATTTGAACATGTATCCAAAGTCCTTCACCATATACAATATACCAGTCACCACGAAGCTGAACGTAGTCGGAACATCCTGACCAGTCTTCTCCTTGAAGATCTGCGCCCACTGCTCAAACGTCAACTCATCACCCGCCAACGAAATCGCACGACCCTTGTAATCATGCGCATTCAGGAAGACTTCCGCCGCGACCGCGCCGATATCACTGATCCCGACCATCTGCAACGGCTTCCCCTTCAGCGCGATCTTGAAGGCCGTCGCAAAGACCTTGCCCATGAAGTCTGGGGTGAGATCTTCGTAGAAAGCAGTCGGGCGAAGAATTGTCCAATCCATTTGACCGTCTTTCGTCTTTTCGATCAGATATTTCTCGATGTCATTCTTTTTGATGAAATGGGGGACGTCGGTTGGATTTTCGAGGGACTTTTCGCCGTTGCGATCGACCGAGGTATAGACGAAGTGCTTGACGCCGTGTTTCAGAGCTTCGTCGATTAGGCCCTTGCCTTGGACGTCTTCGGGGATTTTGGTTCCGATGGCGGCCTGTGAATCATAGGTAGTTGTTAAAATTAGTATTCTGTGACTAGGACTGGAAGATAGATATCACCATATAAAGAGGGGAAGAGGAGGCTGTTCATACCTGAACGCTGAATACACCCCAGATCGGCTCCGAGATCTGTTGCTGGGCATTTTTGAAGATCTCGCTTGGATCATTCGAGTCACCCTGTACAAGCTTGATGTTCTTCGACTCCTTGAGGAGCTTTTGTGCAGAGGGCGACTGTGGGTTGCGAGTGACGGCGAGGATCTGGAATGGGGCGTTCTTCTGAACGAGGTTTTTGATAAGAGCACCACCTTGTTTACCGGTGGCGCCAGTGACGAGAATTGTGGCCATTATATCAGAGTGATATGGATATAGAATTGGATTTACGCAGAAAGGTATTTTGTCTGAGCAGGTAGACTGGGATGATTGAAGGGATGAGATTGATGATGGTAAAGACCGGAGATTAGGTCGTTTTTATGTTTCCCCCGCAAGAATACGAGTTGTACTTATTATTCAGCCTTGGCATTTCGGCATTCGCTGACCAAGGAGAATTAGGGCGAATCACCGAGATCAGAAGCGCTGCCAAGGTATCCGGATAATTAGGACCGAGTGTGCTGACTGAATGCAGCGTGGGATTATTGTTCGGAAAGGAGGTTAAGGCCGAAGCGCGGGCTTGATAAGCAACGCCATAACGTTACTGGACCCACGGAGAGTCGAAGGTAAAAGGTTAATAGAGATGTCAGCCCCAAATATGGCTAAGGTACATAGTAAGCAACATAAGAAAATTGACAGAAAAGGAAATAACAGGCATTAAATCAGGGTTATCACCAACTTCCAGGTCATCCAGTCACTCTCCCCCCTCCCCTCATATGGCCTAGTTGGACATAGCTTCAGTGGATGGATCATTTGGGTGTGCTCCTTGAGGGGAAATGACAGTACCGGTCTCCCGTGTCGAGCACGATCTCCGCGGGTGACTGGGCACATCCCTAGGCGGGGAGAGTGGGCGGGTGGGGGCCGGGCTAACCTCCAAAGTATGTACTTCAGCATCGTGAGATAGCGATGGAGCATCGATGTGAAGTACATAGGAAACTAGAGGTTAAGGGTTCGATTCATGGAGAGGATGGTCTTCTTTCCCACCCTTTCTCTATCTCCTCTCCCCTTCTTTCGTTCCGTCTCTACTTTGTTGATGATGCTGATGCTGGCAAATCGGGTTATTTCCCAACAGATCCGCCAATGAAGCCATCATCATCATCGTCTTTTGCATGGATAGTGATACGTGGCGTGTGATCAATTGGATATGGCTGAAACTAGTGCTAGATGGAAGCGCCTAGAGAGAAGCAATCCCCATTTATTACATGGTACTTTTCTGATGTCTACCAAAGTACTGAATTCCACTCCAATCCAACACTCATTTCATAAGCGATTTTTCTACAGATCTCTATCGCCAATGTGTCAGATCCTGGGTCGAATGAACCTCTGCATTCGTATTCAGCTGTCAAGAGGCCCAGATCGAAAGAGTATGGGTTGAATTAGCTGGAATAGACATGAGCGACGCATTATCCGTAACTAGCTCGCCGGCACGGTTGTTCATGACTCGTTCCATAAGTCGAGAGAGCGGATTTCTACAGAACCCACATCTGTGGTGGCCCATCTTGCTGCCACTACTGGAACATTAGATTTGCTTGTCGATGCACGATCAGTCTCTTGGAATGGCAAGTGGAAGGCTAATGACCAAAAGGCCTTGATTGGCGCGTGAGGGATGTGAATTGCGTCCCTCTACATTGCTAGTGATTGGGCACTGGACTATACTAAGCTGAAGCTTGGCGATCTGTTCCCCAAGGACCCTATAATTCATGTCAATGCTTACTTAGAGACCAAGAAAGGCAAGCCGTGAATATGCTTACTGGCGGAATTATGGTGCGAATCTTAGTGCGTTTCTCAACCTCTTTGTCTCGAGCACTCCTACCTTCCAGTACTGGGGCAATGGTGATGAGGTGATGGAGGGAACTACCTACGATCACTCGGCCGAGTTCATGGCTGCATTTGGTTCCGGATCCTAGAGTAGCTGAAACTGTTTTATTTATGCCCTCCTGACCAATATTTCTTACTCTAACCTCAGCTACGTGGTCGTAAATAGTCCTTGCTAGATGTACGACGATTCGGGGGATCGCGAAGACCTTTGGGAAGAATTTTGGAGTGAAGCCAGCCCCTGATAGTCGTGACTCTCTTGATGAAATATTCCAGACAATGCATGAACTTCGCCAGAAGAACCCGTCAATGTCTTCAGTTACATGTCGATTTAAGTGCTTCCACTGCTTTGGAAGCCAAGGATTGGAGTAATCATTGTTTTCACAGGTTGTTATACTACCAATAGATCAATGTTCAGTCTCTTGTGGGTCCTGAGCTGGATAATTCTCAATACCCAGAGCTTAGGCTTGTGGAATGGAAGGCTTTCATGACTCAGTGGACTTTGGAGAAGCTGCCCACGGCATTCTTTGCCATGAACGCTTAAAACGGACAATATGGATAGTGAACTCATCAATGTGTCTTGGTTAACATGGAACATGTTGTCGCTAGAATTTCAAATAGACGACATGATCTTTCTTTCCCAAGGCGAGTCCTCATGGGCGTTTCAAATCGATAGCTCTAGGGATTTGTGATACGGCTGAGCCTAATTGTGTGGATTTGGGATTGTTCACTCGCCAGCTGAACTCGACCAATTGGTCTTTCTATCAAAAGTGGGGTGTTGCTTCAGAGTATTCAACCAAATTTGGTTCATTTGAATCTCATAACTACTCTATTCCAGCAGCAATTGTCAGATCTATAGATATGACGTGCTCCGTTCACAGTATAGTTCTGTGTGGCGCATGAATAGCAGCCCGCAACTGTGGCGCAGCCGTGAGTGTGTGGCGCAAACTCACCTCCAAACTTGCCAAACCTGCCTGACCTTCCCGCAACTCCCATCTCTTCTCCCTTTCCTGCTCTGTTCTTACCCCCCCGTCCACTCCAGTCCCCCTCATCCCTGATCCCTGGAGTTGATTCCGGGAAAACTGTGTATTGCTTGAATTGCTTCTTTCTTGATCTCTCCCCCTTTTAGTCCTCGCTTCTACGATTCCTGGACGAAAACTCGGTGCCTATTTCTCACGAGACCGCCCCTCCACCCCCAGCTGGCCCCTCCTCCCTATTTACGCCAGCTGTGCCCACCATGGACAACAACATGGAAATTGATACCGCGCGGTCGCCCGAACCACACAACCTTTCGCCGACGAGCGACCCCGGCTCCATACCGACTTTGGATGGCTGGATCGAGAGTTTGATGACGTGCAAGCAACTAGCGGAGGAGGATGTGCGGCGGCTGTGTGATCGGGTGGGTTTATCTGCTGGACACAGCGCAGAGCTTCGGGAATTGACAAATTTCTGTAATTCAGGCACGAGAGGTATTGCAGGAGGAGTCGAACGTGCAGCCAGTGGTATGTTTATTGTGATCGCCTACTCCGGTCGGGGGGTTTCGCCAGCCCACCTAGGAGCGCCGCTGACGACTCCACCACAGAAATGCCCAGTCACGGTCTGCGGTGATATACACGGTCAATTCCACGATCTAATGGAGCTCTTCCGTATCGGCGGTCCCAATCCGGATACAAACTATCTTTTCATGGGTAAGTCGGCGTAGCTTTCCTTGTCGGTCGGGGGAGCTAGTGGGGCCAAGCTTTCGTGCTGTTAGCTGGATGCCCACCCCCAAACAACAAAAACAACAAACAAATTCTAACGGGAAAATTCTCGCATTGCTGCAGGTGACTACGTTGATCGTGGTTACTATTCCGTCGAGACTGTGACTCTTCTGGTCTGCCTGAAGATTCGTTACCCCCAGCGTATTACCATCCTTCGTGGTAACCACGAATCCCGTCAGATCACTCAGGTCTACGGTTTCTACGATGAATGCCTTCGCAAATACGGCAACGCCAACGTGTGGAAATATTTCACCGACCTTTTCGACTACCTCCCCCTCACTGCTCTCATTGAAAACCAGATCTTCTGTCTGCACGGTGGACTGAGCCCGTCCATCGACACTCTCGACAACATTCGATCTCTCGATCGTATCCAAGAAGTCCCGCATGAGGGTCCCATGTGTGATCTGCTCTGGAGTGATCCTGATGATCGTTGCGGTTGGGGAATCTCTCCCCGAGGTGCGGGGTACACATTCGGACAGGACATTTCGGAAGCCTTTAACCACAACAACGGCTTGACTCTGGTTGCACGAGCACACCAACTGGTGATGGAAGGATATAACTGGTCGCAGGACCGCAACGTGGTGACGATTTTCTCAGGTACGTCTCTGCGTGGTTGCGGAAAGCGGGGGGGTAGAAGCGTTGTTGAGCTTCTTGTTGGGATCAGATAGCTAACCCACCATTTACTACAGCACCCAACTATTGTTACCGCTGCGGCAACCAGGCCGCTATTATGGAGATTGACGAGCATCTTAAGTACACATTGTGAGTTACTCCTCCTTATTCCCCGCTTGCTATTGTTGGGCTGATTGCTGACCTGTGCCTCCTCTTTCTAGTCTACAATTTGACCCTTGCCCCCGAGCGGGAGAACCTATGGTATCGAGGCGTACACCCGACTATTTCCTGTGATAGATTTCATTGTTGTCCTTCAGGAAGCTACTGGGTTAGCGGAGGGAGGAAAATGCATTCGAACAAGGCTTTCGCTGCCGAATTAATTTTGTATGGTGTTGTGCCTGGCCGTCTGTTGATACCAATCATGAAAATAAAAGACCCTTTTGCGAGATCTGAAACATGCTTTATCTTCGTTCGGGCCTGACGTTTGCAAACAGCTCTGTAACTGGCAGATGTCTAATGGTTTGGACTTTCTAGCGCGACATATCAAGAGTGTCTAACCGCGCAGTGCGAGTCTTTGGGGCCATATCATTCGTCCCATCCTTCTAGGAGTACCGTGTATCATTTTGGCCAACGCATCTTGGCTTGGGATCTTGTGTGGGGTCATTTGAAAGAGAAACGGTACATCCATCACCAACTATCGTTGCACGGCATATCATTCGAGTGCTACAATCTCAGGCACAGAGAGATCCGAGGGAAATGTTTATTATGATGACTTCTAATCAATTATCTTGTACATGCAGTTTATCCACCAAGGGTATCTCTAACCATATATGCATCGCCGTATTTTCCAGATCTCGCAGCAGCAATGCTATACATGGCTACCGCTACTTTCAATATCTCGCTTCGGTTCACCTTCTTGAATCTGCCCGACCGAGTCACTTTTCTCAGCAACGTCGCTCCCCCGGTAATGCCGCACCTTGGAGCTGCCATTCGGGACGTGGAACCGCTTGTCCACGCGGGAGAACAAGAAAAGGATCACGACCGAGATATCGATTCCAAAATTAAAGACGTAGAAGCAGGCCTTGTGCATGTAGGCCGGCGGATCATTGACAGGACGCGGTGGCATCCAGGTAGTTCCAGCCCGGAACGACGCACCGAGACACAACAGGGTGCCAGCCACGAAGACGATGAGAGCCTTGGTCCGCCACGATCCCGATCCAAACGAGGCCACTTTGTCCTTCTCGGCGAAGAACAGAACCAGTGAGACGATGGGCAACGGCAGGAACGAGACGATGGCAAAGTATGTCACTCCGTAGAGTTGAATATCACGATCGATGCGATGCGTATTCGCATTGAGCGTGTACATACTCTGAATCACAGCCGTGATAAGCATGATAATCGAGATCACCACCAGAACGTAGAGAACCTTGAACGCCCACGAGAGAGGACGTGACCAGCCGATAGCCGGGAAGGCCGCCCGCAGCATGCGCTGGGCATAGAGCAGGTTTAAGATGAAGAGCAGCAAAACACCGGCCGCGACGAAGATCTGGGCGGCAATTGCGATTCGCACGTTATGCGGGTAACAGGCCCACGTTATCCGGATCACGTTGGCGACGACGCGCGACATGCAGAAACCGAATGTCACGGCGGAGGGGATGAATTTGTGGCCTCGGGCCAGATTGCGGCGGAAAAGGACCATGTGGCAGATACCGAAACCGAGGAATGCGGCCAGGAAGACGGAACAGATTGGTATGTCGACATTCTTCGTTGGTCGGCCGCCCAGTTGGGCTATGACGGGGGCGTAGGGGCCTCCCATGTTGATGATGGCAGGGACACTGGGATCGAAGGGTATAAGGATCTTATAACGGATATAAGACGGGGAGAGTTATGTAACCGTATAGGCTATCGAATCGTATGGATTCGGAAGGGCGCGATGTTCGATGGATTCTAGAAGAAAAAAAACGGCTTGGATGGCTTGGAGGCCTAGGAGATACATTTTGGGCTATATACCAAGCCGGCCGGCTGCACATAGCGTGGCATTTCCGGCAGTAAGGGTCAGTGAATGGACCTCGCGGAGACCGAAAGTGCGAGACAGTGTTCGAGCAATCATGTCCGATCAATCAGGTCCGAGCTGAACGGTCGGGGGTATCAGCTTTGACTGGTTCCTGGTTCCAAGTTCCATGGGGGCTGGCTCTGAGCTCGCGTGTTGGGAAAAAGGGTCGCACATATACCAGGTCCGCGAAAGACGTACCCACATATCTAAACCATAAATCACTAGATGGGACTATAGACGCGAGCACTGATGAGGCGCTTTCATACCAGAGCTTTCAACATTCCTATTCACCATTTTCTCTCTATCTTGAGGTGGAGGTTCAATCTACAGTGCTCCCACATACACATCATACTACGTCTACGCATTGGGAATGATTCGAAATAGGACAACCTGAGTTCTATCATCTTTCATGTTTGAAAATCGGAGTATTTATTTTCATAACATTTCTCCGATCACACCCAATCAAAGCGCACTCGTTATACTTTTAGGGTCGGTGTCGGCGGTTGTTCGCGCGCCGGTGGAACCGGAGGCCGAGCCACCGATTGACCGAGTGGATCCGGAGTTAAAGTTAGGACGAGGATCAGATCAGATCCGGACTTTGCAACTAACGAGCAGAGGGTTTTTAAAATCGCAGACAAATAAGTAAAGACGGCTCGCATGATCTTCGCTTTTCTTTGATTACCTTCCTTCTTTTGTTCCAGACCGATTTATCCCTAGCCGTGTCGTTGCAGTTGCAAGCTCGATAAAGCCAGTTCTAGTCAATTGTCGGTCAAGCATAGCACCATGGAGAACTCAGCCTCGAACTGTGAAACAAAACAAACTTTGTGCAAATGAAAATAGGCTAATTGCTGATTATCAGACGCATCAAGGCTATCATACCTCTCCTGCCACTCAATCTTTTTATCATACAGACAAGTTCTTGGCCTTCTTCGCCAGTATATCCTCCACCTCCTTTGCATGCTTGGAGAAGTTATCCACCAGGTTATCCCACATCTTGGGTTCATGCTCATGCTTCTTATCACTGTTCCACGCATATTCAGTAATTGTGAACGGCCGGCTGGACTCGAACATGATCGCGATCGAGGCCTCGGAGATTTGCATCACGGGCGGCGCCTGCTCGCTTGCCGCTTTGAATTCTTCGTAAGCCACACCATGGGGAACCACTAAAAAGAGACACTGTCAGCATCATGAGCGACAATATTGGCCTGAAGCCCATTATAAAGTTGGGGTATGACGTACTTCCGCATTCAAAGGAAACGCTACCCGGCTTGAAAGCGTCAGAGCGACCGCCGTACTCGCCGTAGATAAGACCCATTAGTTCGGAAGCGACATTGCGATGGTAGTATGGAGGACGGTAGGTGTCTGTGTTGAAAGTGTTAGAAGTCTCAATTAACACCGCCGTTCAATGTGGAACCATACGGGATGCAACGTCCCATCGCGGGGAGAAGGTCAGCAAGTCCGCCAACGGCGAAGTCAAGTCGCGCGACTTGGCTGTGAGAACACAGAAAATAGACGGGTCAATGTGGTCAACGGAGATGGAGCCCACATTGACGAATTTGGTGAGATCATATTTATAAGGGACCTAACGTGAGATTAGCAACCCACTCGACAGTTCCTTGATACAACATGGCACGTACGTAGTTTCCATGCCAGGCGACAACATCGAATGGACTATGGTTCTGCGTGCTCTTGAAAAACTTGCCACCAAGCTTATACACAATCTCCCAGGGCTCCTGGGAAATCTCATATTGAGCAACGGGGCTCAGGAAGTCTCGCGCATTCGCCAAACCATTGGCACCCAAAGGTCCAAGCTCTGGCAGTTCGAAGCAAGTACCCCAAACTTCAAGGATATAACCACGCGAGGGCCCGTCAGGTACTTCCACGCGGAAGCGCAAGCCACGCTGGATAACGACGATCTCGCCGGGCTGCACGAACAGGGGTCCAAACTCGGTCTGAATATCGAGTGCGCCCTGCTGTGGAACAATGAGGAACTCTCCGTCCGAGTTGACAAAGGCCTTCTTCTTCATGCTGGTATTAGCGACGTAAACGTGAGTTGCCAGACCCTCGCGCAGTGTTGGATCACCCGAGCCAGCTACAGTCTTCAGACCGGAGACAAAATCGACTTCCTCATTTTCGGGGATCTCGAAGGGGTGCCATGCGAGCTGGGTGGGGGAGACGTGAATGCGAGGGTTCAAGGGGAGGAAGTTGGACTCGGTGTCCTTGTTATCTGGGAGCTCGGTCTTGAGATAATTAGCTTTGTTTGTAAATTTGATATATATGACAGCATGGATAAGGAGTAGTGCATACAAAGCCCTGGTGCGCGACTGCGGGACGGGCCCGGTATAGCCACGCCTTCTTGTTCGCATGTCTCGGGGCCACAAATGCCGTGGCAGTGATCTGTTCGGCATAGAGACCGAAACGGACGTTACGAGGACTGTTCTGGCCTTGGGGAATGGTTCCAGGGACTGCTTCTGACTCGAAACTGTACAAAATCAGTCAACTAAATCGTTGAATGTGGCAGTTTATACCTACGAGTTTCCAAACCCGGATTGGTACTGGGAAGACATTAGCGAATTGGTTCCAATTTCGAGTGATGTAGCGATCTACCTCATAAGGATCATTCCGTCTCGTAGCAAAGGAAGGAATTGCCCCGTCCTGTTGTGTCTCTGCCCAGTGGAGGATCTTCTGATACTCCTTGGGATCGGCGAGGTCACTTGTGGAAGGCATGATGGATCGATATACTTCAATTGAACGGTTGAAACCAAAGCGAGCAGTCTGGTCAATATATCCAATATGTTCACAGCCCAAATGAACCCCCCGGGGTACACTCCCCTCCTTATACTTCAAGTTGTGGGGTCATACCCCTTGATCCCCGAAGAACAAGAGACCAAAAACCAGGCGCCGAGGACTTCTCAACGCCCATCGCACGATCCACACGGGTAGAGTACCAGACTATCGTCGTCATCGCCGCAATTCCATCATCAGCTGAGCACAAGAGAGCACGCAAAACGGGCCACCCTGAGCGAGCGGCCTGGCTCGGATCCCAGCGTCACGCCCAGTCCTCATGCTTTCTCATACAAATCGGCATCTCGAAGGGACGTCGCTCTGCCGACCTCCCCGGGCTGTGGATCGCGATTCGTCCGCGGGCGCGGTGGGGACAACTCAGCGGGCGCGGCAATTCGAGAAACTGGGTTCGCAACCCCACATGAGTCAGGCCTGAGTAACGGGTGGAGGCGCTGGAACTATGTGTCCGTGGGGTACTGATGGAGGGAAAGGACAGCCGCTATATTGCTGTTTTTGCGATGCTGGTCTTCCGTGCGATCCACTGCTTTGCAACGCCTGGAAGTCGGGAGGCGTCGGTGGGGTCGTCGTTTCCATGAGGAGATGGGCGGGAACAGGCGGTGCGGGAATCAACAATCTTGTCAACTGCCGATTCCCAGTGGCATTCATGAGTTGTCTACAGATGGACCGCAATTCGCAAAGTATATTCAGCTCGCCGCGAGATTCCACTCATAAGATTCATGGTTTAGTTTGGACATAATGTGGGTGCCGATCCGTGACTTGCCGAGGGTATACATCTACAGTGGCTGTTAGTTTGCTCTACCAACAATGACGCTTGTTAAATGGATGTATATCTATTGCAGAACTAATATGCTCTAATTGAGTAGGCTAATACGCCCAGCGGTCAGAGAAGCAATAATAGGCATGTAGCTTCTAATGCTGGCCTCTTGGAGCACCTTACAGTGCTCAACTCGTCGTCGCGCGGCAAATTGGGTCTCGTTGATCTCCTTGCATTCGCCGAAAGGCCCGTACGCATAGCGATGCTCTTCAGACCAGGGATTCTCACCATGAACAAATCGAATCCAGCGATTGCGCATTTCTTGTCCGACTGCCTGCGCGGCAGGGTTGAAGGACAGGTCGACTCCTTCGAAAAGGAACAGAAGATCCACCGCGTGATGAGATCGGCTGGATGGCTGCCACGGGTTGAACTGGTCCACGACATACTTGTAGACTCGCTTGTTTGCTGCCTTTAGCTTATCGGCGACGAGGTCCACGGGCAAAGTGTAACGAGCATCATTGACAAGATCCAGTGCACCCAGCTTTGCAGCTGTAGGGCGATCGGCCACGACTTGGTATAGTTTGCGCAGCTTGGTACCCCATTGCTTCTCGTTATCGAACGCCGCGGCAATAGTCTCACCGTCCAACAGCTCAACGCCATTCCTCCAGATCACGGACTATAATATGGTCAGATGGGGTTTGGAAACCTATATGTGCAGTGGCCTTGGACATACCTCGTATTCTGTATCTCCAATCATGAGCTCATCCACCTGCTCAATTCTAGTCTCCCAATTATCCAGTTCAGGCTCTTCCTGAATCCACATCGTATTGACATTGCAATCTTTCAATGCCTGAATCAGTACTGGGACGGATGATTCCCGAAGTGAAGACTGGCCCAGTTCTTGAACCTTGGCTTCAAGGGTCTTAATGAGACCGTTGCCTCGCTCCACCGGTAGTGGCGAGGACAAGTACAGAGTTCCCGATGCAAGGACGGCCCGCTTCACAGGTGGTCCGGTGATAAGGTGGGCATGGGTATAAATTGCACCCGCGCTCTCACCAGAGAGCGTAATGTTGTCCTATATTCGGTTAGCAAAGGTTCCTATCGTTAGGATAGAAAGTTACTCACAGGATTACCGCCGAAAGACGCGATATTTTTGCGCACCCAGTCAATACCAAGTCGCTGATCCTTCAGAGCCAGATTCTTTTCCTTGCCGTCTCCGAAGCTGAATATATTGAGCCGATAGTTGATTGAAACAAAAATGATTGGCTTTCCTGCTTTCATAGAGTCGGCCACAATCTTTGTTGGATCTGTCCATTGTTCAGTTAGCTACCGTATCAGTTTCAATTAACATCAAATCAGGAACATACCACAAATCTTCGACTGAGCAGAGCAAAAAGTGACGATTTGGGAGCCACCATGGATCCAAACAAGCACTGGGAGGGCTTCGGTTACCGAGGAGGCAGGAGGACAAGTGATCTCCAGATTCAAGCATTCGAATTCATCCTCTACCTCTGGAGCAATGGCAAAGTCTTCAGGGATGCGCAATAGGTGGCGAACATCCACGTCGACTTGAGGACATCTGGGCCTGTATTACACTGTCAGAGATTCAAATTCTTGAACATTCAGATCGCACCTCCGTCAGTCGAGTTCACTAATCCGAGGCGTAGACATACCCATATTTCGTAGCGTCAACAATGGCGCCAGCAAAATTATCTACCGCGATCGCCCTCTCGAAACGTGCCGGAACACTAGCATATTTAATTCCCAAGAATTTGTGAACGGCGACTCCTTCATCATCGCTCTGACAGCCCTTAAAGGTAGCATTGAGAATTTTGTGTTGAACCTCCGGAGCCGACATGATGGTGGCTTATGGAAAGATGGCCGCAAGTATGAAGCGAGCAAGTCAGTATGTACCAGGCGAGTATACAAAATGTCCCTGGCGAGGCACGGCTAACACCACCCTCTCAATTCCCGAGCCGCCCGCCTAGCGCCAGGTTTGGCGTGATTTCCGCCCATACTTTTCCATTTTCTTTTTCCAGTTTGGCTGTCGTGGATCGTGGGGAATCCACCTCGTGGGGTACAGGTAGTTACCCCACTCTTACGCCCGGGAGGACTAGAATTCAGTACAGTATGTGTCTGTTCGGCTGGAACGGAACAGTTTGGGAGCTCGGATTTCTTGCCGATAGTAATTGTTCAGCGTCATTTCAAACGGATCTTGATGTACCTAGAAAGAATTGTCTGGGCAGCTGAATTACCTGACGCTTTGCTCTTGACGAACTGATTGACCTTGTTATTGGCCTCTCCATCGTAGCAGCTTAATCAGGCATCAAGGCAGATGTTTCTCCCCGGCCTGAGCAGGATTCTTCTTTTTCCAACCAATCAGGAATGCATAATAGTATGATTTGCCTTAGAGCAGAGATCTATCTTTTGTCATCGCTATATGTACAGTATGAGGAGAGAAGTATGCTAGTAAATGATGTGAAGAAGAGAAAGAACCGCATTCCAGGGGAAGCAATGCACGAGACAATCCATCACCTACTCCAACGTCGATTTATCAGCTTCAGTTGGAGCAGACGGCTTCTTACCAATCCAACCTCCAATGAATAACAATACGGGGATTGCAGATACACCAGCAATGAGGCCCATGGCCCATCCCATAGTCCCCCAACCAGCGTCCTGCCGGATAAATCCAGCAAAGAATGGCCCAACAAGACTGCCCGCTGCGAAGCCCATATTGGACAAACCGAATGCAAGCGCCATGGCACCACCACGGCCGAAGCTATCGGGGAACTCGTCTTCTTTTTCCTTGACGGCATGGAAGACCTCCGTGACAAGCGGGGGCATTGCAACGGCCAGACACAGACCAAGTAATGCTAGCAAAACACAAAGAATTACTTTGTGATGCATCGTGTCGTCGGTCACTAGTCGTAGGAGAACGGCGACGGGGACCGCGCAAATGAATGCTCCGCTTGCAAGATAGCGGGGGGAGCCTGGGTATTTATCGATTATATACCCTGTTATTGGGTCGGTGAGATGAGGAACCATCATCGGAATGAAGATGAGTCCTTGACCCGTCTGCTCCCAACCGAAAGTTTCTTGCACGAAAAGAGGAAGGACACTGTCGAAGGAGGTCAAAACCAAAGACACGATAAAATATCCCCAGAGGGAGACAATCAGACGAGAAGAGCTCAGCAGAGTAATGGCCTGTACGAGGGGATTCCGAGCTTTGGTTGACTGCTTTTCGGACGGATCAGATGGTGTGCCATTTCCCATTACTGAAGACTCGGGTGCAGTGTCCGTCGGTGTCTTTTCCCCGACATTCTGCTCCGGTGATAATGGCCTTCTCTCAGGCGTGAGCCATCGTGCAGCATGTTTCTTCTCGATCAAAACCAACCGCAGAAGAATATCGATGCCGATCAAACCAAAGGCAAGACCAAAGACAGAATAGTACCCGCCATGTTGGTAGAGGACACCACCAAGAAGCGGACCAGCCAGTGTGCCAATACTTAGAGACATAGACACATATCCAATAGCCTGGCCCAAGCCTTCTTTACCAACGGTATCGACCAACAGTGCGATGCCGACAGTCCAGACAACGGCTGCCGCAGCACCTTGGAACAGGCGGCCCGCGATCCAAAGACCGATATTGGTTCCAATACAAAGTAATGCAGTTGCAGCAGCCAGAAGAACCAGACCGACGAGGAACGGCCATCTTCGAGACCCGGCTCGGTCGGCGAGATAACCGATTATAGCTAGAATTGGTGTCAACAAAGGGTATGCTCTGGATGGAGGGAGAGACGTACGAGAAAAAGCAAGCAATGCTGCAGAGTACAATGCAAGCAGAACGGACGTCCACGTCTGAACTATAAAGAGCAAAAATAGTTAGTACAATCGCGTCGGGTTAGAATTGGAGAGTTCATATACCTTTATCTTCTGCAAGACCTACTCTGCGTTCCAAGGCTGTAGGCGTGACAGGCACAATCTAGATCGAAAATCAGTCTTGTGGTCCTAGTACTTGAAGTGACAGCAACAGATTACCACATACCAGTCCATACATAAAGATATCCTGTGTTCGGTCAGTTATCGAAAATTCTCGCGAATGATAATGGCCAAACTTACCGTGCATGCAGCGAAAGAGACAGTGAATAGAATAAACCATCTTGCCGATCTGATTTCTAGAAACCTCGGCCGCTTAGATTCATTTCCACCGTGGAGGAAACCCAGGATTTTATTCCATGAGCCCATTATAGCAACAAAACCAATGTAAGGGGAACGCGGGTCCCACGCGACGTCATATGGAGCAATCCAAAGTTGCAGAGTTAAACAAGCTCCGCGAGTCCGCAATGTTGATCACCCAGTATGCGAATAAACTTCAGCTAAAAAGAAAGATTTGAGAAAAAACAGCCTGATGCTCTTCATATATGATCCACGAGGGCTGTGAAGTGAAATATCGAGACAAAATTTAACGGAAGCAAATTACCCCCCGAGAACCGGAACCCGCGGGCTCCGAAGCAACGCGGGGAGCCTTTTTGGTCGAATTCCCTGATTCTGCGCTTCAAATCAGATGGATTTTGGAAACGCTTGCTTTTAGCCAATTGTTTTTCAAGAATTGTGCTTCGTATTTGAGACACGCCGAGAGCTGTTCCCATTGGGACCTGAACGCCTTACATAGAATACGCGAAATCGATTTGAGCGAGTGTATAAAAGTCGCCGACGATGCTGGATTCAACTAACTGATCCATGATATAGCGATAACAACTATGCGGAACCTTAATCCCCTTTAAAGATGCGCCTTCGGTTTCCTACTCTTTAGAAGTTCCTTAAGCTGTCGCCGCAGGATCTTCCCACTAGGACTCTTCGGGATCTGTTCCAGCACATGGATACCACCACGAAGGCGTTTGTGGTTTGCAATTTTCGGATTCAACCACGAGTGAATCCCATCGATGACCGACTTCAGATCTCTATCCTTGGCTTGGCGACTGAGAACCACAAATGCCACAGGGAGTTCGGTTGCTTTCTCGTCCACCCATACACCGACAACGCCAGCATCTTCGATATCCGGGTGGTCGATCAACTTGCCTTCAAGCTCGCTGGGAATGACCTGTAGACCCTTGTACTTGATCATCTCCTTAATGCGGTCTTGGATGGTGATATATCCCTCGTGGTCGATTGTGGCGATATCTCCGGTGCGAAACCACTTCTTCCCATCCGAGTCGACATGGAAGGCACCCTTGGTCGCCTCATCGTTGTTATAATACCCGCGAGTCACGTTGGGCCCGCGACACCAGATCTCCGCTGGCTGAGTGGTTCCGTCTGGGTTCATGGCAGCGTCTTCCATGGTGTCCGGGTCCACGAAGCGGAACTCCATGTTGTTGGTGATGCACCCCACGCCTGATTGACGTTTATCCATGCGGTCATTTGGAACAGCCGTAGCCATTGGCGAGGTCTCGGTGAGACCCCAAGACTGCGTGCAGAAGACCTCGGTTCCCCAACCTGTCTTGAACTTCGCCTCTAAAGCAGACGATAGCTCATTCGTGAGGGGGGCAGCAGCAGACATGATTCGTTTCACACTGCTAAGGTCGTACTTGGCAACTCGTTCATCTTTGACGATCATGAGTGCAATCGGTGGTACCAAGGCAAGTTCGTCGGGTCGGTACTTCTGAACACAGCCAAGGTATACGTCCAGGTCAAACTTGGGCATTACTACCACCGAAGTTCCCCAAATCAAGCACTGACACATATACAAGTTGAGGCCATAGATATGACTGAATGGCAGGAAAGCGATTGCATTTTTTCGCTTGACTTGTTGCGAGGGCGAGCCGGTGTCAAGCATGTGGGCACGCCATTGTTGTAGGTTGGATGTAAGATTCTGGTGAGTTGTGATGACACCCTTCGAGGGGCCAGATGTACCAGAAGAAAAGCAGATGAATACAATCTTCTCCGAAGCCTCGGAGGATGAGATCGCCGTCAGAGGAGTAGGGGCAAATGTACTAGCGATATACTCGCAAGTGGGCTGTCCATCGACCGGAGACGAGCCATCTAGGAGGATGATCTTCTCAATAGAAGTACCCTTTGCTGCTTTCTGCGCTGTTTCAAACAAGGAAGAATGAACAATAATGAACCGGGCTTTGCTGGTCTTGAGCTGAGCGTTGAGTTCCAAGGCTGTCAAGGCTGCACTGGTCGGCGCAACGATAGCACCTGCACCAATAATCGAATGGCATGCGATGGGATACTCGATGGAATTGGGGCTGAATAAAGCGACCACATCTTCGGGTTGAAGGCCAAACACCTGCTTCAGTCCGTTGGCTAGGGATTTGGTCCGTTTGATGACGTCGCTGTACGTGTATTGCTTTCCAGAGAGAGAGTCAATGTACACAGGCCGGTCCAATGGGGTGTTCAAGGGATTTGAAAACAAGTAAGAGAGCAGATCTATCGATTCAATCTGTAGATCTGGAAAAGGTGATTGATAGATTCTCGAAGGCATTGCGAAAAACAGAGCAGATCCCCTTGTCGATATCAAAGAAAGGGGAAAGAAAATCAATTCACACCACGTTGCAAGTCACAGCTGATAGCTTGATCTAAGTAGAAAGCTCTTGAAACTCTGAGATGCCAATTTTGAACTTCAATCCTGATCAGCTGTCCTCTTCGGCACTCTTTGTCGGATCAATAATCGGGTCCTGTGGTTTATCCTCCTTTGCCGTTGGCGAGTGCCGACCGACGAGATCCCCACAAGCTCCTAGTTCGCGCCTATAAGATCCCCAGATTCTGGGGATCCCCCAGTCCCCACTAGTTGTTCCGTTTGTTCCGCCTCGGTCTGTTCAAGGGTCCTCGGTTTGATTATTTTGGGGATTACGAATGCCTAGGCTATGAACAAATCGCGATTCGTACATGATTTAGCGACTACCTTTGTATAATACCCTTCTTTCATACTAGCCTCAGACAATATAGAAGTACTCGATATTTGAATCATGCTTGCGTATCTTACTCTAGAACAATCAGCTTGACTGGAAAGTCACAAAAACTTTGGCCAAATCGTCCAAAGCTACCACGGAGGAGCACTCATACAGAACACTTCTGCGCAGAGTCTCACCACCGAATGCTTGTTGCGCAACACTAGTCATGGTACCCTTCTGACTGGGGCCATAAATGCGTGCCGAAAACCCAGCGTCGATGGTTCCAGGAGTAATAGCTGGCCACGGGGCAATTCCATGGCAGAATTTGAAAAAGTCTTCAGCAAATGTTTCACCCACTTGCTTTTGTTCTGGAGTTAGGAACTCGCCGAGGTTCTGGAAAAAGTAGATCACATCGAGGATGTGATTGGCACGACCTTTCCACGGTCCGTCCCAGGGGTTGCCCTCATTGAAATAGTAAACATGGGCATTTCCGTTCCAGCCACGGGCAAAGTTAATTGTTGATGAATGGAATAAAATATCCGTGAAGAACTTTAGGATAGACAGTATCGCCTCGTTATCAAGAGTACCTTCGGAAACTTGGTAAGCGTCGAGGATACGCTGGGCAATCTCCGGATGTGATCCGACATTTTCATTCAGCGCGGCAATGAATCGCTTTGCACAGTTATTTCTCATTTGCGGCGACAAGTATTCAAAGATGCTTGCCTATATTGGTCATGTCTTGTTAGTAGAGGCGACCATAAATATGAATGAATTAACTTACGTCAACTTCAGCATCTCCAATCAACAAGTCCTTACACCAGTCCTTCCCGGGAAGCACTTTCGATGCCAGGTTTCCGACTTCCGAGTATGTCACACCGGGAGCGACAAGATCACTGTCGAGAGCCGGGACATATCTCACGGATGGAGGGAGCTTGGTGACTAAGTCTTGCCCAGGCATCTCCAACAAAGCTTTGACCCGATCTTCAGCTGAAACATCTGCCAGTCCCAACGCTGCCATTGCCTTTTGATAATTTTCTTCATGTATCTCGTATGGAAGGGCCTGGATGAGAAGCGACGACCCGCTCATAACGATTGCACGCTTGAACAATGGAGTTTTCGAGTGTAGATGATACGTCACAGATGCTGGAAATAATTAGTCCTCCAAATTCATATCTGGAGGTGGGTATACACACCGGCTCCCGCACTCATTCCTCCTGTCGTAATATTCTCTGGGTCTCCACCAAAATCGCGAATGTGCTGATGTACCCACTCCAATGCCACTCGTTGGTCTCGTAGACCGTTATTGGATTTGTATCCCGCATCGCGCAGTTCCTTGGATGTGAGGAACCCTGGCGCTCCCAGACGATAACTAGAAGTGGGTTAGCCGTGGTCCTCCCATGAGTAGAACAGATTTGATCCTTACTTAATAGCTACAATAACCACCGGTAGTCCTTTCTCAATGGATAACTTCGCCAGTCGAGTTAGATCGTATTGTGGCCAGGAATTAGCACCAATGAACAGACCACCGCCATGGATAAAGAATAAAACGGGTAGGTTCGACGATGAGGTTGCATCCGATGGAACTGCAATATTGAGATTGAGACAATCGAGATCGGATTGTGGAAGTTCCTTCTTTGGTAGAGAGTGTTGCACATGGCCTAACTCGATATCGCATCCGATGGGGAGCGATAATGCCGTGGGTCTGCAGCCAAAGTCAGCATATTTGTTCCATAAATCCAGAGAGAAAACTCACCCATCTGTGGATGCATCGAGTAGATCTCCTTGCCGTTCCTCAATCAATTGTGCATCCGCAAATCGACTCTCCAGAGTTGCATATTTGATTCCCAGGTACTGCGTGACCCCATCCCCCAATTTCCCCCGAATCTGCCCCAGTTTGCTTGTATTTATGGTGGCTGTCATAATGATGTGAACTGAAAGTGCAGGTTTTCGCACAAGACTAGTCAAAGATAGAAAGCTTCAGCTGTGCTACCGCCATCCACTGGACTTTAAGTATCCCCCCACTTTCAAGCCGGAAAATCCGCTGGGGGATTTCCGCTCCCTGCGCTTTAGCAACTGCGGGGGTAAACGAAAACAGTGATTAAGGTTATCCAAATACACTAGGATTCCTTAGCTAAGTTTGGGGTACAGGGGTATGTAGAGACTGTCATCCTAGTGTCATCTGCAGTCATAACTAAGCACGCACTCGACATTCTGTCAATAAAGAGAAGCGGTATGTGTCAAGAAACTTGCGGGTTCGTTCTACAAGGGCTAGTTCCATATCGACCCGGACTTCGCCATAGCAACTGTTTTGTAATATGGCTATCCGAAGTGCCGTATTGACTGATTTCCAAAAAATACCCCAGCCAAGCTAGAAAGTGCAAAAGTTGCCTTCAAAAGATGCTTTTTACTTAAGGCGTGGGCACACTCTGATCACGGGACCTCCGATAAGAACCTTCCCCCGCGGTCTTATCGGGCAAGGGACAGCTCCGTTTTCCCCCTCCTTCACGGACTGTAAATAGACATCAATACACCATGTCGCAGAATAAGGAGTACGTACAGCTCTGTATCGTGTACCGCCGTGCATGCTGTTGATATAGATGGCAGAACGCCCCGCATTCGAGCATGTCTCTTCGACATGGACGGTCTATTGATCGACTCCGAGGACCGATACACTCAGATCACCAACGAAGTGCTGCAGATGTATGGCAAGCCCAATCTACCCTGGTCAGTCAAGGCCCAGCTACAGGGCCGACCCCAACCCGAGGTATGTACAAGCATTGGCATCTACCCCCCTCACGAACATCCAGAATCTAGCACTCACAGCTTCCATAGGCTAGCAAGATTTTCCATGACTGGGCACAACTCCCCATCACACCGGAGGAGACCTTCGCCAAGCAGGCGGGCTTGCAAGCTAAGTACTTCCCTCAGTGTCAGCCACTGCCAGGAGTCCCAGCTCTCCTTTCCAACCTGGTGTCCACCCAATCCACCGACGACCCGGTGTACATCGCTCTAGCCACCTCGTCCAACAGCCGAAACTTCAAGCTCAAGTCCGACCATTTGTCCGACCTGTTCTCCGCTTTCCCGCAAGTGCACCGTGTCCTCGGAGATGACCCTCGTATCGGCAAAGGACGCGGCAAGCCATTGCCTGATATTTATCTGCTCGCTTTGGAGACTATCAACGCCGATCTGCGCAGCAAGGGCAAGACCGAAATCACGCCCGCGGAGTGTCTCGTCTTTGAGGATGCCGTTCCCGGTGTTGAGGCTGGACGTCGTGCCGGTATGCAGGTGATTTGGTGCCCGCACCCCGGTCTTTTGGAGGCCTATGAGGGTCGTGTAGAAGAGGTGCTCGCTGGCCGAACTGGACAGCACAAGGAAGAGGACAAGACGGAGGCTGAGAAGGAGGCTGAGGAGTTGCAGGCTTGGCGTATTCAGGGTGCGGGTGAGCCTGGGGAGATTGGTGATGGATGGGGACAGCTTCTCAACACCCTGGAAGATTTCCCTTACGAGCGGTTTGGAATTCGGATTCCTTAGAGTCTGGTAGATACAGTGTGAAAAGGCACAAGCTTACGTATATAGATTAACAGAAAGCTCCGAAGACGGACGCAAATGGTTCAAAACTAGTATTTGTAAATGCCCATCGCGGTTTTTCCTACTATCCATCCAAGTCAAAAGACAAATAAGAATCGAAGCCACGGTGGTCTCGAAAATAACATAAGCAAGGCTTAACAGTACGATCTTTTTGTTATTGCCGTCGCTTATTACACCAGTCAAGTGAGCGTTTGTTACCTTCTCAGTCAGTCTTTTTATTGGAGAATTGCGGCCTGATCGAAGTCCGACCCCCTCAGACTATAGTACTGCCACCTCAGGAGTCGGGACTCGGGCCAAGACAGCAGGGATGAGTATCCAAGACGGTTTGAAAGAGCGTCTCTATGTTTCCCGACATGGAAGGCAAAAAACGGCCGGCACTGTAATTCCGCTCTTGTTTTGCGAGCTTCGCCGAGGAAGCTTATTTCACATTGGCAATTAGGTCTTCGCAATGCCTGTCTGCACTGGAAGATCTGGATCAGACACAATTCTTCATGGTTCCTTAAAGAAAGGATTGCCTGGTGATTCACTGACCTCCAATAGCTCTTGTACTGATACGGACCCTCGTACTTTCGCACAGCGTTGCGGTGGTGGTTACGACTTGTCGTACAGGACCCGAAGTAAACTGCAGCTTCTTTTCTCCCCTCGCCTGGGAATTGGCCATTTGGTCTTCTGGTTTGCAGCAGAGTAGTGAATATTTCCACTCTCTCTTTGGGAAGGTTGCAGCGATTAAAACTGTATCCCCTTCAATCCTCTAGTTTCGATCCTTCGTCTGCATTTTCATCCTGTTCACTAGATCCCAGGAACGGCATCGACCACACCTTCAAGCTGTTATCAGCCTGGCTGATGCCCGAGTCTGACTCGGCTTCGTCAAACGAATCATCCGTGGCTCGGTGCCTCTGACCAGAGCAAGTTGCGACAACGTTGCCCATAGGGTGAAACACGGTACTTGAAACAGCATCTAGCTCGTGTTAGTGATTGTGAAGTTCAAACAGGGGTCAGTAATACAAACCATCGTGGACTTTAAACTCCCAGTCCGGGTCTTGTCCTCCTGCAGAGTAGATGGGATTCCTCCAAGCCCTCATCATTCCGTCTGTACCTCCCGCCCAGACTTCGTAACCATCAGCCCCGGCAGAAACGATATCAATATCCATTCGCTGATTCGTCATGGCCTTGCGTCCACGCAGATAACCCAGCATCTGACCCGTGACTCGAATATCGTACACCAAGACCCCATCACTCTTGCGCTCCGCAATAAACAAATACCGACCACAAGGGCTCCACGATAACTGGGTGACACCTTTACCGCCAATAGCGCGGTTGGCATCGGTCTTTGCAACATTAAAGGTGCCAAGGAGTTCTCCAGAACCATTGGAACTATACAGTCCCACATGCCTGGTGAATGTTCCCGCGGCTAGAATACCATCACCGCTTGGGTTGACCGCCAACGCCGACACAATGCCTTTCATGCCGACTCCTCCGCCGACGATCTGTTTGCGCTTGCTGGGAATAGTCGGCATCCATGAGACAGGACCGCTGGTTCCAGGACGGGATACGTCGAAAAGACAAATCATGCTGTCAGAGCCCGTTAGGAAGTGGGTTCCCCCAAGCGTGGATGGATAGATCATGGAGTGCGGAGTAATAAAGGCCTCGGTTGTTGGATTGACTAGGGAATAGCTAGCCACGCATGATGGAGCAAGTGTGGAAGCTAGACGAATTGGATGATCACGGACAGATGACAGGAATAACGTGGTTGAGGGATCCTGAAGGCTGTAAAATGGGTAGAAAGCTGTGGCATAGGTAGGTTCCGCTGAAGGAAGTGTCGAGTATGGAGATAGATGGTGTGTAGAAGTCTTCTCCAAGAGATCCGGGGGCCTGTTTGAGAATTAGAAACGAGATGAAATAAAGAATCATAGAACGTAAGAATCAGAGAATGGGCAGTGCAATGCATCAATGGATTTTACATGATGAATAGTGCAATAACATAGAGTTGATCCCCTCTAGCTACATAAAGATCAAGCGGAATATCCCAACGAAAGATGTTGCCAGCAAGTTCCAGCACACAAACCACTTACAGGATATATGACCGGATATGATGATCAGCAGAGTTTGCTAAAAGGGTAGTTCCATCAGGACTCCATTGAGCAGATTTGAAGTAGCCATCACTAGAGGGCCCGGGTGATTCTCTTGTCTGCTCAACTGTCGAAGCCACACACACTGGTGAGCCATCACGAATATCCATTTTTGAGAAGAGCTGGCCGTTTCATCCGCGAGCTACAGAGAGTTGATCCGTTTTGCTTTTCTTGAACGACGAGGTCATCGACGACTCATCCTCTAGTCAACGACCCCAAACGAGAACGCACACGCGATCGTTGCCTAGTCCCAGCCGCCTAATTTTTTGGATTGGCAGCCTTCAATATGAGGAAAATAAACAATCCGGCCATCATCCAGAAAAGGAAATATGAGAAAGGAAAAGGCTGGGCTGATCAACCTCCGAGTCTAAACACTTCCGCTCTCCACCAGTCACAGGCCTCGGAACAACTATCGACCGTCCCGCAAATCTTATCGGCACCGCGTGTTGTGGCTCAACCGCCGCAAAGCAGTCCTGCATTCCAAGCGATTGGGAACATGTTCGCTCCCAAGACTACCGCGCCTGCTGCAGGTGGGCTAACTATCAGCACCACCGCGACGCCCTTGTTGTAAGTTATCCCCCCACCGCGTCCCCAGAAAAGTCCCATTTCGGCTTGTCCAGCGCTCGTGGGCCATTTTTGAAGCTCCCGCAAGATCTTCAACAACTCAAGCTCATTCATTGGTTGCTCCGCATGGAACTTCCTTGTCCTGAGATCTTCGCTTTTTTTTGGTTACCTGAATTCAGAGCATAAATCCCCTGCCAGTGCCAACAGGTATCCACCGGGTGATGCCCAAGAGCAAAGAAACAAAGCTTGTGGATACGAACAAGCAAGCCTGGACACGGGTTCATTGGCTATCCGGCGAGCGCAGGCTGGCAATTACCTTGCTATCACTGAAATCAAGCTAATCTTTGACTTTTCATCTTTTCGCAGTGGCAGCGTAAACACTCAAAACACATCCACCGCGGGATCGGGCACAACAGCCACCCCAAGTCTCTTCGGCAACACCACCTCCACAGCACAGTCAAAGCCAGCAACCAGTTTATTCGGAAACACCCAACAGTCATCAACCACGGGATCAAGCATGTTTGGCAACCAGCAGCAGCAGAGTGGAGCTGCTCCAGCCCCGAGCATGTTTGGTGGCCAGCAACAACAACAAACTGCGACAAGCACAACCCCAAGCTTGTTTGGTGGCCAGCAACAGCAGACTGGAACAACCACCGCCACCCCAAGCTTGTTTGGGAGCACCACAGCCACGGCGACCACACAACCTGCCGCGCCATCCAGTCTCTTCGGAAACACGGCAACTCAGACTCAGGCAAAGCCTACATTCAGCCTGGGAGGCACCACTACTGGAGGAGGCCTCTTGTAAGGAAACATTCAACCCTTCCAATTTCTGCGGTGTCACCACTAACGTCTATGGTTTAAATAGCAACACTACTCAGCAACCTCAGCAACAGCAACAGCAACCCGCGAAGCCTTCACTCGGCGTTTTCAGCAATCCAGGCGCAACTCAAAGTGCTCAACCCTCCCTGCTCGGACAAAGTACCGCAACGGGGACAGTTGTCCAGGGCGTGAAGGTCGATGTCAGCAACCTACTTCCCACTACCAAATTTGAGAGCTGTTCCGATGAACTTCGTCGAGAGATTGAAGCCATCGACAATGCCATTCTTAATCAAATGAAGCTATGCCATGAAGTTGCAGACATTCTTCCCACCATCGAGTCGCAGGGCGCCTCAATTCCCAATGATGTGGACTTTGTGCAAGGCAAGCTGGAGACCATTCAACATGCCTTGGAGAATGATGCCAATGATATCGACCAGCTGCGCGGCCTGGTCACCCGGGATGCCGCCGAGGCTCAGGTTGCATTCCGCGCCATCGATACCCTCAAGCTGCCCCTTCAGTACCAGACACCCGGCGGTGGTGGCTGGTGGTCAATGCAGGACCAAAAGGTTGCCGATCGATCCTCTCTTCGGTCGACTCGCAAGAACACCCTTGCGCTGCCGGATGACGTGGAAGGAGATCCGGCTACTGCCAAGAGTGTGAACGGTGTTCCCGTGAACCTGGTGGACTACTTCTCCCAGCGCTCGGACGAAATGAGCACTGTTCTTGACCGCTACAAGGGTACCATGAAGGAGATTGAAGATCACCTGCACGGCGTGGAACTCTCATTGAACCGACAGATTAACGACTTTGTCAGCAAGTCTCGTGATGGGGCGAGTGCCGGAACTCCCAAGTCAGTCGTCAACGATCTGGCTGCCGTGCTGGGCGATGTGGAGGCTGGTATCATCGGCGTTGCGTCCCGGTTAGGGAACGTGCAGGAGCAAGTCCAGGAGATGACGCTCGGCCCATTGTCGGCGGACAGTCGGTTTGGATACTGAGGGGGGGGGGACGGAAAGTTGGGAACGTGTTGAGTATCTGTACACTAATTCAATGAATGAGCTGGCTTTCGGTATGCAGTGGCATCGGGTCGGTTAATGGGTTACGAGATGATTTTTCCAGGAATGGCGTAGGTTTCAAGTAAGCTGTACGAAGCAACGAAGTAGAGCATATTTCATAATGTTAAAGGACCCCCTATTCCCACGTACATCGCATACGTATAAGAACTATCAATCGTACGTACCTTAATACGTACTCTATGAAATGCAGACCCCGAAATAGACTAACTGATCAGCCACCCGCAATTGTCTCCAGAATTTCAGTGCAAGAGTATCAGATCCTGAATTCTTGACTAGTTATCTTAGATCCACCATAAGGCCAAAACGGCCCAGTATCCCAGAAAAAGCAAAAGCGCGCAAGAGGCCGCCACTCTTGCGTGATCGACCCGCTAGGCTAGACTCGCGGCAGCTAAACCTAACCTCCACTTTTCCCCCACGATCAACACACGTACTAAATCAAGGACACCCCCTGATAAACCCTTCCTGCTATATCCCCGTCAATTATTAACCAGCGGTGAAGTTCAATGCACTGCGTCTGACATTCTTCCCGTCTCAGAAACAACTGCTCGGACATGCGGCCGCGATGGCAAATTTTTGCTGACGTTGATGGCAAGATGGCGTGATCGGTTCTCCCAAACTGCCCGCCGGATTACACAGTCGATACCCGAGTTTCCATTCAGAGTGTCCTGAAGTCTTTTCTCAGCGTGCGACCCACCGTCCACTCGACAATGGAGCTCCTTCTTGCCATCTGTCGTCACTCATGACTGGTGAACCACTTCCTGGGGTAAGTGGTTTCAGCCGCCTTGGGTGATTGCCGCTGTCGATGGCGCCATTCCCGCTGGGCTCCGAGGATTGCAAATCTGCAATCACGCCAGATCTCCTTCCCTCGATAGGATGGAATTGGAATCGAAGGGAGCATCCGGGGTTGACTCATGGCCTTCAAGTCCCACATCAGCTCTGGTTCTGGCGGATCTCCCCCTTGCCTTTCTATATAAGTCGTTGGTAGTTCTTTCATCTGTTAGATTTATACTTTCCCATCTTCCATACTTCAATCATCTATATACACTCGACATGGCTCCGTCATTAGAAGTCCCCGTGGCATCTACGCCTGCGCCCTTGGGAAACATTGTCGTCCCCAAGAAGGAAATTGCAAGTGATAACAAGTTTGGATACGTCCCTGGTCGGACTACCGTGGAAGACCATACCAACTACGCCCATGACGATCTGTTGCCCTCCTTTCCGGACATCCACTGGGACGCTTTGGAGTACACACCCTACGAGGATCGAGGCTTGAGGGGGGATCCCAAGTTCCGCAACCTACTGAAAGATGCCACGGCTGTTTTCGATTATAACCCCAAGATTGGCACTGAGATTCACGGCGTGGACCTGGCGAATCTCAGCGAGGCTCAGAAGGATGACCTAGCTCGGTTGATCGCCTACCGAGGAGTTGTCTTTTTCCGTGCTCAGAAGGACTTTGATATTGATGCCCAGCGGGATCTGGGAAGACACTTTGGGAAGCTCCACAAGGTAAGCTTCCAAGAACCGTCAATCACTTCATATGAAGTCAATACTGACAGCATCAAGCATGCTACTACCGCTGTTCCAAAGAAAAAGGGTCTCGAGGACGTTCACGTCGTCTACTCCGGAGACAATGCAGGAGATAACCGGGCACTCTTCAGCCCAAGCTTCTTATGGCACTCGGACGTATGTCTCAAAAGCAATCGATCATTGACCCAACACGTCAGATTTTAACATTCCCGTACAGGTCACTTACGAAGTACAACCACCATCATATACCTCATTGAAACTTCTCACCGGTCCACCCCTCGGCGGAGGCGGCGACACCCTCTGGTCCTCTCAATACGCAGCCTACGACATCCTCTCCCCCTTCATGCAGACCTATCTCAAGAGTCTCACGGCCCTCCACTCTGCCGACATGCAAGCAAACGACTCTCGAGCCCTTGGTCGACCCGTCCGCCGTGAACCAGTAACCACCGTACACCCTCTCATCCGCACCAACCCCGTCACCGGCTGGAACGCACTCTTCTTCAACCCGGGTTTCGTCACCAAGATCATCGGTATCCCCAAGGCTGAGAGTGATTTTATTATCAAGTACCTCACGGACGTCGTCGCCACCACCCAGGAGATTCATGCCCGTTTCCAATGGGGTAAGGATGACGTCGCGTTTTGGGATAACAGGACGACGGTATGTACTTCTCATCAGACGTTCCCGCTCAATTTGTATACTAATACAGTTATCTAGACTCATTCCGCTTCCTATGGCTTCACCCCCCACCGACGCCACGCCGTCCGTGTCGCAGTCCAGGCTGAGCGTCCTGTCCTGTTGGAATCGGGTCGATCCCAGGAAGAAGACTTGGCCGCCTTGTACGGACTGCCGGCGGTTAACAAGGACGGATCTCGACAGTCCAACTATAATGACTGAGCGGATGCTCAAAACACAACACGGCGGAAGCGGGCTTCTCGTTCTTAATACAAATGCATGCTTACAAGTTCAGAATTAGCGGAATCAAAGACGGGCGTTTATCTTTTCTTATCATAACATAGCTGTGAACGAATTCTACTAAATGTTCGTACCTTCATATAGACGAGACAGTACAATAACCTCATCCTCCCCTCTACACTATTATTACCCATTATTCCATCTTCTTCACTTCTCCCGTAAACTCCGTTTCTCATCCATATCCCCGCTCTCTTTCCTCTCCTCTTCTACTGAAACACTGCCCTTCGCAGCCTCCCCTTTCAACCCATCCCCGTTTTTTGGGAACGTTCCTCAAGACCCTCTTAATAGTAGACGTCGACAACTCATCATCAATCTGCTCCCTCAACATCCGACAAGTCCACTCCGGATTTTTGACTCGCCAACCGAGGCACCCGCCTCTCAGCCCTTGAACTCAAGACCTTCGGCCTCCCACTCCGCGGCAACGATTCAATCGTCCGGAACTTTTTGAATCGAATGATGGTATCGTATATCGTGCATCAACTGCAGTTGTATTCGCGGGCTAGGACGGCGGGCGATTGGGTGGTTTTTGTGGGCTTCGATTATAGACTGGCGTTGTTCTGGGGAGAGTTCTGCTTTGAGTTTTCGGGAGCCTGCGGTTTGGGGATTTGATGAGGTTTTCATTGTTGCTGTGTGGTTGTTTGGTCTGGTTGTTGGCAGAGGGTGGAGGGTGAGGATGTTGGACGCGTTGTATATAACCGGACGCGCTAGGATGTCAGCGTGTGTCGGAAACTTGTGGCAAGGATCAACCTGTACGGCGTTTTTGGACCGCAGTCGATTGGATATGCCCTGGATGGAACCATTCCGAATTCCATTGCCTACTAATCTCTGGTCAAGATCCTGGTGAAACCAAGCATTGAAATCATAAACCGTGAGGGGAGAAGGATGATATTGAATTACTCAACTACAGCCAGCCACGGCACAGCGCTAATGGCGAGTTGCGATTTGGTTTTAAAAGTACAGTGAACAAAGACATGCAAGACCCAAGGCCAATCCAGCGCTTCAAAAACTCAGTATGCAAAAGGAGCGAGAGGCCCAGAATGGTGCTCGTCAAGATAAAACATCTGCCGGGCGCATTCTGGGACTACCCAAAGTTTGGAGGAGGGGTTTTAATAATTTTTTTTTTCGTTCTTGAGGTCGTTGAAAGTGGTCGAGCTCGTGACTTCGCTTCGGTATAATACAGGCCATGTATCTTTCATCTTCTACCTAGCAATTCCACAGCTAGGTAGGACGATGCAAGACACGGGACAGAGATGGTGTGAAGGCGAGGGAAACGAGAAAGAGAGCCGCTTGTTACTCAATTTACTCGTTGATCTTGGCCAGGATCCTGTACAGACATTAGTCAATGGTCCTATGGAGGTTGCGCTAGGTCGGAAAGGTGTAGTTGGGAAAGGTGAACATACTCAGAGTCCCGGAACAGGTGGTACTCCTCCTCACCGACCTTAATGGGGCTACCGCCGAACTGTACAGAAGAGTTTAGGTTAGCTTCTGTTTCCAACTGCTTTCTACACCCGACTAACGGGTTTCGCATTGATCGATCGGCGACACGGCGGGTACAGCCGGAAGACGATTGAGGAAACATACCTGAGGAATCAGGACCTTGTCGCCGGCGCTGACACCCATGGGGAGGCGGCTGCCCTCCTTGGTCAGGAGACCGGGGCCAACGGCGAGGACCTTGGCCTCGTTCTGCTCCTTGACGCTGCTCTCGGGGAGGAAGATGCCGGAGGCGGTCTTGGCCTCGGGCTTGATGCGCTGGACCAGAACGCGGTCAAGGAGGGGAGCAAGGCTCTTGATGTTGCGGAGGACAGACTATTGAGATCAGAGTTAGTATATTGCGCCACCAAAAGGAGGGTGTTTTGCGGTTGGAACGGGGATGGAAAAGGGTGGACGTCTGAATTGTCAAGGGAATTGATCCCAGAGAGATTATAGCTCGAAGTAGAGCTTGAATTGGTTGAAACAGTGGATCAAGATTAAAACATACCATTGTGAAGGAGATGGAGTCTTGAAGCCAAGAAGTTGGGGATGAGCGTGGGATGGAGAAAGGAAGAGGGAGTTGTCCGGGGGAAGAAGATCTGGGCTTTTGCGGCGAGAAATTTCCAGAATGCCAAGACCGCGAGCTTCGACTCCCGAGGGACGAAATGCGCGCCGACTATCGGCTTCTAATCATTTCTATGCCGCCAACGAGGCAGGCCTCCTCTTCAATGCGAAGTCAATCTGTTTTGTTAACTTCTCGTAGACTCTCCTAAACAGATTGACCCCTCTGCTCACCCCGTCAGATTGATTTACCGACTATCTACCTCCGTTTGTCCGGGCCGAAGCTACCCCCAGCTATGAATCCGTATAGAGACCGAGCTGAAGACTGCTGAATTTCCATTTCATTTGCATTAGAACGCCGCAATACCCAATCCTTTCTCAAATTTGCAATATCAGAGTGGTCATGAATAATGTATCAAGCTGCGGCGTGAACTACCATCTCCGGCCACGCCCACGGCCACCACCATAATTGCCGCGTTGCTCGTAGCCTCCGTATCCCATCTGGCCCTGACCTCCTTGTCCAAAGCCCTGCGCCTGGCCTTGACCTCCAAACCCAGGTTGCCCTTGTGGACCTCCACCGGGTTGACCACCCATCATCGTCTGCGCGTGTTGCATGAACGCCATCGGGTCCATGGATGATGGATCAAGGCCCTGGGCCATCATGGATGCCAGCATACCCTGCATCATATCTGGATTCATATCCGGCATGCCCGGCATACCAGGCATGGGTGCTGCACCACTGGGAGCTGGTGCGACAGGGCCCGGAGTTGCACCCGGCATTGGAGGCATCCCCATACCCAGGAAGGATGACATGTCATCCATTTGTTTCTTCTGATCCCCAACTTCCTTGCGCACTTCTTGCTGCTTCAGGCAGTAGCTGACCCATGTAAATTCATCGAAGCCATAGTTGAAGAAGTCGGTGATATCGGTCCCGGGTCGTCGCCAGGGCTTGTCGTCTGTAGGGAAGTCGGCATCCATATCGGTAGCCATGATTGTCTTTCCCGTTGTGGGGTGAACTGGATTTCCATTTACGTCAATCGTAGACGTGTGGATAGCTGGGTAGGAAGAGCCCGGTCGAAGCGGCACTGTCTGTTTCGCGGTTGGGGCTGCGGCGGCGGGCACGGGAGTAGAGACATCGAGGTGGGGAGTAGCAGTAGGCGTCGCGGACTTGGAGATTATTGATGAATCTGCTGAAGGGGGTCGCTGTGGCTCTTGTCGCAAGCTCGCATGGCGCGGATGAGAGCTGTGGAGGTCAGCCAGGACAGTGCTTTTAGCACTAGTAATGAGTTTTGCTTACATCTCTGGAGGTGGCGCATTAGCGGGCGCTTCTGTGATAATGTTGAAGTCGTCCTGGATTTAAGAGTCAGCAGGCGCGGTGGATAGTCAAGAGTTACAGACATACATCGTCATCCTCGACCTCTTCCTCTTCTTCATCCTCGTAGCCGTCCTGTTGTTGCTCTAGGGTGGCATTGTGGGCGTTCTGTTGTGCTTGGCCAGTCGGGACCGAGTCCGTGGGATCATAGAAATCGTCTTCTTCGTCGTCCATTGTTTTTGGCTTTGAGTCTCGACAATATAGGAGCAAGAAGAAGGAGCAACAACGCGGTCGAGATGCTCCGCAAGTTAATCGCATGTGAGTTTGTTCTGTTTGCACTCCGGCGGTGAGCTCCAGTTTCAGTGCTGTGTGAATCTCACTGCAAGAACGTCTGTTTTTGTCATAAAGTAGGTATGCTTTGCAATCTAGGTTGTTTCGAAAGACAATGAAGTTTGCATGGGATGAAATACCTAACTGAATGGAGATCTTCTAAAAATCAAAATGAAAATAGTAGAGCGAATAGTACGAAGTGCCTATTAACTAAACAAGGTTGACTATATATTGTGCAAGCAAACAGGTGGCTTTTCACCGAATGTATCGAAAACATTTAGAGTTCCAATCAGCATCAGTATTGTGCATGAAATGACCGGGCTATGCATCTCTAAAACCGAGAGCTACCCCTAAAACCATTCCAAGCTTCGAATCATCCGTATGTCCATCTTGCTACCGAATGAGGTGGGATCCTCTACTTCAACAGAGTCACGTGCCAAACGCCAAAGGCCAAAGACTTCAATACTGCGGACATCTGACTTTTGATTGATACCAACACCTCACTGGAACCATTTCGCCAGTGACTTTTGGAAGCATACCCAAGATGGAGTCATCCGAGCAAGACAGCCGAACCTCCACGCCACGGTCATTTACCGGCCAGAGCGTGTCCGCAGAGGACATGCTCAAGTCGCAAACCGTCGGTCTCGTGCATCTGTCCGACTTTCGCAAGCGTCGCGCAGAGGTCCTGGAGCAAAAGGAACGCGAGGCGCATGATAAGTCGCTTGGGCGATTGGCATCCGGTAATTCACGAAGCGCAACTCCCTCTGCTGGCGAAGTAACTGACGGGTAAGTTCCCAAGGACCGTCTCTCCATCTGGCGCGAGCCTAGACTGATAGTGCCGTGATAGGTCTTCAACTCCCCGAAGCGATGCCCCTCCCAAAAAAAAGAAAAAGAAGGCGCTTGCCAAGAGCAAGCTTTCGTTCGGTGATGACCATGATGACACTGGGGAAGAGTCCGCCGCAACGCCACGCGATTCGAGCGTCTCGCGATCCGGTTCAAAAACACCCATCGAAGAGGGCGCTACATCCGCTGCAGCTGTCCGTCGCATGAAGGCGAACCCGAATGCGCCACCTCCCCCGAAAGCACTGACCAAGGCTGCGCTGGAAGCAGAGGCGCAGGCTCGCGATGTTTTGCGGAAGGAGTTCTTGGCGATGCAAGAAGCGGTCAAGAATACAGAGATCGCCGTTCCCTTTGTCTTTTTCGACGGAACTAGCATACCTGCTGGATCGGTGAAAATGAAAAAGGGGGACTATATCTGGCTGTTCCTTGATCGATGTCGTAAGGTTGGCGCCGAGATGGGTGTTGGTGGAGCCAATGGAGCCTCCAAGGCACGCAAGGAATGGGCACGTATCAGCGTTGATGATTTGATGCTTGTCAAGGGCGATGTCATTGTCCCACATGTAAGCTTTCCAATTGATATCGTTCTTTTGTCGCTCTGCAACTCACATATAAACAGCATTATGAGTTCTACTATTTCATCGCCAACCGAGTCCCAAGTTTCTCTCGGGCTGGTGGCTTGCTGTTCAACTATTCAGACAAGCCTGAACCACCAAAGTCAAACGAGGATGATCCCCTCTTTCGCCCCAGTGATCGCAAATTAGAAGGCCACGATAACGACGCCACCGAAACCAAGGTCGTAGATCGACGATGGTACGAAAAGAACAAGCACATATACCCGGCCAGTCTCTGGAACGAATATGAGCCGGGCAAGGAGTTCGAAGAAAAGATGACGTCCACGCGGCGTGATGCACTGGGAAATACATTCTTCTTTTAGCGGGTTTTCATTGTGGCTTTTTATTGTTGATATCCAGGCGCTACAAGGGGAAAAAATAGACCCAAGCTCAATTGATGCTCTTTTTGTCGCTAATGGGCGAGGCGAGTCCTCAGCTCTCAGGTGACCTCTCAACCTCGATCCAGCCACTCTCCCATCCGTACTCACGACCTGCACCTCATGGATTTCCACTTGCGATGTAACTCGCTCAAATGCAGGACGCAATTGAAGGAGAAAGCCGTGGTAACTACTTGCTCGTAAGTCTTCTATGCACTGGTCTTATGTACTGGCGCTGATGGTGCCAGTCACATCTTCTGTCTTGGATGCGCAGACGGTCTCGGCCTTTTCCTTCCCACTGCAGAGGATCGCCGATGCCCTGCCTGCCAGACCGTGCTTTCCAACCCGGATGATGCCGTGTCGACCATCTTGAATCCGACGGAAGACTACAAAACAAGTGTGCTGAGTGGACTTGACCCCAATACAATCATGGAGTGCGCTGGCCGGGCACTGGGCTTTTGGGCTTACCAAAGTACCCAAGAGATGTAAGTCCTTATACCATGTGTACATGCTTGAATGAACTCAACTGAGCCTGGATGCACAGATTCTACCAGGAATACCTGGGGAAGAGCCTCACCGAAAAGTATTCCAGCCTGAGCACACAGATGGACAAGGTCATCCACAATGCAAATTCAGAGATCTCAACCTTGCATAGCAAAGTCTCAGGTATGGCCCACTGCATGAATCGAGTCACCGAGAGCTGTAGCTAAAATGTGACTCTGCCAGACTTGCAAACAGCACAGGAACAACTGGAGAAAAAGAACCAAGAGCTCGTCGATCTCTACCGCGAAAAGTCCAAGAAGCTCGCGCAGATGACAAACCTGTACAACCTGCTCAAGGCCCGTGCCATGAAATCTCGAATGGAGACTGCAGCTTCTGAGAACGCCTCTCAAACCCTGAATAACCTCTCATCCCGCACGGGTCCCACCATGCCCCCAGCACAACCCGGCCCAGCCCACCCCAGAATGTCAATGCCGAATATCCAAAAGGCGCGAACTCCCAAAACACCTTCGTTCGATTTCAGCCCCGAAGGCGTGGAGCAGCTACATCGGTACCAGCGCAGCGGGACTGGTAGTTCGAGAATGTCGAGACCGCAGATGGGAGGCAACCCAACGATGCCGCCTCCAGTGGGTCATGCAGTTTTCAATATACGAACTGGTAAGCCACACATGCATGGAAAATGGTGCTTGGTACTAATCTATCCTGTCCAGCGCAAACCAGTGCGACGAGCCAGCAGCACCGTACTCGTCTGCCACACCCGAATCGTCCTCCGACGGTAATGTCTCGACTTCCTCCAGCGGATGAGATCCTTGCACGATTTGGAAAACAATAGGCGTTCTTTCCTTACATACTTCTTACTTGACTCAGTATAGTATATGGGCTGCATATCAGACCGGTGTGACTTTTTGGGAATCGGGTTGGCTTTGATATACGGAAGCTTTGATGGGCTTGAATAAGAGTTTCTTTTACCTACAACCTAGTTCTATGTCTGTCAAGCAAGTGCCTATCTCTGGGTACATCTGTTTGCCCTCTGAAACGTATTCTTATCAAACCATCATCTTTTTGTCCCTTTCCATAATGCGGCTCGAAAAGAGATAAGTGTAATTAGCCAGCAACAAAACAAGCCATTTGTATGATTCCCACCAGAGACTGACGAATACTTGTCCTCCAGCCTGGCTAGGCTGCCCGAGCCACATGACCTTTTGGATGGTAGATACATGGTCCCTTGTACCTCACAGCTTACAACCGTAGTCTATATTGGGACTGCATGTCGAGGTGGGATGAGAACTAAAATCATTATAATTAAGCACTTACAGTCCAAGAAGTCCATAACGGTACTATTGCTTACCCTGCCTGCTACGTCGCAGAAGAAGCGATCTATATGCATGATGAGTTTTACCAATTTAGATAGACATGAGTACCTGAAGTGTATTACATGTTCGGCGAGAGTTGCTTTCGTCAAGTTCTAGCAATTAGAAAGTACGAGTTGCATTCTAGGTTGAGAGATCAGGAGATTTATGGAAAAAAAAGGTAATGTCCTGTGAGCATATAGTTTCTTTAGTGAATTTGATGTGAAGAATCCGCCGGATAGGTATTACTTTCCGATTGCCCACGTTATCGACCTTATTTTGCTACACTGTTCATTCGTAATTCAACCCATATATTCGCTTCTCCAGAACCCAAATGCTCCAACCTGAGTCAGGTATCACTCTACCTTGTTGACCGAAACGGAAAGTTCACTCTATCTCGGCTTCACAATACAAGTCGAATACCAGTCGGTATAGCCCTCAAAGAACTCGCTCTAACAACAACCACCTCCCTTGTGAATGTCCTTCTTCCAGCTCCATACTCTTTCATCCCTCCATACTCCTCCATACTCCAAAGCCACCTATCCTCCTACCCTAATCTCAAGATCTAACCTCATCGGGTAATCTCAAACCCGTCCCCCGTTCGCCCGCGGGCCGCCCTCGGCGCAGCGGAAGCAACCTCACCACCCGCCCGCTCGGTAACCCGCATCCCCCCCCCAATCGGGCCAACCCATGCCACCATCCCCCATTTTGTTCAAGGGTCTCTCAAGTCTCGAACCCCCCCAGCACGGTCCGTACCTTATCATCCCTGATGGTCCCAGATCGACGGTTCCGTAGATAGACTTCTGTCCACCTTGGAATCTGGGGTGCAGGGAGCTTGTGTGGAGTTGTATTTTTGGAGCTTGGATGGAGTATAGGTATTTCTGGTAATTTTTTGTTTTTTATAGGTTCACGCCTTCCTACCTCCTACCTCCTACTACACACACACCCTCACCTTCATCAACACCTACCACCACTTTGGTTGTGTTTATTGCTGCAATTTCATAGGTAGTAAGACAATAAAAGAATTGATAGGAAAATAATCTTTCATAATAATACAAGGACTATGTCGATGGTTGCCATGCTCAGAATCATGATACTCTCCATGATACCCCATATCGGGCATGTAGAATCTTCAACACTCTTTGTAGTACTCCATGTTCTGCCCTACAGTTCACAGCCTACACAGTAATAGAGTATGAACATTGTATCATCATTGATATTATCCGAAGGGAAATCCCGATCTAAATCCCCTCGGTACGATTCAACATAAAGGAAATCTAATCATGTACGTCGGGCACCAAGCATCCGGTCTTTTAGTCCGGGCGGGAAGAAACGCCATACCCACGACCAGCAAAACAGAGTCACCCCGAGTAATATAAAGAGAAAAAAAAGAAGCCAGATCCAAATTCTAGGCCTTCCCTTTTTGCTTCTTTTCTACCCCAGGCGGGAACTCCGCAAATTTCATATCATGCCATGCATTATCACAAACCCATGCAACGGAGTTGACGCTGCAGAAACAAACCAAAAAATTAAACAAAAGAGCACGGGGGTAGTCATTTATGCGCTGAATTCCTTGATATCGGTCTTCTTGCCCAGAAGGGCCAGAGGCACGATACCGGAGACGTGCATCTCGGGGCCATAAACGTGCATGTCGAGGCCGAGCTCGATACCGACGGCCTTGATGTTCTTCAGACCCTCCTGGTAGTTGGGACCAGCACGGCGGACCCAGATCTGGACCTTGTGCTCAATAAGGATGGGGGCGAATTCGCGGATGGCGCGAATGACACCCTTGAAGGTGGAGGCAACGTTGGTGAAGTTGGCAATACCACCACCGATGAAGAGAACCTTGCCCTCGGGGTGAGTGGGGGCACGCAGCATCAGGTCGAGAACGGTCTTAGCGTAGGAGTAAGTCTGGCCTGTAAGGGGGGTTAGTGAGAAGTCGACCAAATCAGGAAAAAAGGCATTGCTGTACGTACCCTCGGAGGGAGCACCGGAGTACTCTCCGTAGTTGGCAAGCTCGCTGACGAAGCCAGCAGAGGCAATGGCGTCGGCGTAGACGACGGAGGCACCACCACCAGCGACCAGAGTCCAGATACGGCCGTTGGCGTTCAGGACGGTCAACTTGAGGGAGGCACCGGTCTTGGCGTCCATGTCGGAAATGAACTTCTCCTCCTTGCTCAACTCACGACCGAAGGGAGCGGGGAACTCCATGGGGGGACCAGCGTCGATGTTGACCTTGCCTTCGCTGGAGGGGAGGGTGGGCAGACCCAGGGCGGCGGGGCTGCGGGCAACAGCCCACTTGGTACCGCACTCGAACTCAGCAGTCTGGTCGAGCTTGGCAGCCAAGTCGAGGAAGTAGACATCGGCGGAGGTGGCATCGGCGTTGGGGATGACAACCAGGGGGTTGATCTCCAGGTAGGTGAACTGGCAGTCGACGTAGACGGCGTACAGGCGGCTGATGAAGTCCACCAGGACGTTGTGGATGCCCTTGGGCACCTTGCTCAGCAGAGCGGAGGCGATCTCCTCGTTAGAGGGGAATTTCTTCAGGTCAACGGGAATGAGGAGCTTCTCAGCCTTGGCGTCGACATCACCGACATCGACACCACCCTCGTGGTAGAAGAGAATCCAGTCACCCTAAATTCAAGTTAGTCAATCATTTTCGTTCCAATTGCTTGATCTCAAGTCCAATTGCTTCCAGTTGATCACAATCATGCTCATCCGATGCTGATTGATCTCATCCGATCACAATTGTTCTTATCGGTTTAGAGCTTTCTTACCTCACGGACGGAGTTGATGCAAACGTAGCTATGGTGGAAAAGTTAGTCGATGGATCTCCATTGAAATGACTCTGCGATCATTGCGTACCTCTCAGTATCTTGAGCGTGGGGAACCATAGGCTCGACGAGGAACTGGCGCAGAACACCGGTAACGTGCTCGACCTGAACCTCCTTGGTGGCGCGGGCCTCAATCCACTCCCGAGCCTCAGCCCAGGTCTTGTTGAGGGCGAGGAGACCGGACTTGCCTCGACGCTTGATCAATTGATCGGGCTTAGCGACGAACTTGGAGCCGGGGACGAGGAGCCACGGGTAGGTGACCTCGGCCTGGTCGAGGACATCCTTGACGGTCTTGTCTTCGGGGAAGTGGAGGGAGGCGAGACGAGGAGGAGGGTTGTGTGTGGAGGAAGGAGGAAGAGGGGTAGGCTTAATGACCGGAGCGCGGGTGAGGTGGTAGTTGAGGATGGCCTTGCCGTCGGCCTCGAGGATAGATTTGGCGGACATGGTGATGGTATGTGTGTGGATGTGTGGAAGGAAGATGGGGGGGGAGGAGGCAGAGAAGGAAGAGAAGTAGGACAAGAAAATAATACAGGAGAAGGTTGGATTGAAGCAGTGAGCCCACAAAATTGACTTGGGAGGAGGGGGGGGAGGAATAGTTTGGCGGGACGGTGTGGACTGGAAGGTACGGCGTACGGATGAAACAAAAAAAAAAGTAGTGCTGGAGATTACAGCGTAGAATTGAGAGGTCCGATCCACCGTGTTGAGGGCGGGAACAAAAAAAGCGACTGAGATGGTGGGTGGGGGGACGACTCGTGAGCTTCTGGACCAGGGCGTTGGGGAGATCTGCCGTATGGTAATTACCGGCGGGGGTTCCATGGGCAGTATACTCAAAGCTACACCGTAGCTTCTCGACTTTTTCCCCAATGGAATGAATACACCTCTCGTGGGTCGGCGGTGGCCCCCGACACCGCTCCGTTTTTGGTTCTATTCGATTCCGTTGGGTTTCCAGGAGACATCAAGGGGTGATGCCTTGAAGTTGCATTGGCTATTGAGTTGCCGGAAGTATACCTCGTACTTTGTGAATAGTTCGACTTGAACTGACACACCGCCGGATCCGAGTGTACAAAGTACTGTACATACCTCGGCCATTGTTGATCCGTCGGTATGTCCTATATATCTCTATAGTATGGGCATATGTGGTCTAGTCGCCGGTCCCCGAACTCCCTAGCAAAATCCCTCCCGGTAAGACTAGGTACTTCTCGTTAGCATCGGACTATTATCAACGGAGGGAAAGCTCTCTCGTCAGCAACCTATTATAAGTCAGGTGCAATCGATGATAGCCTCGTATGACTGCAGATAAATCCTAGTCCAAAGGCAGCTCAATGGCTAGCCGTTGCATTGGGAACCGAGTCGATGACTGCTATACGTTCCCCGAGGTTTCCCATCCTCCTCCGGATTCCGTCGAGTTCGGGAATACAGAACGGGCGGTGACGTGAGAGTACCGGGTACCTGGTGTGGTGCCGTATTTTAGAGATCTACCCACAGTGGGGCCATGGGTGGACTGGCAGTCTCGATGGTACCCGGTACTTTGGGGACTGCCAAACTGTACGTACAGTCCATTCGACGTACGGAGTGTAGGGGCAGATTTGGTTGGAGTTGTTGAGGAAAAGCACCCCCACCATACAAAGAAACCTCTCGGAGTCCCGAGCAGTCCCCCCTCGTACACTTGTATGACCTGTACACTCTATACGACTCGGGGTATCACTCTGTAACGCCCCGGTCCCACCCATCGCCAACTCCTGTACACAGTAAAACACCAAAAACTAAGAAAATTACCGCAGGAGGAGCTGTACACCGTACCTGCGAGTACTTGGCCCCGCGGATTTTTCTCAACGCTGCTCCCCTGTTGACTTGCTTCCTTTCATCGCCCTTTTCTCTCCTCCTTCTCCTCTCCTCATTCTCCTTTACTCTTGGGCTGCTCTACATACAAACGTGAGTGTCTTCCTCCTCCCTCCTACACACGGCGTCATCACTCGGCCATCCCTACGGTGCCACCTCGATTCATCTACACACCCCTCCCACTTTCGACCGACGCTATCACGCATTACCATTGTCAATTCCCCAGCCCTAACAAACTTCAATTCCTCCAGATAATCATCATGCCCTCCACTTCCTTGTCCGCCGCCGGCAACGGCGTGCAGAATGCCAACGACAACATCACCCGCTTCAACCCTCCCAGCCGTGTGCTCTCTCCCCTCCAGAACGCTCTCTTCCACAACAAGACACGATGCTTCGTATAGTAAGTTATGCCCATGAAGAGGCCTAGAACCAGGGCAACAAGCAGCCAGCTTCCCAATTGCTAACACGCACACCTCGACAGTGGCATGCAACCCCGAGCCGTGCAGGGCATGCTCGACTTTGACTTCATTTGCAAGCGCTCCACCCCCTCCGTCGCCGGTATCATCTACACCTTCGGTGGTCAGTTCGTCAGCAAGATGTACTGGGGTACCAGCGAGACCCTCCTCCCCGTCTACCAGGACGTCGAGAAGGCCATGGCCAAGCACCCCGACGTCGACACCGTCGTCAACTTTGCCTCCTCCCGCTCCGTCTACAGCTCCACCATGGAGCTCATGAACTGCCCTCAGATTCGCTCTATTGCTATCATTGCTGAGGGTGTTCCCGAGCGTGTAAGTAGAATCCACTCTCGTTGGTGGTGCAATTCAATGCCTGACAACTGACTTCTGTGATTAGCGTGCTCGTGAGATCCTCGTTGCTGCCAAGGAGAAGGGTATCACCATCATTGGACCCGCCACCGTCGGTGGTATTAAGCCCGGTTCCTACAAGATCGGTAACACCGGTGGTATGATGGACAACATCGTTGCCTCCAAGCTGTACCGCAAGGGTTCCGTCGGCTACGTCTCCAAGTCCGGTGGTATGTCCAACGAGCTGAACAACATCATCGCCCAGAACACCGACGGTGTCTACGAGGGTGTTGCCATCGGTGGTGACCGTTACCCCGGTACCACCTTCATTGACCACCTGCTCCGTTACCAGGCTGAGCCCGAGTGCAAGATCCTGGTCCTGCTCGGTGAGGTCGGTGGTGTTGAGGAGTACCGTGTGATCGAGGCCGTCAAGAACGGCGTCATCACCAAGCCCATCGTTGCCTGGGCCATCGGAACTTGCGCCAGCATGTTCAAGACCGAGGTTCAGTTCGGTCACGCCGGTGCCTCTGCCAACTCCCAGCTCGAGACTGCCGTCTATAAGAACAAGGCCATGCGTGAGGCTGGTATCCACGTCCCCGAGACCTTCGAGGACCTGCCCCAGCTCCTCAAGCAGGTCTACGATGCCGAGGTTCAGAAGGGCAACATCGTCCCCGCCCCCGAGCCCGTGGTCCCCAAGATCCCCATTGACTACTCCTGGGCCCAGGAGCTGGGTCTCGTCCGTAAGCCCGCTGCCTTCATCTCCACCATCTCCGACGACCGTGGCCAGGAGCTGCTCTACGCCGGTATGCCCATCTCCGACGTCTTCCGGGAGGACATTGGTATCGGTGGTGTCATGTCTCTGCTGTGGTTCCGCCGCCGCCTGCCCATCTACGCCAGCAAGTTCCTGGAGATGGTTCTCATGCTCACTGCCGACCACGGTCCCGCCGTGTCCGGTGCCATGAACACCATCATCACCACCCGTGCCGGCAAGGACCTGATTTCCGCTCTCGTCTCCGGTCTCCTGACCATCGGTTCCCGCTTCGGTGGTGCCCTCGACGGCGCCGCCGAGGAGTTCACCAAGGCCTTCGACAAGGGTCTCAGCCCCCGTGACTTTGTCGACATCATGCGCAAGGAGAACAAGCTCATCCCCGGTATTGGCCACAAGGTCAAGTCTCGCAACAACCCCGATCTGCGTGTCGAGCTGGTCAAGGAGTTTGCCAAGAAGCACTTCCCCAGCACCAAGCTGCTCGACTACGCCATTGCCGTCGAGACCGTCACCACCTCCAAGAAGGACAACCTGATTCTCAACGTCGACGGCTGCGTTGCTGTCTGCTTCGTTGACCTGCTCCGCAACTGCGGTGCCTTCTCCGACGAGGAGGTCGAGGACTACATGCGCATGGGTGTCCTCAACGGTCTGTTCGTTCTGGGTCGCTCCATCGGTCTGATTGCCCACTACCTCGACCAGAAGCGCCTGCGCACCGGCCTGTACCGCCACCCCTGGGACGACATCACCTACCTCCTCCCCACCCTCCAGAAGGGTGGTGCCGAGGGTCGTGTTGAGGTCAACCTGTGATTTTGATGGCCTTGTTCGTTTTCCCTCTTTTCCCCCGCACACACACATGATATGATTTGCAGCGCCCGTCCGCTGGTGGCATACAGTCCGTCGTGAGAACCATTCCTTGGCATATATATGGGTTCTGGTTCCGGCGGTGGAGTTTGGATGGGTTGAATCCCCCTTTTTTGGTTTTGCTTTCTTTTTTTTTGTGTTGTTTCTTGAAGCAGTCTTTGCGTGTATGCCATGCTTAAAACCGCGGGTCCTGATGGGAATGGTTTTCCCAGATGGAGAAAACGGTGCGACGCCCGACTACGGATCTGTTAATTTTGTTTAGATGACTAGACCTCTCTGGGGACTTAATGAACGTGCCCTCTTGCATGATGAATCTTGTGTGTAGTAGAAATGTAGATTGTACAAAATTTTTCAGCGTATTCTTTGCAATTCAAAGCGTCAAGCCATCTGACCCAATTCTAGCCTGCTGTAACTGAATTCAGCTGCTCAACCTCAACTGCCCTCGTGCCCCCGTAGCTCTACCCATCCTTATCTCTTATCAGCCGCCGCATCCAACCTTTTTTCCGCCCTCCATTCCGACCACTAACTTCCAACCTTCAACCTCTCTGCTTTACTCGCAACCCTAGATATCCCAAAAATGGTTCGCCTAAAAAACCGCTACCTCCTCCTCGATATTCTCTACCCAGATTCAACAACATGGCCCTCCTCCAAAACAGACTCTCCCGGACCTCACGCCGCACAGCTAGCCATCCACGCCCCGACCTCCGACGCGTTGACGCCGGGGTTACTCGCCAAAATGATCCGCGAGGAAGTCGGGGAGATGTACGGGGACTGGGGGGTCGGTAAACTGGGCGGTGCTTCTGCGATGGGTGTCCAAGGTATGCTGCTCCTTCTGAATCGATCTATCTGCCCTGCTCCGGATCTTCGGCAGTCATCTGGGCGAGATACACGTACTGATCAAAATGGATATCTAGTCAAATATCTCTCCCCGGCTACATCGACAGCTATTATCCGCTGTCCCCGCGCCTCGTTCCGGCTGGTCTGGTCTGCGCTCACATACATGTCCCACGTCCCCGCCGTAACCGAACCGGGGACTGGCGCGGGACAGAGAAGACCTAATGGAGGACGGGAGCGGCCTTGTGTTTTTCGGGTACTCAGGGTATCTGGGACGATGCGGAAGGCGGAGGAGGAGGCTATTCGCCGGGCGAGAAGGGAGATTGTGCGGGTGAGGGGTGCGGAGGAGAAGGGTGTGTTGGGGGATTTGATTTCTGGCGCTGAGAAGGGGATGATGGGGAAGTCGGTGATGACGAGTGTTATGGATGTGAGTGAGGATGAGGACGAGGACGGGGGGATGTTTGATGATGATGATGATTGAGGCGGAAATGGGGATGTGGGATGGGGGATGGATTTGAAGAGGGCCGTGGAACTGTACATTATGATACCCCTTTTGAAATTTTTGATATAATACATTGCTCTTCCTCGAGGGAAGAGTTCTTCAAAACTTGATGGATGGATCATGTCTGCTTGCGCCGTACTTTGATCCCACTATCCGGTACTGGTCCACTCCAGTCCGCCAGATCTTCATCCTCAAGAGCGTCCATTCCCGCGCCCATCGCAGATTGTCTGGCCTTCTCCTCCATCCTCGCAACTTCTTCCAATTCCTCCCGTTCCAAAGCATCATATTCATCCTTGGAATCCAACCATCGCTCCTGCACATCCCGGACATCCATCCCACCCATTCCCTCTCGCACAGCCACGGACCAAACGGTATCGTTAGCACCCTCCGCAGGCCCAAAGGCATATCCACTCGCACGATCAATCGCCTTCAATAAATTCATCATACTCTTTTTATCTTCCACGGCTAACGTTTCGAACGCCACGAGCCCGAATTCCTCGACTAGATCGACAATCGCGGTGTTCAAGGCGCTAAACTTTGAATTTGTCAGACGCGACGACTCGGCTTCGAGATGTGGGAGTAGGTAATTCAAGTCTTGGACTTCGGTGTAAAAATCGAGGTTGAAGGGGAGGTTTGTGTAATTTGATAGGTTGTCGATTTTGGTGAGAACGTTTAGATGAGGTAGGTCGAGTTGTAGCATGGCGCGGAGGGAGAGAAGGAGAGCAGAAATGTACATCGAGGGGAGAGTGAGGGCGTAGGAGTCAATGAGATGAATGACTATGAGCTGTACGTGAGATATCAGTAAGTGGTTCTCGTGTATTGGCCAGTTCAAGGCGCAGACGTACTCGATAGCCCATTTTCTGAATCTTAAAGAAGATATTGCGTAATGACGAGTGATGCGTAAAAAGCTCGACTTGGCCGGGACAGTCAAATATAACATAATCCTCTGCATTCCATCACATTAGCAGATGATCACAATAACGGCAGGATGTAGGATGAAACCCAACGAACCTCCAAGCTGCTTCAACCCCTCCTCCAACCACTCAAAATTCTCCTCCAGGTCTTCTAGCGCATAAAGTGTGGCTCCATTCGGCCCTAACTTATGTTCATCCATAATCTCCTCCAGCGTCACCAGATCGCGCACGTCCAGCGCGCACGGGTATGAGGTTTTGTCATTGGCGGGGTCCAGATTCACCACCGAGCACTTCCGGCCGATCGCGCCGAGGAACTGGTGCATTCCATTGCAATAGGTGGACTTGCCCGCACCGGGGGGGCCGATGACAAGCTGTGCAAAGGGCATTTTGAAGACTTGCTCACTGAAAAGAGACCGGATCGTGAGGAGAAACCGAAGTGAGAAGCGGTGACACTTTTTTAACGCTTATCGAAGCAGCGCGGGGAATGCGATGGCGGTGGGACGCGGCAGAAAATGCCGCCCTGGAGCTAGCTCTAATGGTCCGCTACTCTTCAACACCGCATTGACCTCCAAGATGTCGTCAAGTGAGTTATGCACCGCAGGAGACGAGAATATTGCTGCTGAGAGCTAAGCCAGAGCTGAGCTAACATCATTTAGATCAATTTACTGTGGCGTCGCCACCTACGGATGCTATCTCCGCTTTAAAGTTCTCGCCAGACCCCGACTCGACGCGGATCGTCGTTTCGTCATGGGACAAGAACGTTTATCTGTACGACCTCCGAGACGAGAACGGTGTCGTGGGCGAGGGTAAGCTCTTGCAAAAGTTTGAGCACCGAGCTCCAGTGCTGGACGTATGTTTCGGCGAGACTGAAAATGAGATCTATACCGCGGGTCTGGATTGGGATGTGCGGAAGTGAGTTGGACATGGCGCGCTCGTTTCCCTCGGAGCTTGCGAGGCACTTACTGTGGGTGGCATATGCTAATTGATCCAGGATCGACCTAAACACCTCTGAACAGACTGTCATGAGCAGCCACGAAGCTGGTGTGCGCAACGTCGTCTACAGCCGCGAACACAACCTTATCATCTCCGGCTCGTGGGACTCAACCCTCCATGTGCACCGCCCCGACGCCGGAACAAACACTCAATCCATCCCATCTACCATTCCACTCCCCTCAAAGCCCTTTTCCCTCTCTCTTACACCCACCAAGTTGGTAGTGGCCATGGCGTCGCGCGCCCTGCACATCTACGACTTGGAGGCATTGGCTCTTCTCACCGCACAGGCTGATAGCGACACCGCCAACGGCAACACAGTGGAACTCGAGCCCTGGCAACGGCGGGAGAGCAGCTTGAAGTTTATGACGCGGTGTGTCGCGTGCATGCCCGACGATGCCGGATATGCTTCGTCTAGTATCGAGGGCCGTGTGGCGGTCGAATGGTTTGACCCATCTCCCGAGTCCCAGGCCCGCAAGTACGCATTCAAGTGCCACCGTCAGACTGCAGAGGATGGCGTCGATGTCGTCTACCCGGTGAATGCGCTCGCGTTCCATCCTATCTTCGGCACATTTGCATCCGGTGGAGGTGACGGTGTCGTTGCGCTGTGGGATGGTATCTCCAAGCGCCGTATCCGCCAGTATCAGAAGTATCCTTCCAGCGTGGCTGCTCTCGGGTTCAGCGGGAATGGCAAGTATCTGGCCATTGCGATCAGTCCTGGCTTTGAGGATGGCAAGGATGACGTTCCCGAGGGAGTGGTCAAGATTATCGTGAAGGAGCTGGGCGAGACGGAAGCCAAGGCCAAGGGGGCGAAATAGATCAGGCAAGCAAGGTACATATGCTTGCTGGGGATGAACTAGGAGAAGCACCCCTTTGATACCAAACAACCGAATCTAATGAATCATGTTCAATTGGCCATTGCCCGGTAGTCTAATCGCTGAGTGTAGTTCAGGAAAACGTCTCTTCGACTCTAGGCATCTTGGTATCATCTAAGATTATGTAAAAGGACTTGCACCGTCTCAAGTCCAGCCCATCCCCATGCTACACTGCTGTACACGGTCTTCCACTCCGCATCCTATACCTATTGGCTCCGACGTATCACTCTTCCCAGCACTCTCCCTAGAGCGCCTTCCGCACCGACACGGACCCATCGGGCATACCAAAGTACGCCGCAACAGGCCGCTGGCCACCAACACCACCAGCAGCGGTCGCCTCGGGCCCCGTCAGACCCGAGAAAATACCCACCTCCAGGACACCGGTGATCTGCTTGATCTCCCGCGCAAGCGCGTTCACCTCCCAAACACCGTTCTTACCAGAACCGTCCTGGCCATTGGCAACGTCGGCCTTGGTCAGGAGGGGCTTGAATGGGGCGTCGATGAGGAAGAAATCCTGATCGGTCTTGAGGGGGCCTTGCTTGGGGTCCTTATTGGTGCGGATGACGGGGTTGATGGAGCCGAGTTCGAGCAGTTTCTTGAGAACGCGGTAGGCAGCAATAGGTGCGACTTCGATGGGAACGTATTTCCAGTTGGTGAGGAGGCGGGATTGAAGTTTGCGAGAGTCTTTGCAGAGAAATGAGTCAGGAATGATGAAATCCTTTGGTCCTTTGCATGAGAGAAATTCCTAGTGCTTACCGGCAACGCAGATGAACTGCTTCGCTTGCATAGCGACAATCTTCTCCTGGAAGAGACAGGCACCGCCGCCCTTGATGCAGTTCAGGTCATCGTCGACCTCGTCGGCGCCGTCGAAGGCGACGTCCAGCACGGTACCTGCGGGGATACCGTCGAACTCGACAGCCGTCAGTCCAGCGCTGATGATCAGCTGACGCGACTGGTAACCCGTTGGGACATAGCGGGTGTTGGAGGTGTCGACACCGAGAGCCTTGATAGCCTCGACGACGTAGACGATCGTAGTACCGCTGCCAATGCCGACCCAGCGAGCATTTTCCGGGTAGTGATTAGCGACAGCAGTCTTTGCGGCAGCGCGCTTGGAAGCTTCGACGGCGTCGACCATTGTAGCGAGGTGGCGGGGGAGAAGAAGAGGGGTGAAGGAAGAAGAGATTCGAGATGGAGATTGAAAGTAAAAGTGGAGGCGGGGCGATTGCGGAAGAGAGCGAGGGGCGTGGCGGAGAGAAGAGAGGGGCGCGCAGAACAGTCGAGGCACCATTGAGAGGAGAGTTTCGGAATTGATTTTCGGAAGAGAGGAGCCTCCCCGGTTTCTCCTTCTGGAACCCGGTCTAGGCGTCACTTGACAGGGTTAACAGGTGTAGCGAATTCAGGCAGGCCTGTCATTCCACGTTGGATATGCAGGGCAGCGTCATTGGTGCTGATCGCGCAGTGGTGGGGTTGTTTGGAGAGTCTCCGAGGAGTGGGGAGATTGAAGATGTACAACATCGCTTATCAAATGCGTCTACCGTTTTAAGCTACAGTATCTATAGAACAATGATTTAGAAGCCACTTGCCCAGTTTACGTCTAGACAGACAGACAGGGTACGGTGGACTATAGGGGGCAGATGGCCATGAACCTAAATTATTTCATAAACCATTCACCACTTTACTTCCGCCCTTTACCCTAATTGGCCCAAGTGCATTTTTACACTTACCTCATCGCTAGGAGATTAACTTAGAGATAAACTAGGAAACCATCTAGGAAACCATCTAGAAGGTCATACCCATAAATCGCCGCCGTCAGCGTCTCATTTTAGTACTCATTCGATAACGATTCTATTGATTTTGTAGGATCATAATCGTATATAGACCTTAGGCTCTACCTCTCTATTTAGGATTGATAGGATTAGGTAAATTAGTTAGGCTGTAAGAGAGTTCAATATCAAAGTGGAGAGGATTGGAGAGAATTCAACATCAGATTGCAGATTGTATCTAAATTTAAGCTCTAGTACTGTAATCTCATTATTCAATTAATTTGAATCGATTTCAATCGTTTCCTTGCAGCAAAATGTACTCAAGAAAGGGTATCGGGATATACACAGATTGTATGGGAGAACAGAATGCCCGAAATGAAATTATGCCCGTTCTAAAATTGCCGACAAAGGGTTATGGCCTGCTTCCACTTAAATAGTCCTGTATTAAGAATTACCTATGCCACCAAGCCTCCCAGGCGCGTGAAAAGCTCAACCTCCATCCTTTCCCCCGCATCGGGTTGCTCAAGAATCTCTCCCATGTCATTGCTTCCAAGGTCATCCTCCCAAACCTCCTGTGGCTCCGCGTTGGCTTTCACGTTCTTGTGAACGCACTGCATGAGGTGCCACCGTAGCAGATCTGGGCTGGCATGTTGAGCCGGGCTCGAAGGATATCTTGCAGAGGTGGCTAGGCGTCGACCCCCTAACCCGTATCCATCAACCTCGAAGCATATGATCTTGTAGTCGTCCTGGGATAAATAATTTGGCAACATTTTAGAAGGATCTTAGACCGTGGGACAGCCTTAGAAAGTTACTTACGTCTGGGTCTACACCAATGCTGAACGCGTCGAAATCCCCATGAATATCAGCCCGCAGTAGATGTCCGTTTTGAGGAGAGAACATCTTTGTTGCACCAGTCTCAGAGGCAGGGCTGGTGTCTTGAATGAAGCGCTGATGATTCCCACGCTCCCACTCACTGAGACGATTCGTAGGGAATATATGGGCGGGTTGTAGGTGGCGGTATGGTTTTTCTGACCCAGTTCGCACCTTGACACCCGTAAACGTGCACCCCGGGTCTCTTTCTCTCACTGCATTGCGGAATTTCCGTTGCTTATCATCCGGTTTGTTAATTTGACTTGACTTTACCAGTGTATCGCTTCCAGTTTCGGTGCTTTTAGTTACAGTGACGACACGACGTGGAGCGCGATGATCAGTTAAAGTAACTAGAACGTTGCCCCGGTTCGGATTCAGGACAACATAGTTGCCGGGGGAGACTTTGGTATGCTCATCTCTATGCAGCTTCGGTCCGGGAGTGATTCCATCCTGGTCCAGATGGTAGATCTCCCATATGCTGTTCAGAGGAAATTTGAAGATCCAGGCACAGTAACGGTAAAGCATCCCGGACGTGAGGTATCTTGCCGTTGGATTTTCCGGAATTAAGAACGCTGCCAAGTAAGTGCATTAGCTTTTCGTTCAACGTCTCGTGGTAGCCGAGAGAAGTACTGGCTAGGAGATTTCCTCCATTATCGTAGACAAGGAGGTTGAGGTGAGGGTTTCGAGGCAGAGGCAGAATACGTGTCGCCATTTCGAGGAAGGATTATAGGATGATGTATTGCTGGTCTCTTGGACGGTCTCTTGGACGGTCTCTTGGACGGTCTCTTGGACGGTCTCTTGGACGGTCTCTTGGACGGTCTCTTGGACGGTCTCTTGGACGGGTTCCTAGACCGTTTCCAAGACAGTTTCCTAGATGATTTACTATACGGTTTTCTGAAAGGTTTCCTAGTTAATCTGTACGTTGATCTACTAGCGATGAGGTGAGCATGACCATGCACTTGGGCTACCCTCAAGTCCAAGTACTAGCTCCAAAATACCGTTCTTCAAGAGCTTTGAAGAGAAAAGTTCCCTTAAGACCCAAACTTATTTTTCATGAGGTATTCTCGGGAAGCATCAAGGTTTAGTATAGGTTCACGGCTCTATTGCTTTAATGAATGCGTGCGGCTCAGTGCATGCCTTAGCAACCAGGCAAACTTGAGTCCCCCACATAGCTTAGTCAAACCACCACGCATCAACAACACCCCAACTGTAGCTCAATTGTCTGACACCACCAGACCAGCTGAGAGTCTACTACTGCAGTAAGGAATTTGGGGCCAATAAAGCAAGCACTATTGCAGGTTTTCATTCACCAGTGACTCGGCATCCTCGCTTTTCCACATCGACTCTATCCGCTTTACACCCACCCCTTCAGCCATGACTGAATCCTTTCCCGCAGCGTTGACGGGGCCAACCTCCAAAGAACGCAAATATGATCGTCAGCTGCGATTATGGGCTGCTACGGGCCAGCAGGCCCTGGAAGATTCCCGGGTGTTGTTGGTGAACTCCGACGGCCCGCTAGGCGCTAGCAGTACCGGAGTCTCTGGAGTTGTTGGCGTGGAGGCCCTCAAGAACCTGGTCCTGCCAGGTATTGGAGGTTTCACCATTGTTGATCCAGCAATTGTTACTGAATCTGATCTGGGAGTCAACTTCTTTCTGGAAGAGGAGTCCTTGGGCAAGTCCCGTGCGGAAGAGACATGCCGGCTACTACGAGAATTGAATCCTGACGTTCAAGGGTACTCTTACTCCAAGGTATGTTATTTTATTCCAGATTGCTCAAATGGAATGATTTTAATTTTAAACGGATAGCATATCGCGGAGCTCCTCCGTGATCCAGACTTCTTGCCGCGGCATAAGCTGGTGATTATCACTGGTCCAACTAACCGTTCCACGCTGGGCTCTCTCAGTCAACAAGCGCAAAGACTGGGCATCCCTGTGCTATACGTTCATTCAGTTGGATTCTATTCAACGTTCTCACTGCAACTGGATGCAGATTTTCCTATTGTCGAGACGCATCCAGACCCAGAGACAATGCAGGACCTGCGCCTTCTCAATCCATGGCCAGAACTTGCCAATGCCGCAACGGCAGTCGGAGACTTGACTGCCATGGACGACCACAAACACGGTCACGTTCCCTACATATTGCTTCTACTCCACTTCCTCGAGCAATGGAAACAATCACACGGGGGCAGTGCGCCAAGCAGCTACAAAGAGAAAACCGAATTCCGGGAATTTGTCCGCTCAAATGCACGCACTGATAACCCCGAAGGTGGCGAGGAGAACTTCGACGAGGCGGTAGCAGCCGTGCTAAAGACCATCTCACCATTCACTCTCCGCAGCTCCACTCGCGAAATCTTCGAGATGGAACAGTGCAAGCAACTGACACCTCAATCCACTGATTTTTGGGTCATCGCCTCCGCAATCAGCACTTTCTACAATACACATGGTGTACTTCCCCTGCCAGGCTCCCTGCCCGACATGAAAGCCCAGTCAGCCGACTACATCGCGCTGCAGGATATCTACAAGAGTAAAGCTCGTCGTGACGTGGAAGAAGTTACCGGAACGATACGCCAGCTCGAGTCTCAACTTGGCCGATCCACCCCGCAAATTCTGGAGCGCGAGATTGAGGTTTTCTGCAAGAATGCCGCTCATATCAAGGTCGTGCACGGCCGTGCAGTGCCGCAGATCAGCAGTGACAGCGATTTGACGACGCTCAAGGCTATCCGCAGCCAGCTCAGCATACCGGATTCCCTGATTCCAGTGTTCATCGCAACACAGGTTCTCGACGCGGTGGTGGATGAAATCCAGAATAGCGGCGAGCAAGGCTCTCAGCTCTCGATTGATGATGAGGCTCTGTGGACCAGTCACACTGAACGTATCCTGGCTCTATTGAGTCGCGACCAGCCCGTTCCCTTTGACCTCGACGTCCGCGAGGGCATCGCGAACGCTATCATGGAAATTCGTCGCGCGGAGGGCGGCGAGCTGCACAACATTTCGTCTCTTACTGGAGGTCTAGTCGCACAAGAGGCGCTCAAGGTGCTCACTAGACAATACGTGCCGCTTGATAATACTTGTGTGTTTGACGGGGCCCGCAGTAGGAGCGAGATGTATCGGCTTTGAGGAGGGCTATGGGGATGCGCTACACAGCGTGGGGAGGACTAACTTCATGGCTTTTATGATTTATGATGTATTTGTATTGGAGTCTTATCGTTAGAGGTGAAATCCATACAGATGATACGGACAGTCTCGTTCAAGTAGAGAGCTTAATCGTATCTTGAACCGTCATCGCTCTTTCTATCCCATCTACAGCGTAGAACTGCTGGCTGGAAAGCATGGCGATTGATGAGAGGGAATATGATAGCTGAGCAGAAAATGTACAGCTGAATCTTGACCATCTTAAACAGAACCGGAGATGCTATATCGCATCTATCTGAGAAAGGCCATTCACCGAGGTCCAGTCAAGTCTTGCCCGCTCTCCGTGACCAAGCCCTGACCTATCTTTCAAGTGGCAAGACTCAAAATCAATCATCCAACCCAACGATAAAATCACCGCTTCTTCTTCCTAAAATTCCCCCCCTTCTTCGGCCCCAACGGCCCACCGACACTCTCGTACAACCTCTCCCTCCCAAACGCAACATCCGCAACCCTGAGGAAACTAGTGACCCCCTGATCTACCACCGCCAGAATAACATTCCGATACCCGTGCCGCAGCCGCATATACATCTGGCGCTCCATTTTCTCACCCTTCGGCGGATCCAGCGGGGTACTTTCGAGCAAAGCGCCTAGCTCGGGGAGGGTCGGGATGGTGGTCGCTTCGCGGGTATTGATGACTGCGATGCGGAAGTCCGGGTGCGGGAGGGCGGATTTTTTGATGGGCGTTGAGGGTTTGAAGACGTGTAGGATGACGCGGTAGGGGGCTTTCGTGGAGAGGGGGTTTCGGTGGTGGAAGAGGGTTGGGTCGTACCAGGGGATTTGGGCGAGTTTTTTGTAGATATCAGCTGTTGGCATGAAGTTAGTTTGATGTGGGTGTGATAAGGAGGCGCGGTTGGACTGAGTACTGACAGTAGTTGCGATGAATGCCATATCCAATGACGGGACCAGCCGCCGTGGAGGATGTGGATTTTGGATCGTTGATCCAGTTGAATATGCTTCCCAGGATACCGGCGAGACCTGCGCCGCGCTTGACCGGCTGCGTATAGGCTTTGCTACTGTTTTCATCGGCCGAATCTTCCACCGTTGCTGAATCATCCCACCCTGGCGCACGGGAAATAGTGTACCCAATCCGCTTCAAGCTCGAGAAGACCGTGAAACGCTCGAGAGTCAATCCACCTCTTCCAATGAGACATGCATAAGCTGCCTGCAGACTCATCGGAATAGACAACTCCTCCTCACTACCTTCCTCGATCGTCACGCCCGTGATGGACGTAGGCCAACGGATATCCAGACTGCCCCGCTCGAGCAGATATAATGCCTCCTCGGGTAACAACCACATAACACCCTTCCGATCAGCTTGGCCCATAGTCTTGAAATACTGGCCCTTCGGGCTAGGCACGTAGACACAGGCATCTGGCGAAACGCTGGCGCCCCTACCTCCAGTCTTGCCAGGCTCCTGGCCGGGAGTCACGGGGGGAGGAGGTGGAGGGCCCTCGGGGGCGTAGATGGCAATGACTCGATTCTTGGGGTTGTGTAGACGAGGATGCGCGAGCGCATTGTGCATCGCCTGGCGGGAGGCGGAGAGTACATCCGCTTGGAATTCGGTGGGATTAGGCTCGAAGTCTTTCTCGCCACGGCGGGGGAGGCTTGAGGAGGATGTATCGGTGAGGCTGTTACCAAGGTGTAAGTGATTGGTACGTGTATGCGCTAGGAGTATAGCTATGAAGCTAGACGAGTCCTCTCGCAGCTAGCCAGCTCCAATCAGACATACAAATTAAGATGATTTAGTAGGCGAAAGTCCTGTGTTTCGTCGGAGAGATCAACTTCGATCTGTGAGGGCTCAACCGTAGTACCACGGACGGCATCCTCATCTGCGTCTGCCATGACTGTCTGGCGAGGATCTCTGGGGTGAATGGGTGATTGTAGAGTCAGTCGCAAAGACGAGGGTCGGACGTCGCGAGAAATTCGGAGCTTATCGATAAGCGCTTATCAAGGCCGCTTCAACGGTGGGTCATTCTCCTGAATCCCACCGTCATACCCTGCATCACTTTGATAATGGCGGATAAAACGGATTATAATGATCTGCTACGCAAGGTATGTACTGTCTAGCTGTGAATTGTTATGCTCAATTCTAATGTTGCTCTCAGATATCAAACAGCCTTGAGAATGCCCTCGACACGTTCGGGCCCTCATCGAGACAATATCAAGCCATCCTCAACATTCTGAAAGAATGCCTGCAGGATATTGAAAATCAAAAACAACGAAAAGGCCAGGAGCAGGTGGTGGACCCAGATATGCTGAGTGCTGCTATGGAATTTTTGAATATTGGAGAATAGACTCGTTGAAGGACCGGGCGCAGTCTTGCTTTATTTTGATACCCCGCATGTTTGTCCTTAGCCATCAGAGCCCAGACCAGCCATGGAATAAACTTTGGCCTAGTCAAATGATCGATGATAACCTACAGAAGTCAATTGCGATCATACTTGTGTACTCGAATGCAAGATTAAACATTTACATTTCAATTCTTCCTAGATACGACCACCATAAAGTGATACGCGAGTATTCAAAATGTGATATCGAGAGCGGGTTGGAAGTAGATCAATCAATCAGATCGACTCGGACAGATCAAAGCGAGAGCATTTAATGTAGGAATGATAGGACAAGAGGAAACCCGGGGGAAAGCACCTGGATTGTGTCATACAGGCGAGAGATCCAACATCAAGACTCTTGGCGCCTCAGCTCCCAACACCCCGAACCCAACGAGTAATGAGTCCTCCTCCCAGCACTCTGTTCCCCTGTTATTGAATTAAATTTGAGCCAGCTTCCGTGAATGCCATGCAACAAACTCCAAGCTCTATGCAATCGTTAGTCATGATATGACATGGTATTCGGCGAGGCGACCCGGGTAGTTCGGGGCCTGTGATAAAATGGGATCCCATTCGGTGTCTTCTTGCAGTGTTTTGATGCTGCAGTTTCAGCCGGGGAGTCTCCATGTTGAGGTGTGATCAGTGCATTTGAAATGCACTCGAGGAATGTAAAATAGGTGTGATGGAATATCGACAGATTTCGAGCCAATGCAATCATGTGGTGCATCTTCAGTCGATCAGAGGTTTCTTTTGATTTCCAACCAAGGCTACTCCGAGATGATCGAGGGCGTTGGGGTCGTTGGGTCGAACGATGGATGGTAATGGCAGCATCGGGTTATCTGGGTTCACATGAGCGGCGTCTCGTGCGGCGAGCTCGATGGCTTCCATCTCCTCTTTACAACCGGCGTGGTCAAGGGGGCAAACCACAATCGGTTGGCGAATTGTGATGTCTCGCGCAGACGTTAGATGTGCCTAGTGCGGTTTCCAGTCAGCTTCCAAAGACCGCGATGTCAATTGCTTTGTAGTAGAAGACTTACCCGCACTGTGAGGTAATACTCAATCTTATACAAACTCGCCGTCGTCGTGAATCCACTCACGCCATACATGGGAAATGCCGTCCGACTGCGCGGCAATATACCTTCCGCATCCCGCATGTCCTTGGCTGGAAACACCAATCCCAAATTGGTGAGATAACCGGACTGGGGTAACCTGACGCCTATGGTCTCCGTCTTCTTAGCCAAGGTCTTGACCTTGCGCTGGGGCTCATCGCCCTCATGATTGTATATGATCTCCTCGTCGATGCCGATGGTAATCTTGCTGATAGTGACTTTCCGGGCCTTACCCATCCAGTCCTGATTCGGCGATAGTTTAACATAGACACTGACGGGATCTAGTGGACCGTAGGACCACCGTGGTAATGAAATGGCTAATGTGACGAGATGATCGGATACCCGCTCGGCCGACTCGGGGCGATTATACATGCCAAAGGTGGACAGGGTGTCGTAGCGGGCGATAGGGACGGGGAACGTGTATTTGCGTTGTTCGGAGTGCCCTTGTTGCACCATCACCACCATCTCATAGTACGTTTCGGCCGTTCGACTGGGTAGTTGTAGGCTCGCGGGAGGAACTCTTCGTGAAGCATCGCGACCGCCGCGGCCGAATGGGATAAATAGGACGAATGGTAGATCCATGGCGATGACCTCCTCATACTCTTTCCCGGCAGGACATCGAAATAATAGCATTTCTTTGCCCACGATATCGGTGATTTCTTTGCGAGGCGGCGCCAGGCGCTTCTTTGTGACGGAGTCGGCGGAGGGGTGAATGGTCTCGCGGCGTAGGAGGGATATGGTGACTAGGGAGACATTGACCGGGGCGGAGATACCAACGCTGGGCCGGATCTCAACTTTACCTTCGATTCGAGGCTAGATTCGCGAGGGATGGTCAGTTGGCTCTGAAGCTCCTCTCTCTATATTCATCAACTCGACGGGGACGAGAGCATCGCGGCTCGGAAACTAGGGACAACCAAGTCCACCAAGCTATTCGCGGGGAGAGATGATCTCAAGCGGGCGCTTACCATGGTGGCAGAGATACCGGGGTATCCGATGAGAAAATTGCCATTTGCCGGGCCTGAAACGCGCACAAAGGCGGTCATCTCGATCGAACTGTTCCCGCAACACCATGGGCATGCGGCGGAGGGGGCGCGGTGAAGTTGTGGGGAATCTGCGACCTCGAGACCCTGTCGCACGGTTCATATGGGCCCCCAACGGGATGCGGGTGTCGTTGGGGGGAAGAAAAGGGCAGTAGGAAAGAGGAAGACCAATTTTGGCCAGCTGGAGCGTAAAGTACGGCTGATGTACGGCGGCAAATACGAGAATCTGGACTGGGGGTGTTGTCGTGTGGAGGAGGCGCAAGGTTGGTTGGGTAGGAAGAGAAGCTGAGGGCAGCTCTCAAGGTGAGTTTCTCATGTGGGGGACGTCTTCCAAGGGCGAGCCTCCAGCCCCCCAGCCGAGCCTAACTTTAAGCCGCGATTGCATCATGGGTTTTAGGCGCGCGGTACAAGTCACGACATTGCTTTATGATGGCGCATGATACGTGAGAATCAGTGGCGGACAAGGCATCTCGCCTGTTCGAAAGCTGCATATAGAGTGTCAGAGCTGGCATACTCGTCATCGCGTGCTCACCTCAGCCTAGGAGCCCCGGGCTAGTATATATAGTCCATGACATATGGGCTGACGAATATATATTTGACGTCGTCAACGAATATTCAGCCGTACTACAATGGATCTGACCCGGCTTTCTGCTCTAACACATGATCGGGTAGTGCCTTAAGGTTAGCTACCCACCCAGAAGTATCAAGGTACCTCCATGTAGGTACTCGGTAGATACCCACTCGGTAGACTATATGCTCTATAGATGCCCGTACCTAGGCAACCCATAGGATATACGTAAATCATAGCAAGAGACATTCTCCATTGACGATCCACATCCATACTCCCAAGCCCTCAGCAATCACATCAAAAGCCCACTAGTCCCTCCGGCTCCAGCCAAGTCTCTGGTCGTGCCGCGCGCAGGCAAAATCGTTGGTTGCGGTTATTGCGGTTGCCAGGCGCAACACAACCAGAACGACATCATCAGACTCCACCATAAACCCACTCAACCTTCACCATACCCCCCAAATTCAACGACTACACACCTCCACCCACTCTCGACGAGAAAACTATCCTTACGGTCGTACCACACGTCACAGTCCACACGCACGATGCCTCCCCGCCGTCGAGCCGCCGCCCACGGCGCCCAGGCCACCCTCTCCTTCGGCAACCAGTCCCGAGTCACCAAACCATCCAGCACCCCGACTGCAATCCACAAGGCCAAGAGCCTTGATTCTCCCGTCGACGTTTCTCCGTCAGGAACTCCAGAGCCTCAGCAGGTTCTTGCCGATGCGCACCCTTCGAAGCCTCATGTCGCCGAGCTAGCGGTCCGACAGCAAGCAGCTGCAGAACTGAAGGAGCCCCTCTCTGCTGACGATGAGCGGGCGTTGAAACTGACTCGAAAGGACTTACAGTCATACTGGAAGCGGGAGGAGCAGAAGCGGAAGGCTCCACGGGGTAAGTTAGGGAGAGAAGAAGTGTTGCAGGTTTACGGGAGGAAACTTGCGAGGCTGATTCATCTGGTTTCTACAGTTCACCAGGCCGATTTAGATCTCGAGGAGAAGATCCTTCGTCACTTTGATCTGTCCAGCCAATATGGGGTATGTATATGTATCTATTGCCATGGTCTCCGTTGAGACTTGGAGTAATTTCTGCTTTACGAGAAGTACTGGCTAACTCATGTTGCTAGCCGTGCATTGGTATCGCTCGAGTCAAGCGCTGGCGACGGGCGAATATGCTGAAACTGCAGCCTCCCATCGAAGTGCTGGCGGTTCTTCTGCAAGATGGGAATGTGAAAGAGCGGGCGCATATGGACGAACTACTCTCCTAGTAGGTTCCACGAGAGGCGATGATAGAAAAGGCAGAGAGTCTGGTCTTCTGGATCCACCGTTCACGGGTTGAACCCGCACTTGGGGGAGATGATTTACTTTCAAGCGGGCGTTTGGGACTGTATATTTAGCAATGGGCAACGGGATATGAATTCAATGGTGTTTGAACATTTTGCATTCTTGTGTCAAGTCGATCGTAGATGACTCGAAGAATCCGTCCAGCGGTATTCCGGAGTCATTCGAGTTGGGGACCTCGTCCCTATCTCTTCACAACGACGGCAACATGACAAGGCCCATCCGACATCTTCATATGCTCGCCGAGGCAGAGTCAGAGTCACAATCAAGTGCCTCACAATCCCGACAACTTTTCGTCATTACTGTCTCAGGGCGATTGCACCCATAGCTTCAGTCACACACCCTCTTGCAGCGTAAGAACCAGACGAGGCCCGTGGCAACGAGAGCAACACGAGCCTCGAGCCATTCAGGAACCTCCCCGGGATCGCACTGGACGCGAGGGATCTTCGATCGGAGATTATCTATTAGAATGCCCGGGGCACTGCGTCTATATTTAACAACTTCCTCGCGGAGGAGTCTCTGATCACCGCGTAACATCGTCTAGAGTCTAGGCCGAAAGTAGACAACGGAGGTTAATCCTGATTGTTTGTTCTGCTGCGTTTGGAAGTGAATTCCGATGAACATTTCGATACTATACTCCGTGCAACTACCGTCTGAGGGACGGAGTGTGGGATTGAATATCCACCCCGTTTTGCGATCGACACGACTGGGGTTTCAGGTCCAATCTTTGTAGTTGATGGGCCAGCTCGCTTGCCGTCAGAATTAGTAGAGTTCAGTAAAGACTTTGCTCTGGATCGTACGCTGGAAGTCTCCCCGGATTTCTGGATTTCCACTTTGCCCCGAGTTCCACTTCCAATCTGGATCCTGCTCGGTCCCTGGCCAATGGAGTCCTGGACAGAGGAACTGACAGGTCAATCAACACTAGTCTCGCACGATTGAAGATTGTCCACAGTTTCTCTGAATTTCCCGAGTGGCCCACAAAATAAAATTGGCCCTGACAGGGAAGATTGGAAGTGACCCTGTCTATCCAACGCCTCGCCCGTGCACTTTCCCCAGCCGTTGCCGTCGATTACCCTGTCGTAGTCATTGACTTGTGAAAAAACACGTTAATCTATCCATCCGCATCCAATCTAATCCGAATGCAGGCTTCGTGCCCGGCGGCCAGCGCAAGGCGCCCTGGCGGCATCAGAGGCTAAACGGGTCTGGTCGACGGTATTTCCCTATCAGTCCCTGACTGACCCTGGCTCGGGCTGGAAGTGGCGCACAGAAGTCTCCCTCTGACCATATCCCTCGGCCTCTGTCAGAGAGAACTGTCATATCCATAAGCGCTATTGGACTCCACGATTTCCATGTGATCGTCGCTGCTTGCTGTTCCTGGCCCCACGCTGTCCGTGGGCTCGAACGGGGGGTCTCGTCCCTCGAGTGGTCCACCGGGTCGTCCTTGGCATGCACCCACCAACCACCGATGAATCCCCGTAGACGAAATGATGTCTGGGCATTGTTCTTTTCGGCTCGAGCTTGGTCGCCCCGTAGTCAGTCGAAGGAAAGAGAAATGACTCGCTTGCACCCCCGACTCATCCCCCGCCTCCACCATGTCTCACCCCGTTCGGATCGAGTGGATATCCGGCCCCCCCCCTGGCTAGACACCACCCCAGACTCCGTTTTTCTCATGACCAGCATGCGCCCAGTTCGCCGTCCAGCGTACACTGGTCCCACGGATCGCACCGTTCCTGGGAAAGATGGTTACATACGTCCTCTTTGCCCCTTTTCTCGTGAACCCTCTCGCATGCACCATGCATGGCAAAGAGTCCAGAACGCAGCCTTGAATCCCCGGACAAAAAAGAAGCTAATCAGCAATCCTGGCCCTGTATCGCCGCGAACCTCCCCAGCATAGCCGAGTAAAGCGAGCACGGCCGGTATGCAGATGCAGGTACGGGCGGCACCCAGATCGAAAGGGGGAGGCACATCGCTTAGAGCGAGTGCCAGTGCGGTCAAGGCCATCTCCCTAGAGGGGACACGGGCTGATGACTGATGACAGTCGATACGATATCTGGGGGAAGGCAAATTAAACCTTGGGAGATCGCTGGAGACGAAACGGACTACGGGAGAATGGATCCTAGAAGAGGCTGGAAAGTGGTGATCAGACAGTTTCCACGGAGTCAACTTTGTTCCCGCAGGGTCACTGTCCCACCCACCATGAGCGAAAAGGAAAGGCAATCGGTAAACCCAATTCCCTATCTTAGTAGCTACTTTGACTATCAGTAACAAAATTGATCATACGGTGATACTGAAATTGGCCATTGTCCTGGCTGTGGCTATCTCCCAGCCCCACAAAGTCCACCCTGAGCCCCCGGCCGAATAGCCGGATGAATTCGACGGACCTAAATGGGGGAAGTCAGTTAAGGCTGGTTAGTAGGGTTCAATTGCACCAGAGTAGTATGTCCTACTCCATCCATAGGGCCCTATGGATTCGGTCTACTGGGAGGTATAGATAGCGGTCCCTGACTAGAATCGATGGAAGCCCCAAAACAAACTAAAGTACGAAGACATGGTAACCAGCCCCAACTGCCAAAAGTGTCGCCTCTGCCGTGCGGAGTTAGATACCCCTCTTTTGGTGTTGCTTTATGGTGCTGCAAATACCTCAATGGGTGCCCTCCACCTAACCCAGGTACGAATGAGGCCTAAAGAGAAGTTTGTGTAACGAGGACGCGTGGAAGGTTACTACAGGATCAACTTGTCAGGACTCATTCAATTGTTTGATTTTATGAATAACGTCGTCATGAATCATGTCAGTATTATCGTTTGGAATGAATCATATCTGCAGCATCGATACTGTACTGCTGACGGCCGGGGCACGAGCTGCTTTCGGTCAAGGCGGATACTACCTCATGACGGTCGAGGGAGGGGTCTGCTTCCCCGGATTTACCGTTCGGCCTGGTTGGCCCGTGAAAGGAAAACAATCCCATTGACTAACTGATGAGGGACTAGCGTCGTTGAAAGGTACCAATCACGGTCCTCACCGTCTTGGTCTAGGTTTTCTTTCTCTGGGGTTACCCGCGGTGACTTTCAGTAGGTACTACCGTACTCCCTGACCTGCCCACCATCTTGTTGACTTTTCTCCTCTCGTGTCTCGACTCGCTATATTTATAGATGTGTTTTTCCCTTCACCTTGCCAAAAGTATGATGTCTGCAAACTCTGCATTCATTGCGTATACACTCTTGGTAGTCTGCACGCCGAGGGGCAACCACCATATCAAAATCTGTCCATTTCAATTACGTACAGGGCGTTGGCCAGGCAGGACAGTCCATAAGTGGGGATCTGCACGGTACTACACAATATTGCCCGATGACATACTACAGTGCTCCGTACGTTTCCAAAGTCGAGGAAAGGAACCATAATCAATAGTCCCGTCACAGGTAGTATCTCTGATCATCAATCTATTATTGTTTTTTGTCTCTCTTTTTCAATCTGAAGAGGCTGCTAGTAGAAATTAAAGCTCAGACACCTCGAAGCCATGTCCTGCACCTAGCACCAATAAGACCGCTAGAATCAAGTCTGCATGCACAGTGACACTCAATTCCAGCTGCTGCAATCAGGACCATCATCGCCACCGAGCCTGCCCACAAACCGGATCACTGGCTCTCCCGGTCTTCTCGGAAGGTCTCCAAGAAAAGAAATCCCTCCCCATAATCTCTCGTCTAGCCCCATTGCGGCAGTCTCCGGCGAGGTGGAGAGCCATACAATCGATCCTATCAGGGATCCACCGTGGTACTGCTAACCCACGTTAGTCTCGTTGTGGGGTTCTGCTAGCCTGATTAGGTTTATACCAGGTTTCTATACGCAGGTATCGTACCAGAGACCTGAACTAGATACAGGAAGTCAATTTACTCGTGGCATTATTCGTGCTGTAATCCACATCCACGCCAGGATCTAGTGTCGGCCATCGGCGGGGGCTTGGCCCTGGAATTGAGGGTCCGGGGACCCCAGCCTTGTTTAATCAAATGAAAGGGAAAAAAAGGACCAATAGAATGCCCGGATCTGAGTCAACCGCGGCCTATAGTTGCTTCTCGCCACTCCATGTTAGGGCTCCATAGATTCGACAACATGTGATGGCCAGCGGGATATGCGGATGTTCCGTGTACCTGGGTTAGGCTTGGGAAAGTAGAAGCAGTGTGACCCTGAAAGGGGAATGGGCCATGGCTAGTCCAGTCTGCTAGTTTCCATCTTGGCTTGGTCTCGTCCAACTTGAACTCAACTTTACTTTCTCTAAGCTTATAAAAAGCATCTCCGTCCCTAACCCAGACCCAGTCTTTTTTTTTTTTTCTCCCTCACCCCACGCCTCTCACTCGTTATCAAGTCTTGGACTGTCGTTTTCGATAACCCTTTTCTCAATTTTCGATATCATCAGCTTTTGCTCAGCAAATATCTCAACCGTCAAAATGAAGTTCTCCACCACCCTGATTGCCCTCGTTGCTGCCGGTCTGGCCAACGCTCAGCTCCCCGACGTCCCCAGCTGCTCGGTATGATATCGCCATCAAACGATGATACATGATATATGATTCATCTCAAGGACCAGTCTTAACTAACATTCTCTCTAGCTGAGCTGCTTCGTCTCTGCCCTGACCACCGATGGCTGCTCGTCCTTGACCGACTTCGCCTGCCACTGCCAGAAGCCCGCCCTCGTCAGCACCATCACCCCCTGCGTGCAGAAGGCCTGCGCCGTTGCTGACCAGATCTGTATGTGCTACACACCCTCATCAATCACAGCTCCCCTCCAATCAAAAAAAATATCATACTAACAACTCTACCAGCCGTCTCCAACGCCGTTGTCGCCCAGTGCTCTTCCGCTGGCCACCCCATCTCGGTGCCCCCAATTGAGACCACCTCCGCCGGTTCCACCACCAGCGCCTCCTCCTCGGCCTCTGCCACCGACAGCTCCAGCTCTGCTTCCGCCACCGACTCTAGCTCCTCCTCTGCCTCGGCCTCGGCCTCCGCCACTGCTACCGGTGGTTCCAGCAGCTCCTCCTCCGCTGCCGGCTCTTCCGCCGCTGGTTCCACCGCCGCTGGCTCTTCCACCCCTCTGCCCTCCAAGACCTCTGGCGGTGCTTCCAGTGCTACCACCTCTGCCGTCTGGACCGGTGCTGCCGTCAACGTCAAGGGCAACATGGCCGGTGTTGCTGCCGTTGCTGCTGCCGCTGCTTACATCCTGTAAATATAGCTAAACTTAATTGTTGGGGGGGGGGGGGATGATTTGCCTTGGCTGGCCTTGTTGCTCTTGATCGGTGATGTTGATTTGTTTATTGACGTTGACGTTACTGGTCTGGTCTGGCACAAACTTGCTATTCCCCTTTTGATACTTTCTGTTTTTCTGGGAGTCGCCCGTTGAAAAAAGGAAGAAGAGGGATGAGATTGTGGTTGGGCTATCTCGACTTGGTTGGCTTTGTGCATGTCTTGTATAGTTGTGACACGCTTAATATATGGGAACGATCGATTTGGACTTGATAGTGAATGTGATATTGATTCATTGAATTTTAATCTGGATATTGTGTTTTGAATCTACAATAAATGATATGGCTATTTTGCAGATACGAATAAATATGGTGTTGAGTATGACAGCCAAACGGCCATTCAGATTGTTCAGATTGGAATTGATGATACAAGATAGGATCAGTCATCCTCGAGCCTAGAACCAACATCTCCCTGTGCCGGCAGGCAAGATCGAAAGATTGGAAGTCTTCCTATTCACTTTTCGAGCTGTTGAGTCACTGGCTGGGTTTAACTTGACCCTTAACTCGGGAGGATTATCAAAAAATACATCTGATCCGTGGTATACATCGATTCAAGACTTTACTAATTCCTTAGAAAACACGATTATCCTCACCACATCTCGTCCATTACCCCTTCCACCACAACCCTTCTTCTTACATTTAACCCCCTATTCGAGCTGCTTCTCCCTGACCTTATTATGCTCCAAAGCAGACTCAACATGCCCATTCATCATACGCTCAACGCTCTTCAAGAAGCAAGCAGCAAAACCATTTGCAGCAATCAAGCACGCAAGAGTAATCCACATGTACTTCCAAGCCATCGCACTCTCTGCCTTCTGAACGGGTGCTTCAGAGTTATTCGCAATCTCGGGACCAACGTACGAGGCATACTTGTTGTTGTAGATAGCTGTGAAGATGGTGATGCCGACGATGCCGCCCAAGGCTCGGCAGGACATGGATACGGTAGCAGCTGTGCCGATTAGGTAGGATGGGATGGAGAGGGCGAGGGCGGTGACTATAATGGTAATTGGTTAGAGCGGTCTTGAATATTCCTCATGGCTGGAGATGAAAGGTTGGTAGGGTATTACCTGGAATGGTGGTTGTGACGGCCGTCCCAGCCCCGAATAGGGCGGAGAAAGCGTAGGCCCAGCTCTTCCTTTCGGGAGTGACAAGACCCATTAGGCCTGTTTAGAGTGGATTGTTAGAAATTGGTTTCTTCTGCCGGAATAGAAGCGAATCGTACCTGTAAAAAGGGAGCACCAGAGCAGAGCAGCAACCAGTAGGGTTTTGTATGATTTGGTCGACGCCATGATCCAACCTGCTGGGATACACCCAAAGGTCGACAATGCCAAGTATGGGGTCAGCATCACGGCAATACTCACTGCATCTTGTGTAAACAAATCAAAGATCTCCTGCGAGAGAGCGACGTTCACGCCGAGCAGGAGGATTCCATCAATCGTGCACACGAAGATCAAAATGGGGAAATTCATCGACTCGGAAAACAACCGACGATCGAGAATACCCTCTTTCACAACGAAAGCTTCGTATAACCCGAACAAAACAAGACCGACACATCCCATAGTCAGCGTAGCAATGATCCGCCCCGAGTTCCATGGGTACGTGGTACCGCCCCAGGTAAGACCGATAATAAGCGAAGTAAACGATCCCGCCATCAAGAGGATACCGACAAAGTCCACCGTGGTCATGATTTCCTTTAGCGCACGGTGTCGGCCAAGTAATGGCCGGGGTGGGAAATAAGTGAGTCCTATTGCGATCGCGGTGAAACCATAGATGATTCCGTTGAAGTAGTAAGCCCAACGCCATCCTCCAGCACCTCCTATATTATGTTGAACAAAGGCTGCAGCCACGAAGGTTCCGAGAATGACAAAGGCGCTGGCCATGGCTTGGGAGACTCCCATTGCCCATGGACGAAGCTTGTTGGGCATGATTTCTTGGATGCAGGAGATGGAAACGATCTGGTTTATGTTTAGTATCGTGTGGATTGGATTTGCAATATTTCCATAAGTATCTAGACTTACACAGCCAGCATTGGCAATGCCTGTCAGGATATTGCCCCCGATGATATCGGTAATCTTATGGGCGGAGCCAGAGATCATGGATCCAATGACTCCAAGCGAGGCACCTCCTATGAGGAACCATTTCTTGCCCAGGCGATCGCTAACAGAGCCCTATATTCTGTCAACTCATGAAGAAAGGTGAGGCCGGAGTATAGCTTTACGTACAAATATCGGACCCAGGGCAAGACTGAGAAGGAAGTTGCCATTCGCAATCCACGAGGCGAGAGCAGCATCGGACGGCGAACGTGCGACGGTGGCTACTTGGAATTTGATAGTAGTGTTTGTCTGGTATTGTGAAAGTCATAAGTTGGTTTCCGTGTTAAGCTGAGATGATATATAGACCAACATACCGTATTGGATAGTGCCGCACAAACATTGGCCATTGATAAAGTGAGGACTGCTAGTATAGTTCTCCATCCCAGCTGGTAAGGGGTCTGGGGTTCATCCTCATTCTGGACTGGAGGCACATCCGTTTCAGTTATGACACGCTCTAGCTGAGATACTCCAGTTTCACCTTCTTTGGCTTCTTGTGAGATTTCCATCGTGCTAGTCGTCAAGTACTCTGTACAAAGGTACCGGCCTCGAGCTTAGAGCCATGGTCTATGTCGCTCCTTTATAGGCAACCGCCAGGCGGATCTTCCGTCTGTACTTTTCAGAAGGACCTAAGAGGCGCTCTAATACAACAGAGGTCTACTCCAATGCGAGGTCTGATGAGCCGCCACAATACCTCATCTTCGGGAAATCCGTCTAGTATACCAAGTAAACTTCGTGCAGACAAAAATGCGGGGTTTCCTGGAGCCGACCCTTTGGGTCCAGGGTTCAGCTGCGAACAAGCCTCCATGGAAGATCCGATCAACAAGTCCCATAAGCTTGAACTCTACAGTGGTGACCTTTCAAGCGAATGAGAAGAGTGTCACTGGTAGGGGTCTGATCCTAGCATGCGGGGTGTGGGTACGGGGTACGGCATCATTATTCCTCTCTACAGTCGGAAAAGCCGAACTGACCAAGTTGTTTCCATTGGATGATTACGGAGTCATTCTTGCTACGGCAAATGAGGACATGGGATCGCTAAAAGGCTTACGGAGTTTCCTGCCAATCAAACACGCCGGTGCTATAAGCTCAAAGTAGCAGCTAAGAGCGCAACTATTCTACTCTTGTCTTTGGGTACAATGACAAGCCTAGCTCAAGCGCCTTCCCCATCCTTTCGTCCGACCTTCAAGAAATCACCAGTATGATAAACAACCTCGGGTCGAATCTCCGAAATACGCCACTGTCCATCCACCTTCACAAAGATCTGTTGCATCCAACTCCTCCCATCCGAGCTCTCTCCAATCTTACACATCGGATGCGCAAAATCCTCGCCCTCAACTCGGCGTCCATGGCTCGCTAATTGCTGCCACTCCACCACAATTTCGTCCTTAGTAGCGGACTTGAAATATGGTGCCCCCAGTAGATGCTGTGTTGCTAGTGCCTTAACTCCGAGGTGCGTTGGCCCCAGCCACTCCTCGACAAATTCATCCGCGGCAAATGTTCTGCAACCCATCTCCGGTACAACTTTGCTATAATCGACGATAACATTGGGCGCTAGAGAGGCTCTCACGCGGGATTTGTCCTAGTGATTCACGGTGAGCCGCAGTAAGCTAGGCTCATCAGTCAGGGGAGCAGTACCTTTCGATCATAGCCATCGGCTAGTGTTCTGGCACACTGGGTAATTCCGAGGTAGTCTTGGAACGTGAGGGACGAAGGAATGTAAATTTCGAATGCCATGATGAACTTGTATAAGATATTGGATTGTTTAAAGATGTCTTCCGAACGATTGCTCAAATAACAGGCGGAAATTGATCGTTTTATGCTGGAAATCCGGTAGAACCGACGTGGCCCACTTCGGGTATTCCGCAGTGTTGGAGAATCGCCTCGGGTCCTCCATGCTATAAAACAGCCGGCTTTTATCAATGTCCTTCTGACCTGAGGAGGAATATTTCATGAAGATCCCATCACAACTATATCTCCTATCATGACAAACACCGTGAAGCCAGAGTTCACTCTTCGAGCCGGTATCTACCCTGCGATCAGTCCAGACCTTTTTAATGGTTCCCTGGAAAGCAAAGTCGCGCTGGTGACTGGCTCTGGGAGGGGCATTGGACGTGAAATTGCGCTGGCTCTGGCAAGCTCTGGTGCGGCCGTTGCTGTTACCGGGCGAACCAGAAAGGAAGTCGAAAATACCACGAAAGATGTGGCGACGCTCGGGCGCAAATGTATAGGTGTTGTGGCCGAAATCTGCGTCCGAGAAGATCTGGACCGTCTAGTGAAAGAGGTAATCAACCATGATAAACAACTCCACAATTAAAGTAACAATTCGGTTATGAAAGCCTCGACTTACACGCATCCCCATCTAGGTAGTTGAAAAGCTCGGTGTGATCGATATCCTTATTTGCAATGCCGGCACAAATACGTTCATGCCATTCCACATGACACATCCGGATGAATGGTGGCGCCAGATGGAAGTCATGGTAAAGTCGCCTACGGAGTTAACGCGAATGATACTCCCTTCAATGCAAGAGCGTAATTCGGGCATTATAATCTACACCTCATCCCGCGCCGCAGCGGCCGATTTGCCCTGGGCGGCGGCGTATGGTTGCGCGAAAACGGCGATTACACGTTTTGCAGGTGTCTTGCAGGCAGAGCTCAATGCATTACAAAAGGATACATTTGGCTTCCCTTCCAACGGTATTTCCGTATTTTCAATTCATCCGGGAGAGGTCAAAACATCTCTTCATGACACGGCTTTCCCAGAGAAGACCAAAAAGGAAGCGCCCTATGTGATTGAGATGATGGCAAAGCTCGCCAAGTCACATCCTGACTTCAAGGCAGAACTAGCTGCATGGACTTGTGTCTATCTTTGCTCTGGAAACGGCAAGGCATTGGAAGGGCGTCTTGTTGATTGTACGAGGGATATTGATGAGGTTATAGCATATGTTTCCAGCTTGCCCCCGGCAAAGTTTGGCAATGCTTGTTGTTCAAGTTGGGATGTCCCTATACATGTGGAGTGAACTCCATTGCTTTGTATGTGCAACAAATCTATATTTGGAGCTTAGTGTAAGGTAGGAAACCTAACTATGGGACCCTGACACACTGAAACACACTGTTCTTTCTGCCGGTCGTATTAGATCATATAAGCGTGTTACATTCCAGTCACGAAAATGTCACTGCCGATTTTCGTCCAGACTTGATATCCGAGAATGTTGCTAGGTTACTTTACAAGTGGTCTACATCTCAAAGTGATTATGTGGAGCCAGACTGTGACTCCTTCGTCCAACGGAGAAATGAATTGGAATTGCCCGTCGATTCCTTTCTACGTGGCATGAAAGGTCTGCTGTGTATTCAAAATGAAATCGCGCTTTCACCACACCATTGAAGAAATTGCTGACGATGCTGCATGACGTGGATAGTCGTTCTCACTCTCCGCTTGTGACTGCCATGTAAATTCGCTATTTATATGTGCGCCGCGTAACGTATGCCTGGAAACAGAAGAAACTCTTTAGAATACTAGATACGACAGGCAGATGAATTGCTACGTCGGGACGTTGAATTCCATTTCGCTCAAGAGAGCGCGAGGCAGAACAGGCAGATCGACAGGCACAATGGCAGAGCCGCAGTAAAGTATACAACATGGCCCATTAGGAAAGCGCCCAGAGCCGCACTGTGTTATCAAGGGAGCTAGACGCCAGCAGCCGGCCATCGGGCGAGAAGGCCACCGAGTAAACACCATCTGAATGACCCTTGAGAATTTGACGTAGTGCGCCCGTCGCTGTGTCCCAAACCCGCACTGTTCTGTCATGGGAGCCAGACGCTAGTGCCCAGCCGTCAGGCGAGAAAACTACCGACTGAACACTACCAGAATGGCCCTCGAGAGTCTGGTATAGCGTGCCCGTCATACGGTTCCAGGGCCGCTCTATTTTTGCGATGTCCCGGAGACGCACGCTGTTACCATGGTCAGATGCCAGGCACCGGCCGTCGCGAGAGAAGGCCACCGTGCTAGAACACCAAGTATCTTGAAGAGTCTGGCGTAGCGCTCCCGTCGCCGTGTCCCAGATATGCACAGATCCCAACAAAGCAATACATGCGAGCAATTGCCCATCGGGTGAGAAATCCACCGCGCTGACAGATGCACTGACCCTGAGAGTCCGATGTAGCGCACCCGTTTCTGTCTTCCAGAGCCGTACTGTGCCATCATCGCAGCTACACGCCAGCAGCCGGCTGTCGGGCGAAAAGGCCACCGAGAAAACTGCACTTGAATGCTTGATAGTCCGCTGTAGCAAAGCGCTCGCAGGATCCGAAAGCCGCGCTGCTTTATTATTGGAGTCAGACGCTAGCATGCGGTCGTCAGGCGAGAAGGCCACTGTCTGAACGTCATGTGAGTGGCTCTTGAGAACCTGTGGTTTTGCCCTCGATCTTTCCTCCACTCGCGGTAAGACCGAGTCGGTACGGCCTACGACAGGGCTCCGCCCTCTTGACGAAGGTTTGGTATTCCATGACGCAAATTCTTCAGTCGATTCAGTCAAATTAACAGCTGAAGAGGGAAAATGTGGCTTCCCATTGAAGTCTGACGTTGAGTTGGGGGGGGGCGTATTATCACTGATTTTAACCACACATCAGAAATAGCAGAGCTAGCAGTGGCTCGGTCATTAGGATAAGGATGCATGAGTGAAAGTAAAAAGTCGAAGCCTGACTGACTGATCCCAGCAGTGGCAAGCTGAGCGACTGGGAATTGTTGCTGATTTATGTAAGTGGAAAGTTGACCGGGATTCGTAAACGTTGGCTTCTTCGTGAGTATCTCAGATACAATTTCGCCAAGAACCCAAATATCAGTGGCGTATGCGCTGCCTCGGGCAATATATCCCCAAAGTTCAGGGGCACAATATCTTGGGGTGCCCTGAAAAGCTCTCGTCGATTGCCCATAAGCTTCGTCAATACGTTTGGTCAGACCAAAGTCTGCGAGCTTAATCCACCACTCGTTTGGAGGGTGCGATTTGATTAAGATGTTCTAGATAACCACTTAAGTAATCATCCCTCTCTTGTTATAACTAGGTCTTTGGAATGTTTCACTTTCCGTATCCGGAAGGTCAACCTACATTTGGTTTTAGGTCTCGATGAGCAAATCCATTTTCATGCATCATATTCACCCCCTCAAGTATCTGGTAGGCAAGTTCTTTCGCTTCCATCTCTGACAATGGCGGTATTGGCGGCTTCCGATATAGATACGTGAACAGATCGCCAAGCTCGAGGTACTCCATTGCTATGAAAAGCTGGCCGGGCGCTTCATACCATCCGAACGACTTGACAAAGCATCTCTCATACTGTTTCAATTAATTAGTATATCCGATGATGACTCTTTTTAAAGACTGACTCGAGAATGAGAGAATTTGGCAATTGCTTCCAACTCACGACTGTAGTCGATCGACCCAAATTGCATATCTATATCAATTTGCTTCACTGCTCGGACTGCCCTCCCATCTTGGTTCCTGTGGTCTTGTCGTCCACCTTTGTTACAAATCTCCAGCCAGACGCTACCGAACCCACCAAATCCTATCCTCTTCTGTCGCCGCCAGTGCTCCGATCTGGTCACGAGGCGCCGTCCAGAAATTGGGTCTGACTCTTGGAATCTGTGGACTGTCTCGTCTAGAAGAAACTCCGTTTCGAGCTTGGAGTCCCGAATGAGATCCCGCATTCGCGCCATCTTGGACGTTCCAGGGAGCAATCGACGTGCTCGAGGGTAGAAGGGGGCGAGCCCCCGCTGCGGCTGGAAGAAGCCAGAACGAGCGCTAGTTCACGTCACCTGATATGATTCTAGTCATACCCCTGCTCCGCAGCGTCGGTGACGGTGCTCGGCCCTAGGAGGGGCCGTTGTTGTCCCAATCATTAGGTTCGGCATCGCTGTCGAAAAGTAGCTTCACTACTTCGTGATACCCGTTCTTCCCGCCGCAGTGTAGCGGTGTCTTGCCGCGCCTGTCCTGAGGACTGGAACATGCTGCTTATGTAGCAGAGCCGCCAACTGCTCCAGGGCCTGTAATATAAATTCGTGACATCTGGGTCCCTGTCAAGATAGAAGAATCATTTCTGCTGTTGCAGCCGGGGGCCAGATCACGGATGAAGGCATCAAAGGCGATATCGAAGTAGGTCTCACCGACTTGTCTTTCATCATAGAAATCCGGCATGTCTTGGGTATATGCAGAAGCCTTGGCTTTATCTCAGGAGCTTCCAAAATTAACTCATTTACTTAGGTCGACGATATAAGTGCATGTTTCCCCTGTTTCATGCGCCGTATTTTGATTTGTAGGGTGTATTTGACTCTAGGCGGTCCTTTGTCAACGGCGAGGTTCCTGTCAAGTCTGGACCTCATCTTTTTTTGCTTGTAACACTACAATATCAAGACTATCAATATATCAATAATATCTCATATCACCAGGACATTAAAGAGTACGACTGAGATAAACGTGGCGCCCCACCAGCTTTAGTTAGTTAGTGCCCGTGGAATGACATCAGCGGCCGATCAGACAACAGGAAATTCCCGGTTGTATCACAACGAATTCCCTCAGAGGTGCCGATATTCTCTGTACTCTTATTGAGCTTGTGGATGATTCTGCTTGCTTCCAGAGTTTCCGCTCCTGTTCCAGTCTTGCACGTTTCCGCAACCTCAGTCCTCGACCCCGCATCAGCTTATCTTCAGCATTCCTCATTACGCAGATCCTCAGCATGACGTCCGCTTTAAAGAATTCATCCAAGTTCAAACATCTGCCTCGTGCAGCTTCGGGTCCTTTGAAATGTTCACTCGAAGGTCCTTCGCTTCTCACATCTTCCCATTTCAACAAAGGATCCGCTTTCCCCAAAGATGAACGGGCAGCTTTCAAGCTAAATGGACTGCTACCGCCAAACATCCAAACTCTGGATGAGCAAGTTCAGCGGGCTTACCAGCAGTATAGCAGTCGCGAAGATGACCTGGCCAAGAATACATTCATGGCCAGTATGAAGGCACAGAATGAAGTGTTGTACTACAAGGTTCGTGGAGAAACTCGCCGAGTTATCTTGTAGAGCGAATCGGCTTATCTATGGAACTAGCTCTTGCAAACGCATCTTAAGGAGATGTTCAGTATAATATATACACCAACTGAGGGAGATGCAATCCAGAATTATTCTCGGCTCTTCCGAAAGCCCGAGGGGTGCTTTTTGAACATCCGCGATCAAGACTCGATCGACGAATGCTTGTCTGCCTTTGGTAATGACGAGGATGTTGATTACATCGTCGTTAGTGATGGAGAAGAGGTACAAATATCCATTCGAAAGCCTATACGAGGGAAAAACTAACCCGCGTGGGCAGATTCTAGGTATCGGAGATCAGGGCGTAGGCGCCGTTCTCATTTCTGTCGCCAAGCTAGTAATTACCACCTTGTGCGCTGGAATTCACCCTTCACGCCAGCTACCGGTCGTATTGGACTGTGGGACAAATGTAAAGCAAATATCTCATTTTCCCTCAATTGCTCGAGTGACTAACCTCTTCATAGAACGAAGATCTGCTCAATGACGAGCTTTACCTGGGTCTACGTGAGCACCGCGTGCTTGGCAAAGAATATGATCAGTTCGTGGACAAGTTTGTTCAGACGGCTCGCAAGCGGTTTCCCAATGCCTACATACATTTGTGAGCCAGCACCCTTCACTACATCGTCAACGGCTTCAACTGACACAATCAGTGAGGACTTTGGTCTCCAGAATGCCCGACGAATCCTCGAAAAGTATCAATCCCAGATCCCCTGCTTCAACGATGATATTCAAGGAACTGGGTGTGTCACTTTGGCTGCCATACTGGCGGGTCTACACGTCAGCGATGTGAAAATTGATGACGTCCGTGTGGTGGTTTTCGGTTCAGGGACAGCCGGTACTGGCATCGCAGATCAAATTGCGGACACCATTGTCACTCAAACGCAAAAGTCTAAGGAGGAAGCATCGAAGCACATTTGGTACGTGACATCCTTGCAGTGACACTCGGGCATATCGTCTTAGCGAAGGCCGGCACTTCAGTTTTATCTCACGTCGAAACTCTTTCTTGATGTTCGATTGCGGGCTGTTGTACGGTTTCAGGCGTCCCTAGTCAGATTTGCATAGATCCTAACTTTAAGCGGTTATGCAGGTGCATCGACAAGCCGGGTCTCCTGCTAAAGTCCCACGGCGACAAACTAACTCCTGCCCAGAAACCCTTCGCAAGAGACGACAACGAGTGGCCAGCAGACAAAAAGCACGACTTGCTTTCCGTGATCCAGCAAGTCAAGCCTCACGTCTTGATCGGAACATCCACCAAGCCCAAGGCGTTTACTGAGGAGGCCATTCGAGAAATGGCAAAACATGTCGAGCGTCCCATCGTATTCCCCTTGAGCAACCCAACACGCCTCCATGAAGCCCAACCGAACGATCTTTACGAATGGACCGGTGGCAAAGCTCTCGTTGCTACTGGAAGTCCATTCCCCCCGGTAGAGTATGGAGGTAAGAAGTATGATATCGGTAAGTACAGTCCATCTAGGCATCGTTCGCGAAGGTAATCAAGCTAATGGCGCACTATAGCCGAATGCAATAACTCAACTTGCTTCCCCGGCATCGGTCTGGGCGCGGTACTATCGCGTAGCCGTCTAGTATCTAAGAAGATGCTCGTAGCGGCCGTTGAAGCGTTGAAAGCGAAATCACCCGCGCTTGAGGACTCCAATTGTCCGCTTTTGCCTGATGTGGAAGATGTTAGAGAAATTAGTGTGGACATCGCAGCTGGTGTGATCCAGTGTGCCGTGGAGGAGGGTCTTGCTCAGGAGAAAGATATCCCCGAGGATGACGGTGAACTTAGAGAGTGGATTAGAGCGCAAATGTGGGATGCTGTCTACCGGCCTCTGGCCAAACAGTAGAGCCTTGGCACTGTGCCATATAACCTCATTTTGATTTGTTTCAATTTATGGAGGGTGTGACGCAAAGCGTTGGTTCAAGAGTTGTGATTTAGCATCTATGAGCGATGTTTCCGAGCGAGGAATCCTATTAATAAATAATCATGGTATTCAGTCTTGATAAAACTAGTAGCCCTAGAAATGATAAAAAATCGACTCTGTACAAGAAAAAATGATGCGAGTCATGGTGGCCACTGACGTGAAGCTAGTCGACCTTGTGGTAGTGTAGAGCCATAGCCAAATCAGAAAAGTAGATGCAATATTATACACGCTGTCAACGCAATTACCCTATAGAAGCCAAAGTAGTGAAGAATATAAGCAGCCTCTCGGATAGTATCAAAGAGAAAAGACATGTGAGAATGTGCGAAGACCGAGGCAACATGCATGAAGCTCAGGGAACCCATAGTCGCATAAAGCCACCAACCTCCTGTCGACAGGTCACACAGCTGCCGAAGTTATTCATAGCAAGACTAACACGGCACTCTTCGCAAATGCATAGACAACGACAGGGCCAGGTAATAATGGAGCGTGGGTTTGTCTGGCATACGACACATGGTGGTCCGTTCGGACCAAGGCCCGTTGCCCCGGATTCCCACGTGTTAGGATCAGAGCTGGAAGACATCTCTGAGCGACGTGCGAGAATTAAACGCTCAAGCATCTCGGTTTCTTCATCGGCCGATGGCTTTCGTGTCTCACTGCTGGACTGCGTCGCAGTTGCATGATGATGCAGGCGAGAGGACAGGAGGACACGGGACCTTTCCTTTTCAACCTGTTGTCGGTATTGACTGCGAGTCATGATCCGATCGGAATCTCGATTGGGGCTGAGATGTGCGGCGAGGATGCGGGCTTCTTCCCTACTCTCGCGGTCGCGAGGGTCAAGGAGGCGGGCAAATGTGCTCATATCCATCAACGGATCTTGGGCCGGGGTGCTTTCGCGGGAGAATTGGGGGTATGGGTTAGACTGGGTTGGTGTACGACGTCCGTCTGAAGGGTCATCTTCCCATTCTGACTCTGATGCACATGTAGACATGGATATAACACTGGTCGTATCATCATCGTTCACAGGTGGGTTGTAATCAGGTGTATGGTCCTGGTTTCCCCAAGATCCTCCTACTTTCCACCAAGCGTAGAGCTTTTCGTCCAGTCGACGCTCGTCGGCTGCCTCCCAGTCCTGTGGGTAGGAGCGTTCTTGCTTCTGCATCTCCAACTCGACATCGAACTCGTTGTCTTCGGGAAGCTCCAGCTCCCCGTCATCTGTCAGAACCCAAAAGTCGACCGGGCCCGACGGGGTGGACCTCTTGGGAACTGCCTTGTCCTTGTGCTTTCGAGACAGGCGCTTCAGCCACAATGGGCGAGAATTGATACCAAGCCGATCAAGGATACGACTGAACCCGTACGTGATCCATCGTAGAATGAGCAAGCCGATTGCGCGGAAGAAAGAGAGACAATGATACAATCGAACTGACGCCCGCACTGCACCTACGCCGCCCAGTTCAGCCTGAGGCCGCACCTGTCGGGATCCATTCTTGGGTTTCTCAAGCTTCTTTTCACGGCTGTAGCCACTTTCCCATGCGTTGGTCTGTTCAGGCAATTCGAAACTGCCGAATCCTACGGCTTCGAAAGGAAGGCCATCGCCCTGGTTGGCCGAGTTACGGTAGGATGAGTTTCGCTGTCGAGAGGCTTCAATCTCAGCGAGTCGGTCTCTCTCAAGCCAGGTCATCTGTCTGGCGATGACTGCTTTGCCTTCGTTCAAGAATACCGCCTCGCTCGCGGCTGTGAGAGCGACATAGCCAACCCGAAGCAAGGTTGTATAAAAGTCCTCATGTCTATTGACACGAATGCTTCGTACCTGGTTGGAGCCTTGCATATTCTCGTGGGCCAGCGCGAACCGTTCTCGGAGTGAGACAGATTGCCCTTCTTCGAAAGGTAAAGAGAAAGCAGTAATGACCAAAGCAATGCCATAAATTGCAAGGCAGGTGAGAATACCGAAGAGGACGAGAAGATGAGGAATGAAACCGACAATGCAAACGGTTGGGAATTTCAGAACTCCTGTCTCGGTGCTCACGGGAGGACCACTCTCCAAGCCCCAGCACATGGCAACCATGAAACAGAGACCCCAAAAGCCAGTGTTGACCAGGCGGTATCTACTCTGTTTTCCAAAGACTTCTAGAACGTGCGAAGTGAGACAGTTGCAACAGGAAATCAAGACAATCAGCAGCAGCTCTGGAGTGACGTTCATTCGCTCCAGGACTTGCGATCTAGTGAGTAGTTGAAGAGCAGAACCGGAACTCTCCGTCGATGATCCTTCGGCCAAGGGACTTTGCTTGGCCAGACCAAAGAGTCCGAGTCCAATGGACTTGCTGATCATCGACTCAGCTTCGGCAAAGGCAAGAGAGTGCTCGAAAATCGACATTCCCGTTTCGGTCATGACGGGCCGACCCTGTAGAGCGCACGAAAGAGTTTCGATAAAATGACTCAGGCAGAGAAGCAGAAAGACCGGCCATAAAAGAGAAAATGACCCGTATGGGACGTCTGGACTGCCATAGGGGCGTCCCATCTTCACCGTACTACAGGCCTGCGCATCAGACTCCCAGGCCATTAAATACGAAGTCAGCGAATAGAGAGCACCTCCACCACTAGCGTAGTCAAAGATCAAGGGTTTCCCTGGCTTGCCGTATCGCATTTCAGGGAAGATCGGGGAGGACTGGCATCGAATGCCGCGCAGCAAAGACATAATCTGAGTGACGAAAAGGACAATGGGAATAATGCGCAGGGCAAGTCGTCTCTCCCAGCCTAGTCGAAGATGTCGCCGAGTAGACGCGTAAATGGTAATTCGGTTAAGAATCAAGGCCTAGATGTTATCAGCAACGACCATAGATCGGGGGGAGTTCTAGTGCTCACCTCCACCAGGCATGCAAAGGACCAAATGCTGGTCAAGTACCCGAAGAATCCGCCGACTTTCCGCATCGTCTGCATCAACTCTGCGACATACCAGCTATCCCCATATCCAACAGCCTGGGCAGCCCCTTCGCCTGCAGTAGTGGCGGCTGCCGCTGCCATAGCGTTGCCTCTTAGCCCAGTATCTCCAATCGCAGACGCGCTTCCACTCCAGAAACTCGTAGTGATATCATTGATTCCGGTTAGCCGCGCGATATGCCGGGGAACCGTACTGAAAGCGAACGTCTCTGCTTGATTGAGCGCGCGAAAGGGAAAAGTGAATAGATCGCGGGGCGAAGGGAGTAACGAGATGACGGATGTCGTGGCGTTGGTACTGTTAATATTGTTGGCGAGTGAAGCAGCCGACGTGCTCGGCATGGACGCTGGTCCGAGAACACCAGACATGTTGAAAAGCGTTGTTCTCTTGTTCGTAATCGCAATCTTTGGTCCGATCCGAGATCCGGGGAAGATGCAATGGGGAGAGCCCCCCCCAACGCGGAGAGAATCGCTTTCGATGAGCGGGAAATCTGTCAGTCAAAGCAATCTGACTAGGTAGATATCTGAAACAAGCCTGGAGACCACAGTGAGCGCAGCCTCTGGGCATTTAATCCCATCGAGGGGACGTGTAGGGTGGAGTATCAATTGGGGGGCGGGCACTATGTCCGGCTGAGTCAGCTCCGACCGAGGTCCGGGCACAACCGTCGGGTTGGATGATTAGGTCGTGGAACGAATGTTGGGTGCTCTCTTTGGCAAGATGGGAGTTTATATCACCCTGTCTTGGGTTTCTGCTGAATTACCACTCTTGAATACTGTTTGGAATCATTGCTAGGTCATGGGATTTTATTGACTTTGCGAGACAAAGACACTAAATACATGTAAGTACAACAAGGCTAGAGTACATTCTTCACGCTCAAATGTCCTCCCTACAATGTACATGATTGCTCATCATGAAGTGTCAGAGCAACTGAAAGACATAGTGGAGTATGAGTATCTGATCTGCCATCCATTTTAGACTCATTCGTCCACAGTGTTTATCAGGTCGAATGTATGATGCTTGGATGGCTCAAACCACGGCTTAGAAGTCCGTTCTTTACCAACTCTTTCTGAAAAAAGGGCTATCGTAGCAAAAACACTCATCTTTGTTAATTTATTTTGATAAACATGCCAATGGGGGAACGCCGGAACCCAATCTGTTTGTGTAGGTCCAAACTCCGTAAAGAATCATGGTAAGGACATTGTCCGTCTCGTTGCACCGTAAATCGTGTGAGAATGCCAGTCTTAGACTAGAGAGAGTAGCAGTCAGAAATGAGCCTTCCATGGAAATAGTAGAGGGAGAACTCATACGCCAGGATCAAAGACCCAGGTTCAAGTATCGAGGTAATCGGCAGCCATCAAGAGCTCTAGACACAGCTCCGCCGGAATATCCATATCAGCGACATTGACCTGGTCCTTGTGCTTCTCATTGTACATGAAGTATTCGCAGACTTTTTCGAGGACGACTCCCCTATGTGAGTGTTAACGACGAATAGCTCGATTGCGAAGAGTATCGCAGGAAAATCGGTTCGGCAAGATACGTACGTCAGGTTTTCTAGCACACAGCGGCCACTGAGTGATTCTGAGAATTTACCTAGTTTGCCACAATGAAGTCAGCACGAGGTCCTCGAGATCTTGAATATTCCGGCAGCGTCGATCAACGCACTTGTAGGGTCCAGCATGCGCCGGATTGTCCCTGAGATGCAGGCAGCATTGCGGGGAATAATGAATTCAAAGCCATCGTATGAAACGAGTGTCACGAACTCTGATTGGGCTGAGTCGGCCATGGTGATGTGAACAGGTTGAGTGCCGCGTCTTTGAAAGAAGCGGAAGAAGCGGCGCGTGAAGCCGAAGCCAAATTGAAAAAGTGGCCCGTGCCTTTACGATAAGGCGATAAGGCGATAAGCGTCGCGCCGCTCGACTTTCCGTGATGTTTTCCGGTCAATACACATACTGTTGTTTTGGAACCCTATTTTTGGTTCCGTTGAAGAACAAGTCTTCCTGTTTCATCATTTTCAATGTTTTAGATTCTTTCTATGGCTGCTCCGTTCGCCTTATGGTCCCGTCTGCGGGCGCCAACATCATCCCTCATCTGCACCCGGCCGACATATGACATCAGAAGGATATCTCCTGCAATTGCTACGACGAGGGGAAATGCATTGTTCTATTCATCTACAACACCAGACATCACAAGCCCAGTAGCTGATTTTCAGCCTGCAAACCGGCTTTCCGGAAGAACCTGTATGGTAACCGGCGGAGCCTCAGGTATTGGCTTTGCCATTGCAGAACGATTCCTACAAGAAGGCGCCTTCAGAGTCATTCTCGTTGGCAGATCGCAGGAGAGACTACAAAAAGCCGCGGGGAAGCTCTCTATCAATGATGGAACGGAACCATCCTCAGAAAAGGTTCGATTGGTTGCCGGGGACGTAGGAGAGGCTGGAACATGGATGCGCGAGTTGGAGAAGGAAATGGTAAGTCTAAGGCACAATATGATTGACGCTGCGCGGGTTCTAAATCTAACAGATCTTTAGGCCGGTGTAGATGTTCTAGTCAATGCAGCCGGAGTGTCCATCTCCAATATTCTGCCAAAACTTGAATTGGCCGACATCTCCCAGATTCTCCGTACCAATCTCGAGGGCGCGATACTTACCTCTCGCGCATTCCTTCGCGCCGCTATCAGAAGCCGAATTCGGGACCGCAAGAGCCCAGATGCTGCACAAAGGCCTCCCTCCAAATGTATCATCAACGTCTCTTCACTCCTCGCTCTCAAAGCGGGGACTGGCGCGGTCCCCTACGCTGCATCCAAAGCTGGACTCTTGGGTTTGACGCGATCGCTGGCCGTTGAGTCCACTGCATCCATGAGGGATATAGTGGTCCGGTCAAATGCTATCGTACCGGGCTATATCGAAACACCGATGATTGAAGATTTCTCCCCCGGGGAGGTTGACAGATTGAAAGCTACGATTCCCCTCCGTCGATTCGGCGACCCGCGGGAGATTGCTGATGCGGCCGTTTTCCTGGCTCAGAATGAATACGCCAACAATTGCGTCTTAAATCTTGATGGAGGTTTGAGTGCAGTATAGCCCGCTTGTTATGCTCAGCCCTTGTAAACACAATGGAAAACGGATGTGTACGATAGTCTTGTAATAGCGTCGTCAGCCGCTTCGGGCGGTCTTATGGAGTCAATTTCGTTTAGACGACAAGGTCAATGGCTTGTAATAAATCGGTTCTGATACCAGAGTCAATTGGGAAAAATGTTAAAGGTATGTTACATAACGTGTAAGAAGTAGAGGCCAGTTTCCATGTCTGTGCCAACCGGTCCTTAACCATGCCAAAGGATTCAAATACATGCGCATAAGCCAGGAAGATGTGAGTCTAATCATCGATTAAAATGGCACCTTCGTCATCATTGATGACAACGACATCTTCGTCACTATTCTTTGCCGATTCGCCAGCAACATCTTCGTCACCGTTCTTTGCTGACTCGCCAGCAGGATCTTCGTCACCGTTCTTTGCTGATTCGCCAGCAACTTTCTTGGCAGTATGACCGTCAGTCGAAAGCTCATCTTCACCCTCGCGCTTACGTTTACCAGTCCCTGCTGTGCCATTTGTCACAACTGCAACGTCTGGCTCGGGCGTGACCGGCTTCTTTTTCCTCCGTGGAATATCGAGAGTCTTTAGCATGACCTTCGCAGCTTCGGCGGGCTCGGTTCTAGAATTTGATGTCAGTATGGAGCTCAATCGGTTAGCAATAGCACCTGAAGGTGCACGTACTGTTCAACAATCCAAAACTCTAAATTGACGCGAGGATCTTGCTCGATATCATCTTCGTCTGTGACGGTCACGAAGGAATCATTCGTAATTCCCAGCTCTGACAGCTTCTTTGGGAGATTGTCCTTCGTATCAAAATCATAGACAACGTCTTCGTTAGCCAGGATAGAGATCTCGTCCGTATTATAACCAAGCTGCTTTTGGAGCACGCCTTCCACAAGATCCTGTAGTGTTGCACTAGGGGTAACTGAGAGGCCCCCTCGTACGGCGGAGCATACATCACAGTATGGATTTGGAGCTCTGAGCCCTTCCGAATTGATTGCACGTGGACCAGATCTCTCCAGGAAAACCTTTAACGCACAGCCGAGGTCAGTTGTCAAGACACACTCATCAGCGAAAGGACAGGGTCCCTTACCATTTTGGCGTGTGAAAGATCATTTTGAAGAACCTTGAAGGATTGCAGAACACAAAGACTAGCGGTCATAGCATTGGTAGTAGCAATAGCAGGGATGATATTGCCAGCCATTTCTATCAATCATCAGTTCAATTTGTCCTGGAATGGCTACAGGCAATCCAACTTACGCTTGGTGTCGAATTTCGAAGTGCGTCCTATGTGAAAGGCTTCTGCTCGGAGATTTGCCGTGGCCGTGACGAAATCCAGGGTATCTTCATCATCTTTATCAAAGGCTAAGATCGGCTCAGGGTCGTCCGGTTTCTTCTTCGATTGGAGCTCCTTTAAACGCTTGCTGAGGCGATTCAAACTATCCAATAGGGTCAGCATCATCGTTTGGAACATAAGACGCACAGAAGACTCACCTGTCCTTGAACACGACAAGATTTTCTTCGATACTCCACTCGCGCTGATCGCCATTGGAATCTGGAAGATTTGTAGAGGCTGAACTTTCTTGAAGTTCATCGAAAACGAGTACTTTCGGCGCTTCTCGTTCTTTCCACATGTCTTCCAAACCACGCAGTCGCTCCATATCGGTTTCAAAGACTTTCCTGAACACATTTCTGGGGAAGTCATCTGATCCCATGGATTCTCGGATCTCGTTCAAAGTATCTGCCTCTTTCTTGAGGTTCGCAATTTCATCGGCTGTTCATGTTTAGCCTTGTTGCTCTAAGCAGATGGAAGCTGTCTGTTCTGTCGGACTTACCGTTGTCGGCGTTCTCTGTCATGTCAAGCTCGGCCGCCTCATCTTCACTGACACCGAAAAGCTGCCTACATATAGTTCAGCATGCGAATCCCATGGGAGATATACCGAGGGTTATCTTACGGCAAGAGATAGCTCTTTGCCCAGACGATGCAATGAATGGGCTGTGACGGTGTAGTACGAATAGTGCAGACAGGGAAGGTTTTGGGTGTGGCTTTGGGGTTACAGTCGTAGCATTCGGTTTCTCCCTGATGTCATTAGGACGGATTCGATCAGAGAGCGCTGGGGTGTAGACGGAGCGAACCTTCTGAATGACCTGGACCTGTCCATTGAAGCCAGTGGTTCCACTCTCAATTAACGGTACTCCAGCTGCAAGACACATTTTATTGACATGACGCCGAGCAGCCAGGTTGTCTAGTGCGTTGAAAACGATGTCGAACGTCTCGAACCAACCAACGTTGAATTGACGGTCCATAATGTTTGCATGATAAGCCTCCAACTTTGCGCCGGGTTGGAAGTTATGCGCAACTTCTTTCGCAACCTAGAAGCCATAAACCCAGTGTCAGCACGTCGATCCGTTGCATGAGGCAATGTAATGTCTCGGCGCAAAATGGGCGAGCGTTTCGAGGCAAAGGAGGGAGGGAACGATAGACTGCGCAAACGGAACGTACCAGGGCTTTGGGCTTCTTAATGTGTTCATGTCGGAAAAGGAACTGTCGATTCAGGTTACTGAGGTCAATAGTGTCGAGATCGATGATGTGAACTTCGCCGAAGCCGGTAAGGACGAGGTTTTTCAGAAGCTCGCAGCCGATACCACCAGCGCCAACCAGGAGGACGCGCGACTAAGAATAGAGGGCAGGAACCGTCAGCATCAAACCGCAGTTAACAGCCCCCTCATATTCAATACTTTATCCGTCACTAAAAGGGACGTACCTCCTTGATCTTGGTGGTCAGGTTGACTCCAAGGGAGCGCTTGATCGAGCTGGCGCGCATGATGGCGGGCGGACGGCTGGATGGAGAGATCAATCGCAAAGAAAATCTGCAGGGTATCAAGGAGTCTTTTGTATCATGTCAATTGGGAGCAGATACCACCGAATGGAAGCTGGTTGGTAGTGAGGAGGGGAAGAAAGGAAGATGGGGAGTAGCCGCGCGTGAGATCCGGAAGGAGAGACCGAGGTGAGGTGCGATCGCGATGACGGCAGAGCTTCTTGGAGCCGCAACAGGTTGAATGATCGATGATCGGCCACCACTAGCTCAAATGGAAATGCACCAACTCTTTTGAATGTTGTTACAGGCCAAGCAAAGAGAGGATCAACTCGATGCCATTCAACGAAGAAACTGAATCTCGGGGAGAAAAGAGGAAGAAGTTCTATCTAATGCGTGGAGGCCTTTTTGTTATGGGCCAAAAGGAATCTTCCTACAAACACCAACGCTAGACGCCAGTTGGCTATTCGGCTCTTCCACTCCAGTCCATCCTAGATCGTCACAAATATCTGTTATTTTCCAGTGTAGCGGACTTTACGTTGTTTGACTGTCTATGCAGTGACGGCCACTCGTTAAAAGGAGAAAAGGATAAGACCCTTGGAAGCATTCCATAATTTCCAGTTATCGTAGGTAATCGCGCTTGCAGACAAAGAAGGAATCAATTTTGACGGAAAGTTCCCCCTAAGTAGGTGCCAGGACTTTCATGGCAGTTTCCACTTCTGCTTGTTTCCAGGACCAGGGCAGTGCTCGTTTCTGTTTGCAAGGCCTACATAGGCCCGGTAGGTTCGCAGGTCGCAAAGGGCCAAGCTTGGACGATTAGACCTCCTTCGTAGGTACCACCTAGGTAGGCCTTAAGCTTGATCGAAAGAATGGATGATCCAGCGCTTGAAAGGGCTTCAGGAATTACCTATCCAAAGGTTATTAATTAGTATGGTGTAAATTGGTTTGGGCTCCTAGAAAAGTATGTCGTGATTTCCGGGGTGGAGGCGGCGATGTCCAGTATATGTACCTGGCCTTCGTTAATTGAAACTGGGACAACAATGGTCAAAGTTAATGGAAACCACAGAAATACATCATCAATTATCTAAACTATGACCAATTTCGATCAATATTATCTATTACGTCCACTTGATCTTCCAATTTGATGTATCGATCGCGACCGACGGCGACGCAAATGCTTAGGTAATAAGCCTCAGCGTCCGGGGATCGATGAAATTTCGCCGTGGCGACAAAGCAGCTTCTCTCGGTTGAAGAGTGCGACATTTTAAAGGCTGGCTGCTGTGCGGGATAGGACGACTCAAGCTTGCGGCTTTTATTACGACAGCAAATTTCCCAGCGTAGACCGCAACTTGCCTCTTGGCCGATCCACCTGGCCCTGCGTCTGGTCCCCTGTTGCACGCCCCAAGAAAGGCACGCCGAAGCACGAGATATAGGGGACACAGTCCACGTCAACGAGTCAATTGCCCTTTGATCAATACTAGTGTACTCACCCTACACACACTCAGCAACCATGCCTTCACTGGAGCCAATCACCCCAAGGAGAAACGAGTCTGTGGACTCAGGATCTGACGACGAAGCGGATCCAGAGCTGCTCGAGCTGCTGCGCCAGCATCTCGGATTAGGCAAACAAGACAAGAATCTCCCACCCGAAACCAAGGTCTTGGAGAATGCTCAATATGTCTTCGACAATGCCATTGACGTGGCACTCAATCCGGCCCAGACTAAGGAGGCTGCCGAGACGATATGGCGGTTGATGCAGAAGAAGGCGTATTCTACGCAGACTTGGTCGGAGCATGAGCTTCACCCGAAGACCAAGGATGAGAGCACGGTTGACTTTATCTTTACGATGGATCTTTTGAACTTTAGTTTTTGGTCTGCGGAGACGGATGAGTCGAAGCGGTTTTCGATTGAGTATAGGGGGAGGCGGTGGACCGGGTACTGGAGCCTGGTCGCTGCTCTGCAGAGGGCTCTTGATGAGGGTAAGCTATACTTTTTTTGCTTCTAGAATTGAACGCTCTGGCTGACACTTGCACTGCAGATATTCCAATCACCACCCCAGACTTCTGGGTGAATGAGGATGAGTGTACGGACGAGGTGCTCCGTCACGTCTTCCGCTCCGCCACAGACGAAGAGATTCCTCTCTTCAAAGAGCGAGTCCAATGTTTGCGCGAAGCTGGTGACGTTCTCTGCAATGTAAGCATGACCATCTCACCCTTCATTCATTTTCCATGAACTGACTCGGTATACCCAGGAGTTCGGAGGTAGCTTTGCCAATTGCATTGACAGCGCCAACTACTCTGCCGCCGGCCTTGTCAACATCATCACCGAGAGCTTCGACTGCTTCCGCGATGAAACAGTCTTCCACGGAAAGAGGGTTAGGTTGTATAAGCGTGCCCAGATCCTCGTTGCAGACCTCTGGGCCTGCTTCAACGGTGAAGACTTTGGCGAGTTCCACGATATTGATAAAATAACCATGTTTGCCGGTAAGTAAATTCTAAAAGCACATCAGCTATACGTGAGCCTTGATCTGACAGGGTTCCTACAGACTACCGCATCCCCCAGATGCTGCATCAACTCGGCTGCATGCGCTACTCACCTTCCCTGGAGTCCCACATCCGCAGCCTGAAGCCCATCACACCCGGTTCAAACTGGGAGGTCGAACTCCGCGGCACCAGCATCTGGTGCGTGGAGCTGATCAAGCGCGAAATCGAGAAACGTCACCCAGAAGTTAAATCAGCCGGCAAGAAAGGGGTTTTCAAATCTGTGGAGAACGACGACACTGACGCTCAGAATGGCACCGAAAACATCGAACAACCACAAAAGACATACGGTATCAACGCGATCCTGATCGACTTCTTTTTGTATGATACGATGAAGACTCTAGAGCAGGAGAAGAATGAGAGTATCCCGCACCATCGGACTCGAAGCATTTGGTATTGAGGCGTACCTGGGTCTCGCGGGTTTTGGCGTTTTGAGATGCTTTACCATGGCTCTGGAAGCCTGGCGCCTTGTCAGATAGTATTTTTCTTGTTGCCCTTTTTCCTTGGTTTCATTTACTGGTTGGATCCAGCGCATAGACTACGTGATGTGAATGGATGTGGTGGATGTTCATCGATAGAGATTAGATATTTCGCGTTCTCTTCGCATATTTCAAACATGACGGATATCTTGGTTGTCTCATTGCAAAGGGTATCATATTCGGTCTAACGCCTATTTCCTTCCAAGCGCGCCTCAAATTCAAAACTCATGCTGCAGCACGTCCGGCCCTAGGAGTCGCACCCTCAATGCGAGCTAGTATATCTGCCTTCCACTCGACATAATCATCCCGACGATCCTCACTCAGATAGTCCACCCGATCTTGCATCATAGTGCCGAGACCGGGCAAGAGCCCGCCATGAGTCTGCTTGCTAGGCTGTCCCGGGCGAGCCCCAGCGGTGCCATCATTGCGTTTGGGTAGCTTGACACCTCTAAACGCGGCATCCTCTTCATCAAGGTGGCGAAATGAAATTCCCTCCTCGTCTTCGCCATGCAGTTCACCGGCAAGAGGGATATTATCGAACCATTCCTTGCCACTCGCCCAACCTTGTTCCATGATCAAAGCAATCCACTGATCGACATCATCACGATGCCGCCTGGAGTTGGGAAGACCCAGGCTGGTCAATGCAGTCTGACGCATCTCCATGAATGTCTTCTTGTCCATCTTTTGTGCGTCGGTATTCGATACCTCGCCATCAGCCGAGGGCGCAGGGTTTCTTCGGCGGGCTAGCACGATGAAATAGACTGCAACAATCATCGCATACACAAGCTCTTTGAAATCATCTTCGTTGCCTTGAATGGACACGATTGGTTCTAGAAAATCGAGTGTCTCTTCGTCCATCCCTTCCTCGTCATTGGACATGCTTGCCGTGAGATAGAGGATGGATGAGACACCGGCAAAAATGTGGGGAGGCAATGTCCTTGAAATTGGAGGCCTGGACAGGCTTGTGGTGCGTGGTGCTGGTGTTGAAAGCGTCTTGCAGATTGTTCGGATCGCGGTCATCACCCACGCTGGGGCATCTGGAATGATTGTTGAGTTGGCTAGCCCATTGGACCGTTCTGGGGCTGCTTTGCGTGCTGATTTTGACGGCGATGCTAGTTTGTTAGCCACGCTAACACTTCGCTTCAACGGCGTGGACTTGGATGGTGTGTTCTGGAGGCCGCGAGGTGTAGGTGCAGCCCTGGAAGGGGTATTACGTGTCTTGGTGGGAGTGGTCTGTGTAGATCCGGATCTCGACGGTGTTCCGGGAATTGAGCCACTCGCGGAGCGGTTTATTCCTGCTGAACTAGCAGAAAGAGAATTGTCGAGGAATGTGTAGAGCTTCTTGTAAACGCGCGGCGGACATGGTGGGCGGCCGAGTAGAGGAGGGAGCTTGAGAGCTCGACTTAACCTGTATTCATAAGATAGTTAGTATACCAATGCCAACATTATCCGATCCGAGGCGAGACAAGTCCTCAGACATACATACCTCTTGCAAGCAATCTCCGCACAAGCGTAGGGTCGGGCGATCTCTTCTTCGGGCTTCAAGCTGGCGGAAAAGGCACGAGACTGCGCAACAAGATTCAAGGCTAAGCTGAGTAGCTCTTGGGGCAGATCACCGGCATGGGTAGGCACCAGAGTACCCAAGGCCTGCTCGACTGGGCGGTTGTTCATTGTTGGTGATGCGCCTGCAGAGAGGCCGGCAATCCTTGATGAAAGGGAGCTGTTGGGTGTAAAATGAGGGGAATTTATTGATTGAATGACGAGGCACAGGTAGAAGCTCGGCAATTGGAGTTACTATGGAGTCCAATTTGAGCACAGTCGACGTCTCCTCCTGCAAATGGCGTTGCGAAAGGGTCGTAAACAATTCCCAGCAACCGTTCCAGGGCTCCGGCGCATGCCATGACTAAGCGCGACATCGAGCTCGCCCGCATCAGTCGACTTCACTTTCTTGATCTTTAGTCGCCCATTAATTCCCGGAGAAAGACACAACCTCAAGATGTCCGTCACTGTAAGTACAAACCTCCGCCCTCTGGCAGGACTCCCACCGAACAGTGTGCTAATACCTCCTTTTGCATAGCTCCACACAACACAAGGCGACCTCAAGGTCGAGCTATTCTGCGAAGCAGTCCCCCAAACCGCCGAGAACTTCATCGCCCTCTGCGCATGCGGCGCATACAATGAAACACCCTTCCACCGCCTGATTCCCGGCTTTATGATTCAAGGTGGTGACATCTCCCTCGGCCCAGCCGCGCAACAATCATCCACCAGCAAGCCCGTACTCTCGCACGACATCCCGAAGGGCGGCACATCCATATTCCACCCCTCGGCGCTGAACCAAGAAATTCACCTCCCTGCACTACGACATAATGCGCGCGGTATCCTGTCCATGGCCTCCCGCCCTGTCAAGGATAAGACGGCGCCCGGCTCGCAAAATGCAACCGGTGCGACCATCAACGGAAGCCAATTCTTTATCACATTTGCGCCAGCACCACATCTCGATGGAGCGAGTACTGTTTTTGGAAAGGTGTTGAATTTGTCTGCTCAAGACGAGGGTGGAGATGTGCTTTCCAAGTTGGAGAAGGCGAATGCAAAGGTCGATAAGAAGGGAAAGGTCTCTCAACCCAAGGAAGGAGATGACTTCGAGCCTCTTATGATTAAGAGCGTTACAATTCATGCCAACCCCTTCGCGACGTGAATTTAAGGATCTCGACACGATATTATCCCGATGTCTCTCGTGGGGATTTAACAAAGCCCTGGCATCCATGACATCACCTGAACTGAACCTCTTGGTTCAAGGTCCTTGAGGCCCTCGACTGGCTATCACCATGCGCCACTAACACCGAGTACCCATTACGCATGCCACAGCTAGCGACTCATTCATCAACTCCGGCTTCGGGAGTGGCCCCGCCGCCTTGGAATGCTCTCCATTGAGTCTACGGAAGCGGTGGTCTACGGTGCATATACCTTGAGGGGGGGGTCAACCTCTATTTGGAATGTATTTCTCCCTCATCCTCAAGGGGAAAGGCAACTACAAATACAAGTCCAAAGTGATAAGAAATATAAAGCTTTTTTATCAACACACCAACAGAAATCTATCGACAAAAAGAAACTAACCAACCAGTAGACGCCATGCATCGTAAAATAAGGATATCGAATGTCGTTACCACAATGATAAGAGAGAAATTTTTAACCATTAGGGATGCGTTCATGCCTTGTGCTCTTCCTCGGCCTTCGCCTCGGCCTTCGCGTCCTCCTCGTAGCCCTCGGTCTTCATGTCGTTCAAGCCGAGCTCCTCGTTCTCCTCATCGGTACGTTCGTACTCAACGATGTCGAGTTGGGGATCCTTGGCGGGCGAGCACAGATCCTGAACATAGCTGTTGGCCAGGGGGTCCTCCAAGGTAATGGTGAACTTCAGTTCGCCGTTGATAGCTTGGTCGAGGCGCTCAAAGAAGCGAGCCCACTTCTCCTTATCAGAGGTGTCCATGCTGTCACCACCTCCAGAGCCAAGATCGTAGAGGTTTCCGTGCAATTGCTTGCGCATGTCGGTAAGAAGGCCCTCAACGGTGGTGAAGCGGCTGGAGATTGAAGATGCGCCGAGGTAAAGCTCAAGCTCCTCGCTGTGCAGAGCGCAGGTACCGGACTTCAGCACGTCACGGTTGAGATCAGTGGTGTTCTCGACCCGCAGGGTGATGCGGCGACCCTTCTCAGGGATCTCTCCGCCGACCTTGACCTCGTTCTGCTTGTAGGAGCAGCCACCATCCTCCGGAGCGCAGGAGCTAGCCATGATCAGGACGTCCTTGAAGTAGGGAATCGAGACCTTCTTGATTTTGAGCGCAACGGGACGGGCGCAGCTAGGGCACTCTGCGGGCAGAGTGTAGACCTGGCCATCGACAATCTCGGAATCCTCGGGGTTGCCCATATCAAGAGCGTTGTTAGCAGCCTGCTCGGTAGGCTCGGCGGTAATACCAAGTTCCTCGTTCTGCTCGTGAGTACGGGGGTACTCCACGCGGCGGTAGTTGGTCTTGTCGCTAGGGTTGGGAGCGATCCAAGAGTTTCCGGTGGGATCATCGAGTGTGATGGTGAAAGGGAAGAACTTGCGGTCCAGGATCTCCTGCAGCTTCTGAATGAGGGGCTCGAGAGCATCGTGGAGCTCAGGGGCCTGCTCCTTGCGGAGCGGCTGCTCGCTGGAGAGGGACTCGTGCATGCGCTGGATCATTCCCTCCACGTTGCTGATTTCTCCGCCCTTGGGCATCTCAATTCCCAGAGTGTCGAGCTTGAATGTAGCAGCATCGGATCGGATGACTTGACGCTGAAGGTCGTTGGGGTCATTCACATCGAGGGTATATTTCAAACCGAGGGGCGAGATGGGGCCAGCAGGCTTCACGGTGTTGTTGGCAAAGCCGCAGTGCTCGCAGTAGAACGAGTCCACCACGATATCCTTGAAGAAAGGCACGCGCAGTAGAAGGATTCGAGTAGTTCCCTTCGCACATAAAAGTCAGTATGGAAGCTAGTGAGAGCGAGCGTAATCACATACGTTTTCGTGGCAGTTCATGCAGAGGGACTCCACACTCATCACACCTGTCTCGTCGTTGCGCTCGACGAGATCTCCGATGTTCTGGAATTGCGACTCTTGCGCATTGTTGTCGGCGTCGGTCGACATCTTGATATATCTTCAAGGAGAAAATTCACTCAAAGATTGCCGAAAGAAAAATGACAGGAAGTGGGACGAAGAAGCCGAAAGTTGAGCGGAGAGCAATTGATTTTCTTATCGCAAACAAAAAAATCTCCAGCGCCCGCCGGAACATTCCTTTTCGTTCTGCGTGGCGGGGCTTGTGCAATGGAGGGGCTTGTGCTGCTGACTAATGATGCATTTTGCATAACATGACTGTACTCGGCAATCTACTTAGAAACCTTACATCATCTTGAATTATGTTGAGTATTGAAAATGAAAAATGGTTGAACCAGAAATCATGGGCTTGGCAATATGCACATGATAAAACTTGTAACTGATTAATTCCTCGATTGATCTCCAGTACTGGTTCATAACAAGGCTCTTTTCCAGGTATTGGTACTCAAAATTGATGGATGATACAACCAATTTTCCCAATCAGTGGGTCAAAAAACAACCCGATCAATAGTATGTCAGAGGGAAGAACGTTAAGATTCGCAAAAGACCAAGACATGACTGGTTGCGGGGCGGGAAGCTTTGACATCTGTTGCCGAAATGGTTTCGAGCATCTGCATTGATAGTTAGCCGGATCCAGAAAAAAAATGTAGAAGAAGGGCTACTTATAAAAAAAAACCGGGGCCACTTTCCCCACCGAAGCGGAGAAAGAGGCCGTCCATGGGTTGTTGGCATGTTCATAAATTCTGCTCCAGTCCAACAAACTCGGAGAAGCCAAATCCCCAACTCACACCAGGAATTCCTCGACAGCTGAAAGAATAGGTGATTCTCTCTCGTTACTTCGGAGCCTATTCCAACCTAACTCGGAATGCAAGGCTTCATCGGAAGCATATGACAACAGAGCACGACGTAGACAAGCCGGAACTTTGATCCTCACTCGAGAGAGGTCCCACGTCGCACCCTGCAAGGTGTCGCATGCCCGAGCCGGCAAAGTCTCACAAGCTAAGCTGGCGGCGATAGAATCATTGTTCAAAGCAATCAAGAGGCGTGAATACCCTAGTTCAACCGGAAATCCCGAGTTCGTTTGAGATTTGGAGCAACTCCTGAGAATGCTGAAACAGGTGTTGAGGAATGAGTGAGTCATGACAAAACCCAGTGGACACATTTTGCAAGGTGCAACGTCCCCGCACATTGTAAGAGCGAGTCAAGATCGGGTTATGAATATGCAACCCATCATATCAACCTCGAAGACGTTTCGGTTCCTCGAATGTGCTCAAACTCGCCAATATCTCATAGCGGCTCATCATGAATGCGAAGCCAATCTCTCATTCGTGGCACAGTACCCTCTGGGACAAGTTTTTGTTTCCTCCCCTAGTCAGCCCGAAGACATGACAGGAGGGCATCAATTGAAGCGGACAAAGAACATCCAGAAAAAACCGCTTCCATCTCCCCGAAAGAAGGAACGATGACGAGGAAGTCATCGTTGGGGTAGTCGGCGCCCATCGATCAATTTACAAACTGCATTGCAAAGAGATGGTTGACAGGGGTGGTCAGGACCTTCCGAAGAAGCCAGATTAATTGGCGGATGCCGTAGTCCGGGGCGTCTACCTCGCAAAAAGCTGTAGGGCAGAATTCAGAGGCGAAAAGTGGGGGCAAGATACCCAGGTATCTCCGTTGTGGGAGTACGCACGCGGTGGCAGACAGCTTGATGCAGAGAGAGTCAAAAATAATGGAGACGAACAGGATCGAAGTACATCAGCCCGGTAGGCGGAGAAACTTTGCCAGCCGGAACGGGACAACAGTCCAGAGACCTTGATAGATATCAAGGAGCCATGAAGCCAGACAATACAGACGAACCTCGCGGCAACTTTGACCATGAGGACTGCCTGGGCAGTATCAAGGATGAAAGTTGGTTCTGACGAGTGGATTTTTCTGAATGCTGACAACATGGCTGTGTGTAATGGCATCTGTTGTGTTCTAGGCGCCGAGACTCTGAACCTGGCCAGGAGATGCCCCAGGATTTCGAAACCGGAACGTCACATTGATTTTCGATCTTCCACACTGTCGTTGATTCCCCCCAAAGGCGACCTCCATGCTAAGGTGCCCGGCGTGCTCCACCCACTTTGGTCCTGCTAAGAAATCCTGTCGTCAAAAGCATAGACTAACCATCCGATTGTGACCAACATGAAGGATCCAGCATAGGAGAACCGACGCGGTGGCCATTTCAGACACACGCATAGTAGACCGTCTTTTGTGCCGGTGAAGGCTCTGGACAAATCAAATACATTTTCGCCTTATCAGTCCATCATAGACCGAATCGACTAGTCGTAGTACTCGTCATGTATTCCCCGTGAAGCTGATGTCGAAGTGACAACCGACTGGGATTGTATTAGGGTTAGGCTTCAACCGCCGAAGCAGCTGACACCAGGAGGAGATCGCTGTGCAAGGGTGCCTCGAAAGGCGAGAGATTAGGTGGCTCCACATTAATGAGAGACGCGATATAAGAACTTGGACGCGTGTAAACAAATCTCGGGCGGACGAAATCGTCGTTGAGAACGAGAACGAGAAAAAAATGACAGGTTGATTAAGCAAAACCATCATGGCTGCGCCAGACGCTGGTGCCGAAGGGAGTTGAATAAGGCAAGACTGTTGTGAAAGGAAGGGCAAACACGCTATGTAGGATATGGTATGCACGGCAGCCGCGCGCTGGGCGACGATCACGGGACAGACGCGTATTACATCAGCACTTAGATTGTGTTTACGTAATCGAATCGATGCCCGCCGCCAAGACCAGGCCCTCTTCGCCTCTGGCAGGCAAAAAGAGAGCTGCTTCTGGCATACGTGAGGAATACTCGAAGATGAGTCTAGAATAGGCGAGTAATCGATGATGACCGATCCAGAGCAAATCCGGGATGCGTTCAACTCCGCCAGCGGGTTCTTGAACTCGGTTCTCAATAGAGGCATGCAGTTCCCACACTTCCCGGTAGTTTCGATACAAAGCTAACTGCGATGAAGATGAGATTCAAAGATCACAAGGACAATCCCTTGTGGAAATACTGAGTCGAGGTTTGGATCCTTCGCCAGCCAGCGATAAGACTGCCAGAGCTGCCGTCGTTGGCAAGGCGTTGGATCTACTGAGTGAAATTCATAATGCGTTTGTCACACCAGTAAACTATCAGGAACTCTCTCAGCAACCTGAAGTCAAGGTCGAGAATCCCGCTCTCGAAGATGCAAAACGCCGTCAGATGATCCATGCATTGCTGGACCTGATATCTTTGGAGGGAATTTACCCTTCCCTCTCGTCCGGTGTGGGCATTCCTTTGCAGCAAAGAGTGATCTCGGTGCTCCCAGCTGGCGTCATTGCAAAACAGACTTCGGTGCCTGCAAGTAGCATACCCCATGACGAAGCTCTTCTTAAACAGATCATGAACGTGCTTCTTAGCATCACTCTGGATGACAAAGATAGCATCCAGCCAATCATTCGAGGTCGCATTCTGAGTGATATTATCAGCGGGGCAGCCGATCTCGCATTTAATCCCAATGTTATCGGTTCGGAGACAAAGATCTATTATCAAAAGGGTTTCCTGAAGATCATTGATGAGTAGGTCTTAACATGACGTGTTTCAGCATTATACAAAGCTTGACAGGACTAACAAATCACAGTACTCCAAGCTCGGTCCTCCTGCCCACGCTCTCTGCCTTCCTCCAGGTAGAGACTGCAGCATGGTTTAAATCTACCATATCAAAGCCAATCGCTCATGTACCACTTCGACCAGGTGGTGTCTTGCATACTATCATGTTCATCGCGTCACAAGTTGCCCCAACCCTTGGGCAGGAAGCGCAAAGTGAGCCATCTATCGGTCCTCATTTCACAGTGCAGGGCATGATGCAAATTTCAAGGCTACTCTCATCGGTCCCCCAGCATGTTGAGCCAACTACATACTTCAATGCTATTGGTCCTCAGCTCTTAGAGCTGCTTGATGGAGATGACCCGGACTTGAAGAGGACTGCCTCCTACGTCATTGGGAATGGCATTCTAGGCAAGCGTGCGTATGGTGCTCCAGGGACCATTGGTCACTCTATATTTATTGAGCCAGTCTTTGCAGCACTGACTGCTGAGCTTAATGATTCCTCGATGCGCTGGTTGGCGAATCCATTCCGGGGCGAAGGTTCGGTTCCTTTCAAGCCTGGCAAACGAGCCTCACTCCATGTTCTCGTTGAAGGTGACCTTGTTGATCTCGCACTTCAAAGATTGAAAAGCCTCACATTGCAGCATCCAAACCCGGGACTTGTAAAGAGGATCGTGTATCCCATTCTGCTCCCACTTTGGGGCCTTGCTTGTTACTCTCAACAGGCGAATTTAACGGACACACACGATAAAGTCATGGCCCTTCTACAGACATACTTTAGCATATCAGTCGGTGTCCAGCCACTAAAGAAACTGGTCGATAACCTGCTCTGGGATGGCGGGTTGACGTGGACATTTACCAAATCTTCCCAAGGGCGAGTAGCCTTGGGAAAGCGAACAGGTTCCGAGGGCAACCAATCCGATATCATTCGATTGATGGATTCTTTACAGACCCGAGTGGATCTTTTCGTTAGCCTTCTCGGCTCGGACCCGAGTACCGAGGAGAGGACTGGTGATATTTTCCTGCATGTCAGCCAGTCGTGGCTGGTGCCGTCTCGTGATGCCACAGGCGCCAATGCATCAGTCAAAGTCGACAGAATCGGCGATTCTAAAAACATCATGCAGAAGCTCGTCTGCGCAAAGGTGGCAGAGAAGCTGCTTGACAATTTCAAGGACACTTTGTCGCGACGTCCTTTACGGGTATTGGAACTGATCAAGCAAGTCATTGATGGAGAGTTGCATACGTTGAGCGGTAAAGAGACAACAACTCGATCACAAAAGGCTGGCAAAGTCTCATTATCGTCACTCGCAAACATTGTGCCAGAGGAGAGCCACGGCCAAGACGACGTATCCGATCAAGATACCTCCGATTCATTGTCGACTGCTTTCAGCTTGTTGTCAACGGTTCTTGCATCTCCTGAGTTCGCTTTATCACAAGAAACGAAGACCCTCCTCGAGGCAATCAAGGATCACCTAGATCAGCTTATCCCACTCCTTCCGAGCGCACTATCAAAACCGGCTACCACGTCATCAATGCTGTTGGAGATTCAACTTACATCCCCAGAGCACGACGATACAAAGCCAACTCCTTCACACATCACAGACCTCGAAACCCATCGTCAAGCACTCGCAAATCTCAACTCGGAGCTGCCCCCAGTCCAAGCGGAAGGATTCTCACTGCTATCGAATTTGATTATGAAATCTTCGCCAGTACTAGATATCCCATCAACCCTGACTCTCCTTCTGTCTATCATCACCGACATCTCTGAGGCAACTGCAAATGACGAATTCATCTATCTCAATGCCATCAAACTCATCGGCACGCTTGCTTCTCGCCACCCACGAACCGTCGTCAACACCCTGGTAGACAACTACACCGACAAGAGCGAACAAAGAACTCTAGACCAGCGCCTGAAAATCGGCGAATCACTTCTTCGAACAGCACAAGACCTCGGTGAAGCATTGAGCGGGGAAACAGCCAAAATTCTCGGCGAAGGTATCATCGCCGTCGCCGGACGCCGGGGCCACAAACCACAAACCCAACAGGCACGCCAACAGCAAGAAGAAAAAGAACGACGACAAAAAGAGCGTGAGGAGCGGAAACACAAGGAATCGGGCTTGCCAAATCTCGCCGATCTCATGGACTCCGACTCGGAGACAGAAACGCCCGAACAGAACGCCCATGCTGCCGCTATCGTCGCCGCATGGGGCGCTGGCGCGTCTGCGGACGAACAACCCGAAGACCTCCGCATACGCGCCTCTGCGCTTTCTATTCTCGCATCAGCGGTACAAACCAACATCCTCGGTCTCGGACCTGCAATCGTCTCTTCGTCGGTAGATTTAGCCCTAGCAACGCTAACGCTAGAACCAGCGCCCGAAAGCGCGATCCTGCGGCGTGCTAGCGTGGTTCTTATCCTAGACATCCTGAAGGCTCTTGACACGGCGCGGGAATCTCGGAATGGCCAAGATATTGGATTCGGCTTCTCTCTCACAGACGATGGGATGCTTCCAGGTCCACGAGGTAGTCCTGCGCGTGGTCCATCAACGGTGGGCAATATCCCGAGTATGCTGAGCACGCTTGGATTCGTCGAGAGTGTGGAGACTGATGGGATTGTTCGGGGACATTTGCGTGTATTGATTGAGAGTCTGGAGGCTTGGATGGAGAAGTCGTTGATGTGGGGAATCGGTGCTCAGGATGGTGGGGAACCGAGACTGGAGCTTGGGGATCGCATTGCTGGCTTGAGTGTTGATCCGTTGGCTGGAAGGGGCTCTGGGAAACCGCGCATTGAAGAGATTGAGTAGGAATACACTGGTTGACACATTCTATTCTAGTCTATCTAGTCTATTTATTCTGTCCATTCTTCCCTCCGTCCTGTCCCTCCGACCTTGTATAAGCTATAGTCCTAGTCATTCAAAGAAGGGAGTTTCCTTGCATAAAATGTCATTCATTACTGGCACCAAGACCAGACCAATCAAAACTAGATACATTTTCTCACAATGAGACACATCCATTAACTCAGCCTCTTCCGCCGAGGTCGTCTCAAATCCTTGCAGGGATGAAAGAACCATCCCAGATCCAGCCTAAGGCGAACGCGGGGGAACAAGATGGTCAACGATCCACGTTAAGAGGTTGACTCAAACAAGGTAGACATATGGAAAAGATCATTGAGAACGCCGTACTGAGGAACACGACCGTAGGGACGAATAAGAACAGCCGAAAACACCTAATGCAATGCGCCGAACACCGATTTCCAGGTCTAGCCGACATGGGGATTACCGCAGACTCTTGAGGATGGCATCTCCATCACCAGGAAGAGTGAAAACCACCACCTCTGGCACCACCACGTCCCATGCCACGGCCAGGGCCTCGGCGGCCGCCACCACCCCGAAAACTTCCACGACCACGCCCACCACGGCCACGGCCACCATGTCCAGAAACCGTGGGACGAGGTCCAGCGTTCATCCGAGCCTCTTGCTCGCTTTCAGTAAGCTCAAATTTGTTGGGAATGTCCAGCAGTTTGCAGAACTCAGCAGTCTGGGAGTTTGTATACTCCTTTGGCTGCTCCGAAGTGGTCAGGGGGACTTCAGGGTCAAAGTTAGGGGCGGTTGGTTGGAAGTTGTAGGGAACCAGCATCCGCTTTTCCTTGACAAGATGCTCCTCAACCCACTCTTCCTCTTCGATGATACGTGCACGGTAGTATTCCTCGCCCTTGTTGGCTGGGACCTGAGCAGTTGCATCACCTAAAACGAGATCATTCGCAAATACTCGGGTAATCGCCAACCATTCCTTATCGTACTCCAGACGGAAGCTTGCGGGGGAAGCCTGAGCACCGGTCGATTTGATGGGATTGATCTTCACGAGATGCAAAAAGTCATCCCTGTTATGCGGCTTGTCCAGCGCGAGGAATCGAGTGAGCTTGTTGGTGATGTCGGCTGGGACGAGCTTCTTTTGGATCGGCTCGACCGTGGAAGTAACAGGGCGGGCAAAGCTGGCGGGGAGCTTGCTACGTAGGCCTTCAGTGACTGCGCGGTCTACCAGAGGCTCTTCGGAGGCAGTGGCGTTATGCTTGGATCCGTCGGAAGCAGGAATATTGATCTTCGGTGCTTTGGTAGGAGACGGGTTTCCAGAACCAGACTCGTCGGATTCGCTGCTTAAATCCAAGTCGATCTCATCCTGGTTTATACCAGAAGTGAACGGATCGATAGTGACTTCGTTTGATCGCTCCTTAGATTCTGCCTCGCGTTCCTTATGCAGCTGAGCCGTCTCAATGGAGTCCTGCTCCATAATACGACACTCTTGCTGCTCAGCCTCTACGGAGCCACCTTCGGCGGAGTCGTTCCCAACTTGCAGGTTTTCCTGAGCGGTAGCGGAAGCTGGGCGCAATGTGTCAATTACCATTGGAGTCGGCTCCAGGTTTGAAGTGGCGTGATCAGATGAAGCGGCAACAGGGGAAGGTGAGGGGGATTTGACTGAAGACGGGGCCATGGTTTTGGAGGCGGCCTTGGGAGAGACAGCGGGGACATGAGCCTCAACAGCCCAGACAGAAGGCTGATCAGCAGGGAAGGGTATCTTCGCAAGGCTAGCACCATCATGAGCTACGGCAGCAGCGAACTTGACATGGAGGTGAGCGGAGAACCAGTATGCCGGGCGAAGACGATCCAGAACATCACGAGCCGCTGCATTACCGAGGCGACCGTGTTCAGAGTCCTCCCTGAAGCCACGCTTCTTCCGGAACAGTTCTTGATGGTCGCCGGAATACTCGATGCCCCGTGGCCAGTCATGAGAAAGGCCAATGTCGACTTGAGTTCGGACCTGCAGTAGCTTGCGAACATCCAGCTCCCGAATGTGGTACACGCTGTGCAAATCATCCGAATTGTACGGGAGTCTTTCGAAATGAGGTTTGCGGAAATCATACCCCTTCCAGATACCCGACATAGCGGAAATTCTCAGCGGACCAAAGCGGACAACGTTGGCGGCACCAAGATAGTAGATGTTCGGAGCTGCCCACCCACCGTAGTACAGCTCGAACATGTAGTTGCTTGCCTCGTGGTTGCCCCCACAAAAGATGGTGAGGTACGGGGCGACCGCCTCGCCACTGTAGTACTTGTAGAAGTCGCCCATGGACTTCCACTTGGCAGGTACGGAGATGCATGCGGCATCATTGGCGTTCCGGAGGGCCTAGATACATGTGAGATTGAAGCCATTCTGTATCAGAAGTGAAAGAAATCAATTAGACCAACCTGGAAATCGCCACCAATGATCACCAGATCGATGGTCTCCCAGCCCTTGGCCTCTGCTCTGGCTTTCAGCAGGGTGTATATTTCATCAAAGCCGCCATGGGCCTACGCAGGGAACAGTTAGTATCAGACTAGGTATTCATTTGGAATGGGGGAAAACAGATGATATGGGAAAACTTACACAGCCAACGACGGCCACGCGGACACCATCAATCTCTGACAGCATGGTTCTGTACTGAGATCAAAGGCCAGGTATGTGAAGCTTGGATTTTTATCAATGATTGAGAAAAGGGAATTGTGCACGGAAAGTAGGCGCGCAAGATGATGAAGGGACGTGGGGAAGGGAAAAGGGATAGAAACCAGCAGAGGGAGGAAGAAGCTTGAGGAGTGGAGAGAAGAGGTGTCAACCGCCCTAGTGAAACTGGAAGAGCGCTGCCTAAGAAAACACCGCCTTGAAGGCGATCAAGATATTTCCGTTCTGGGAAAAAATGAGGAAGACATTCAATCATTCACGGGCGGCCTTAGGAGTCTGGCAGTAACCAGGATTCGACCTTTCCGCCTTCAACTGGCGAACATCTCAACTTTTCGCACCGTCCAGGCACTTTTCTTATCTTCGATCCCGGTTTATTCCTCTTTGCATACTAACTTCGTTGCCTCTGGTCTTCTCTACCGAGACAATGGCACCGCTTGAGGCTCCCCAGCTGTGCTTTCTCAGTGAGGCTGCCGATCTGCTGGCATCCGAGAGCCCAGCTATTGCGGCGCATCTGCTCTCGGTACATACGAAGATCTTGCACGACGAACTAAAACCGCTCAATACCCGCCAGCAAAAACATCACTGTGGGGGATGTGGTAGTATTAGACAGTCTAAATGCTCTCGAGTTACTCAGGTCAAGCCAAAAGCCAAGTCTCGAGCATCATCCAAGCTAGATACATCATCTACTGGTGGCGCTACAGTCTACAAATGTCTACGTTGCAATCAACGCACTATCAATCCACGCAAACGAGTCACCTCTAAGCCATTATCCAAGGCTTCATCGCGCATTCCTACAGCTGCTGCTTCACCCGTTCCTACTACTGCCATTTCCATTCCGGCAGAATCTTCAGCGCAGCCAGCTCTTCCTTCTACCAGCACCGATTCAGCTCCACCCAAGACAGCCGACAACGCCAACAGCAAGAAGAGAGCCAAGACACGAAAACAAGGTGGTCTGCAAGCTCTACTGGCCTCCAAAAAGAACGCTCAACCTTCTCTTGATCTCTTCGACTTCTTGCAGTGAGAAGAACACGCGCGGCTCTGCGCGCTCGGACCGGCCCAACTTGTTTTTCCGACATTGGGGAACTTCCGCGGGGCAGCTCCAGCTTCCCTTGGACCCAAGCTTGTGCATGCGGGATCGAACCAACTCTCCACTCGGATCTGCCAGCTTCACCTTTTCGATCACTACCCCATTCCCTGGAATTTTCCCACCATGTCGGACTACTCCGATACGGAAGAGCACGACCCCCAGGCGGACGAGCTCCGTGAGACGGCGCTTGTCACCTTGGAGGCCCTGATTAGCTCGTGCAACCAGCAGATGCAGCCATACATCGCCAACGCCAGCCAAGCCGCCCTCCGATTCCTAAAATACGACCCCAATGTTGCCGAACTGGAAGATGATGAAGAAATGGGCGGAACCCAAGACGATGGCAGTGAGGACGATGCCACCGCCGACCTGGATGACGACGAATTTGGGGACTTTGAAGAGGAAGATGGATACAGTGACATTGATGACATGAGCTGGAAGGTTCGACGCTGTGCTGCAAAGCTACTCTACACTCTTATCTCAACCTATGGCCGCAGCCGAGCCCTAGACGATGCCTCCCTCTACCAGCAGATCGCCCCCGCCTTGATCTCCCGGATCAGCCGTGAACGAGAAGAAAGTGTGAAGATGGAAGTCATCTCGACCTTGACAGCTCTGGTACACAAGACGAGCGAAGGATCTGTCATCGTCACCTCGAATGGCTTCCTGGAGACCGTTGGTGGTTCGAAGAACTCCCGCAAACGCAGACGTCAAGACAGCGATGCTAGCATGGTCGATTTTGAACCCAGTGCCGGCACTTCTTCCGCGATCGATTCGCCCGTTGTTCCCTCCTCTCCCAAGTCCGGCCCTCAGGCCGATCTCGCACGTTCTGTGCCCTTGATTGTATCGAGTTTGGTCAAGGCATGGAAGCAAGCCTCCATGCCCTTGCGACAGGCTGCCGTTGTGCTCTTGAAGAGCCTCTCCTTGGTTCGCTATGGTGGATTGGCCGATCATCTTCAGCAGATTGAATACCTCATTGCCGACGCTCTCAAGACCTCCTCTCTTGCCGGTAGCTCGGCTGCCCATTCCGGTGCCGCCGTCAGTGCTGGCTCTCTTCAGATCGAGACTCTAGGCCTTATTTCTGCCATTGCCGAGACTCATCTGTCCGATGCTCTGCTCCCCTTCCTCATCGCGCTGGTTCCTGGTGTTGTTGGAGCTGTCAACGAGCGCAACTACAAGGTTAGCAGCGAGGCCCTGGGAGCCGTGGAGCAGATCGTGAAGGCCATGACCCCGCCTCGTGCATCTGCTAATACCCCCGAGGTTGCCAAGCAACTGGAGAAGCTTTACGAGGTCGTACTTGCCCGCATCACCGACACCAGTGCCGATCTTGAAGTTCGTCAGCGAGCCATCCATGTATTTGGCGTGATCCTCGCCCTGACATCAGGCGAACGGGGTACCGAGTACCTGTCCACAGATTACAGGTCTAAAGGTCTCTCCATTTTGGTGGATCGTGTCAAAAATGAAACGACTCGTCTGGCCGCTGTGCGCGCAATCGACGACGTTGTCGTGCTTGCCAGCCGCCCCGAGGATGTTAGTGCGGACTGGGTCAATGAGATCACCCTCGAGCTCGGCTCCAATCTTAGGAAGTCGGATCGAGCTTTGCGAGGATCATGCTTGGAAGCTCTCCGCAGCGTTGCCATGAACTCCAGCATCCGATCTCAGCTGAGCCCTACTACTATGAACACCCTAGAAAATGCTCTCCTTCCACTGTTGTCCGCTCCCGACTTCCACCTCCTCACGCCGACCCTGATCATTATTGCCAAGCTTGTCCCCGGAAACTCAAAGTCGCTTGTCAATGAGTCCCTCATCGCCTCGATCTGCTCTATCGTCAAGCAACCGCTTGTCGGTACCGTTTTAAAGGCCCTGCTACTTTTGGTGAAGGTTATTGGAGACGAAGGTGCAGGTGCCCAGTTGATGCAGAATTTGTTGCAGCATGTCGGCATCACTGGGGATTCCTCCGTCGTGGGTCGGGCTATCGGTACCCTCCTTGTGCACGGTGGACCAAACCTGGGTGTCACCATGAACGACTTTTCAAATGAGCTGAGTACGGCCAAGGATGACAGCCGCAAGTGCCTTGCGCTTGCAATTCTGGGCGAAATTGGATTGCGCATGGGAGCCGAGTGCGCGCTGACTCCTGACATTTTCATTGCACACTTCAACTCGGACTCGGACCACGTTCGTCTGGCTGCTGCTACTGCTCTTGGCAATGCGGCGGCGGGTAGTGTCAAGACCTACCTCCCCATCATTCTCAGTGGCCTCGATAAATCCAATTCGCAGAGCTACCTCCTCCTGCACTCGGTGCGAGAATTGCTTCAGCACCCGGAAGTCGTCCGCCCAGATCTTGCCCCCGCTGCGCTGAAGCTGTGGCAGGCACTACTTGTCGTATCCGAGGAAGAAGACAACCGTGCGGTTGGCGCTGAGTGTGTTGGTCGTCTGGCTTTGATTGACCCCGTGAACTACATCCCCCACTTCCGGGATTGCCTGAACAATTCCGATCCCGTCGTCCGGGGCGTGGTCATCTCGGCCTTCCGCTACACCCTCGCCGACTCTAGCGATGCTTACAACGATGTTCTTCGACCCTTAATGGCGCCCTTGCTCACCAACATGCTCAGCGATAGGGACCTAGGTAACCATCGTCTTGCATTGACTACGCTCAACTCCGCCATCCACAACAAGATGAGCCTGCTACTTCCACACTTGGGTGAGCTGCTCCCCGCCGTCTTTGGCGATACCCAGATCAAGCCCGAGTTGATCCGCGAGGTGCAAATGGGCCCGTTCAAACACAAGGTCGACGACGGGCTTGACCTCCGCAAGGTATGTTCCATCCTCCTCTAATTCTTCGCCCAGTATGTTCTCTAACAAGTCATCCAGAGCGCCTACGAGACCCTCTACGCATCCCTCGACACCACCTTTGCCCGCAATCATATTTCGGAGATCTTTGATCGTGTCATTGCTGGTGTGGAGGATGAGCAAGACATCCGTGCCATCAGCAACCTGATGACCTCCAAGCTGGTCCTTATCGCGCCCGAGGAGACCGAACGCCGTCTCGACGCGCTTTCCGAGCGCTACACCGCCGTGCTTTCTTTCAAGCCAAAGGAGAATGCCGTCAAACAGGAGTTGGAGAAGGCGCACGAGGCCTCGCTGGGTATCCTCAAGACCACCAAGGAGCTCAGCAAAGCGTTCCCTGGTGCGGAGGCCTCGAGCGACCTGCACAAGTGGAAGGGATACATGGAGTGGGTTCGGAAGAACTTTGCGTCCCAGTGGCAGTCTCTGGACTCGGAGTTCTGAGCTGTGGGAACCTTCTTCAAGTGTGGGATTTTAGCTAGCCATTGCTTTTGCGCACCCAACGGCAGACTTACGACTTATGTAGTGCGATTTCAAAAGCGAGTCGTTTCCCGACCAGTATCGGAATTATTGTGAAATGAACAATTCTCGATCCACCCCTACAGCATTCTTGGTCTTGATAGTAACTCTTCGCCTCCCGCAGTAGTAACATGGAAGGCCCCAAAGTCGATGAATGAGGATACCCGAGTTTTCTACCAAAGGAAACTTTTTGGCAACCCACATCCTGACAGGACTTTAGGCAACACATCAATCGTGTCAGATTGAAAGGGGCCCTGCAGTGTGGACTTGATTGACACGATGGCTTGTTTCGCAGTGTCTCAGTTGAAAGCAACTATATACAGACCCGCTTCTTCACGACCTGCCATCTCAATCCTTATCCATCATACTAGCATTTTACCCGGCATACTTACCCGAATTTACCTAGTTCTTTTATACTTTCCTTGTCTCGGAGGGACAGGAGTTCATCCAAAATTAAAGATCGACACGGACCCTGCTTCGGCGAGAGATCCAGAAAGGTAAAACCCCGATGGGTCGGCCACGCCCCGTGTTGCATGATGACCGTTCCCCGCAATTTCACCGGTAGAATAGGATTTAGTGTTGAAACCTGCAGAAAGTCGGCTAGTGATGATCTCGCGATTTGCCGATGGATGAGTTGATGAAACATCCCAGACCTCCTTGTTCAGATGCAACCATGACATTGTTGTCTCGTTTGGATAAATCGATGGCTAAGTTCATAATCGAACACACCCCCGAGTGGGTCAGAAGAAAAGGTATATAACCCCCATCATTGTACTGCATCGGTGGAATAAACACAGATTCTCCCAATTCACTTCCACAGTATCGCCATGCGGTCTCCACTGGCCAACACAGACCTGTGGTCAACCATCGCCTTGCTACTGGCCTCGGCCAGCACGGTTACGGCAAGCTGCAATCTCCCATCAACCTACAGTTGGACATCAACCGGACCCCTAGCCCAGCCCAAGTCAGGCTGGGCCTCAATCAAAGACTTCACCAACGTTGTCTACAATGGCAAGCATCTCGTCTATGCCTCCGTGGCAGATACATCGGGCAACTACCACTCGATGAACTTTGGGCTCTTCTCCGACTGGTCCGGCATGGCCTCGGCGAGCCAAAACCAAATGACCAACTCCGCCGTCGCACCAACCCTGTTCTACTTCTCGCCCAAGTCCACCTGGGTTCTCGCCTACCAATGGGGCTCGACCTCATTCTCCTACCGCACCTCGAGTGACCCCTCCAATGCGAACGGATGGTCCTCCGAGAAAGCGCTATTCTCAGGTACCATCTCCGGCAGCAGCACGGGGGTGATCGACCAGACCGTCATTGGCGACTCGCAAAACATGTACCTCTTCTTCGCAGGCGACAATGGCAAGATTTACCGCGCCAGTATGCCCATCGGCAATTTCCCAGGCTCCTTCGGGACAGCCTCGGAGGTAGTCCTGAGCGATTCGACCAACAACCTCTTCGAAGCCGTGCAGGTCTACACCGTCTCGGGACAGAGCAAGTACCTCATGATCGTGGAGGCGATTGGCGCGAATGGGCGGTATTTCCGGTCCTTCACGGCTAGCAGTCTTGGTGGATCGTGGACCGTCCAGGCTGGTAGTGAGAGTGCGCCTTTCGCTGGAAAGGCTAACAGTGGTGCGACTTGGACGAATGATATCAGTCATGGTGATTTGGTCAGGAGTAACCCGGATCAGACTATGACGATTGATCCGTGCAATTTGCAGTTCTTGTATCAGGGACGGGACCCGAGTGCTAACCCCTCCTACAATATTTTGCCTTATCGCCCGGGCTTGTTGACCCTGAAGCAGTGATTTGTCCATTGGGTTTGGTTGAGTTGGATTGCAAGTGTAGTTATGGTTTAAGGGAGGACTGTATGGAGGTGAGGAAGATAGTATACGATGGTCTTGCAATGTTGACAATAAATGAAATTTGAAAGCATAAGAAAACCCTATTCCAATATGATCTACAAGTCTAGTGTGCATAGATTACTCAAAATGAGGCCAAATTCCCTGCTTGCAGGAGAAATGTCGTAAGGCTCTCCTTGTGATAATACTTGGGTGGTAGGGCAACTGTATGAAAATCTTGAGTGGGAATCCGGCAGAAATTCATGTCTGCATTGTGGGACCACCCCACATAGCCAATCATATCACACGGAAGTGCCTGGACAAGAGGCGGTGTACGGGCCTTAACCTTTACAATGAAATCTGCATTCAAACTTCAGATCTTTCTCCAAGATCTGCACGCCTATGATAAAGTGAAATCAAAGGGTCACAGAATTCAAGAGAAGAGTTGCAACACTAACTATGAAATTGTGTCAAAGACACGATCGCGGCCTACTGCTCCCACGTCCCGTGTGGATGGGGGTGACTTAAAGTTGCAGGGTCAAAAAAATGCCAGCTGTCGGATTCGAACCGACGAACCAGAACGGATTTGAGCTTAAGTCAAACGCCTTTAACCACTCGGCCAAACTGGCTATCGTTCAAGATTAGCTAATTCATGATACCTGTACTGACTACAATTTTCCCGTTCACATCAAGCTGCCACGAGAGCGAAGAGCCTATTGAGTTAAAGGAATAACTATACCAGGCGCAGGCTATTACCTAGCATGCGGATATTTTCACACATGTGTCTCTTTATCAATGAGTTCTCTAAAAGCTCTAGCAAGTTTATCCGTTAGTCGGGGCGTGCTCATTGACTGGAAGCAGTTTTCCTTCTAGCGATCTACGATCTTAATTTTCAGCCCTGAGTGCGAGTCGTGGGTCCATACGGTGAGATTTTCACATGACGCTGATTGGCTTGGTCGTACAAGTCCAACATGATTATGTATGCAGAAATAGGGGGTTTCCGCGGGTCGACCCGCCCCAGTCATACTGTAGGAAAATTGTAGCGAGACTGAGAGACGAGACCCGTCGTCGCGCAACTCAGGACGGGCATTCCGCTTTGATTGTACAGAGTAATAGTGTATGGCTTCTGTATTGGCCCTATATCCGTGACGCCATACCGCAGCCCGGCCCCTACGGCGCGTCCAGTAACAGCCTCCTCTCAGCCTCGACAAGCATAAATCAGGGTCCAAGCTTAATTCCGCTCAACCACATTGGGAGCGGGGTGGCCTGTCGTGGGTGAATATCATTGGTATATTAAGGAAAGAGGGTTCAGGCGGTGCAAAGGTTCAAAACTCGGAGATTGGCTTAAGCCTCGTTGGTGGTTGGGTGTGCCTGAATCAGGAAACGGCCCCCTGATCACGCGAGAACAGGGAGTGAAAGCTGGATCAGCGACCGGTGGCGCCGAGGTAGTGCCAATAATAGTGACGGGAGAAAGGGTGGTGAATACGAAGTGGGGCTGGGGGCGTTACAGGGCAAGAAAGCAGGCTGACCATTTAAAACGAGTGGAGCTTAGGGGATAGAATAATGACAGTGTCCGAAGTTCATGCTTGGGAGAATGTGTTGATGGTGGTAGCGATTTGTCCACAGGACTACTGCTGTTGAGATAATCCGATGTCATTAAGGGTTTACTCACGTGTGTTGTCAGGGACGGTATGGAATTGAAATCCGGGAAGATTCAGGGTCGCCAAGCTTCATTTAAGTTTGTCATGGATGCCTTTCGGGTGTGGAGTGGGTAATAAAAGTAATAAAACACCGAATTTGTCCACACGCGACATCATCGGGCAGTCCCTGAAAGGGGAAAATGCCCTTGTGCCTAATAAATTGCAGTAATTCATTAGTTATGAACATTGATCAATGACTCGTATGTGTCAAATATTCTGTACTATGAGCTTGTTAGCTCGTCCATCGCCAATGGTACGGTAATATCATGAGAATAATAATCAGTATTACAATCAGTATTATGGACCCTCACCCCAGTTCTTCCGTACCTTTTTCCCTGACAAGGCAGCAGCTCTTGGCCCCAGGGCCATTATTTGGCCCGATCTCGTGTCCGCTTATGGTCCATCGTGTTCGCGATCCTGAAAAGTCTTTTTCTTTAACACTTCTGTGCTCCCTTCTCAACTCTCCTCTTTGACTATCCTCCCATTTCTCCTTTCGGCACCTCCACCTCTCACTTTACACGGTGTAATGGAGTGTTTCAGCGTAGTTGATCTATGAAAAGAAACTCCCCCGCGAGGAGCTATCCACCATCACCATGAAGCTCGGCTTTCGTCAGCGCTGTAAGGAATTCGTCCGCATCCTTCTTTCTCCCACGCTCTGGTTCGATGTCTACTGGCCTGCCTCGCGCAAGTACTGGTTCTCGCTGTTGCTCATCGGCGTGATCTGCGCCAAATTGCTCCACATCTATTCCCACCTCAACTCCCTCTCGCCCGGTCAATTTCTTCTTTGGGGCCCGACCTTCTTCCTTCAAGATGTCGCATGCATCCTCATTGCGCACGCTCTTTCCAAGAACTTCCACCGAAGATGGCATCGTGTCGTTTCCGCGCCGGTAGTGATTCTGGCCAGGTATGTCACACCTTTTGTCTACTGTCGTACTGGTAAACTGGTAAACTGACCCGTATTTTTCCTTCTAGTCTGATGATTTCTGGTCTAGCCGCCGCCAACATCTCCTTCTATACCCAAACCGGTGCCGAGATTCATTGGCGCCAAGCACACGCCTTCCATCGCGATGCGGCATCGGTCAAGACCCTCCTGGCCGGATTGACCGGTATTGTCATTATGGAAGTTTTATTCAGTGCCGGAGCATGGATCTCGACTCCATACCTATACAATTGGGTTCGTACCGTGACCCGGGTTCTGAACGCGGCCGTGGCTCCGGTATTCGTCTGCTGGAAGCGAAGGCCCAGCTCCGACCCGGAGAACTATGCGCAAGTCGCCCACAAAGATTGGGATGAGGAGAACAGTGAATCGGAGGCCATGCTGGGCCTGGAGGATCCGATGGCACCATCTCAGCTCTCGTCGTCACGGCCGCGACCGTCTCTGTTATTGCGCATCCTCGTGGCCTCGATTGCCGCCATCGTACTTCTGCTGCGCTGCATTCGTCCGTCAGATACCGCGTACTCGTTCCTCTCCCAGACTGTGATCCTCACGCCCTTTGAGAAACCCCCACAACATGAGACGACTTACTCGGTGGATATCCCGCCAGACTTGCCGGGCGACTACAGCTGGCTCTACAACCACACCGCTCTTGCGGCACCTCCGAGTTTCGACTGGCTGCCACGAAAGCAGATTGCAGGATTCAGAGACTGGTATGAAGAAGGCAAGGAAGGGACTGCATTGCACTATGATCCGGCGCACGACCCTTTGAAAATCTCGAATCTCGACCGCGATGTTCTGGAGCCGTGGCGCGATGCGCTGAAGAGCGGTAGTGTAAACATCAAGCACGTCTTTCTACTCAAATTGGAAAGTACTCGGTACGACGTCTTCCCGGTTCGCAAGGACTCTCACGTTGGCGATATCATCCGCGAATCATACGGTGGCAACGTTCCAGATATTGTCGACCAGCGCCTCGCCAATTTGTCCCGTAACGCTGAGCGATTGACGGGTGTCTCGGCTGGCTGGGACCACAGTGACGATTCATGGCAGCCACGTGGCGGTATGTACGCCTCGAATGCTTATACTGGTGATACTTTCACTCTCAAGAGTATTCTCGCGAGTGTCTGTGGAATTGTGCCCTTGGTCGTCGATTTCAACCGCGAATACTTGCATCATATTTACGAGCCGTGCATGCCTCACATTCTGAATGCATTGAACACCATGTCTCGAGAGGCCGACACCAAAAAGACAAAAGCAGATGATTTTAAAACCTGGCCCTGGCATTCGACTTTCATGCAGAGTATTACGGATAACTATGACAACCAGGATCTTCTGCTTCCTGCGCTAGGGTTCAAAGATAAGATTACGGACGAAAGAATAACGAAGGACTGGAAGAAAAAGCCGGGCCACAAACCAGAAAAGTTCAATTTCTGGGGCTACCCCGAGCATGAGCTGCGACCTTACTTGATTGATACTTTGAAGCATGCAGAAAAGCACCATGAGCGCATCTTCCTCACCCATCTCACGGGACAGACACACTATCCCTGGGATATGCCAAAAGGCGATAAGATTGAAGAGTTTATGCACCACAACATCTTCAATGGCAGGAACCGGATGAACCGCTACTTGAACACTCTCGGAGTGGCAGACAGATGGCTTGGCGAGGTCTTAGAAGTGATTGAAGAAGCTGGCGTTGCCAATGAAACCCTGGTGGTCATGGTTGGCGATCAGTAGGTGTTTCCCTTGAAAGCTTGTACAATTTCGGTGATACTAACATATATTGACAGCGGCATCTCGCTAATTGAGGACGGCGGCGTCACCCCCTACGATAATCCCGGAGTTTCCAACTTCCATGTTCCACTCGTCTTCTCGCATCCGCAACTCCCTCAGATTACTATCGACGGCCGCGTCACATCCATGCAGATCGTGCCTACCATCATGGACCTTCTAGTGGAATCGGGCTCTTTGGATAAGGATGCAACCCATGCAATCAAAGACCTTCTCCCCCTATACGAAGGCCAGTCCATGATCCGCGAGCTTGTCCCAGAGAAAGACGGCAAGCTTGACTGGCAGTTCACCGTTATGAATACCGGTGCTACCTGGCTTGCTCTGCGATCCGGCCCCAAGCCGTACCGCCTAGTCGTTCCCCTCGTGCCTGATGTCGAGTGGCGGTTCTCGGATGTGGATAAAGATCCGCTCGAGCTACACACTGTTCAGTCGTTCACTTTGCATCCACTTTTGGATGAAGTGGCTAAGGTATATGGTGAAGATGCCATGAATTGGGTCATTGAAGCTGCTCACGTTACCCGATGGTGGGTAAGTGAGAATTGGCGCCGATATGAGTATAAACCGGAGGCATGATTTTTCCAGCAAATTTGACATGCCTGTCAACGCTGGTTTACCTTTTGAATTTCTAATCATTGCTGTGGGACGGTTTTGGCGTCTTTGGTGTACATTTGCATGGGATGTGGGCTGCATATTATTTGATCTACTGGGTTTTCGTCCCGACTTCTTGTATTATAGATTTACAATGTCCATTAACAAACATTGCACGACGCGAACCAGCGAGTCATCGCGCTTGCATTTCCGAACATATTTCTCTCTTCCTTCTTGAACAGCATAATGATATCATAAACGATCATAACCTACTCCTTAAAACACAAAATCTCGGCACTCGGAATGGAGATCCACGCATCCTGATCCTCTCCCCACTCCCTCCAAGTCTTCGAAATCCCCTCAAGGTCCTCCTTTGTCGCAAGCCCATGCTCAACCGCCGTCGTCGCAAACGACGAAGCAACGGCCCTCTCAACCCACGTCTCACTCCACCACTTAACCTCCTCCTTACTAGCATAGCACCACATCGTACAGCTACACCGCACATCAGTCAACCCGGCCTTTCTAGCCCAAGCATGCAACATCCGCCCCGCATTCGGCTCCCCGCCATTCCGCCGCGCAACACGATCATACATATCCTGCCACACCTTCAAACCGGGGAGCTCAGGATACCACACGAAAACGCCATAATCCGATTCCCTTGCAGCAACGATACCGCCCTTTTTCACAACGCGCTTCATCTCGGCCAACATCCCCACGGGATCGCCCACGTGCTGCAGCACTTGGTGACAGTATACCACGTCAAAGGTACCATCCGCATAAGAAAGGGCGTTCGCGTCCCCCTCGACAAAATCAATATTCGTGACTCCCTTCGCCTCTGCGTTGGCACGCGCCTGTGTCAAGACACCGCCCGCCCGCTCGAGACCCGTGATGTGGCCCTGCGGAACGTAGGATGCTACGTCCACGGTGATGGTACCGGGGCCACAGCCGATGTCGAGGATTTTCATGTCCGGTTTGAGATGAGGCAGTAGAAAGGCTATGGAGTTTTGAGCTGTGCGCCAGCTGTGCGAGCGTACCACTGAAGCGTGGTGCCCGTGGGTGTAGATGGCTGATTCGGATTTGGTCGCCATGGTTATGGGTGGCATTGGAGGTTTGGAAAGAAACTGAGGTATGAAACGTGCGAAGATCTCAAGGATGGAGCTTGGGTTTCTTTTTTCTTTGAATGGGGATACCTTTTTTGAAATCTGTCGCGAGTTCGTTGCTTTATATACTTGGTGAATTGTCGTCAATGTCATGGACCTCGGGCCCCGATATCGGCGATCCAGCTTGGGAGGCTCCGTCCGGGGTTCCAATCGCAGCTCCTCCTCGATGGATCATATTGTATGATGGTACTTACTATTCTTACTATTGGTTGTTGATTAAGTTTGAGGAGCTATTGTACCTCCTGAGTGATGATTCTAGCTCCGGTGTCCAGAGCTTTATGCCATGCGTGGTAGGAAAGGGCGTAGCCGATGTCGGGGGAGCATTTGTTTCTTAGATATGTCGAGGCTTCCTCTCACGCCCAGGACTGTAGAGATAATGTAAAGTGAAACCAGTATTAGAGTCAAATTTAATGACTACAAAAAGTTTTGATGGAATATCAGCATACCCGGCGAGGTGCAGTATGAGCTAACTAAATTGTCCTCGGTAACCGCGAAGCTGAGCCATTGCATAGAGGGAACAATCCAGCGCTTGCCAATCGGTTCAGTCACAATAATCCAGATGAAATCAATTCTTTGCTAAAAAGTACGCCAAAGGAATTTTAACGCTTTGATTAGGTATCCTTTTCGCGTCTCTATACAGATCAGAGCCAGACAAAACCACAACCTAGGATGAGCCTTCTCAGCGGGCGGTCATTATCATGTAAATCTCAAAGCCGCCTTGCTTTGCTTGGCAATTACCAGCTGTGCTTGATTCTCTAACGGTGCACTCTGTGGAGACCTTTAGTCTCTCCAGATCGACCACTGTCTTCTTCAGTCACGATTTGTCTGGGCAACACTTGATGAGAAAGAGATTTGGCGCTAATGCATGGACTGTACAGTCCTCGCCCCACTATGGAAAGAGGAGTCAACCGAATTTGGGATGCGAGTGGGGGTTGATTAGCAATGAATGAAGATTGGAATCAAGAGCAGCTCTAATTAAGTCAATCTTCTCAACTTATTATCTTATTATTATCTTTTCCCAGTAATTCAAGGGTAATTCAAGAGTACGAGATCGCATAGGCAGACTCAAAGAGTTAGCAGATACTCGAATCGACTTGGATTACTATTAGACCCGATGGATGGACTTGCCATCCCCACCATCGATTTAACAACGCGTTTTGAGATCTAGAGAAGTCGGAATAGGTTACGAATTGCTATATTTTTGGTTATAACTTTCTTACGGCATCGCTCAATATCCCGACCGCGAGTACCTGGATTTAAGGCCCTGGGAATCGAGAACAATGAGCTCATCACGAAGCGGCCATCTGGAACCATTCTTCTTGAAGGAGCTTATGCCATGGCACCATTTCAGCGAAGCCGTTGTCCCACGCGCCCAATGGCCTTTCGAAATAGAAGGCACTAACTCACTTGGATAGAAAAGCGACTCCGAGAAGACGGCCCGACCACACCCCCACTTCGGCCCATCTGCGGCCGTTCCCCCGGAGAAGTGTGAAGCGACCTCGAACATGTGTTGCTCGACTCACTCTACTATCTACCTCACAAAGTTGAATCACACACAGATTTGAGTGAATATTGGACTTCGTTTGCACTTTCTTATGCTTTTCTGCCAATTGGAATCACAATCGCGCAATGGCGAGTCAATTTACTCCACATCAAAGTAAACCGAAGCGCAGAGGCCGCCCTCGGCCTCTTCCCCCCGATGTCAACGCCCGCAATTTAGCCCTGGAGAAAGGCCGACGAGAAGACATGAAAAAAGACCTACTTGTAAGTCCTCATTATAGTGCACTTGGCTACACTTTCACGACTAACTTGGGTCGTTTGAGTTACACTCCAGGAGCTAGCACGTTTAGTACCTGCTCTGGCGCCCGTCCGCCGCCTGTCGAAGACCATCGTCGTGAAAGAAGGCCTCCAGCATTTCAAGAAGCAACGCGCAATGTGTCTGTCTGCAGCAGGCGATATGCGAGATCTGATCGCAGAGAACCATCGGCTAATCGCCGAACTGAATGAATTGCGTTTTCTGGCTGGGGAAAGGGATTTACCGCCGTTAGAACCAAAACCCGTCTCGGAAGCCATGATCCAGCTGATGAATGTACCCAATGAAATCTGTGGGACATTTCCGGCGGGTTTTGGGGATAACTGGGCATACGAATCTCACGATGTTCGACCTGACCAAGGCAACAATGACCTTACCATGGACCATGCAGCATACTGCTCGCCAGATGACATACTATTGACAGTCGAGCGACCAACTCAAGATCAAATCCCGGACGGCCCTAAAACTGCAGCAGAATCTGTTCTATTTCCCGAATATGCCTTGCATGGAGAAACGCTCCCACACCTTTCCTTGAACTGTTCTCTATCCCCGCACACGCCCGTCGAGCTCTCACATGCATCCAGCCACCAAGGACTCGTTACGGACATGACTCAACTTGACATTTACACTTCGTTTAATACCCAGCACCTTCCGACCTTATCCTTAGATACAATACCGATTGATGTTTCTGCAGCCTTATGGATGCAAGGAATCGGCATGCCAGAGAGCGTTCAGTCTACATCATGTGGAAACACGGGCGGGATCTCGACCTTTCAGAAAGCTGGCCAAGACTACGTGTACATGGTTTGAGAGCGAAATAGATCACTTGAGGATTTTGCGGGCTATGACTGTTCGATCTATACAGAATCATCTTATCCTCTGAAACAAACCCTTGGTTCTATATATCTGCGGCCGTAATGGCACCACCAATCCGTAAAATTACGTACTGAACAAACAACCAACTTCCTCCGGTGTGTGAGGTGTAAACTCAGGAAGAATCACAACCGGTTACTGAGTGAGATTCAATCATTTATCAGAAAGAAATCCAGCAAAAAAAGAAAGCCAGTCATAAAGACAAAGAAATAAGAGAGCAAAAAAAGAATTGTATGAACAACCCCACGCGGGGGTCGAACCCGCAGCCTCTGAATAAGCTTCTTCCCTCAGCGTCCCAAGAGATTCGGCCCACCAATCATGGTGAAGACTAGAAGTTCAGCGCGCTACCATTGCGCCAGTGGGGCCGTCGCTTGTCGAAAACGACAAATAATGGCATTATGACTCTTGCAGACATGAAACTCACAATTGCCCCATCTGATTTCCTTGCCCTTTACTGTTTCTGAAAGGGTAAAAGGACACCAAAGGGATATTGATTAGAGTGCGAGTAATGAATTTTCCATCTATAATCCTGATGAGTATGTGGGTGGCTCATGTTAGGAAATCTAGGCCTTTTTGCTAGCATTACAGAAATTCATGTTTCTTACGATTTAGCCCCTTCTGCCTCTACTACTCGTCTTTCTTCCCGTCTTTCCTGTGCTGTCCATCTTACTATCCTTCTGTGATTTAAGAGACTATATTGGCTCATCCTTAATATGTATAGGTGAAAGACAGGCCGAGATAAGATATATAACCAGCTAAACCAAGAGGCCGTGTACTGTCGATTCGTCCTACCTTAGAGGGTCACAGTGTCTATATTATCACTCTTGAATTCACCTCGGACGACATATTGTCCATGGCAAGTTGACTAATCATAGACTTTATGGACGACCGCATCATTTTCTATCTATCAGCTGTACACTTGATTCAACTGCACTCCAGGTTTTTGAATTACAGTGGATCTCTTGCTTTCTACCCTTTGGATCAGTCGTTACTACTTCGCGTGCCATTATGACCGCAGAACGCCGATCTAAGACAGCATAGCTCCTAACATCATTCCACCGGATCCATGACTAGACAGGAGAGAATGGCGTTGATTATTCCTAGCTATTTAAAGAGCCAAATCAGAAGGGACCGTCTATAGGATGTGAAACCTCTGACAATAATGAACAAGTATATAAAATTTGACCAGATCGACTATTGATCTTTCACCATATGGAGGGCAGGTTCTCATTTGCAAGCCGGGTGAGTCTTTCATGACTGAATTGGAAGCACTCCGGCAATCTAGTGTCGCTCCACGCCTGTCCAAGCACGATCTTGGCAATTCCAGGAGCACATGTAAATATCCTTGCCATACCTATTACATTGAAAAAAAAAATCAGCCAAGATCAGTCTAATTAAGTAGCGTTACACTTACCATGACCGTTGAACCCAGCACATATATATTGACCCGGCAATGAATCAATCGCCCCAACAAAGGGGACAGAGTCCGTGGTCATCGCAATGATCCCGGTCCAAGCATGATCCAAGCCTTCACCGTGCAGATTCGGCTTCCCATCGGGAGCGTAATCAGGGAAGAGGATGTGGAAGCTCCGTAAAGCATCTTGGGCGATTTCTTCACTAAAGTGAGAATCGTCGATGCTGAAGCGACCGTCCAGAGTCTCGGGACTCAGGGTCGGGTTAGATCGAGAAACTCCTAGGATGAGTGTGCCATCCCCCTTGCGCTGGATCAAGGAATAGAAATGATGGAGACTGTAACGTAGCGAAAACGTATTCTGAAGGGCATTCTCCGCCGCAAAAGCCGGGGTCGGCACGATGGAATGGGCTTGTGCCCGATTTGGCCGAATATAGGCTTCGAGTTGAGGTAGTAGCAGCGCTGCGTGAGCATTTGTACAGTGTATTACCTTTTCGGCCATGATGATTCCCCGAGGGGTATGGATATCCCATAAAGATGAGCCATTGGGTGTCACCTCCGTGACGGGACAAAATGTAAACAGGCTTGCACCACGCTCGATCGCAGACTGGAGCAAGAATTGGGCCAATTTGGCGGGATGGCTCGAACCTGCTGGCCATTCATATGCTGCAATGGCTCCTGGGATTCCTGTCTTTGCCTGGGCTTCCGGTCCTTCATAGAACTTGATGTGGGATATATCACCCCCTGCCTCTTTGTACGCCTCGAGACTCTCTGCTTCATACTTGGCGAACTCGGGCGTCATGCAGACATCGAAAGTGGTGCTCAAATGGAAGTCACATGGCACATTGTACTTCTTGACAAACTCGTCAACTTTTTCAAGGACAAGTCGTTCGTTGGCTATAATCTTCAGAGCCTGTTCGGGCCCGTGGACTTTGGAGTAGGCGTTGAAGCCCCGAAATGCGTCTGATATATGTTAGCATTTGTAGCCCCTGGTCATTTTCAGATCCATAACAATACGATATCTTCGTTTGAAGAAAAGACATACCCGGTCGGACGTGGCCTGCATTTCGCGAACTCGCACCACTCGCCGCTTCTCGCGCTTCCAATATCACCACATCCTCGGCCTTGACACCTGTTTCTAGTAACTCAAACGCGGCGAGAGCACCGGATATGCCAGAGCCGATGACCACATATTTAGCTTTTGGAGGCACGGGATCATTTTTGTTGGCAAAGAGATGGGGAAATCCACGAGTGGTGCGCTGCCAGTAGCTCAAGCAGGGAGTGGTATTAGGCAGATTCCTGCTGGATCCGTTTTGGGGACTTGTCATGATCGCGGCGACGGAGTAAATGGAGGGGAAGCTTATGTGTCAGATAATCTGCTCCCAGCTAAATACTTTACTTGATCCACCCAAGTGACGGCTTGTGCCGCTTAACCGTGATTACAACCGTGAGTACAGGAATTGTTCGTTTCGTGCGGGGAGAAGTCCGCGATTTGTCTCCCTGTGACTTACCTATCCCTCCACCAAACCCACTCTCCTTTCTTGACAAGGAATCCATTTATCGCAAAGCCATGCTTAATATAGTTAAAGGTCCACGAGAGAGCTCCCCCAATGCGCGATTGGCGGACTCTAGCGCGCCACTATCCTGACCCTCTCGTGGCCAGGGGCGCTTGGCGGCCGGCATACTCTCGCCTCGACCTCCTCTTAAAGCCAGCGGAGGTAAAGATGTGCCCCAGGCGGGGTAAGACTGGAAGCTTCAACCTTTTTAGGTCAACCACACGAGCGTCCAAGACCGTTGGGTTCTGTCTTCATGGCCTCGGAGCATTCCCGAGGTTACGCCAAGTTCTTTCTGGGCGTCTTGCGATTGGTGGCTGACGCGAGTTCCTTATCACAAGACAACAGCCCCTTCCGATCTGCGATCTGCACGGGGCATATTGACCCCCGGATGTGGCTCGAGTCGCATGCGAGAGCTTATCGGGACGATGACTACTTGGCTGTTTCTTGTTCTTTAAGAGGAGACGCCTCCCAGACAGCCAGCTTTCTCTGCTTCTCTCCTACAGATCATCTCCTTTGGCTTCCTGCCCAGTGATCATGGGCCTCTCGAAGATCTTTCGGCGCGGTGACCCGACGGATGGCTATGTACGAACAGCGGATGAGCGGGCTCTTGTCCGACGTCTGGATACATTCCTGCTCACCTTTGGCTGCCTTTCACAAGGTAGGGCGGCATCTCGATTCAACTGTGAATATCTAATTGAAGGACTAACCATTATCAGTGATCAAATACCTTGACCAGCAAAACATTAATAATGCCTATGTCTCTGGCATGAAGGAAGATTTGAACTTGAAGGGAAATGAACTGAATTTGTACGACTGCCTGCGATCGTCAGACCAATAGACTGCTAATGAACATCAGATTTACCACGTACTTTAACGCTGCATACTGTGTTATGCTTATTCCCTCCCAAATTATCCTAACATACATCAGACCAAGCTATTGGCTTCCGGGCCTGGAGATCGTGTGGGGTGTGTTGACCGGTCTGATTGCTATGACCACGCATGCGAAACAAGTCTACGTCCTCCGCGTGTTTTTGGGACTCTGCGAGAGCAGCGCGTGGCCTGGAATGATGACTTTGTTGAGTAAGTCATTTCCGGAGTGCTTGTATTGAAGCCGCAAATTTGCTCATACTATCTTAGTGTACTGGTATACGCCAACGGAGCTTGCAAAGCGCATGGGCTTTTACCACTCCTGCCAGGCTGTCGGCCAGATGATGTCTGGAGCGCTGCAGGCTGCAATCTCGGACACGCTCAACGGCCACGGAGGGCTTGCCGGATGGCGATGGCTTTTCGTTATCAATGCGATTATCACCGTTGTGTGGGGATTTGCGGGATTCTTCATGATCCCAGATCTTCCTAACAACCCCAACCCTCGGGCATTTTGGTTCCGCAAGGTCCATGCAGAGCTCTCGATGGAGCGACTGGCTCGTAATGGCCGAGCCGAGCCGAAGAAAATGACATGGGCGGGTGTAAAGCGGACATTCTCGGGCTGGGTGGTGTACTTTATCGCGATTCTCTATATTGCGACCGTCCTGGGCACGTATGGCTATGTCTACTTCTCGCTCTTCCTCAAGTCTCTCAAGAGACCCGACGGGACTCCCAGATGGACGGTATCAGAAGTGAACGCGATCCCGATCGGTGGCTCCGCCATTAACGTTGTCTTTGTGTGGATCTGGGCATTGTTGTCGGATTTCCTGCAAACAAGATGGACTCTGATCGTGGCCCAGGGAATCATTGGCATAATTCCCTGCATCGTCATGAGCATTTGGACTTCTCATCCGACCTCAGTTCCACTCTCTAGCGCCTATGCGTCCTATTTTATCTCATTCATCTGTCTTGGAACAGCGCCGCTCATCTTCGCCTGGCTTTCGGACCTCATCCCCCAAGATCCCGAGGCTCGTTCACTGGTTGTTGGCGTCTCCGTTGCTGGATATTACGCCATCTCTGCTTGGTCGCAGGTACTGGTATGGCCAGCGTCGCAAGCGCCATATTACAAGTATGGCTGGCAATCTGCATTAGCCTTGTTGGTGCTCGTCATTATCATGACGTGCGCCCTCCGCTACATCGATGTGAGGTATCTTCTACCAAAGCGTGAGGCGTTCCAGGAAACGCTGGAAGGGACTGTCGTTGGCCGAAAAGATAGTGTTTCGGGTTTGACAGACAGCAATGTAGCGCCAGGACCGAGTTCGGATCCTGATCGGAAATCTGTGCACAAGGCTACTGTGGACGAAGTCTGAGATAGATGCAATATGAATGACGATGCTATATGAATGACGTTCGATCCCATCTGAATTAAGATAAGGCTGTATGGAATGACTAATTGGCTACAAAAATATCCTAGTTATGAACAAGTATCCAACGAAATCAATACGAAATCAATACGAAATCAATATTAAAGATTGTAATAGCACTGTTGTAAAGTACAAAAGCGCGAGCGGCACACAAGGCCCACGAAGATTAAGTATATGTCCCATCCATAGCACATCCCACATTCCAAGCGTATATTTCCCCTCTCCAGAAGCCTTAGCCCGTGTACACATGCTCTAGTAGTACAGCGGGTTCTCTGGGTCAGTCAGATCGAAGACCACACTGGAGTGGGGCTTGGCACCGCCGCGGCTCTCAAACTCCTTGCTAAAGTCAATAGTACGGTTGAAGCTCAGGCTACCATCGTCGTTGATATCGATGTACAGCGCCTTGAAGTCAGCAGGAGTGTTGATAATACCGATCTCGCCGGTTTGCACAAAGTAGTCGGTGACAACCAGGTGCTTCTGGTCCGGAGTGACCTTGATGTAGTGAGGGCCCACGGTAGGCTGGTCCTCATCGGGGTCGTCCAGACGCTTGACGTTGTTGAGGTCGCTGATGTCAAGAGCGGCAATGTGGTTAGCAGTGGTGAGGGTCAGGTAGATGAAGCGGCCATCCTGACTGATGTCGGTGCTGGTGAGGGAGGGTGAGGGTCAGTTGATGCTACATGTATTGGTGGTGGCAGGATGTGACATACTAGATGGCGACAGTGTCACGGGCCTTGGGGCCAAGATCGTAGAGCTGCTCAATGACACCCTGCTTACCGTTCGCATCCTTGCGAAGCGGGTAGATGACCCAGACCTGACCCAGGTGGACGGCAGTAGCCAGAGCGGCAGCCTCGGGGTGGTTAGGGATGAACTTGACGTCTTGGATACCACCGCCCTGTTCTCATAGTTAGTGACGGACCTTTTGGGTAAAGATTCTGTTTTGAGATACTTACATCGGGAATGGTCAGGGTGTTGATAATCTTGCGGCTATCCAGGTCCCAGAGACGGAGGGTGTTGGCACGACGAACGCCGGTGGTAGGCTTGAGGATGGAGATAGGCTCCACAAAGTCGGAAGTGAGAATGAACTTGTTCTTCCAGTCGATGCTCAGACCGTGGGGAGAGAATTGCTCTCCAAGGATGTTGAGGGTACCCTCAACGTCTTCAGGCCACTCGTGAATGATGTCGAAGTTGGCATCGGTCTCGATCAGACGACCAGGGGAAGTACCCACGGCAGAGCCCATGTAGGTGATGAAGAAACCACCGTCGGGCTTGGCTCGGACTTCATCAGCAATAGATGCAAGAATGCCACGGTTGCTCTTCAAGAACTTGGGACGGTATGGGTCGCTGGTATCGAAGTAGAACCCGGTGTCCTGTAACGGATGTTAGAGAAGATACTGTAGTACAAGTACAAATTTCAGGTATGTCCTGGTAACTCTTACCTGTGTCTTCAGCAGCGAAAGAAGACCGCCACCCCACAGGGTCTTTCCGTCGAGAGAAGGTCCCAAGTGGTGAGGGTCATTACCACTGGATGGGACATCAGTCACCCACAGAAGGGTTCCGAAAGTGTCATCATCCAAGCTGTAGGTGGCCAGGAAGTCCTTGTGGAACTTGTCACCCGAGCCAGTCCAGAAGTAACCAATCTTCTTGGGCTTGATATCACTCGGAGTGAATGGAGGGCTCTCCAGCGGAGGAGTGGGGACTTGCAAGATTGGGAGAGGAGGGGCATTGGTAGTCAATGGCTCCGTGACTCCAGGAATAGAAGGAATCAGTGGAGGGAGAGACAGACACTCCGCAAGGGAGATCAGAAATGCCGCAGATGCGAGTGCGTACTTCATATTGAATCTGTTTGGCTGATGCCAACGAATGGAGATGAAGAAGAAATTGCCTCGGATGGTGTGTTGTGATGAGCAGATTTGAGGGAAATACTGGAGGTTATATAGGCACTCGTTTCGCTCTACAATTCCAGCTGTCATTCCACTTTCCTTTTTCACTTGAATTCAGCATCAGAGCTATCGAAGCCCAAGCACGCAATACCCAGCTGTCTTGTGTATGATGTATGAAGGGCTTTGATGAATATCAAATAACATCAAGGCGAACCTGATCTGCGAAATGGCGAATGGCCCAGTCCATCAGGAATACGATGGGCGGATGATACTATTCAGACGGTAGATCGAAAACTACCTTCACGCTATTTCCCAAGCTTATGCAAGGCTAAGGCTCGATGAATATCGATGTGATGTCGTGATCGGAGACAAAGCCATGTTCCTGGACGAGGAACTGCACATTCCTGCAGGGTTCAGAACCCGGGAAATGAGTAGTTCGTCTGATGGTCCCCGATGGTTCGTCTCTCCCCTCTTGTACAGACCAAGGATATGATGAACTATATGACCAAGTTTACACGCTTGATTGGGATTGATTTTAAGTAAATAACCCACCATTGTATGTGGACAGGCGTCGGAAATCTTGATTAACTTCTTGGACAACGAGCTGGGAAATCTCCAGTGGACATCTATATTGAACACCAAGGGTATACCATCAAGCCCTCTCCATTCGGCTTTCGTCGAGACCTCTCGGGATTTGGCCTCAGAAACTATCGAAATCCCAAAATCGAGGTTGAGGGTCAAAGCAAAGCTTAGTTCTGACGCCTCGTGAACTATGCCATGAGGATGGGATGATGATCTACGAACGCCAAGAGGAAAATACATCCTCCGACCAGTCAGTTGAACAGCGAGTGGTGTGATCGAATACTGGCTGAATTGGTTTTCCGCCACTCAAGTCTAATGTAAACTGTAAATTCAATTGAATCTGAGGGTTAGGAATGGGTCTCTGTCAGGGCCCTGATCGACGCTGACATTTCCCCATGGGGCCCACCAGCACGGGCGTGGCCTCGTCGATTTCGCCAGTATGCCAAGGATGTTGCTATACATACAGCCACGCTAATTTATCCCGTTCGCCCAAAAACCACAGAAAACAGGTCTTTCGTTCCCCGGCTACCGATCCAGGGGTCTGGCTTTTTGCAGGCTATCGCGCGGCCGTCAAAATTAATGATGATCCCTGAATCTCACCACCTGCAGCCACGGGTCGAAGTATCTGCACCAGGACGCCAGACGTTTAGACTTTCTTCGGTCGAGAGGATCCTAGTATATCGCAATATCTATTGATTCTGTTGTGATTGGCAATTTCCCGTCTGGAAGGCGCCACAAATTACAAGAATGAGGATGTAGTTTGTTGGAATGTGTGTATAAAAGACCCCTCATCAAGGCTCGGTAGTATAACCAGCCAAGACCATACCTGGCCCATTGTCTTTACTTTGCTCTTTTCAGTCATCTTTGAACAATGCGCTTCCAGGGCCTCGCACTTGTTGGGCTTCTGTCAGGCTCTGCACTGGCAGTTCCTAGAGTCAGTAAACGATCTGATCCGGCCAATGGCGGACAGCCTATCAACCCCGAGAATGGCCGGGGCGCTCCTTTGCTAGGTAAGATGCAGCTTTTCTTCTATGACTTGCCACTTTTGTGCTTATCAAGTTTGATTTTCGATAGGTGGAACGAACAAGGCATTGGATCTCCAGAATCCAGATCAACTCCGCACCCCGACCACCGATAATGGCTTCGTCCCTAATGTCAAGTGGAGTTTCTCTCAGTCGCAGACTAGACTGTTCCCTGGTGGTTGGTCTCGCGAACAGGTCATTCAGGACCTGCCACAAAGCCATGATATCGCTGGTGCTCAGCAGCATTTGAAGAAGGGAGCTACCCGTGAGCTGCACTGGCACCGAGTGGTATGACAGATTCTTTGAGATAGCCCGCAAGTACTCGGACTGACCATATTTGACAGGCTGAATGGGGCTTTGTGTACAACGGATCTCTCCTTCTCACCGGCGTTGACGAGAATGGAGGTTTCACTACTGAGGTGCTCGAGACTGGTGATATTTGGTATTTCCCCAAGGGTGTTGCCCACAATGTCCAGGGTCTGGATGACGAGAACGAGTACCTGCTTGCCTTTGATGACGGTGACTTTGAGAAGATCGGGTGAGTAGAAATTCCACGAAGCCTAGCCTTGGTGTATACTCACTAGATTCTAGAACGACCTTCATGGTCGATGACTGGATTGCCCATACTCCTAAAGAGGTCCTAGCCAAGAACTTTGGTGTTAATGCCTCTGTCTTTGACAACGTTCCCGCCAAGTTCCCATACATCCTGAATGGCACTGTCAGCTCAGATCTCGCCAAGGCTCCCGAGGGTACTCTGAAGGGCAACAGCTCATATGTTTACCATACATACAAGCACCCCTCCGAGCCCGTTCCCGGCCACGGCGGAACTTTCCGCAAGATCGACTCCACCAACTTCCCCATCTCAAAGACCATTGCCGCTGCCATCGTCGAGCTTCAGCCCAAGGGTCTGCGTGAGCTGCACTGGCACCCGAACGTAAGCTAGACTCTGCTTGATCAACCTTGAAATTGACACTGACGTGGGCATCTAATTAGGCCGAGGAATGGCTTTACTTCCACCAGGGTAACGCCCGGGCAACTGTTTTCATCGGAGACTCCAAGGCTCGTACTTTCGATTTCACTGCCGGAGACACCGCTGTCTTCCCTGACAACAGCGGTAAGTACCCTGTTTATGATTCATTTGGAAGTTCAGGCACTGATATTTTCCCAGGCCACTACATTGAAAACACCTCTGAGACCGAGAAGCTCATTTGGATTGAGTTGTACAAGAGCGACCGTGTCGCCGATATTTCGCTTGCTCAGTGGCTCGCTCTGACACCAGCTGATACTGTCGCGAACGTCCTGAAGGTTGACATTGAAGTCATTCACCAGATCAAGAAGCAGAAGCAGATCCTGGTTCCAGGAAAATAAGCCAGTCAGGGAACGAGGCCTACCTTAGCCCCAGCGCATCATCACATTCGCTGATCTATTTAATTTTCTAATATACTCACTTAATCCAATTAATTTTGCTTTCTTGTTCGATGCCTAAAGTCAGCCAAGGACAAACCTATTTCTCAGCGAAAGCCGAGCTGTGCAAAAGCAATTCATTGGCCTGTCTATCACCAATAAGTGGTCTTTTCCTTTCACCATAGCCAGAAGAGTTGTTCAATAATACAAGATCGGAAAAGAACCTATTCCCTAGGGATGCCTGATGGCGCTGTATTGCATCATGGATGTAACACTTTAGACTGCGCCTCTACATAAGATGGACTGCGCCGCCGCGCCCGTGGGCCCTCGTATTTTCCTGTCATCAATCTCCCTCGGGCAATCCAATCAGGACCAAGTGCCGAGAATTTTCGCATTCAGCTGATTTGTTGTCCACCCATGGATCCCATGAGGCAGCATCGTAAAACTTCCAATAGTCGGGCTTAAATATCGCTTCTATCCCTCGTCATCTTCTGCGCAAACCGCAGAATCTCAACAAAACATCAACAGTATTAAAAAGATGGAACAACCAGTCCAGATCCTCTCATTCAATCGCGTCAAATCAAACAGCACGTTCACTATATCTGTCCATCACGGGGATGGTACCGTAACCCCCCTCTACGAAGTTCTGGCATCGAATCTAGAACCAAACCTCACGATTTCTCGTCTACAATCCGTATACGCTCCTCCACAACAGCTTCCTCCAATTCCGAGCCAACATAGCTATGGATATGCACCGCCGGCACAACCAAGCCCGTACCCATTCCAACAACAGCAACCTCATCAATATCAAACGACCTACTTTCCCCAGCAATATCAACCCCAACAACCACTACAACCACAGCCACAGCAATATCACCCATACCAAATGCCAACTCCCCCTCAACAAACCAGAACACCAATCGGCAATGTAACTCTCTCCTCCTCAATGTCCTCCAAAATCACCTTCTCAGTCCACAACCAAACAGACCTCAAATTGAAACGCCCAGACTTATTCTCTAGCGCTCATCAATTTACTCATCCCCGCTATGGCACTCTTTCCTGGAAAGAAAGCGATCTACACGACAAAAAGTACAAGCTTTTGGACTCGAATAAGAATGTACTGGCCCGGTTTGACAAGTACAAGCCAGCAGGCCAGACAACCATTTCGTCCTTTTGGCAATCGTCCAAACATGGGAAGGGCTGGGTTTTTTCGATCTATGTGAATGCGGATCCGGAATTCTTGGACTGGATCATGGTCACGGGGTTAGGAGTGGTTGAGTATCGGATTACGAGTGATCGGGCGTGGGGGGAGGCGCTTGTTGAGGGGATAGACTCAGGCGTTTGATAGGATAGTTGATAGGTTTCTTTCATTTGCGAATATTGAATTGAAGGAGGTAAAACGTCTTGTACCTTTGAGTATCGAATGTGAGTTAAGGGTCGCATCACAAACACTCGCCAGGATTGAAACCAGAAGCTATTTTAAACCCCAAGATTGTTCCTCTCGCGAGTCTCCAATGGATCCCCGGCTTGACAGGAGACCAGGGACTCGAGGACAGGGTTAGCGCTCGTGCGCGAGCCTCGTCGAGGGTATCCTCGTAGTCGTACAGTTCGGGTCTCAATTGCACGGGAGGCTGCTCTTAGGCATGATTTAGCGTCTTACTTTTCATTAAGAACGGCAGGCATATGTTCCTGCGAAGACTCTTATATAGCAACTCTTGCTGCATATAGCTCATAGCTCTGATAGTAGACCGGCTCAGCTGTTAGTCCCTACGTACTCACGTTTAGGTCAGTGACCCAGCCAGCTCCAAATCATCTATCTAAACCAGACAGTCGCTTCGCATCGATGGTCTTTATAGGTGTTGGTCGGACGAGGAAGCAAATCATCCAACTCTGATGGTGGCAGAAACGACGGGACTTTCTAATGTTCTGAAGTGGATTCAAGAGATCCTAGAAACAACATGGGCCATAAAACAACTCTGTGCTCGCCTAGCGTCGGTTTGATAATCTCGTTCTTTTGTATAGTCCCTGGGCAAAACCTGGGCTCTCGCATCACTTTCTCCCCCTCATCAAGCCATGATTCTAATATGGCTATTTAGAATTTCATATGTATCAATCGTCTTGGACTATTGCATGTGAGAAACGCTCGCGTAGGGGTATCGGGTTACTGGCTACTGACATTCATACGGCCTACGTCGGCACAGTCCTCCAGGAATAGAGCTAGGTCCGACGCTGTAGATAGGTATTGATTGATCCTAGGGTATTCCAATAATCAGCATTCATCTGGATCAAGATGGAAAAACACTTAGAACTGGACTTACTTCCACATCCTTTAGGGTTGGCTGCAGTCGGTGTCTCTCGTAAAATATCATCCCAACGGCCACACCCAAGACAATGGCACAGTACAAGAGCAAGGACAAGGACATCGCTGGCTAGTGAGGTAGTAGAGTGCTTTTGAAAAGAGTTTGAGTGCCATTTTGCATGTTCGAGGGGCTCGCGATTTATGTGGGAGGCAAAGAGTTAGCAGAACAGAAGGACATGAACAGGGATCTTTTCACCAACGGAGATGACAGATCATCATCTAAGGCCCAATATAGAAAGTATAATACAACGAACACACAAGCATGGCTGTTCTCTGAAAGTGGCTCTAGAGAAAGTGGGGCAAGTACAGATCTGTGGAGGAGAAGGGGGCGTTCACTGTGGGAGACTAATAGAACAGACACATTACACACACATACACAGGGCCGAAGTCGTTCAGCTCAAGTCGAATCCACATCACCTCGCATCGCGTCGCCTCACATCACATCACATAACTTCAATTCATTTCACTTGACTTTATCTCAGTCGAGCTCAATGCACATATCTCGCCGAGAATCATTACCAGAACAGGCCTAGCAATAACATCAAAAGAACCCGGCTCTTGCCTATTGGAATCCTTCTAGTAACATCCCCGGCAAATGGAAATCCTTGTGGACGGGGCGAAACACGCTTATGCAGTCTCATGCATTAACAATGATCCCCGAGCAATAGGAACTTTGGAAATGAGATGAACGCATGACCCATGTCCGCGTTGACGGGTGCGTTAAAAGAGCCAAAGCACCCAGCATCCAAGTGGTTGGGTCAGGGCAACGCCGGGCCGCTCCCTAAACCGGACCGCCGGGACATCCATCCTAAAGTCCTCAAGGCAGGTAGTGGCCTAGACTAGCCTACTAGACGTAAATCCCTTTTACTCCATACTCGGCCCATTGTTTCCCTCTAACCTTTCCCTCCAGCATTTCCCACTAGTATTTCCCTCTAGCATTTCCCTCCAGCATACCCCTCCAGCATTTCCGTCTAGTATTTCCCACCAGCATTTCCCACTAGCATTTCCCTCCAACCTTTCCCTCCATTGCTTCCCATCTTTGACCAATCAAATCGTCATTTCCTGCAGCTGAATGAGGCTCTTTCCCTTTTCACTCCTACCCGCAGCCCGGTGATTGCACCCAAGACCCTAGCGATGGATCAGGGGGAAGGCTTGTGCACCAGTTCTTCTGTATGATCATTGGTTGTCATAACACGGTGTGACGTTTACTTTCTCTCAATCGGCCAAGACCTAAACCTTTCTGAGTATAATACGTACTCGTAGGGGTGGTCCTTCTGCAGGTAAATTCCTCTATCGAATCCTCCGGGGCTCATTCTCCGTTACGGTCAAAACTCGGAGCCGCAGGAACGAAAGATTCTAAATTTAAATGATAAGGCGCTGTCGCTAGTATTCAGGGCTCACAAAGGAGCGTTCAAAAAATCAAACTCCAATAATGCAATCATGCATGTTGCGTGGGAAGACACCAAACACCAAAATGCGACCACCTCCGACCCAAACCAACCCAAAAATTGATATACGACCACATCATCCCCCCCTGCCAACCATGCATGTTCGAAAGGGAATCCAGCCCCCTTTCCCTAAGCCATGAGATGCAAGTCCAGTTCCAAGTGTTTAATCCTTAATTGTAGTCGCCTTTCGGCGAAGAACGCCCAGTTCCTCTAATTTCGCCCAGGCTTGACCCATGTCTGGGTTATTTTCGCCTAATGATGGCTGCAGCTCCAGCCCATCAAGATTGTGCAATGATCCACTTGTTCCAGCATAGAGAAGCAGTTCCAGTACACTTCGTCGCATACGAGTAGCACGATCCAGACGAAGGAGGTATTTTTCATCCGCCCGTGCATCTGCAGGTGGAAGGGTGAAGGGATCATTGATGTCCACTTCACGATCGGGCTTAGAGCCGTCATCCCAGGTTACTGCATGAGCGACTTGATTGTTGTGGTCGAGATCAGCGAGAGCATCAGAAAGGTCGCGGCGATGATCTTCTTGCGGGATGACTGCGTTGGCTTGATCTTTCAATTTCTTACGGTCTGTATTCGATCCATTACCGGTGAGAGCCGGTGGATAGAAGCCGATCGTAAGAGGGTTGCCCCGCATATCAAGCTTGCGAAGCGAACAAGGGTTTCCTTTGCTCGTTCTTCCAAGACGACTCAAGATTTGACAAACGCGTCGCATTCTCGCGAGTCGGTTTCCAGCCACGGTCAGCCTGGAGAGGCAGTTCATGCCTACCAAGGGCTCTAGCTCCGCGACCGAGTTGAAATTCATGTTCAGCACCTTGAGATTGGGAAAGCGCGAGGCAAATTCGGCGGGAAGGGCACTCAGTGCGCAAGCAGCGATATCGAGAAGTTGAAGTCGTAATAGAGGGGTGGACGGGGTGATAGACCCACGAGAGAGCTTGTTGGACGAAAGGAACACTTTCCGAATGTCCTTCACCAGGCCCAGGTCGATATTAAGAGCAAAATTGGGATCGTCTCGAGTGACAGGGGTCTGCTCGCGGACTGAGAGAACATCTAAATTGTGGCAATACTCCAGCCCAGCAATAGTAGACAGACAATTCTGGTCGAGGTAGAGAAGGTTCACGGATGAGAAATTTTGCACGTCAAGCACGTCTAATCGGTTACCGGACAACTTGAGGGCGCGAAGGCTGATAAGCGACGTCGGAGACTCGAATCGAGTGAGTTGGTTGGAGCTTATATCCAGAGTCGCAAGGGATGGCAGCCACTCAAGATTGCGAACAGATCTCAAGCAGTTGTGGCTCAAGTCGAGATCTCGAAGTCGTGTCCTAAGTTGAACCTATTAGTATTCACATCCAGAATGCGGGTATGCGTCTGACTCACAGCTCAGTCCCTTCAAAGTCTACAGTCGTCATCGAGTTGTTGCTTAGTTTCAAGCTCAACAGCCCATTCAACTCCAGGATCCCGTCGATGTTGCGAATTTGATTGTCATTTGCCTTCAACTCTCTGAGGTGGATGAGACTGGAGAAGCCATCCAGAGTTTCGATTTCGTTCCCAGAGATGTCCAGGTATTGGAGATTGATCAAGTGGCTCCACGGAGTGAGGTTGGACAGGCAATTCCTGGGGATTTTGAGGGTTCGGAGGGTTGGGGGAACGCCACTCAATTGGCCAATGTCGTTGTCGGAAACATCAAGATCCTCCAGCCGGGGACAAAAGTGATTCAACTTGTGCAAGGTGATCAGGCCCTTCTGTCGCAGCACCAGGCGACGAACATGTTCCCAATATGGCTCATAGGGCTCCACATCCGTGATATGCTTGATCAAGTCTTCTGTTGCGAGTGCAAACGTTCCATGTACTTGCCTGAGAGAGGTCGGGTTCGTTCTCTGGGCCACATAGCTCATCTCAAGATTCAGAGGACGATCCGGTTGATTGACAGAGAAATCTGGCAGCGGGCTGAGGTGGAAGCTGTAGCTATTTTCCTGTTCGGGGGATAGAAGACGAACTAGCGATTGCTCGGCGGCATTTACAGCAGCTGCATCTTTGACACCTGGTGAATCACTCAACCGGACAAGACTGAGATCATCTCCCCCATCCTCATTCCGCTCGTCGATTCTTGAAACGGGTCTTCGGACAAATGGCTGCCCTGCAACTGAAGTTCCACGCGGTCTCGGAGGCACCGAAGAGCGTGCAGTGCCCCCCTTTTCATCGCCTGAGGACTCATGCTTTGAATCGCCCTGCTGAGAGCTGGCTTCTGACTCGTTCGGATCATCTCGATACGCGACATGTGAAACAAGAGGCGACGAGAAGGAGATTGTCGCAACACGAGACTTTTTCTGCTGTTGCCCAGGGGTGGTTGCAGTGACGCCTCGTATAGAGGACTTGCCCGGAAGGCGATTCTTTTCGGGCATCTCCTCCGTCCCCCATGAAGTAGCTCGAGTCCCTGAATTAGGCACGCTCGATGTGAAGGGTGTATTCCGAGAGTGCGCAGAGCTTGCATTGACAGATCCATCCCCAGTCTGAGGTCGCTGATCAGATTTTGCGGGGGACGCGCTTGCACTCGGTGATTGACGTTGGTTGTCCGTATGGTCTCCAGCCTGACTCTTTGCAGGAGAACTGAGACCATGCACTCGCATCATTTCTTGAAGTTCATCCACACTCAAGTCGGGAATATCCTGGAAAGGGTCTTCAGGGTCGTCTGGGTGAACAGTCTCGGGTTCCGGCGATTCTGCATCGTCCTTCACCCACTGATGCTTCGATCGGTCATACACAAATCCGTTGACCTGTTCTGGAATCAGATGAGACACGAGGTCCGACGACAACATGCCCTTTGCTTGAGAGTTCTGCGAAGATCCGGTTGGAACTGAGCGAATGCTGAAACCGGACATTTGCGTGTTTATCGTCATCAAATCATGAGCGATATCCTCCACAACGTCATACATTGATCCGCTAGTCTTTCGCTTCCTCTGCTCGGGCGCCAGTCCTCGGGATGGCTTGTTGGTCGGCTTGAGCTGACCATCAGCTTGCAATGACATGACGGACTCGTTCGCACCAAATTCCAGATCCTCTCTTTCTTGATATTTTTTCAGGTAGTTGAGAATCTGTGGGTTCAACTCTTTCGGCTCACGCTGCTTTCGCAAATCAGTCCCATCCCGGCTTGGAGGGCGAGAGAAGGCCTCTCGCGTGGATTCGTCTTCGTAGCTCAGATCCCCTTCTTCGCTGTCCGGGTCAGATTCCTGCACACTCGTCAATCCCGCTGCCGGTCGGCCCTTGGAACGGATCAAGTCCATAATCTTCGTAGCCTCGTTGAGGTAATCCTGGGTCGTTATGGACCCCTTTCGAGACGACTCGCTAGTGCCTGTTATCTTCACGAGAGGAATGTCGCCCTCGAGAGAAAAGGAATCCGAATAATCACGCTCGTCGAAGTTCGTCTCCGAGTATGCTCCACTCGGTGCAATCTTTGATTCGTGAGAAGATCGAATTTGACTTGGAGTCGGGGTTCTTGGACGTTGCATAGAGTGCGCGATACCCGGAGGCACCAGGTAATCTCCATTCTCAAATTGCATGCCATGCTGCAACAGGCTTCTCTGCAGCAACGACATGCTCTCTCCGAATTTTGATGGTGAGTCACCCGTGGTTTGCGGGTTTTTAGCCTCGGCACTGTCGTCTCGCAATATTGTTCGGCGGCGTTTAGAGCGTGGATCCGCGCGTGTTGCTTTGGGTACTCGTTTTGTTTCAGGAAATCCGACATTCTCTTTCCCACCGGGCTGTGATGATCCTGTAAAGTTTCTTTGGTGATCGAAATAGCTCTGCCTTGTCCAAGCCGATGGTTTTCGAGTGAAGCCAGAGCTGGCAGACCTCGCATAACGAAAAGAATCGAGCTTCTGAGATGGCCGTCGTAGGTATTGCTGTCGACCAGACGATCGCTTCCGTGAAGCAGGCCGAGATCCAAATCCTTGAACTTCGTCATAAACCAATTTGTTCTCGTAAGGACTGGCGTCCGAGAAGTCAAATTTGTCGAGTTCTCCATCTCCGAATCGACTTATCCGAGGACGATTCGCATTTCGCGATGCTAGCCGTTCGTTCAGTCTCGATGAGATTTCACTTAGTGGTTCGTGCCGGGCATTGAGAAAGCTACGGCTTTCGCCTTTACGACGGGCTTCCTCCGAAGGTGAAGGTGGCTCGTCCCCGTCTGAACCGTCGCCAAAGGTTTCTTCAAACTGACTCATGCGTCGCAAAAGTCGATTGTTTGTGAAAGTATCATGCTCACCAAATAATTTTAGGGGACTGCCTGACGACGGCATGGTTCCCTCCTTCGATGCAGCATCCCCGGAGGTTGAAGGGCGAACGTGAGAGGAAGAAGGGCGAGGTAGGGCGGGCGATCCGTTGGTCTGGGAGCGGCCGAAAAGAGGAGAGCTCCGGATTTTGGTGTTTGCAAGGGATACGGGCAGTTTGCGGTGGGAAGAGAAGGGGGAAGGAGAGAATCGATGGTGGAAACCACGACTGGCGCCGCGGCGGCTAAAGTCGACCGTGCCCATCGACAGGTCCTGCGGCAAGGAGTGACTCGTCACATCCAACAGGCTGTCATCTCGCGGTGAGCCGTCGAATCGGGGTTCGCTGTGGTTGTAAAAAAGGAAGCTGTCGCTAGCCGGTGAATCGGGCCGGCTGTGAGGATCTATTGACAAACCCTCAAGTTTGTTAGTGACCTGCTTCAGCGCAGACTTGATTACTTCCGACGGGGCTCCGCCTTCAAGGGTATTGGGCGCTGTGAAAGTGATCGGTGTTATGCCCTCATTGCGAAGATCCTCGAGTCCGCTAGCAGAACGCAACCCTGTGTCTTCTCCTTGTGATTGCCCCTCCTGGATCAAGTCCGTATCGAATGGCGGTCTCCCCGCCCAGGGTGTTCGGTTGACTGTGCCCATAGGCGATTCCATGCCAGTGCCTGAAAAGTCAGCATTAAGCTGTTCTGGCGCACTCTTGTTGTCAACTGGTTCTTCCGTCGCGCTCCCACGCCGAGAAGCCGCGTCAGTGAACTCCCACAGGTGGTCGTCCTGTCTCGCAAATGGGATGGAATCTTGCTGACCGGCTCCCGAGCCAGGTGTTGGTGGCTTGAAGACACTCTCGAGGCCCATTGGCGCAAACAGGTCGCGTTGTTCGCCCGCCGAAATCTCCCCGCGCACCAGGCGCTTCCGCCATTCTGGTGTAGCTCCTCCTCCTCCATCTCGACCTTTCTTTGGCTTGATTTGCACAGTATCCGTACTCTGGTAGCCCGACTGGGGACCAGATTGGCTAGAAATATTCGACACCGATCGTAGTGGGGAGCGCGTGTCCATATTTACCGGTTGTTTGCCCGCCGCACCCGAGCTGGGTCTCGGGCTGCGCTTCGGAGTCGGCTTCGGGGACGGCTTCGGAGAGGGCTTTGGGGTGTTTGTTCTGGATTTCGCGGGAGTCGTAGAGGTTGGCTTCGAGGGCGTCCTGGTTCTGGGAGTTCGAGGGGTCTTGGGAGTCGGCGGTTCTCTCCTAATGAAATGACATGGTCGGGTCACCTTTTTCAGGTTATCAGCCGGGGATGACTGTTGTGCCACGGATCGGCGGGCGGCCACTGGAATGCGACTGGGGGAATCCTGCGCACGCCGGGGAGAGGATGCGAGGATGTTCTTGGACGGTCCCGGCGTCGTAGGAGTCGCAGGCGCCGATGGCCAGTCGTCGGACAGGCTGTCGAGCCATGGTTCGTCGCCCATTTTCTCGTGTCGTTGGGGATCGGTTTTGTTATGATGCGGCCCCGAAGGCGCGCGTCTCACTGGGCGGCTCACGCTCCGTAGAGACGCTCCGAGGAGAAGAGCGAATGAAATTGGGGAATAAAGTACTTCCGATTAGTCCAACATGGAGACATTGAATGCACCAAGTGGTTTCGAGGATTGAGACGTTCGGTGGATAGTCGAGTGCGGAGAGGTGTTGGTCCGGGCAGTTCAGCTCCACCGGAGCTCCCTTGTTTATTATTTTGGTCGCCCGGTTTCTTATGTGACGCGCGCTCGACTGCCCGCCACTCGTCTGTGGTTTAATGCAGCAAGACTATAATTTAACCTCAGGGTCGCTTAGCAACTTGACGATAACCTATTATTTTGATCTGGTCAATCTTCAACATAAACCTCTCCACTAGCCATCAACCTCTTTGGCCCAGGGCCAAACATCCATAGTTTGATTGGTGGCCCAGCGGCAGCCCAATGCGTTGTCCAGATCCACTAAATGCCCTGACCGATATTCTCTTTCAAACAAGATATTAGTAGTGGAGTTCTGTTGGGGCAATCTTGCGTTCACCCTACACTAATTTCTCGGACAATGCATTGTTTGGAGTCGACCGAGATCGGCTTTGTTTCGAAGGGCAGTCAGTTCGCCTATCCAGACTTGTCGTATTTGCCCTAGCTGCGCATCGATCTTGCGTGCGTTAAGTATGTCTTAGGTGTAGACATTAGCTGTTGCAAGCTCGATAGTCTACAATGGACTTTCAATGTGCATGCCCTCCGTGGCCCTTAGACATAGCGTAGATCAGGAAGACTTGATGGTAGGTAGTCAGATATATACACAGATCTCCGCCGAGGTTTCCAACCCAACTTTTTCCAATGAACCTCCTAATTATGGTAGAGTAGAGGCGGGGGTTTACCATGGCTATTCTAACAATCTAAAATAAATAGATCTATTTTGAGAGTTTTGAGCCAAGCGAGCGGACGTATAGGTAGGACAGTGTTTTCTCGAGTAGAGAAGTCGAGATGCTGTTGGTTGGCTAGACCCATGACGCCGATTTACTTCCTAAAGAGTACTAGCGCCAAATCAAAATAAACACCGACGGACTAGTCCTAATCCAGTGACCACATTCAACTGTTCTCATTGGGGCCATTACATTTTCATGTACATAGATGTAGCCAACGCCCGTAATAGAATAGAAATGGTGGACAGAAGACTACCAGTCCCCCTACCACTCCACCAACATTTGAGATTCACACCGTGCCATTTGTATACTTTCACCAACATGAACCTTGTCCAAGCCGGTGGACTATATCCAAAACTCGAGGATGGAGTCAAGTTCTCTTGCCCAGTTGGTATAATTTGCGAAAATTTAACAGAGGCTCGTCTGTTAGCTTGGGACGCTCCTTTTCTCCTTATGTCACCTGCTCGGCCACACATGCGATCGAGCATTCGCCATATATCCTACATAGCCATTCTCTGCTGTAGCTGGTACCGCTGAAGTGAGATTGCATACCATTTCTACAGGGACATGAGACATATGCTGCTAATATGTTACCGAGAACCCGAAAGCTCGGCATAAGGATATAAATTGAGTCCAGATGGATTATATTTGAACGAGACTTGAATGACATCCAGACTGTAGGAAACGTTCTTGAACAATCTCCCTCGCCCTGAAATGCGGGATGACAAGATGTATGTTGAACGTTCATACGAGCTCGATAAGATTATCCTGTCGTCAGAGAGGGTCAAAAATTGGCCCAAGTCCTGACGGAGTGTCGTACATTCCATCTGTGCAAATGGACTTGCTCGGCGGATGGCACCATCACGACGGGAAAGCAAGGGAGAGCAGGGGGAATTCCGACGATAAAAGTCCTGTTTATAACATTTTTCTCTTATCCTTTATGTATTCATCAGTCTGGGACTATTATCTACCGAACAATCTCTCAACTATCAAATAGAATGAAACCAGAATCCCAAACGAGCCGAACGCAAGGAGATCCAAGGCATCGCTTCTCAGAGAGCATGCTCCCAAATCAATGGAAATCAAGACTGAGAAAATACAGAATTTGATCCGAATGATTCAAACTGGCTAAATCAGCAATAGCTGGCGGACGCGCCACTACTCCTCGATACAAGACTCGACACCCTCCCTGGAGAAACCGCAAGACTTCTCCGCAGGTTTGCAAACGGATGTGAAGACGGCAATACCTGGAGATCTCAGTATATAGGACAGTTTCGTGCTGATATCTTTAACAATTAGCAAATTGTGATCAAGCAGTACAAAGCTCGGTTGCGATATCGCTGCGCGTTATTTACGAACCATGAAATCTGCGAAGAGCAACTTGGCCCGAGTCTATGGAAAACAACAATTAGTCAACCCTGGGACTATATTACATGGGCGACTGCTTGACCGAATGGCCTTGGGATGATATCATGCGCGGAAATGATGACGCAGGAACCAATGATAGTGCATGAAATCTACGCTTTCGTGAATAACCAAATTTCCCAGTTTTCGTGAGATTTATTTCGGGGGGGAAAAGGAGGGTGTATGATCAAAGGAAATTCTTGAATGAAGGAAGCCGAGGCGATTTTCGCATATTGGGTGTTAAGAGCTTGGAAGAGCTTGCCGCTGGTGTGAGAAATATGATGTGGACAAGGCATGTCGACTCTGCCGTGAAGGAGGATTTTACAAGACAGGCCGTGTTGTGCCCGGGAATTTCAATTGACGAAAAAGAAACTGCTGGGGTAATGATTTGTTACAGACAAGACAGGGGCATCAAAATTGAGACCAGAAATATCTGTCTCTATGGCTGGAAATACCACCCTATTCCACTAGTAATGTTTAGCGTACTACCTAGTCCGCTCTGAATTAAAGCAATGTACCGGAAAAGCAGCACTTGTAATGGCTATTTGTTGAAATCACATTTGCAAGAGAAACATAGAAGTATATTCTTTCAAACTCTAGCAGAGAGCATCGGCTGTAGCGACTGGACTGTACGTGTGGTTGTATCGTATTTCCTCGGCCAGAAGGAAATCGCATGTGAAGTCTATCACAAAATAGATCCTGACAGACAGCACGATTAGGCATCGAGATGTTCCTGCAGAGAGATCTACTCAGCAGTATCTCGGCCTTTGGTAAGTTGTCACGCCTTGTCTTGGCCCACGACGGTCATTGGGCTAAAATGTCATGTTTTTCTAGGTTCATCAGGTCATCGCGATGATCTACGGCACAACATCAACAGACTGGCTTGTGAATAAGAAGCAAATCTACTTTCTAAACTCTAGTATCAATAGTCAGGAACATGGGTTGGTCATGCAGCATGCAACAGGGGTAGCACTAACCTCCGGCCACGCGACTGGTTGTCTGGCGAAGCCCTAATTTTCCCCAGTTGAAGTCTATTGATTTGTCGTGCTTATTCTTCTCAATTACGTTCATCGCGAGTAGAAAGGAGATATTCCATCACAAAGGCAAAAAAGTATAGAACCTCACCACCAATTGTGTGAAATTGGAAGATGGCGACACTAAATTGTCCATTGCCGATCAGCAATGAGATAACCGGCAGCCGTAATTGCGCCTTTCCTTGTCTTTCTACCCCCTCGAGAAACCAGGGTCTCCGTACACTCTGAATACCGATCAAGCATAAATAGAGCACTTTATCTGCCCCGGAATGTCCTGTACTCTTGAAATCCACTCAAACCTCATTCAGTCCGCCTGATTGCATCCACCACAATTCAGCATCCACCATCCTACGACCCTCCCCAGATTTTGTCAACCACGTCTTGACTATTCACTTAGATTCAGAATGCACTTTACTCTGTACCTGCTCGCCTCTTTGGCTGGCCTTTCTATGGCTGCCCCGGCAGCTTTCAAGCGTGGGAATGACCTCGACCCGCTGGGCCTAGGCGCTACGGTGGAAGATGTCGCTAACCAGGCTACCGGCCTGGTCGGCTCGATCATCAAGCGAGAGCCGATTTTGGATGGACTTCCCCTCGTCGGCAGTCCTCTTCCTGATACCGAAAAGCGCGACGGTCAGAACTAGGATCTTCTATCAGAGCGTCCAGCCTTGATGTGAGCCCCTTACTGAAACTCTGTCCCAGACTATTAAGTTGAAAGGCGCTAAGTTTCTCATTATGATTTAGTAAGATGAATTTCCCATCCCTCGTTGGCCTTATATCCGTCTTCTTTTGGTATCGGGGGTCCGACAGGGCTAAAGCGCTCGACTGCGAGAGTACGATGGATTTGTTGGTGATTGAAGCTGAATTGGGAAATTTTATGCCATATCTATCTATACTACACTAATGGAACAACCAGCCAATTTTTTCGATTGTGAAAATATTTGCTATATCATGTTCATCCACAGCCCTAACCAGCGTCCATAACTTCGCACCCAAACATAGATTTTGACTATTCGGGTAAAAGAAAGGAGCAGCACGGCTCTCGAATAGGAATCGGAGGAGAATCTAGCTTTCGTGTGGAATTAATTACACCCAAACTAGCAACCCTGTGTCAATGCATACATCTGCCGAAAGGAATGCCGATGCTGGGATTATAGCTACCATTTCCTTTCCTCCCTATGTCAACCTCTAGATGTCACTCAGAGGTATTGATTTCATTGGTCATGCAGCTCATTGACAGTGAATCTCAAAACACCGGGGCGTCAAATTGCTGCGTCCAGCTTGGAGCGTCTTTCGAACTACCTGTGGTAGAACAATTCGCCTATATGGGAAGCTTTATTTTGCCTCATTCGCTTGACCCCACTCAAGAACACCACAGCTAGAACGAGTACCCTCACTACTCTCAGAAGAGGTCGCTCGTTGAATCACAGTATCTCTCATATCTGTACACGAAACTGAAGCATGGCATTATCTCCTGTGCCACTCATGAATAAAATTCCTAGGCTGTGTCAAAGCTGACAGGCCAGAGGGTTGATATGAGAAAAAGTGTGGCTGACCTTCAAACGCTCAGCGGGCATACAAAAAGTTCATCGCATAGCAGAAGCGATGATATTTTCTCCGCGTTTGTCATTTTGATAAGGGGGATGCTCTCTTGGCCAATTATATGATGTGTTTGGGATGGCGGCTCGTGATGGAGAAGTTTGCTGGACTTGGAAGGGTTTGAATCGGCTGCTAAAATTTTGCTAAGAGGCATGTTTCTTTTTCGATGCTACGTCCTTCCAACACCAGCTCGAGGGACAACTGGAATGTTTGGCATGCATCACGAGTCACTTGTGAGACGTGCTACTGGCGTGGCCCTGATGATTCGGGTACAGATATTACTAGAAACCTCAGCGAAGGATGGGCAGAGGGCATAAGACATGATTGCAGAATTGCTGAAATATCCATTGACCGTCAAACTCCTAGTATGGTCTCGTCCGTAAATATTTGTTACAATATTGATAACACATGAAAATGCAGAAGGTATCCCCGTTCGCTTTTTAAATAACCAGTCTCTCGAAAGAGTATTTGCCAGCCGCCTTGCGGCGGAGATATCCGACCTCACGACTGGTACGAGCTTTGATCTCGCCAGTGGAGTTCAAAACCTTCGTGCGGGAAACGTCCGACGAAGGAGGCTTCAGGGACAGCGGCAGAATCTTGCCACTTGCGTCCCCATCGAAACCCTCTTCACCCTCCTCAGGGCGACTAAACACCATGAGATCAGCGCCGTTGAGTTTCTCATGGCGAACCAAGTGAGATGGCGCACGAACGGCAGAATCGTCAATCTTGACAACAGCGTCCGTGGAAGTGGCAGAGGCATCGGCGACCTGGCCCGCAAAGCGAAGATACTCACGGAGGATGCCCTTGAGATAAGTTGCTTCCTCAACACCGGCAAGTGCAGCAGAGACCTCGGACTTCATATCGGCGATTAGCTCCATTTCACGGCTTGCTGAAGCCATAGCAGAGTCGGAGTCATCATCAAGGTCATTGACGGCGGGAAGAGCAGAGATCCAACCGGATGGCCCGACAGCGTCCACGGAAGCGGTGATCAGATCGACAATGGTATTGAGAGAAAGAGAAGGCATGATCTGGTCCAGAGTGATAGGTGTAGGGGGGTTTTCGGTGAAGCGGGAGGTATAGCCACCAGTAGCAAGGGAGAGGCGAAGGTGGTGTACCGTTGAAATAAGCTCCGTCCGAGATAGAATGGAGCGAAGGGATTTCACAACAGAGGGCAACGGCTGTGAATGAATCTTCTGGAGGGACCTATTGAGGCCTGCGAAGATATCTTTCAAACTGGCTGCTTCACTTCCAAGGTGACGAGTAAGCTCCTGGGTTGGGGTAGCAATGTCACCGTTGGTGATGGCGCGAGCCGTCTCTTCCAAAACGCCGGAATGCAAACGTGCCTGGTTCAGGAAGAACTTAAGCGCATACGCCAGCTCATCAGAAGAAATGAGCGCCGGGCCACCAAGGACATTGTTGACTTGTTTCAATGAAGAGTCAGAGTTGATGAGAGCCTGAACAAAGGACCCAGTTGGGAATGATTGAAGTATACGTGGCTTGCAAGCTCGCCGCAGAGCAATCTCAACGTTGTCCAAAGACATGTGTCCAATCCGAATGAGCCAGTCACAGGTAGCGGTGGGCCAAAGAACCACGCGCAGCTGAGAGGAAGAGGATGCAGAGACTTTATCGGTGATGGGGGAATCCTGGACTGCGAAAATCTTCGATAGCAAGAAAAGCGTGGATTCAGGGCTGACGTGCTCTTGTGGAAGCTCGTTCGTTCCCTCTGATGTGCCGAAGTAACCAAGTACCGCTTTATCGAAGAGATCCGGCTTCATTAATTTAGTTGCCTCGTGGACTGCCTTGGTGAATTTATTCCACTTTTCAGCCTGCTCGGGCGTTTTAAGATGCAAAGACGCCATGTTGTCAGTTCGGTGCTTCTTGGACATGTCCCACTGCGAAGCGGACGATCCAATACCCCGACCAATGGCGTCGATAAGAAGACCATCTCGCGAGCGCTTGAGAGATGGGCCAGACTGCCCATGCAGAGACGTGAGATCGAATGCGATCAGAGTATTGGCCTTCATAGCGATGGCGATACCAAGCTTGGCAAAGTAGCTGATAAAGACGGTGGGGCCATCTGTGTTCGACCCGGTACTCGAAATCACATCTTTCGCAGCAATGCTCCGCTGCACGGACTGGTACTGGGTGTCATAGACTGCGACGAGCGACTCACTCGCTGCAATGACGCATTGGGGTGAAATCCGCATGATCGAAGTGAACTGCTCATCCAGAACGAACTGCGAGCTCACGCTAGGAGAGTACTGGGATAGGTCGATGTTCACAAACCCATTCTCAAAGGATAGCTGCAGACCTGCCGTTCCCGAGTGAAAGTTCCACTGCAGAAGACTGTTGCTGTTCACTTTGTCAAGCCCAGCTGGAGTAGGGACTTGGATAGTCTGGAGGTGTTGAAGTCGCTGGCTTTCTTCAACACCACCGGACGCGGACTTGGATTTGGCGGGAACGGAGAAGATCTGGATATTGACATCCTGCAACGCGATCGTGTCGGCTTCCTTGAGGTGAGAAACGATGATCAAGATGGAGGGTTCATCGACTCCCACGGAGGGTGAGTCTCCGAATGCGAGAGCAGTCAAGTCTTGCCGCCTTTTAAACAGGCCCTTCTTTGCGTCTTCAAGATCAATCAGGAAACAAGAGTGAACGATGTGAGAAGCGCAGACTTTCGCAATTTCACTGTGCTGAATACTCCAGTGTTGGGTCTTTAAGTCCGAGGACAATCGGCGAACACGGCCATCGGTATGGACAGCAAGGATATCAAAGGGGTCAGTCTCGGTTTCGTCTTCGGCGCTGAAAGGAACAATGCCGACAAATGTCGTGGGGCTCTTGCAATCCGTGATAGTGGTGCTGGAGGACGAAATCATGGGCGCGCTCGAACCGGTGCCGATTTCCTCCACAAAGCATTTGATCTGGTGCTCAGGTTTCGTAACAGCGGTGTAGGTCTGTCTCTTGACGGCTGACTTTTTGGGCAGCTTGCGGCGCACGGAACAGGGACGACAAGAAAATGTGGACTGCGGCGGGACAGCGTAGGATGTCACAAGCTTGGGAGTTTGAATCTATGGTAAAAAATAGTAAGCATGAGATGGAGTAAAGTGCTGTAACACAGGATCATACGTTATAGATGTTGACGGCTTCGCCATCGACAGCAACCGCAAGTTCATAGCGCTTGCGCTTTTTGGCATCGGCGAGGCTATTGACATCTCCGATGCGAGTCTTGCCGGTTGCGGCGTGAAGGGGGCGCGGCAATTGCGCCAGGACTGAGGGAGACTGCAAATCCATAACTGAAGAACAATCACAATCCCGACAAAGCCTTGATTTGAACTCCCTTTAGGGCCTGTGTCGGTGAAGCTGCAAAGACATCCTAACGGGGAAATCTGAAAAATTTTCGGGATAATAACGGGCCGGACCCACTAGTAGATTAGACCTAGTATGGACTAGCGCCAAATTTACCATTTGATGTAAGTTAGTTACGGAGTGGTTGAGATGACATAAGCTAATTAGGACGCGCCCGCGCCGGGCCTTTCGCGTCGGACGTGTTGCACTCGATCACTACGATATAGCTAATTTCAGCGGGACTTTGCATCTCCGGCGAGAGGGCATACTCATTGACCGCTGGTGTTTATGACTATTACCCTTCACCGGCGGTCCTCCCTTATTCTCATGAATTCATGAACCTTCGATTATCTCTCATATGGATACCGTCGTATCCAACTCACCCGTGGTCATGGGACAAGGTGAACAGCCTGTAGTTCACCCTTTCTTCCGAAAAGGTATGGGCCTCTAGCTAGGCTGACTTGAAAATTTCTCAAAGCTCACTCTTGGTCTTAGATCTCGCCATTCCGTCCCAACCTACGTCGTCTGAAGGAAATGCTTCCGTCGCTCCAGCCAGCTCCGGCAAACCACCCTTGAACGTGCCTTCGCCCTCAATTGCAGCACCCACTCCCGACCAGATCTCTCAGATGCCATTTCCATACACTCTAGGAGTACCCGTGACTACAGCTCCGAATACTTCGAGCCCAGATGAGGACCCAAATGCTGGCAGACGCAAGAGGCGGAAGACCGAGCGGAGCAAGGAATCCGAACATGATCAACCTCTGCAAGCTGGCTTATCTGGTTGGCTGGGGATGAAAGCGCCCCCTCCCGTGGCTCCCAAGGCACCGGTTAAGGAAGTGGACTCCAGTACGCCCTCTATGCCGCCTGCACCTGCCTTGGCTGAATCCCAGTCCTGCACTACAAGCGTCGAGGAAGCACCCACGTCCAAAGCCAGTACACCCTTGCAGGATGTCTCAACCAAACCACGAAAAATCGTCAAGTTGAACACCAATGGTCGATTGCTCAGTTCACCTCCACTCGGTCCCCCTGAGACTACTGCCCCAAAGCAAGCTGGTGGTAGACGAGGTCAAAACCGGAAGGCAGAAAGCAATGTTGTGGTTCTCAAATATGCCCGTGCGAAAAGAGAGAATATCGGGAAGATAATAGACGACATACTCGGTGGTCGTACGAAATACATCGCTCCTGTCCCGCCTCATGCGGCTTCTCTTCGTCGTCCTATACAACCGCCTATTAACAGCAACAAACCAACTCACCCATTCTTTGTGAAAAAGGCACCATTAAAACAGCCGGATGCTGCTAGTTGTGACCCTCAATTCAACACAGAAAATCCGAATAGTAAGGCTACTCTAGACGGGAAACAGTCGCAAACTGTCGAAGCAAAAGGGGAGCAGAGACCCACGCGGCCGCTATTTTCGGGATCCGCGCATCGAACAAACAAATTCCCCGAGTTAGTTCATCCACTATGGCCGCCTCGAGATCTCTTTCATATCACAGATCTTGGCCCGTCTCCCATGGCCCAGTCTTCCATCGACCGTCTGGAGAATGATCACAAAAAGTCCAAATCGCCAACCGTCGTGGTGACAGACGAAGAGAATGCTCTTCTTGTCAGCACTTCACGGGCCCGTCAAAGTGCTGCGCTTGAACTGCAATCTCATAGCTCCAATAAATCGGCTCTACGCGTTCCAGGACGACATCTCGCCAGTGGGCGTACACTGCAGGCCGCTCTCAATAGCCAGATGTCGTGGTCGCTACCTGGCGTACCCACATCATACGCTTCCACTTTACCGGTGATCAAGAGCCTTCACTCTTCTCTACCCTCAACTGTTTCCGCTTTTGATTGTGGAAAGTACGAATCGCGCCTTTGGTGTCACAAGTACAGCCCGACTAAAGCAGAAGATGTCCTTCAAGTCGGTCGGGAGGCCGGAATGCTTCGTGACTGGCTTCGACATCTCAAAATTAGCGCAGTCGATAGTGGCAAGCACTCCAGAGAAAGCGCTAGGTACAAGGCTAAACGCGACAAGAAGCGGAAGAAGCGCAAGGGGGAAGACCAGCTCGACGGTTTCATTGTCTCCAGCGGAGAGGAAGCCTCTGAAATGGATGCACTTTCGGGCTCAGATGACGAGCTAGCGGGTGACGTTACTGTATCCGCGCCCAAGAGTCTCGTTCGATCCGGAGATCTCGTCTTTCAGGGCCAGCATGGATGCGACAAAGGCCGGCTGACCAATGCTATTCTTCTAAGTGGCCCTCCAGGTTGCGGAAAGACAGCATCGGTGTATGCGGTTGCCAAGGAGCTTGATTTTGAGGTGTTTGAGATCAACTCTGGTACTCGACGAAGTGCCAGGGACATGCTCGAGAGGGTCGGCGACATGACACAAAATCATCTCGTCCACCTTCTGAACGACAACGACGATTCAGCACCAAATTCGAAGGATCAGGTTCCGGTTGCTGACGCCAAGCAAAATAAACTGATGAGCTTCTTTGGAGGCCATCCATCGAAAATTAACGAGAACAAATCCGCCAAGGGGAACACAGCAAAGTCAAGTCCTGCTTCTGAATCTGAGTGCAAGCGGGGACGTGAGCAGAAACAGTCATTAATTCTTCTCGAAGAAGCTGATGTGCTTTTTGAGGAGGATCGCCAGTTTTGGACTGGAGTAATGACACTCATTAGCCAGTCCAAACGGCCTATAATTATTACTTGCAACGATGAAAGTCTGGTTCCAATTCAAGACATGTCTCTTCACGCCATCTTGCGATACCAACGCCCCTCTCTCGATCTTGCACTTGACTATTTGCTTTTGGTGGCTGCTCACGAAGGACACGCTCTGAAGAGAGATGCTGTCAACAAACTCTATAACGCATCTGGCATGGACATGCGCAGATCGCTGATGGATTTGAATTTCTGGTGTCAGATGGCCGTTGGGAGTGAAAAGGCAGGCTTGGATTGGATCCTTCCTATCTGGCCGCCTGGGGCTAATGTGGATCCCAATGGGGACCGAGAACGGGTTCTCAGTTTGAACACCTACGAGTCCTATATGGGCTGGTTCAACCGTGACGCTTTGCTGGGTGACGACTGCCTTACCAAAGAAACCCAAGCTCTAGAGAACTCCTTCAAGTGGTGGGGACTGAGCATTCAGGATGCTGAAGATGCAGCCGGCACGAGCATCATGGAGCACTTACCTCCTCAACAACAGCGATCCATGACTAAACTGGAACAACTGGATCTGTTGACTCGCGAAACGGACTATCTGGAGATGAGGAGCTCCTTGGACATTCTTTGCTACGGTTGTCCAACGAACATGCTCGAGGTAAGTTTTGGGCCCTTTTGTGTATCTCGATGATTATGAGTTTAACAGTTTTCTAAGGATGTCCTCGATAACTCTGCTCCGCCATTTCCAGAATCCCATCGAGCCAACTACATTGATGCTTACCCTCTTTTGCAGGCCGACCTGCTACATGAATACTCCTCCCTGAGTGAGTCTATCAGCACGACGTTCGATTCCTTCATTTCTCGAGTTTTCCGCCCCAAGGCTGAGGATGTTGAATCTGCCGGCGCTGGTAGAATTTTCAATGCCTGGGCCCAGTCTGCTGCTCGTCAAAGCATCTCGCCATCGATAGCAAAAGGCTTCCGAAAAATATTTGAGCCTATCATGCGAACAAGTTACTCTGCATCTCTATCAACAGGTCGGCCTGCTCCGTCTTTCGAGAACGGCCTTGCACCCATCACCGAGGACATTGCTCCTTACGTCCGCGCGATCATGGCGTTTGACGGTTGCCTGAAACAATATAGGGACAATCTTTTCTTGGCCTGGTCTCAAGAACAAGGAGGGACTGGGGAGAAACGAATGCGGAAAACCCGTGCCAGTCGGGCAGCCTTGGAAGGAGGCAACAAGGCGTCGACTCGGAAGGAAACATGGTTCCCAGATGACACGAATTATTGTGGCGTACAACGTACTGGCCGACCCGAGTGGCAACAGATCTTGTTTGATATGGGCCATTTCCACGTTCAGCCTGTGGCTGACTCGGCTGCAGGGAGCAGCGAGCCTACTTCCGGCGACTGAACTCAACTCCTAGCTATAATAGATGTCCTCTCGCAACTGATTTAAAATTAGATGCTGCGATATGAAACCTGTTACGAACCAATCTCAAATATCGTAGTTTCTGCCTCCAATTTATCGGAGTCAGCAGGTTCTCAATTCCCAGCTAAACTTCAGCCCGTTTCGCTCGTAAGAGTTTCAAGGAAGAGGCTGTCTAACCGCAGGCACGTACTAAATCATTGTTAGCTCAACAAGCAAACTAGTACCGAGCCTTTTTTGAACATTACTCACAGGGAATATTTGAGCTTGTTCAAGGTCCCATACCCCGCTTGTGGCATATATGTCTTTACTGATGATCTCCCGGACCTCTTCGACATCTTCGGCTGCGTATACAACCACGCTCCCCAGAAACTGTGCATCTTTGCCTTGTTCGGGATGCTGTTTGAAGATAGCGCCTGTAAAAGCGGTCGATATGAGCGAATGGTTAAATTTGAGTGTTTTTACTCAATTAGACTCACCCCCGTCCACCAGCCTTCCCTGGGTTATCAATGGTTGAATTCCTTCATAGTGCCCACTGAGATGCTGCATTAGCGATGGAAAGATTGGATAGAAAGATTGCGTAACAATGAGCTATGACTCTCACCATTTAACTTGTTTCCTTAAGCTAGCAATATTGGGTCGATCAGGCAGGATGCATAGAAACTCCTTCTTTTTGCCCGTCATCGTTGCCGTTGATCTTGATGCCATGGACTGGATACACTGAGAGAATCGTTTCACAGCTGTGGCATTACGAGGGATAGACATGGTAGATTGATTAAAATGCCGAGAGCAAGGTGCCGGTAGTAGGAAATCGGAATGCACAATCTAGACAGAGTAGGTGGAAGTTGGGTTGTTCAATGGCTTTTGTTGACGATGCGGTAAGAAATGTCGGGGCCAGCTTCCGACGGGCGATAACTCAATTTGGCCTTGAATACTTCCTATCACAGCAATCTCCTTTTAGTAGGCTCTACTGGATGGAACCCCTTTCCTACTGAAAATCTTCTATAGTTGGCATCAACGGAAAGACTAGATCTGGAAGAGGAAGCCTGGTAAGTGCAGTGATATTTGCGAGCCTTGACTTGAAAACTGCTTCTTTAAGAGATGCCAAAAGACAACATAGGCAGATAGACTTGCGGGAAGTGCGTAACTTGAAACTGAGGGAAAATCGAATCAAACGTTCTATTGTTACAAATCCCGGACATCACATATCTATTTCACATTAGGCTTGGTGGCATCTAGCTTGGTTAAGAGTTCGCTCTTAGGAACTTCTTGATCCCACTTCTGACGTGGTCTCTCGAAGGTCGATGAGATTCGACCGTAAGAGACACCACCCAGTTGTCCAATAGGTCGCAGTTTGTCTAGATCAATATGGCTATAGTCCGCGTTCGCAGTGCCCTCCTTCACCCAAAAACGGGTGGCCTTGATTAGAACATTGACTGCAATGCTCATGCCCGGTTGTTGGTGATCGGTGAATTCCTTGATGTCGACCACCTTACCTTCTATGCTGAAGACAGACTCTGCCACTCGGGAAGGTCTGACAGTAGTTGATGGTGCTTCATAAAGACCGGAGGCATCCCACTCAGATACGCCGTAGGGCGCATCAATCGAGGTTGAATTAACAGCCTCAATCATGTTCTCCGAAACGGTGTTAATGACACACTCGCCGGTTTCCTTGATATTGCGAAATGTATCCTTGACGCGACCCGGACGGGATGAAAAGCCAAAAATGAACATTGGTGGGTCATGGTCAAGAACCTGGAAGTAGCTGAATGGCGAGAGATTCTTCTGTCCCTCTGAACTAACAGTACTAATAAACCCGATTGGCCGCGGCGCGATGCCAGAAACGAGCAGGCGGTAGTTGTTGATCATCGGCCGATCGGTCGCATAGGGGTCAATCTCATGATGTTGTGAAGCCAAGCTCGCTCCATTATCGGGAACTCCGTCGCCGTATTTCCACTGAGGAAATGGTGACTTTGTGACTTCGATTCGCTTGGAGTGATCAAAGTCTGGCCGTTGCGCTTGGGTTTCTTCAAAGTTCCCTACTTCTTGGATAATTTTGTAGTTGTTCTGGGCTGCCGCGACGTCATCTTTTTCTGCGACTACCGCCGTAGAGGAGCTCATCCGAAGTGCGCCATTCTCGATTCGGCACGGACGGTGGAGGAGATTCCAGGACCTAGTCTGATATGAGCTGACTGCAATTCACACGAGGGTAATTGTATTTGGCGGACTTACTGCCGGGGCAGAAAACGTGCGAATGGATTTGTTCGAATCATTCCTATTTTTGTGTTGGGTTTCTACTGCATAATAGATATTTAAATTCTTCTTTCTGCTCACTTGCTTGGAAATCAAAAGACTGACAAAAAGGAAAAATAAAAATCGGGTGCGGATCCCGACATCGGGACACTCAACCGACATTTCACGGCGGACTCAAGCTACACCGAGTTGTGCGGGCAATTTACTCAGGTATAGGGTTGGAGAATTGAATTCATTCCTTGAAGTAGCTGAGGTCTACATTCATGGAGCGAAGTCTTAAGGACACCGGCTCAATTGAAAAGGGGGTTTCTGAGCTTGTCGCGAAGGTAAAGTCCTAGTCAGCGACTGACGGATCTTCACATATATGAGCTGAATTCCTTGTAAAGGCCCGAAAATTGACAATGAATGATTTGATGAGCGATAGCTTTAATATCAGTGATAGCGCCATTTGGGGCTGGCTCATTTCCATATTTGGTGCATTCCTTCGGATACACAGAGGCCTCGGCTTACGAGCATCAGCGCGCCAGTTATCATAGAAAAAATGACACTAGTAGTTGACTTTAACCTCTGCTATCGGATCTGTGATATTCCGTGATGCTAACAGTGATTATTTTTTACTTATATCGGGCATTAAATCGCTCACCCAACATAAGATCCCACCGAGTGCATAATACTTTCAACGTCTAGTTGGTCTGCAAGGTCCAACAGCTCCCTTGGGGGTAAGCTAACCGAAGAGTTGAGCCCAAGCAGATCCCATTCAAAACCGTCTCCCACGTCAACTGAATCCAATCCGTACGTGTCTTCGCTTTCATGTGTATCCCGATGAAGAACAACTGGTGGAAGAGGAGTCGAGGTAGTTCTAGGGGTCAAGGGCGCCAAAATTTGCTCTAGCTGCCTTAACTCCTGTCTTCTGAGGGGTGCGGCGGGATTGCCCTTTGCGATGAGGTTTTCTAAGACACAGTTCAAGTGGTCGCACCAAGTATCACGTTGAATCAATGACGGCGCGATTGCCCGAATCAAATATAGAACGAAGGCAGACGAGGAGGCATCTTCGATTTGAAACGGGAGGAATGCATCTTTAAAGACCTTATGAATAACGATATCCCATACAGACGCCAAGTCACACATACCTAACAAGTCTTCATCGGCGAGGGTCTGAAGGGTTTGGAGTATAGTCTGGGCTGAGTCCGCACAGCATTGTAAGAGAGATGCAACTGGTGGGGATAGGCCAATACCTTGAGATGCTTGTCTCTCAGTACGTTCTATGTGCATATTGAGGGCGCACATCACCAAAGGCCTTGTGGTCAGGACGATGCACTGGGCCGGTTAGTCTGAAGATCAATCAAGGTAGTTACTACTCTCTCACATGATGATGGGCGAGCATAAGTCGTATTGCCATTTTCGAAGCTCGGCTGATAAGTCCATGGAAGTGAGTATTGAGGAAGGCCGTGAGATCATGCGACAATTCCGCCATACTGTGGAGAATGGACTGAGTATTCCGAACGAGAGTTCCATTGAACTCATCCCCGACCCCATAAACCGCTTGAACGCTAGTTAGTAAGATAGTAATTCAAAGGAGTGGATTTGCGTACTAGTTAGAATTTGAGCCATTAATCTGGAAAGGCGCACGTGTAAGGTCAGGTTAATGTGTTCTACGGAGTTTTCGACGTCTGCAGGTAGGCGAACTGTGATATCCTCGTCTCGAATGGAGCTTGGCGCCCCAATCAGGGCCGAAAATTCACGGTCCAGCATATAAACTACCCAAAATATTGTCCTACAACGGCTTGAGAGTTGGGGTCCTCCAAGCTCCTCCGGAACATGTCGATGAATTCCTTCGATAATGCAGCCGCGCAACGCCTGCCCAATCTATTTTACATTGTTATGGTGAGTCGTGTCTTGTGGACATTCATAAGTCAGAATGTAGTCACTCACATGTTGGAATGCTGCTCTTCTCATATCGATCGATTGCAAGTACACGGCCCCCAGACTAAGGGCCTGGATGCATGTCAAAGGATCTTCATGCATTCCAGACAAATCTGGCAATAATGCCATTGCCCTTGACGCATATTGATGGCCAGGAGGAGTTCCAGATGAGTTTCGGTGTGTAAGGAAGGCTTTTCCAAATGCGAGGACCAGAAGATATTGGACATACCAATATCTCGCAGAGGCAGCTTTCGCTGGTGGGTCCTTGTAAAACTCATACAAGTCTCGCAAGTAAGCTTCTTCATCAATCATGAACGATAGAAATCCAAAGTAGAATTTGACCGTATTGAAAAGAAACAAGGCATAATCGAGTGGTGGAAGGTTCGTCACATCGGGTATTTCATCGGGGGGTAATGGTCGCCACTGAAGTTTAAATGCCATTCCATCCAAGTGCCATGGATCTGGTGGGCAGTTTGATTCTGGCACACGTCTGCCGATGAGACGTAAGACTCGGCGACAGAAAGACCATGATGACGTGGGTCCCATATACCCTATTGCGTTCGTCTGTTAGATGCATTAGACACTACTTGAAGCACATGACTTACAAAATCGACCATCGGGAGTCTTTGCAAAAGAAGGGTCTCTATCGACCAGGGGATTTCGAGAGAAACGTGATCGGTGTCCATCTTGCTCTGAATCGGGACCTTCCCCCGGCTGCTCACGCTGTAGATGAGTTGTGGTAGGAGTCTGCAAAGAAGTGTCCAAATTCTGGACTGTAGAAAGTCAGCCTTACCAATCCTCGAATACGCGTTGGGATTGAATATGTAATACCATGCGTTGTCTCCCTCCACCGTACTGCTGGCTGGTCCTCTAAGAGAAATTGAGGAGGATGAGGCGTAGGAAGATCGATTCCATTCTCTCCCACATACGGAGAGCTAACAAGATTGTTTCGGTCTGGGTTATTCTGGTGCCGCAACCCACTATCCCTTTCTGACAATTGCTCCTCTAAATGGCGGAGGTACCTGGACGGTTCAGCCATATGATCGGACTCCAAGTGCGAATGAAGGCTCACCGCTCCGATACAGAGACCCGCACATCCTCAGCGGGAAACTGGCAATGTTGCTTCTTGCGAGTACATCGCGTGCAAGGGTATGATCCAGAGCACTTGACTTTCATACCCCGACATCGTACACATCTGAAATTGTTAATTAGGTACGATGTTGAGCGTGCCTATTTCGAGCAACTTACGCCTTTTGACATTTCTTGGCTTTCACCTTGTTGGGAGTTTCAGGCATGTGGGGTAGTGTCTGAAAAAGTGATATTCTAAAAGAACAATGACAGCCGGCGTATGCCTCCGATATCAAGTAAATTGGCCGTTGTAGAGTATTGCGGGGTTGACGCCATAAGAAGGTCGGGATTGTCTTCCGACTTTTCTTATCAGCGTATTACCCCACCTATCTTAGCTTATCAGATACGATCCACATGTCGGATAAGACCCTTGACTGGCCTGTGGTTTTCCCCCAGTAGTTGGGGGGCGTGGTTGTCGATGTTTTGCTCACAACGAAAAAAATCCTTATTAGTAAGATCAC